TCACGTTTCACTCATTCACGTTTCACTCATTCACGTTTCACTCATTCACGTTTCACTCATTCACGTTTCACTCATTCACGTTTCACTCATTCACGGGGTATCTTGGCAACGACCAGTGACTTGGCCAATCCTGATGTACACTTGCTCTCTGCGTAATGCGCGATTCTGTTGTCTCCATGCCTTGATCGCCTTCTATGGAGGCGCAGGGCGGTGTTGGTCCCGCGCCCTACGGCAGCGCAGTCCGACCATCACCGGTGCCATGTCGGCTCAATGCCCAATCACCGAGAACTGGCTTAGAACTGCTGCTCCAGTCGAAGGCACGCGACGACAATCATTGCTTCAAAGGACCTTCCTGACATGCGCGATTCGCTGCGCCCAACGACCCCCGGCGACCCCCTTCACCGGGAGCTCTGATCCTAGTAGACGCTGTTGCAGCCGGTATCTATCTAGAGGTGCGCCGAGCTATGTAACCGACATGCTGTCTGCGGTAGAGGGCGCTGCTTGCCTAGTCTTTGCACGATCCGTACGGAGTAGTGCTGGCAGTTTTCTCTTCATGGAACCCCCAAGAGTACGAGTACCGGTTTGCCCAAACGATGACGCCGACGCACATTTGCTTGATGCAGATATCTCCCACCGTCGTTATCCATCGGCAGGCCGACGTCAAGGATTGCACGATTCAGGAGCTATCCGTGGATGATTGGGTCAGACATACCACGATGTTGCGACATATCCTCCGCGAGTATTCAGAGGTCTAGCACCCAGCACCCAACGCGTATCAAGCCTGTGCGCAACTTCTGCTAACCTGTGCCCCGTCCTCGTGGAGCGGGCGCTGTTCGCCTCGGGACAAAATCTCTATTTCTGCGGAGAAACCACTGACCCCCACGTGGAGGGAGGAAGATCTTCTTTGCCCGCTTGTTGAACACGGATGATTACCATCCAATCATGCTTGAGTCAGTCTCCCTGGAATTACTGTAGTTGGTATACCGAAGTGCAGCTGAGATGCGGTATTCCCACTCCGACTACAGCACGTCATAGGCTATTGCCGTTGCCTCTGGAAGGCACGTTTCTTCGCCGTCATCTCCACCGATGGTGGAGGATTTGCAGATTTCTCGGGCGAAGACCGGGTGATCGTCAACCGTGGGGAAAGGCCCATACGCAATAAGGGTCAGATATAAAGGGCACCCTTAATGTGGTCACGAGCCGTGGTTGGAGGCTCTACTTCACCTCTTCATTCCGTTTCCTCGGTGGTTTCAAGAATTTGCTGTTAGAGGAGCACGCGATCTCAGGCACCTGAGAGTTGATTGCGATGGGTCGGAAATACCTTGGAGGCTCGGGCAGTGCCCTCACTGTCTGGATTTCTCTAGCGGCGTCGACCGTCCTCATCTTCTATGGATACGACCAGGTATTTCTGCGGTGCTTTGAAGGTTCTCGTGATTCGATCATCGCGCTAATTGTCATTTCTCGCCACACAGGGTGTCTTTGGAAATGTGTAAGTCACTCCCCAACGACGCTGTCACAAGAGAAAACGACCTTCGCTCTCAGTGTCGCGGTAGGCTGATTCTCGTTACAGGCTGGTGGGAGAAGACTTCCTCAGGACCATGGGGAATCCCAATGCAACAGTACAAGGGACCTTGACATCGGGTATGTTGTCGCCTCTTTCATTGTGGTTGGTAGTCTGCAACAGCTTCTGACGCGCTTCCAGTCTATAACCTGGGCTGTTTTGGCGGCGCTCTGTCCACGTTATATACGGGAGACAGACTCGGTCGTCCGCGCACAATCCTACTCGGCAGCTCCGTCATTGCTCTAGGCGCAATCATCCAGACTGCGTGCTACTCGAGAGGACAGATGTTCGCTGGTCGCGTCATTGCTGGCCTGGGGACAGGCATGAATACTGCCACGGCTGGGGTCTGGCAATCCGAGACAAGCAAGATGCGGAGCCGTGGCAAGCTTGTCATTATACAGATGGCGAATTGCATTACTGGCTTCTGTCTCTCAAACTGGCTCACCCTCGGATTCAGCTTCTGCAAAGGCTCCGTGGCCTGGCGCTTCCCACTTGCTTTCCAATGCTGTAAGTCTCGAACCCCGCTCGTCTTTATATGTCCTCATTTCGCGCTTCCGGTATCTACTGCAATATCAAAGCTGATTGACCACACAGTCTTCACGTTGCTGATCTGGCTGATGTGCCCATTCCTCCCGGACTCTCCTCGCCTTTTGATGCGCAAAGGGAAATACGAGGAAGCTCTCGAGGTTCTCGCGGCACTGGAAGGGCATGGCGCCACCATCGACTCCCCGTCCGTCCGTGCACAGTACGAGAACATCAAGGATGTCCTGGACAAGGAGCACGCCCAGACGTATACCTGGTGGCAACTTCTCACCGGCCGTGGTCCATCGGGGGTTGTCCGCCGTATGATTCTGGGCGCGTGGATGCAAGCCATGAACCAGATCTCGGGCATCAACGTCACCAGCTACTTCCAGACGTATATCTTCATCCACGCCATCAACCTCAGCGAGCTTCTCGCTCGAATTCTAGCTGCCGCGGGGTCGGTCGACTATCTCATCTTCAGCTTCCTGGCTTGGTTCGTCATTGAGCGGTACGGTCGACGACGGGTCATGATGACCTCAGCGGCCGCTTGCTGCACGTGCTGGACCATCATCAGCATCGCCCTCGGTCTCTCCGAGACTGGCAAAGGCGATACCTACGCTCTCGGTGCCCTGGCGACCACGTTCTTTTTCGTGTTCTTTGCGTCCTTTGGAATGGGAGTCCTTGGTGTCCCTGTAAGTGTTCTATGTTACGATCAACACTCATTCACCTTTTCAACAAGCGATGCCAAGAATCCTGGAATCATCACGAGAAAGAGAGGAGAGGCACGTAGTACACGTGCAAGTAGCGGAAGAAAAAGAGAGAGAGAGAGAAACACTCTGGACATGCATTAGCTTTGATACTCTTCTCCCGCAAAGACAACGGACCTTCATGTGGATCTATGCTAACCACCTCTCTCAACGCAGTGGCTCTATCCCACCGAAATCAACCACATCTCCTTCCGCGGCAAAGGCGCTTCGCTGGCCATGGCCACCAACTGGATCATGAACTACGTAAGTCTTACTCACCTGGTGCAGCACTCCCGGAAGGCGGTTGATTCATGTCACTCCTGTCCCCTCCTGCAAATGGCGTCTAGCAGATCTAACGACAAGACAGATGGTCGCCCAAGTGACGCCCCCTGGAATCGCCAACTTGGGCTACCAATTCTGGATCATCTGGGCGGTATTGTGCTTCAGCTTCATCCCAACGACATACTTCTTCTACCCGGAGACGAGCAACCGCACGCTCGAGGATATCGATCGCTACTTCGCCGAGCACAGAAACAGTGAGTTTGCGCCCCCTCTCTATAGTAGATGTGGCGAGTACAAGAGTGGCCGAAGATACTGACGAGGCATGTTCGATACAGTCTTTGTGTTCCGGGACAAGGTTGCCACGCAGCTCCAGAGACCTGAAATTTGGGAGAAGATGGACGAGGAGATCGCTCGCCGGGCTGAAGAGCAGAAGATCAGGAATGGAGAGATGGACGTGGAAGGCGACTATAAAGGGGATGAAAAGGTAATTTATATGCAGAAATAGGTGACGAGATGGCTACCGGGAATGGCGCGGAGAAGGTGGAGGTGAAGGTGAAGTGATCCATATTATACGTCGGCTGGAGTGCCACTGTATGTTGGGCTTCTGACCACTAACACCGCCACCACGACGGTGACTGTCCCTCTACGGCATAGAGAACTTCTGAAAATATAACCAATAGAGACACGTTGTGCATGGTCGCATAACCTGTCCAGCTCCATACTACTCCAAGCACTGAGCACAAGATGAGGGGCTGGCTCCCCAGCGGTGAGAGGTGTGTATCCACCTTGTTGCTTTCTACCACTGCGTGCGCGTCGATAGTCCTCGCTTATGTGACTGCTTGCCATACCATGTCCGGCGTACTCAGGTTGTGGATGGTCCAAGGAGCTTAGCTCAAGCAGAGGTTCGGTGAAGACATGGGAGTCCCGTTCGAATGACACCCGAGCCTCGAGTGTAGACTTGAGGCGCAGCAGTCCGTTGATCACATTGACCTACCTGCGTTCCCAAGTCGACGATTAACCTGAGCCTGACAAGCAACGATGCGTACAAGGGCTTCAGATTTCGATGTCTGTTTGAAGCGAGTTTCTGTGCCCATGGTACTCGACCGGACTCGGTCGCACAGAAGAAGAGCTCAATGACCGTCGCAATGACTGATAGCAGTAGGGTGAACCAGGACGATTTCGCCACCGCGGCTGGCTCACCCAGACAGACAAGTACTCCCAGTGGCGTTGTAGACAGCTCGTGAAATGACTTCCAAGGTTTAGCTCATGAGTGGGTATGAGTTAGAAACGAGTCACGTAGACTTCGACGTAACAGGCTTTCATGTCTTGATGCTTTTCCAGATTCTGGCACCATGCTTCGAAGTGATGCGACTCTTCAAAAACGTCATGGGGATGCGTTTTCACCCACAAACCCAGCGCTGAATGTAGAAGCAGGGGAGAGGTCCCAGTGAATCGGTTGAAGCAACGGTCGCCATTACGAGTGGAGAGTAGAGACATTACTCCGTATTTCATACCACTATGGGAGCAATCCTTGCTAGGGCGAACCTTTTGTCATCTAGCACAACTGCCTGTACCGTGTGCTCTTCTGACATTGACTCGCGAACCGGATTGCGACTTCGTTAGAGGACGAAAGCGGTACGCAGGAACGGGTTCGGAAGATTTTGAGCAACACGCTTCGACAGGCGTGCTGGCGTCGTTTATTGTATGAATGCGCCTTGAACATTAGTCAACAACCATCGCCATCACCTCGCCATGTGTGAGACGACGCAGGATTGCAATGACAATTGAGATACGGAACCAAAAGCCGGGAGGTGAGGAGCAAGACAAGCCCACTTGTAGGAGACTGGATCGCCGCGATAGCAGCACGGAGGAGAATGGGGCTTCGTTCAATAGATGAAGGTTGAGACTGGTGAAGGTCAGCTGCGTGAGACAAACAACAAAGGAAATGCGAGGTTGACTGGAGAGGAACAGCGTCAGCAAGGCGAGCTCGGATGCGACGGCGGGACAAGCAGGATGCGCCAAGCGTGGAAAGTAGTCGAGGAAGCCTAAAGTCAAGGAGTGCCGGCAATGATATCCTTGCATAAGATGATGAGATGTCAATGGACGAGGAGCAAGTGAACTGCAAGTGACGGAAGGAGTTGAGAGGAGTGGGCAGGGAAAAGATGGATCCACGAATTTCTGCGTCACTTTTCAACTGCGCAGGTCTGACTCGAATCCGAACCCCGCCTCGGTAAGAACAGCACATTGTTTGTCAGTGCGGCTCAGGAATTCATGGAGACGAACAAGTGTTCAGTAGGCCATTGTCTCTTGACGGAAGCGCAGGGTTCAAGAGCTTCGAAAGTGAATGGTCCGTCCTGCCAATTTCTTGTGAATCGTGGACGAGAAGGCGGGTTGGATGAAGGCTGAGGAGGAAAAGAGAGGAGGAACGAGGAGTGGGTGACCAAGAGAGAAAAGTGAGATGTGAGAGAAGGGCGGCCAGGGCTGCTAATCCACACGGGACAGCTGGTGGCTAGCACTAACAAGGGGACGGCAGCAATTGATTCGCGGCTTTTGTCCCTCGTGACGCGGTCCGGTTACGAGAAGCAGTGCAGGTTTGAGCAAGCGCAGTGTCGAGCCGTCGGCTGTTGGAGCTGCAGCTTGCAGGTAGCTGCGCTGTAACCTGTCTGTATCTGTGCTGAGATCCGCGGGCTTCACAGTGACCTGCGGGTTCGGGGGCAGGTGAAAAAGTTACAAGGAGACTCCTGGCTGGAAAGAAGCCAGTTAAAAGCTGCAAACAGCGCGTCGCTTTTTGGAGCCACTTTTGCTCATGGCCTTTCCGAAGCGCGCGACAGGAGTGGTGGGCGACACCAGTGGACCCCTTGTTCTGCCGACTTTGCTGCTTCCAGGCTAGCCGGGAGCCCATTTTTACTCTGTCCTGTTAGTGGCCTGAGACTCAAGCAGCGTCCCCTCGCTGATTGTGCAGTGGCTGCCTTGAGCCCAGGACTGGCTTACTAGAATTTGGCTTTGGGGGACTCCAAAGGTTGGGTGCGTAAGGGCATGCAACACTGCACAGACTGAGTGAAGGCGGTCTCTCTAACCCGCGCTGGCTGCGCAATCTGCATCTTGGGTCCCTCCATCCCATCCTCTTCTCGCCATTCCTTTCGTCTCCCTCTTTCAGTCAACAATCTCTTCTTTCTTCATCAGCCTGCTCGACAGTTCGCACTCTCCCACCTACCGGGTCCTATCATCCGCTATCCCGCGTCTCCCTCGCCCTTTGTGTTGTGTCACCGTGTTCGATTATCTCGTCGACTCTCGGATCTGCAACGGCACTGTCCTGTAATCGCACCTTCAACTCGACCTTTGCGCAGCCGACAGCGTCTCAAATGCTCAATTCTACGCTCAAGACTCTCGCACATATCGTCGCCACTCAAATTTGATCATTTTCGATATCGGCGATACCCCTTTCTCTTCTGCGCCTGTGCGGCCTCTCTGGCTACCCGGTGGCCCACCCTCTTCAGCCGACTCTAGCGATCAGAAAAGAACGTCAGAACCGCTTCAGAGGCGTACTTGACACTTTCTCGCCATCACATCACCTGCGCGACCCTCCTGAACTCGTTTTGAGGTCCCAAATCTATCTAGGGACCAACCGCTCCTGCGATGCGCGGCATGCGACAACTCATTTTATGATTGAACCAGACGAGAAGACACCAAGACTCCACCGATGAGGAGCAACTCTGTCGGATTATGACAGAGTCCTCCCTTCTCACCACGCATTCCCTTCCTAATCATTATCCGGTCACCGCCGCTCCATCTTTGGCCTCGCCCTTGCCCAACGGCTCCCTCTCAGACAACATACAAGATGAGGAGGAATACACCATCAAATGTATCTGTATTTATGCAGATGACGATGGCAACACAGTCTATTGCCCCAAGTGTGACACCTGGCAGCACATTGAATGCTACTACCACGGCAAGAAGGTGCCAGACGAGCATTTCTGCGCAGACTGCTTTCCTCGAGATCTTGACACAAAGAAAGCCACAGAACGACAACGAAGGCATCGAGAGGCACTTGAAGGCGGTGACCGGAAGGTCAAGAGAGCGAGCTCAAAATCACAGAAGAAAAAGCATAAGGACATACACCCGACGCCCGAACATGCCAACGGCTGGCACCATGATCGCCATGAATCTGTGACCAGTACAAGAGAAGGACCACCAGCGAAGAAACCCAAGACGAGCCATCGCACGTCGGGCTCTGTCGTGTCTACCAATGGTGAAACTCGGAAAAGAGCCGCTTCGACACTCCAGTCGTACCCAAGCCCTTCCAAATCTCCTCAGGACCATTTCCGTTTCCCTGCTATCCCTACGTACACCCTTGATTTTCTTGAGCTCTATGACCGCGATGAAGGAAACACAAATGCCAGGGACAACGAGCAAACGATACAAGCTACCAACACACTCTTTGCATGGCGTACAGACCCATCTTTGGTTGTCGGCCCTGGACAACAACCCACCGCGAAATCACCTTTCGTGCGCTCGGATCAACCTCTAGATCAGAGTACGTGGCCACAAATTTCGGTGGAGACAATCAGGAAGACGGATGTCGAGTACGATGGCAGACATCCAACTTGGCGCTTCCTGCGCATACAAACGCCCGTGAAGAAGAACGAGGTCGTGGGTGAAGTTCGAGGCCAGGTCGGCATGTTGGAAGAGTATTGCCAGCAGAAATCATCATCCAACAGATGGCAAGAGTTGAGGCACCCGGACCCTTTTGTCTTCTTCCACCCGCACATGGATATCTACATTGACAGCAGGAAATCGGGCACTCATTTTCGGTACTTGAGAAGATCATGTCGGCCGAACGTCACCTTGAAGACTTTCGTTTCCGACAACGATGAAACTCGCCATTGCTTCGTTGCAAGCCAGGACATTCCGACTGGTTCCGAGCTGACCACCCCGTGGTTTCTAGATCAGGCCATGATCGCAGCAGAAGATTCCGAACTGGGTCAAAATCGACGCCTTGACTGGGTCAGCCGTGTCCTCGCCAATTTTGGCGACTGCGCATGCGATGCTGGTGCGGCTTGCCTTCTTGCGCCATTCGATCGAAGGTTTCCACCCAAATCATTGGAGGCTGCGCCCAAAGAGAAAGGGAAGAGGAAGAAGCAAAGTAAGAACCAAACCATTTCGCCCTTTAGTACTGGACATGCCACCAACAGTCGTGCAGGAAGCGAGCCCAAGGTGCTCGATGACGAAGACCCATCCGATCGTCGATCTACCCCAGATTCTTCTCGCAGCGGAGGACCAAGTCGAGATATCACGCCGGTCAATGTCGCTGCTCTCGATGCCGACCCTGTCCTTGGAAACGGACTTACTGCTCGTGAGCTTCGTAAAATCCAAATGGCGGAAAAGGCGTTCGCACAGAGAGAACAGGAAAAGAAGGATCAAAGTGGCCAGGCTGTGCAGCGCAAGAAGAAGCGCACCAGCGGTGGATCAACGCTCAATACCCCTAACATCAACTCCTCGAAGCAGCTGGGCCATCACATAACTTCACATCCTAACACGCCCAATGGACAGCAGCCCAGACTCAATGAAACTGCCCTGGGTTCACCACCACCGCCACGAGCTCCTGCATGCCGAGGCAAGTCCATGGAACCCCCCAGCAAACCCCAGCCGAGAACACAGCGGCCTGTGTATACTAGTGCTGCGGTTCAGACAGACCCTGAAGAGCACGATCCGCCTCTACCGCCACCAGCGAAGAGGAGGAAATTCTCCACACCTACGCAGCGCTTGCTTCGGAAACTGCTCGCGGATCGTGAACGGCATGGGCAACAAGAGCCGGTCCCTGCCTCTCCTACGTCGGCAAGTATGCAGCAACAGGTCGATGCTAGTCCTACCTCGAGGGACGTGGAAATGAAAGATTCCAGCGTGGGTGCAGACAATCCTGTCAGTGATGCCGCGACCAGTCCGCAACCAGCCAACGAGAACACTAGTCCACCTCATGATCTAGGTGTGATAAGTTATCCTTTACCATCGCAGGCGGCACATACCCACAATCCTTGGAGACCATCTCCGACACCGAAGCTAAATCTGTCCACCTTGCCACCTGTGCCAGCCTTTCCCTCCTCGGCCACCTCCGCCACATCGTCCTCTACTTCGGCGACAACTCCTGGTTTGACAACAACCGCAACGGCACAATCTCCTACTCTTATAGGCTCTATTGCTACCTCTCAGTTCGGCTTTACACCTGGTGTGGTCACTCCGAGTCCGGCTAGGAAGAAACTGAGCTTGGGAGACTACATGAGTCGTCGTCTGGCGTCGACCCCGTCCACGGAGAGATCTCACACACAAGTGGGCTTCGGCACTGGCGAGGTTGAGTCAATCAAAGATGCAACGAGCCCGTCGGAGTTATCACTTGGCACCGCTGAGGTGGCAACAGGGGTTTTACGGTCCGGTCAACAGCTTGCACTCCAGCCTATGGCTCAAGGTACCCTCCCACTCGGCGATGTTGAAGATGCCTCAATGAAGGACGAGGGTGAGGAGCCAGAATATAGTCCGCCCGAGCCTGTGGAACCCGCCGAAGAGGCCTCTCGATTGCCGACAGGTGCCAGCGCCACGCTTCCTCCAAGTGGACAGATCACCATACCGGCGGAGGTCACGAACATCCTGCACCAGCTGGCACAGTTCAGAAAATGAGGCTGAGTGACGTGTGCAATAATTGTATGATACCCTGTCGATTCGGCGTTTGATTCAACGTCCTGTTCCTTTGTCACGAAAATGATAGAAGATACTTGGACCTTTCGCAAGGCTTGGACACGCGTGATGACAAACCGACACCAGCTTATACCAAAGGAAAGGGGGAATGAATTGTGAGCAACGGAGCAACATGGTATCAAAAATTCGCGGTTTCACAGAGTGGGTTATGTCGGCGTTCTGATCAAAACTTGGGCTGGCTATCTGCTCGAGGCATATGCTGGAGGGATCTGAGGGTTTACGATTCAGGCAGTCCTGACATCGGTTTTCTGTATATATTATTCGAACATGCCCCCGGCAGCCGTCGAATCTGGCCGACCAGGCAGAGGGCTGCTTGAGGAGACAGTGATTGCACGATAGCTGCGATGTATGCTGAACGTTTCTGAGAGATACGTATATCAACAAGAAACTTGGAGCTCGATTCCGAGCCTTCTAGCACACGCTCCTGCAGCCTTGTGAGACATGATCGTATGTAGCTGGCGGAGAGCATGCGAGCACCAGGGCAGCTGCTCTGTTCTGGCATGCCCATGCCACCACGACCAGCACCTCCCCACCATGCCCCTCGCTTGCTTAAGTAAATCATTACGAGCACGAGGAAATCTTCTCCACCACTCAACTCTCTTCTCCCGCCACTTCCATTATGTACTCTATCCACAGTCCTGCTGGGCTTCCAATAGGCTATCTCCCTATATGCGGTACTGATGCCGCCAGCATACTGGTAGCTCAGCTCGGGCCTAGCTAACATCTAGCTCCGAGACCCCTGCGCTTCAACAATTTCGAGATCTACAGATGACATCGGAGTACGTACACTACGTCCTGTAGCATGCTAGCACGCCTCGCGAGGGGTTGTCGTAGCAGAAAAAAGATATCGCGATTCCCCTCATTCAGTATGGATCATTCATCATCCACCATCCACCATTCCTCTAAGATCAAGTTTGATATTTTCCTCTCTCTACTCACCTCACTGTGATCTTGCTTGCTCCCTCCCTCTCACTTCTTTCTGCTGATCATAGCATACGAGTACTTGGTTCCGACTCTACTGTCTTACCTTTCCGCTCGCTGCGTCTTTCACCCACCTACCACGAGTACCACTCACTATCATACGCACTGTACAGCAGTGGTACCTACATCATACCTCCCTACGCTACGCTTCCTCGCCGTGACATCCTCCGACCATGTCTGGTCCAATCCCCTTCCGCCCCGGTCCCAACAGCGGAGTGAACACGCCGACACGCAAGGGCTCAGTGGACACGCGCAACGAGGTCCACGTCCAACAGAACCATTACATCGGTATCGACGTGGGCACCGGGAGCGCGAGAGCCTGCATCATCAATGAGGCCGGCGATATCGTGGGCCTGTCCTCTGAGAACATTGGCCTCTGGCAGCCGCAGACGGGATACTATGTAAGTTCAACCAAGGACAGAGAAAGAGAGTCACACACTCGTGTCATGATTCGTTTGTGCTTCGATGCTGACGATGGCCAAAGGAACAATCGACGACCGATATATGGCGGTGCATCTGCCTCTCCGTCCACCGGGCCATGACGCAGGGCAATATCGACGCGGCCTCGATCCGCGGCATCGGGTTCGACGCGACGTGCTCACTCGCCGTGTTTACGCACGACACGGACGAGCCCGTCTCGGTGACCGCGCCCCACTTTGACAACAAGCAGAACGACCGGAACGTCGTGCTGTGGCTCGACCACCGGCCCGTCGAGGAGACCAAGAAGATCAACGCCACGAAACATAACCTGTTGAGATACGTCGGTGGGACGATGAGCATTGAGATGGAGATACCCAAGGTGCTATGGCTGAAGAATAACATGCCCAAGGAGCTGTTTGACCGGTGCAAGTTCTACGATCTGACGGACGCGCTGGAGCACATTGCCACGGGCAACGAGAAGCGGAGTTTCTGCTCCGTGGTCTGCAAGCAAGGGTATGTGCCTGTCGGGGTGGACGGGTCGGTTAAGGGCTGGCAGGAGGATTTCCTGAAGGATATTGGGTTGGAGGATCTCGCGGAAGATGAGTTCAAGAGGATGGGTGGCGTCAACGGGGTGGTGAGTCTATTTCCTGCACTTTGTTTCCCCGTCCTCTTTCTTATTCTGCCTCTAGAGACATCTTCCTTATCTCTGCTTTCGCCACTTGACCCGACTGACGGACAACTTATGGTACAGAATGGCGAATACCTCTCCGCCGGTGAACTAGCTGGCCACTTGTGCCCTAAAGCCGCAGCAGAGTTGGGTCTCCCCGCTGGCATTGCGGTTGGATCTGGCGTCATCGACGCCTACGCGGGCTGGATCGGGACCGTCGGCGCCAAAGTCGAATTGTCGGCAGATAACCTCAACCAGGATACGCCTGCCAACGATCAATCCCAAGCTTTTACACGCCTCGCTGCCGTGGCAGGGACATCCACTTGCCACCTGGTCATGTCCAAAGATCCGGTCTTTGTCAACGGCGTGTGGGGCCCTTACCGCGATGCCGTGATTCCAAACTATTGGATGGCCGAGGGCGGACAGTCCGCCACCGGAGAATTGTTAAAACATGTCCTCGAAACACACCCGGCATATAATCAGGCTCTCTCCCGCGCAGAGTCCACCAACAGCAATGTCTACGACTTTCTCAACCAACACCTGCAGGACATGAAAGAGAAATCCAACGCCCCGAGCATAAGTCACTTGGGACGGCATTTCTTTTTCTACGGCGACCTCTTCGGAAACCGCTCACCGATCGCCGATCCCACAATGTCAGGCTCCGTCGTGGGTCTGTCAAGCGATAAATCCCTCGATGGCCTTGCGCTGTATTACTACGGCACAATGGAGTTCATCGCGCTGCAGACCTGGCAAATCATCTCCACGATGAACAAGGCCGGGCACAAGATAAACTCGATCTTCATGTCCGGGTCACAGTGTCAGAATGATATACTGATGAGTTTGGTGGCCACAGCCTGTGATATGCCGGTGTTGATTCCTCGGTACGTGCACGCGGCGGTGTGCCATGGAGCCGCCATGCTAGGAGCCAAAGCCGCTAGTGCAGATCCTGCTACGGGCAAGACAGAGGATTTGTGGTCCATCATGGATCGGATGAGTAAACCCGGGAAGCTTGTTCGGCCGCTCGACGATGAGAAGGTGAAGAAGTTGTTGAGCGTCAAGTACAAGGTATTCTTGGAGCAGTGTGAGAGACAGAGGGAGTTCCGGAAGATGGTGGATGAGGTTGTTGGGAGTACCTGAACGCGTCGGGACCGGCCGTTATACGTTTCTTGCCCGGATCCAACTGATGTCGTGGATTCTCGAGTCGGTTATAGGCCCATCCAATCTGAAAATTAGGTTCCGCCATGACTGCTGGCTGCGGCCGTGTCTCGTGGCTTCGGGGCAATTATGCCCACGGACATCTTTCTGATGTTGCTCTGTGCTCAAATTTCTTTGAATGGACTCGCCGAAGCCGTCTTGTTCCTGGTATGGACGCTCTCAAACGGGAGAGAGAATGCGATCTCCGTGGTATGCTTACAGCCGTACATATGTTCGGCCACTAAATATGGTGGTCACTACTGACCTCACCCGGCGATTCGGAGTCGGCGAGCCCAGAGTACAGTTTTCGGCGACGAATCGAGCCGATAGTGATCACACACACTGCGGATCGTCCCCTTTCGCTTGTGGTATGCTTCCACCACCATGACGTGTCCATGTGTGCCGAGCTGATGGTGAGTGGAAATGACACCTGCTTCTGCATGATGAGAGTGGAAATGTCGGACCTGGCCTGTGTAGTCCGCTTTCAATCGTCGTCGCTGTCGTCGTCAGTCACGAGGCCGTCGTCCGTATCGTCGTTGATATGTATCTGGGGGACCGTTAGCCTGTCTGAGCGAGCCTCGACTTCGCTCTGGTTCTGGAAACGCACCACTACATCCTCTGCCGCCTCTCCCCGCTCCGGAATAGCAACAGTATTCAAGTTCACCCTCGTCGCACTCCGACTCACGGAGAATTGCGCCTTCGACATGGTCTTCTTCAACCCCAGCATGTCGTATTTGCAGAGCGGGCAGTCATGGTGACCTCTCTCGACCCAGAGACTGAGACATTTCGCGTGGTACACGTGCCCGCATCGCAACTCGCGAATCTGGTCGTTCTCCTCGAGCGAATCTAGGCAGATCGCACAACTTAGATTCAAAGAGACGGTAGCGAATGTCTGAATATGCTCCACCGACTTCTCGGCCCTCCAGTGCTGTAACGATTGGGCGGGCGCGACTTGGTCCAGCTTCTTGAGCCGCTTTCGGTGTTTCGAGGCGACCACAGGAGCTGGCAAGGAGGAATCTTCCCCGCGCCAGGCTGATTCTGACACGTCGGATTCTGAGTCGGAATTGTCGTCGTCGTTAGCACCGCATTGAGCGTAGAGGCCACGACTTTTGGGATGGTTAGGCTCGCGAACGCAATACCTTGGCGATTTGAAGGCTTACCAGACCATCAAGAGGATGAACAGAAACCACAGCACCCACGTCACCTGGATAAACGCCTCGATGGTTTGCACGTCCGGGTTCGTTCTGTAGGGGGGTTGGAATCCAGGAGGTAGGCCAGGATATGCCGCGCCGGAGGTGTTGCAGTCGATAGTTACTTCCAGAGGCTTGGAAGCGGGCTGCGCCTGATCAAGAGCCTGCTGCTTGGGGATGTACATGTTCAGCACGATCCTTTCAGGCGCTCAGTGGTGTGCGGAGCTTGTCGTGGTGGCGGGAAATTCGCGTGAATATTAGTTGTTGACACGCCGAAAAGGCAGTACGTCTCGCGTCTCCCAACAAACAGGAATAATGATCATGATACTGTGATTGAGAAAAGGCTCACTGTTGTCAAATCTTCGAGAAGGCAGACGAAGCCGGAGAGTTACACAAGGATGTCGCGATGGATGGGCATGTGATACCAGCCAAGCGCGCCCAGATCAGTGACCAGGCACTGTTTGATTCTACAACGCCTTTCTGCATTGAACACGGTCATGTGGAGATAAAGTGGTGTGATGATCAGACATGCCAGGCCGCCAGAGGAACGCGGGATCTTCCGATGAGAGGAGAGGCCTCCAAGGCTGTCTGTTGTGGGCAGAGACATTGGCAGGGCCGTTGAGCAAGAGGGGCACCTCGGTTTCTGGAGGCGGACACCCAGTGGGGGCTAACAGCGGCCAATGACGACATTTCGAGGTGTTGACCTCAGGCTCGTTCTCCGACATTTTCATTCTCAACTGCACTTCCTGAGATCCACGAAGAATCGAGTGCACGGATTAATGCGAACGTGCTATATAGAGAGCTGTCAACCAATTTGTGACCTACAATCCCTGGCACTTCTCAGTTGAATGAACGGATTCTGATCGCCGCCTCCGCCAACCGCACGGATTCAAGCTCCTGGCCCTTCAGCACGCTGACCAGCAAGTTTTCCCCGTTACCACCCACAGCATGCACGACGACATTCTCACCATATCCACAATCCTTCTCTGACGGCCCAGCCTCGTCGTACTGTGCGAACGACTCCTTTGTCACGCCGTCTTCGGGCGCCAGGAGAACCTCGCTTGCAAACTTCCTTGCCTCCTCGTAAGTTCGGAAGGAGCCCTCCACGTTCGTTTCCCTGGCTTCACCACTGTCGTCCTCATCGTACAGGACAATCGTTTCAATGACGTGATAGAGCGGGAAATGGATCTTGTGGTCCTCGGCGTCACTTTGGAAACCTTGCGTGTTTAGTGCTGTGGCCACGTAACTGCGGAAGATGGTGCCATCCTGCGCCTTCGCATAGACGGCGAGGCCTGTTCTTCGTTTGACGTGATGGGCGGCGAACTCTTCTTGGTTTGTATCATACACGGTGAACCATTCCCGTTCATAGCCGGCCTCGAACAGGGTCTTGTGTGCCTCGGCCTTGGCTGCCTTGAGATCGGTAAAGGTCGCGCACACTTGGAGCTTCTCTATCGCGCCGTTGGGGTCTCTTTGGATGTGGGAGGTGCTGAGGAGCACATGGTACAGGTTATCAACATCAGGAGTCTCCGTGCCGTTTGCCTTGGTTGCCATGGTATGTCCCTATTTGCTCGAGTCTGCAATTCTGGAGTGCTGGATTTGTGTGTGCTTGGTTCGTTTGTTTGCCGTAAACCTCAAATTTTGCTGCAACAATGATACTTATGGACACGCACAGCCACGTCCGAAACCATCTTCAACGACCATGACTTTCCCCGCAGGCTGAGACCACGCCATGAAGGCAGTCAATGGACATGTTGTGGCGTGACGGACCCCGGAAGGGAGTCCTATTCAGACCACGGGTTATGTAATGCTTGCCGGGTCGAAATACGTTCCAGGACAACGAATGAGCGACATTACGAACACTACCTTCGGTCCGACTATAACGAAAGAGCTCGGCAAGGTTGTTTGACACGAGACTCTGGCGAACGATGGCTCTGGACCCCAGTCACACGAGGAGCTCACAACAAGGATAGCTTCAGGCAACCACGTGAGCTTCTTCTGACTCAATCGGGCCGGCCGTTCCACCATCGTGTGATGCGCACGGTTCAAGGGTTGCGGAATTGTGGCCTTGCCGTTCGTCAAGCTGGGCTAATCTGTGCCCTTCTTCAAGTTCGTTGCCAAGATTACTTGGACGCTCACTTTGAGAGCATTCGGAGCACCACCACCCAGGACCGAGAAAGATGTTAAGCGTCTGGAAAAGCTTGTAAGTTATGATTCGCCTGGAGGTCCGATACTATTTGAAAGACCTCTAAAAATGAGACTACTATCGTCTGCAAGGATTAGGGTGTCAAGACTCCGAGCCTCGAGAGAATGCAATCGGCCAGTAACTCGCGAGCTCAATGAATCCCAACCTGGTTTAACCAGTCAACTCCGTATACCACGTCCGTCACGACTTCGATTGTTGTGACTGCGTCGCAGCCTTTTCCATCTCATCCAGATGACTTTCCACTTCATCTAGTTGTCTCCGCTGGCTTGCCAGCTTTTCTCTGATTTTCCGGATACTACACGGCAACATCGTCAGTTCCCTGGTTCAGAAGCTCTTGCTGCCTCAGGGCCGAATTTTGAAGCAACTTACTTCTCCATCTCGTGCTGCTTGAAGTACATGTTCTCCAGCACTTGTTCGCGGCGATTAAAACTGTCACTACATATCGTGTGCTCGTCAGCAAGATGTCCGGGCGCCTCCTTGGGGCGGCCGGGGAGACCTTACCTGGCCGCTGTACCGCCTTGCCGTACTGCGCCAGTGTCGCCTGCACTCAAGAATGGTCTCGAGGTCACAAATGTTTGAGCTTGAGACTGACAGAACTGCGGCGTCCTGATCCGGGTGGCGCAGATCCTGGGCATCTTGGTTCGCAACATGTTGATGATGGTGATTCGGCGATTCTATCGCTGAGTTGGTGTCTTTGATACAATCAGGTATGGTTTGTATTTATGTTCTGACGTGTGAGGGAAGTAAAAAAATGTAAAACGTTAGCCAGAGGCCGCACAGCTGAAGTGCAGATATAGTTGGGGGGCCACGCTACGAGATACATTGTTGCGTTCCTGCTCCACTGCATGTTATGAGATGAGCTGAGTTGAGGTGTGACTGACTGACTGACGGACTGACTGATGCAGTCGTATGATGAGGCAGATCTCGAGATGAGGCAGCTGCAGCATCGCCCGCAGCTCGGTGGTTCCAGACGCTCCTGCCACGGGTGAGGGATTTGCTGGGACCTTTTCAGGGGTTGGAGCCTTTCCGACTGGCTTCGATGAAGTGGGGCTCGTGGACGCTCCTCTGCCAATGATTGACACGGCCGCCCAGGGGACCCACCCCCGGAACATGCAGGCCGGATAGATACGAGCACGCAACATCACACCACGGAACATCACCTTGTCACTCTTCCCTGGGTACAGGCACCGTCTTCACGTGATGGGCTGAGCCTTGAGGGTAGATGCCGCAGCACCGTGTACGGGTTGTGTAGCGATGCGGCCACCCTAACCTTGCGACTTAATGTCTCCTGATGGCGAGAATAGGAGGAACCAGTGACCACCTGCACAATGCCTCGCCTCACGACGAGTATTCTTGTCGCTTCCGAGCGGGACGATAAGGGGAACGACCTCCATCTAGCTCAAGCACATGATGCACCCGGAAAGGCATTCAAGCGAAGTCGGTCAAAGCCACGCCCACAACACAAATACTGGGAATCGGCCAAATGCTCCAGCCTCCGTCTCTGGGAAACGTTCTCGAAAACACCACAGCAAAGATCTGCACTGATTAACCTCTCACTGACCACCTTTCTGATCCAAAACAAAAATCCCTTCCCAACCATCACCACTAACAACCACTCCGGTATCGACTTCGACCTCCAACAATCGAGATGGCAGGCTGGTTCTACATCACCTCCGACATGGACCCGTACCCCAAGATGCACATCCCGCACACATACCCCGAAAAGGGCAGCCACCATCTCGGGTGCCACCACATCTCGACAATCCCCTACATGGCGCACAACCTGTACTCCAAGTTCCACGACAAGGACCTGGACGCGCACCAGCCCAAGACCGATGTCCGCGAGACGACGCGGAATTTCTACATGGAAGTCGAGCTCCCGGGGGTCAAAGACCACGCGGAACTTCGGGTTAGGTGGACCAACTCGCGCACCCTTCTCCTGACGAGCAGGACCACGAGGCCCGAGATCCCGGAGGAGGAATTGCTCGAGGAGCCCGCGCAGGGGCAGCAGAACGGTGACACCACAACCGCCGCTGTGGAGGCCAATGCCGCACCGTCGGCACCACAAGAGCAGAACCAGAACCGGAACGCACAGCCTAAGCTCTTGGCTCCGCACCTCACGATCCACGAACGGCTCATAGGCGACATGGTCCGCGCGTATAGCTTCCCTGTGGACGTCGATCGGGACGCCACGCACGCGAAACTCGACGCCGGGATCCTTAGGGTTGTTGTTCCAAAAGTGGAGCATGTGCATCCCGCTGCGCTGAAGGACGGGGAGGAGAAGCACTTCTTACATGTGCCCGTGTGGATTTCGGGTCATGGACATGGACATGACAATGAGCAGAAGGAGAAGTAGAATTGGAAGCAGGGGTAGGAGCCCAAGGACCGGTTGTCGGGCAAGAAGTTGTGTCGGCGACGGGATCTCCGGGCTGGACTGTACTTGATTGTGGAAACGGATGGGGGAGCACAGCGGTTTGGCCTTGTACTTGACTTGAGGACGAGGCCAGGTTACTCCGTGGGGAACGGGTGGAGTATGGTATGGCAGTAAGAGATAACATAGGAAAATGGGACGGTGAGATACTTTGCGACTACTTAGTGTGTAATAAAAATGATTTGTGTATCAGAGTTGAGCCTGCTTTTAGAACGTGAGGGTAGGCGCGTCCCCAAGACTGACCTCCATTACATCACATCCTCACAAAGTCTGCGCGGATAGTATGAATGCGTCTCATGCGAAGGCTTCGTTGGGTGTGTATGAAAATACTGGCACGCAAAATGCATGTCATGCAGTTGTGAGTGGAAGAATTTTCGTCAAGCAGTGATAACAATGATACAGAACCTGCCCAACGTAATACACTGTCCTCAATGCTATGCTATCTCCCCAGTATAGCAGACCATGCGCCAATCTTTGGTACGCACCATAATAAGTATCGTCAGCACACCCACACCGCACAAGGCGAGGCATGGAGAGCTTCACTCGTAGAAAGCATCACTCCAGACCTCCTCCTCAATGACATCCTCCTCTTCGGCCCCTTCATCACGGTCCACCCACTCGTGCTGCGCGAGGCTCTCGTTCTCGGGCCACCAATTCATCGACTCTGAACTGTGCGACGAATGCGAGTGCCTCTTCTCTCTTCTGTGTGCATCTTTGTGCGCCTCGTGTTCATGGTGGACCTTGACGGGGGTGACTTCCACGAAGCTGGGTCTCCGTTCCCGTTTCGCTTCTTCAGATGCTTCTGGAATCGGTGATCGTGCACCACTGGGCGGGTACGTCGCGCTGAAATACTCCTTCTGGAACTTCAATCCCTCGGCGGGTGCGACTGGGGGAGGAGTCGTGCCTGTGTTGAATGTCTCGGCCGGTCGAGTCTTGACGTTTTTGACGCTCGGTGCAGCGGCTCGGTCAGCGGCGGCTTTTGGCGCCAGGGGAAGAAACTCGGCCGTGAGCGGCGGTGCCAAGTACAGGAAGTCGCTGTAGTCTGTTTCATTGTAGTCGGAGACAAAGGCGTGGTCTTTGACTACTTCTGCGGCGGCGGCCTTTTCCTGTTGGGCAGAAATGGGGGACTGGCAATGAGGCATCAGTATGGATGGGTTGAGGGAGGAGCAAGTAGCCTAGAAGGTGTGGGTTGATGGCTTACGGGGACTGGCTTGCACAGCATTTTGCTTTTCACGGTTGATGTTTTGAATCGTGATATTGGTCAGGTTGTTTTAGTTGATGTGAGTAATTATGAGATAAATGGATGGTAACCTTGGACACACCGAGCCATGCAGCTGTTTTATGTTGATTTCCTCCATGACCGTGATCGGTCGCAAAGTGTATACACCTCATCCGAGCAGCATTGGGGGTTCTGCTCATACGAGTAAGAGACTGAGTCAGCCAGTTGTCGTCCATCTCAGGTTACCGGAAATCGCCGTATCGTGTGCATGGCGTACAGGAATGACTGCGTGGCGTGATGCGAGCGCGGAAAATGCTCATCTAGACCTCCCGACTCCCTACAAACGACCTGCATGTACCGGTCGATCGCTCTTAGCCGTATTCATGCTGCGTAATTTGTTGCGTCGCACGACATATCACCCGACTCTTCTGGTGAGCGATCCCTGCATGAGCTTTCTTTGACTCCACCGACCGTGTCCACGATTGTCCGTCCCTCCTCCTTCGCGTTCTGCATGTCTTCTGTGCGCCATATGTGCTACCCGCCCCGGACACGGCGAGACTCGCTCTCTGGACTCAGCGTCGGACAGTCCTTTGGCACCCGGACCCGAAACCGTGTCCCCGCATTTCACATGCAGACGGTTGTAATCACATTCATTGTGGCTAATGGAACCCGGGACGCCTAGAGCCTCCTCGGCACCACCGATGGAATGAGACCCGACAATGGTTCAGGCTACTGGCCCGTCACCGGCAGGGCACGCGACATCAAAGACATTATTCTGACACATTCGGATGGGGTCCCGAGGACGGCATGGGTCTCAACATGGGGTGACCGATCGCCCACCGTGTCCAGCCACACCAGCCCTTCCAATCATGCTGGCCAGATGGACGGTACCCAACTCCCCTAGCATCCTTCCGCGAGCGTGGTCCCGAGTGCATTCTACCACCATCCACTGTCAACTAACCAGGTCAGTGATGACTGGACAGCTGGATGAGGAGTATAATCGGTGTTCCACTATGTCCCGGTAAGAGCCATCCTCCCCTCCATATATAACAATGTCGAGCAGCACTGGACACGGGTAAGTTGCAACAAGCGACTCAAACAATGCAATACACCAGATATCAAAACATGTATGAAATACCGATCATAGTCAGCACTCCAGACTGCCACCCTGTGCCAGAGGAAGGCAATCAACAACGGCACAACAGTCAAGGCCACAGCGCCGTGGCGTCCAGGCCAAACGTACCAGAGCCGAATCCCACCACTTCCCCAGAATACCATCACGGCCAACCGTTGACCACGTCATTGGTCTCCGAAGGCACCCAGACAGATCCAGTAGACGAGATTTCCGTCGGCAGTGACTCGCCCACACATTCTCATGCTGACTCTCCATCCACCAGAACACCCTTCGGGGCATGGACTGACCGCTTCTATCACCAACACATATTGGGCCATCGCCCAGGCAATACCACCACGGCAGAGTCATTGCTTGCTCCTCCTGAGTTGGATGTCCCCAACCGCCCAATGACACCGAGGGCAGATCTATACAATGGCCAAACATCAGCCAATTTTGGAATGACCTTTGGCCCTCGACCGGCTCCCCGTTGGAGGGGTTGCTCGAAGCCGATGGCATCTCCCAACAGCTATGAAGACCAGAAACATCGGATGATGATGAACTGGCTGGAGAGGAGAGGGACAGTGTAACACCATGGGTAGTCACGAAGCGGAGCTGGGCCCCACTCATGCCTGCCGGAGTGCCCTACCTACTGTGCTACCAAACTTCCCGCCCTCACGCAAAGGCAGGTCTCACCTGCTTCAGATTGTACTTTAACTTGACGACAAATTGAGAATGGACCCAAGCACTTTCTTACCTGCTTGGCCAAGCTTTACTCGTCAGATGGCATAACAAGGAAAAGGTTGGGACAGTATTGTCGCAGGCACATTGGCGTATCATGTTTAATGAGAAGGCTTGATAACAAATGTATATATACTCAGCAGGGTACTTCTTCTGCCTCTTGTTCTCCCGTAACCATCGGCCAGTTTGTACCACAAAACGATGTCCATACGTGATACTCCAGCTCACGAGCACTGGAACCTGGCACTCTGTTTTCACTCCAGTATGATTGCAACAGCCTACGTGGTAGTACTGTAACTACATGGCTTCTTTCCTTCCTTCGGTCCCTTCGCCCAACCACAACCATAAATATGTACGGTTCCTCCTCCACCCCACCACAACCATAAATCCGTACAGTACTGACAGACTGACAGGTCCTAAAAGATGGCAACGCCATTGACCGGACTGGCCACCCCGCCCGGCACATAACAAGGCACACTGGCCACAAAGAAACTCCACCTCCCCTGCCTCTTGCACTCGTCGCTCAACTTTTCCAGATCCATCAGCTCGCCAATATTGCACCCCCACCCGGCCAACAACACCTCATGCATACTCCAGTCATAAGGGGTCGGCCAGCGCTCAAAGCTCGGGTGATCGCTCGCGACCGCCGAAAAGTGGTTCCAGATCCACTCGAGCACCTCGTCCGACTGTTCCACGCCGCCCAGGCCGGGCGGAGACATGGACGTGAGCCGCTGGACCTCGGCCTCCCCCTCCGGCGAGGCGACCATGTCGCGATAACTCTTGAAAAATCCGGACCTCACAATCAGGATGTCGCCGAACCGCGGCGTGGTCCCATTTTGCCACTTGAGCACGTCTTGGATCCAACTGTACTTGATGGCCGACGTGTGGAACTGGCGGAACTGGTCGCCCACGATATCCTTGCCGGGCCCTTCCTCCATCCACCGGCGGAAGTCGACGAGGATGCCCCGCCCCATGACGCCCCCGCGCTCCACGGCCTTGTGGATGCCCAGGATGTTGGGGTTCTGCGCGCCCTTGGCCGATGTGCCCGCGATGTCCTCGACCGTGGTGTCGTTGTAGAACCGCCCGGCCTTTTGGTACCCGAAGTGCCGCAGGCCGTCCCACTGGGTCGAGGACTGCGTGTTGAAGGCCCACGTGTCGTCGTGCACGATGCGCGGCTTCTTCTGGTACACGTCCTTGATGAAGACCTGGCGGCCGAAGAGGGGTTTCTGGCCTTGAAAGTCGAGAGGCGCGTCCAGGGGCACGCGCACGCCCGTCTTGATCTCCGAGGATGCGGCCGCGGCGACGGTCTCGGGCGTTTGGCGGTTGAGGAAGCCCAGCTCGTCCGTGTCGCCGTGGGCGCCCCACGCGTTGAGCCGCGCCGCGGCGAAGGACTTGTTGAGCGGCAGGGAGGAGAAGGGGACAGGAGGGCCGGCCATGGTTTCTAACAACGAGAGGGTGAGAAGATAAGACGCTGTCCACTGTCCGCGCGCTATGTGGCAGATGGAAGTTTGTAGTCAACGTAGTACTAGTAGTGGTGAACGACCGGTGAGAAATGTCACGTCCCACATCTACCTACCGTCGCATCTGAGGGTATATCAGCAGTTTATTGGAGATACGCGCTCTTGTCTGTCGTCTCCATCTACGGCGGCTGTCCGAGGAAGCAGTCAAGCTCGGCATAATATCGACACAAGTGAGGGGAATTGAATTACCTTTGGAAAAATCGTAAACAAACGGGTGCTAGGAGGTGAGGGGTTGATGGTGTCGTCGGTGGCCAGAAGCCGACGGATCGGCCTTGTTGCGGGCCCGATTGCCGAGGGTGAGAACTGGAACGAGTTAACAGGAGTGCACGAAAGGTAACGAGCATTAGTCGATTTTTGATACTGTCTCCAGCCCGCGTCAAATGACCGCAACGAGCAGCCCTGGATTCGAGTGTCCCGACGAATGCTGAACGCCATATAGTACGGAATACGTGTCCACCAATTCCATCCCAATGCAGCCAAGCCTGATGCATGCCGTCGACTTTAAAAGCGTAGACACACACCTCGCTCTATTCGAGGAGCAAGTAGCTGCGTGCCGAACCACTGTTGGCGAAGATTATCTGTACAACATCTTGTGTTGATAAAGTAACGGAAGGTCCCCTCCAAGAAGAATCGTGTATCTGCCTCCAGTCCTCAAGGAATTCAGTATCGCCCAAAACCCCGAATACCCAACTCTCGACATCTTCATTTCTCACCTCCCTTCGTGCACCGGAGTGAAATCTCAAGCGTGTCCATTCACGCCGTTGACCTGCGGCTGAGGAACTCCGGCCACGACGCTGAACTGGCTGCCAGCTCCAGCCCAGAGCAGCTTCTTATCCCTGACTGCCGTGTTGTCAATCATAGTTGCCAGCTCAACATCGTCATCGACGCCTTGTCCAGTCTGATAGGTGGTGCTGAATCCCCATGACCATGCCTTGCCGTTCTTGTCGATAGCAATGCAATGATCGGATCCAGCTGCGGCCGTGACGGCCTGGATATTGGGAACTTGTGTTGGCACGACCAGGATTCGAGGAAGGCCGGCTGAATCCCGCACAATGTCGTCCTCTCGGAGTTCTTTGACCTTGAGGCCCGACTGATTACCATCGATCCTTCCCCAGACGAGTAGCTCGTTCTTGTCGGTGACAGCCACCGTGTGGTGCGAACCTCCTTGAATACAAGTCACTTTTCCTTTTCCGCTGAGCGTTTTGACGATAATAGGCATATGTACGTCGTTGCCCTTGCTGTTCCCACTATCATCAAACTCTTTGGGGACGCCTGTCTGGCCAAAATTGTTCAAGCCCCACGAATATACCTCTCCGGTTTGTTTCACAGCGAAGGAATTGTAAGCTCCAGCACCGACGTAATCGACTTTCTTGAGCGTGCCGATAGCCATTGGCACCAAGCTGTTGGTTGCTCTTCTCTCCAATATCCTTCTGCCAAGCTGGTTCTGCTGTCCTGAGCCCCAGCAAAAGACAGCGCCGTTACTCTGCAGCGCTAGGACATGGTTGGCTCCTGTTGCCAGTTGAACAATCTTGCTGAGGCCACTGATCAATTTTGGTCGCAGTTGAATCAATGTGGTAGGATCAAATCCGAAAATGCCTTCGTTTGAGCGGAAAGTTCCCCATCCGTAGACTTCACCGGTGGTTGTTAGAGCGAACGTAGCACTGTCGGTGCAGGCAACCTGAGTGAACACAACATTTTCAGGCACGCCAGACAAGTCGACTTCGCCTGGAGTAGACTCTCTAGGATTGACAGCCGTCTCTGAACCAGAGTCAGAGTCCGAGTCACTGCCTTCGTCCTCATCCATGTCTCTAAGACCGCCTTCCCACGCGGTGTCTCGGCCTAACGCGCCCTGGTCATTGACGCCCCATGTCAAAATCTTGTTGTCATGAGTCAAGGCCGCTGTGTGCATCCCACCCACGGATAGCGCCACGACACCGACATCAGGACCTAGGTTGGGATTGTAACGCGGTCTCTTGACTTCTGTCTGACCTTTGGCGCTTCCCAGGCCGAGTTCACCCGATGACCCCTCTCCAAAAACGAAAACACTCAGTTTCTGAGTAGGAGGGTGATTGATCTCGGCCTTCGCTGCCTTGGACTTCTTAGCAGCAGTGGTCTTTGCTGGTGCAGCAGCTTCGCGTTTGGGCGGCTCGGCTTCTTTGACTTCAGGTGCAGGCTTCGTGGCAACTTTGGGTCTTTTCACGCCGTTGACATGAGGTTCATCCTCAACATGGTCTTCAGCCTTCCGCTTCGTGGTCTTCTTTGCAGGGGCGACCGATGCTTCTGGCACAGCTTTAGCAGCCTTGGGAGATGCCAATGCCTTTGTAGCAGCTTTAGGCGATTCCTCTTCTTGCACACTTGCACGTCTCTTCCGCGGTGGCTCGGGAGTCGTCTTCTTGGTGTCTTTTGCTTTGGCAGTCTTTGCCTTTGTCGCAGCCGCGGGCGCAGCCTTTCGGGTACGAGTGGACATTCTGGGTGGAGATATGTGACGCGACAGATGCTTCGGGCCACTTGTGGATCGGAGACGACTCGAGTACCGGGTGTGGCTTAGAAGCAAGACAGTGCTGAGTGCGACTTGACGGAGAAGTAGTCTGTGAAAGTGAAAACCCCAGACTCAGAAGCAGGAATAGAGAAGACAGTGAAGAGGACGTGGATGATGCAACGGCTGATCAACGAACGGGGCAGCTGTCGCAGTGGCAGTGAGGCGAGCAGTCGGAGACAAAAAATGTTGTTAGCGCATGGCAGTTGTTGTGATTGGACGCGCCCCGACGCGCTATAACTGGTGCAACGGAATACCAGATGACTAAGCAGCCGATTGATCAATACCACGATAACCATTCAACCACAACTTTCAATCCATTTGTTTAAACCATTGTTTACACTATTCAAGGCTTTAAACTCGGCGTACATGCTCATCCAGCACTATGAAGAGGCGGCCGGATGTGTCCGCATAAGAACGAATGATAACGCTGAATGAGAGCTTCGTCTGTAGCGACTGGGAAGCCGCCCCTGTTGGCAACTGGTCGGATTCTCACGCTTATACACACTTGAAAGGTATCGACGCCTTTATCTCGCACACTCTGTTGCAGATGGTTTGGGAGGGACACAAAAGCTAAACGAGAGCTGGCCATTTTAGATCAGTGTTTCATGAGAATAAGTCCCCAAATCCCAAGGTGTGGAAACCAGTGGCTTCGTTACCTTTCCCTACCGATGTACTCTTGCTCAGAAGACAAAAGCAAGAGCCGAAGACCACTCCTGCACCAATCTCGCCATTTTCAGCTTCTATCAGGCGTTTGCAAGATCGTACTTGACTTCCTGGGCAAACGCGAGGACGACTTAGGAGTCCTACCGGTAAGTTCAGTCCAGACTGGTGGGTTGCTGAATCGAGCTTGTTCTTCAGCCTCTCCCTGCTGACCATTTCTCATGTATCGGCTTCAAGAATCTCAACTCTCTTCTCCCCGGAACGTGGTACCATGATCTGTGTCCAAGCTCTAGTGTCCCAACTGCTCAGATGACTGGCTTCAGCTCTCGGTTTCCTTTTGCTCGAGGGTTTGGTGCATTCTCGTTCTCCTGGATGTAGAAGCGACGCAACAACATGATAGCCTCCTTTCTGAAGATCCCTCCATAACTTGGATAGCCCTCCTCCAGACCCTTGTCAGAATTGACCGGCAGCACACTTCCATTTCCTCCGAATCGATCATTGCCACACCCGTAGTAGACACGGCGAATACCATACTGTCTCAGAGCAGAAGCACACATGATGCAGGGCTCAACCGTGACGTAGAGATCGGTCTCCTTGAGTTTGACTTGTGGGAACTTCTTGCAGAACTGAGCAATGGCGAGGAATTCGGCATGTCGAGTTCCGTTGAGAGATCGATTGGTGTCGTTCATTCCACGAGCAATCACCTCGCCCTCATACACGAGGACGCAGGCGACCGGTGTTTCTCCTTCCTTGAGGGCTTGTTCAGCGGTATCAATCGCCTGGAGCATGAATCCTTGGTGAAGTTCGAGGTTCTCCAGGACATGGGGATGGAGTTTGTCCTTGTCGTTGGTAGGCTCTGGCTTGATGCCGGCCACAGTCGCCATTTCGTCGTCTGAAGGGTCCATGTCAGCCAATGAAAGAAACTCTGACCCTTCAGGTCCAGGTATGCCCTGAAGGAACTCCATCTTGGCTACATCTTGACTCACTTGAGAGAAAGAGAAGAAAGTCGTGAAGCTGTGGACTCTAGTGATGCTTTGTCGGGGTTCGTGCGTCGCCGTAGTCGGCTTTGTTGCCCTGTAGAGGAAGTGGAGGAAGAGGATGTTGTCACGTTGCGAGGTGATCTGAGAACAAAGTAAGGAAGAAGTGAAGACACATGCGACAGGTTTGCTGCCACAGATCAATTCTGTTTGCATCGCAGCTACCCGCATCATGGGAGGCCGCAGTTTCCTGTCGGCGCTGTTGGTGCTTTGTGCTTGCACTGTCCTTGCTGCTGCTGCCGACGCAGCTGCTTCCAAACTGCCCAACTCGGTCACACTTTCCTATGAAGTGATCGGATCCTCCTCAGTGAAGCCACTGGCTACCGTCTTTTACGACCCGAGGACGTCGAAGCACACTCTGTCATCATGGACTCCTCCCTCTCTAGACTCACTCCAATCTACGACACCTGAGCCTACCTCCTCCAAGCTCCTCCGCATTCTGCTACCGAACGGCAGCTCGACGATAACGACGTTGGACACATTCAGCGACAATGTCTACAAGAAGATTGATCTCTGGATCTCTCCCGATGACGGCTCAGTCTTCTCGGCCTCCGTCTCCAGTCTCTCACCTCCACCGTTAACCCCGGAAGAGGAACGCCATAAGAAGAAAGTCGAGAGGGCCAAGGCAAAGGGGCGGCCTATACCACCTCCACCTCCAATCCCGAAGACGAAGAAAGCAAGAGAAGAAGCCGCCGCTAGAGCTGCCATGCATGAGCCTATCCGAGTAAATCTGATTGCCCCGAGTCCTGGTCCGTCGCCGGTTCTAGCAACAAGAGCTCCACCTCAGGTTGATGCCGAGGGGAGGGAAGTTCCACAAGAAGAACAACAGGAGAAGAGCTTCTTCCAGAAGTACTGGTGGGTGTTCTTGATCGCCACAATGTTGATGATGACAAGCGGAGGCGGCGAGAAATGATCTAACTAGGGATGGGGGTTTGAGCGACAGTTCCACATTCATGCTCTCCAGCGCTAGAAGGGTGTCAAAGCGGCCGCGAGACTAGCCCAAGATCTCAGAAGCGAACTGTTGTCCTCTCGTGCGGATGATCGTCCGCCCAGCTCCGCTTCAATGGGCTATCCTGAGCAGATGGCCCTATTCACAGCGCAATTGCGCCTTAGCAGGCCCATTTCCTCCATCCAGCTGGGAGACGCCCCTGCACGTCGCCGAGCTGCAAAGGCCTTGTATCGCCGGACAACAGAGTTACGCTCGAGAGGCGATAGGGACAGCATCATCGGCACTGAACCTTCACCATGACCGGTATGGCACCGCTGATTCAAGGTCCAGAGATATCGTGGCCATGTCTCATGTGGCGAAGATCTTTGCATACTCAATAGTCTCGCACCCGGAGGACAAGTGACCCTTTTATGAATGCCTTTTCCTTGCTGGGAAGTCTTCCGATGCTTTTTTCCGATTCTTCTGTCAGAGTGTACAATAGAGGCACGAGAAGACGGACGCCAAGTTCTCGGTCAAATCGATGTTGGCCTAGGAACTAAAACAGGGGCACCTGCCGTCAGTCGAGAGGACAAGATGGCGAAGTTGTGAGCTGTACGCAAGGCCCGATAAAGTCAACGCGTACTGCATCAGCACAATAAATACAGCCAGGTCATAACGCACGCTTCATTCCATTCTCTTCCATTTAGCATGCCATTCCCCTATGGTTTGACACCACATGCCCTTAGCTCGTAAAGCATTGCACACCCATGCATACGGGAGACCCAGCACCAGCCCATCCATTCACAATAAACATTCTCGAGCTTAATGGCCAGCTCACCTTACTCCGTACCTTGCATGAAATTGCACGTTCCTCATTTCACGCGTTTCATGCACCGAGGCCGTAACCCAGACCTATTGACACCAGCCAGCGCCTTTGAGTGTCAGGTTGTCGTTTCTGTTTTTGACCTTCACTCCCTTCCGCTTTCCCTCCCAGAGCCGCTGGAGTCTCATACCCATACCCAAGAGGCAAAGACTGCACTCAACGTACTCCGTACTCCGCACCGTACTCTATCCGCTCATCACTGCAAAATGTCCCTGGAAATCAGCTCGTCGCGGACCCGACCGCCTCGTCCCCACCCACTGAGATCCCAGATCTGGATGCCCCTATCGGTCATGACGACGAGCTCGTTCTCGGCGCTCCTGTAGCGTGGCTTGCGGTTACGGCCGCGTTGGCGCTTGCAGTGTTGTTGCTGCGTTTGCGGCTTTGAGCCGGGGGTTGGGGATCCCGCGGTCAGACTCAGGGATGGGATTGTCGCCAGGGTCGACTCCTCTGGTGTAGCTTCGCCCTTTGGAGTGGTTTGTCGTCCCATGTCTCGATCGGTGACCAAGGTGGTCTTGGTCAAATTCGGCGTGTCGAGGTCAACGTCAACGTCACGTTCTGACGGACGGTGGATGTGCTGGGTTTGTCCTGTGGGTTTCATGGCTGAGGAGGGCGCCGATGCCATTTCTTCAGCAGGGCTGCGTGGTGTCTGTTCGTTGAGATTCATGTCGGATCCGCTTGCGGACATCTTAACTTGTAGGCCGGCCGTCACTGGCGACGATGCTCGAGGCTGCTCCTGTGAATTGCCCGTCGCCACGTTCTCTGACGATCGAATACTGGCTTCTCTGCCCTCACCAACCGCGGTCTGTAAGGCTGGCGGATGCGGAATTTCGCTGCTCGTATTCTCCATCCCACCCGCCTGCCTGTCCTTCTCCTTCGCTTGGCCCGCTACTTCGTCGGTCGGATTATCTTCATACTCCCCTGGCTCAGGCTCCTCAACTTCATCTTCCTCATCATTGCTTCCGCCCCGGTCCTCATTGACTTGCCTCCAGCGTCCCATCCCCCAGCACATCTTACGCACAACAGCTCCGGCGTCCATTTTCAGCACTACGGGCCGAAGAAGGGCCATTGACCCGCCGAGGTTCTCGTCCTGTACGTGAGGGTAATAGTGTCTCAAATTGTCCGTTGAAGTAGATCTGTCGGAAGTGATGGAGGCTGGTGCTGGTAGAGGTGAGGGATGTGTAGGGGGGAATGAGGTTGGCTCAGCGGGAACTTCACTCGCATTACCCATTTCGCCTACTTCGCCTTCTGCCCCCACGTCTTCATCCGCTTCGACGTTCTCAAATATGCTGGCCATACTGCCCTCTTCATCCTCTACAACGTCAACTTCATGGCCAGGTTCGTCGTTGCCGCTCGCATGGCTTCCGTTGTCCCAGTCCATGTCATCGCTGCCATTTCGGTCATCCCAGACTTCCTCGCAAAGCGCTTCTGGGTTCAATGCATAAATGAGCACCTTGTCCCATTGCGCAATTGCGATTCTTTCGCCCATAGGCGACACCTTGACAGTCTCTGACCCCGTCATTGACGTGGCTTGCGCATTCCATCCCCAGAGGCGCGCCACAACGCGGACATCTGTGCCCTCTGCAGCGCCGTGGTCTATATCAAAGTCAGAGTCAGAATGGATTTCTACCTCGTGTTCCGAACGTTCGACAGTCTCATTTTCACCGGCTCCATCATCTGCCATGAAGTCTGGCACTGAGGTGACACTAATGTCCATATCCTGTGCTGCATTTGGATCGGTGACAGTTCTGCGGCTTCGTGGCTCCCTAGGTGGACGAGGCAAGCCTAGAGGTAAGTCGTCTTTGTAGTCAATATGTAAGCAGTCGTCTACATTCTTGCGCAGGCGAACTTGTACTATGGTGAGCACTTTTGGACCCGTGGCAGTATTGTTTCCTTGGCAAGCCGGCATATTAGAAGGATGGATCCGCGCAAGGCCCAAGCAAAGCATGTTTGTAACACAATCGGATTCAGCACTGAGATTGAATCCGTCCAGGTCGTGCAACCTAGGACCGGGTTGCACACCTTGATGGTGCTTGAAAAAGAACGATGTAGATAGGGTGAAATGCTGTCCGTGTATCCATGTATGATTCATCTTGCTTACCCGACGACAGAGGCTCCGAGGCAACTGTGTGCCACCTATGCTGGGGCCCCAAGGCGTTGCCCAGAAAGGAAGAAGGCGAGCCCGAACTGGATCGTTTGCCACTAGCGTTGTAAATGGTGTGGTTGAGCCAGGGGCGTAGAGCGACAAAAGGCGACCATCCTTGAAGAATGAGATCGAGCGTGGCTTCAGGGGATGGTGGAGGAAGCGCAGGTCCACATCAGTGTCACGGGTACGCCCGCCGTCATTGCTTGGTTGATGATTCTGCGTGTAAGTGTATTGTTTAGTGTCGCTGCTGTCTTGCGCACCATCGTCGGAGTCTGAATCATCGCAGGTGATCTCCCTGTCTCCAACTTTTATCCCTGGCCGACGATTTGGAGCGGGGTGATCGAACGGATAGATGACCCATACATCGTAGTTGCTAAGCTCATTAAGGGGAAGGTGCTCACCCCGGTAGAGACAAACCGTAGCATTACTTGTTGGGCAAATCGTATCAGGCAGGTCCCACAGAATTGCACATTGCAAACGGTTGTGGACTGCAAGGTGCACAGGCACAAGATGAAGGCCGTTCAATGACTTGTGGGTCGGGATGTGAAAGAAGAGTGGCTTATCGCTTCGGTACAGGTCGTAATGAAGGAGATGGTAGCGGACCCGGGGAGTTGGCAGGGGAGGAGTCTTCGCGGCGCCACGCGTGGCTCTATAACGGAGGCCGTCCCGATGATCACATGCTCCTCCGTGAGGGTCGGCGAATTGCTTACTTGGGATGTTTGGCTCAAGATGGTACATGCTTTCAGCTGGATCCTTCTCGGGCGGTTCCCAAGCATACAAGACTGAGACATAGTAGGTTTTCTGCACGGCTTGGATGATCTTCGCGCGGCCGTCAGCGTAGGGAGAATCGATAGTGGGGCCATATAGGGGATTACTATGCAAATTGAGTTTGATTCGTAGACTGTTCTTGAAAATTACACAGCTATCGCCATCCGTTGTGAAGCATGAAGCTCGTGGGTCGAAGATGACATGACTCCTGGACGAGGGTTCCAGATTGCGACATTCGGCTGTGAAGTTGGCGCCATAAAGATTCGCAGTAGCCCGCTGGCGAAAAATGAGATAGAGGTCGCTGGTCGAAACCGACTGGTCGTCTAATCCGAGCTTTCTGCCTGGCACATACCTCAAGTGGTGCAGGATGAGTTCTCTACTTTCGGATGCTACTTCGAAGAACTTATGGTTGACTTGGATCAGTTGAAAGAATGTCGTGGCGGTCGTGAAGTAGAAAATGTGCTGAAGGATCTCTGATGGAAACGACCCGAGCGTCGCAGGGCACGAGGCCAGCAGATGGTCCCTCATTGTTCATGTCGTGGTTGACTGACTTCAACAGCGTCAAGGGTACATCGATATCTAACTGTTGATGGTAGTATCTTATCTGCAACGTGAATTTGGTACGGCTGCACCTCAGTGTGCATGATACGGCTGAGAGAGAGACAGCTGTTGTTCAGCCTGCTCGCATGGAATTGAACAATGAGAAACAGGGCCGCCGTTGCCTACAGGAGCCTTTGCTGCCTTCTACTGGCACGGTCAAGCGGTGAGGCCCCAGATACTGCCGACTGCAGTGCGACGACTTTTCGCACTCGTCGCCGCCGCAGGGACCATGGCGGTAGACCAGAGAGATGAGTTGATGGCCGGAGCAATTCGATAGATGCATTGCCAGGTGGCAGGTCAAGTACTTAGGTCACGCTGTCCGGTGGGTATTTGAGTCTGGTCACGTGCACCGAGCTTAGATCACGTGATAAGTATGCCCCTTCCGGCCCTTCCGGCCCTTCCGGCCCTTCGCAGTGTTCCTCTGTAGGCAGTTTCCTCCTGCACAATTCATGCCCGAAATGAAGCCAAAAAGTCCTACAGGTAACGGACCGAGAGGCTTGCGATGACCGGTGGCAGCCGGCGACTATGAGCCTGACAACCCGAACCCAATCTTAGCCAGACTGTTGGCACCACTTTTCAAATCCTGACCAGAGGGATAGAGGCACAAGGCCGCAATAGAGGGAAAGATGGGCCCAGAGGATGGAAAGCAAGGAGAGAACAGGTAATAGGCCAAAGAATAGGTGTCGCTTCGATTGCACCCTCTATAAGACTAGGTCTGCAACCTCGTCCACAGCCGAAGATTAGGTGCTTCAGACTCCCAGCAACTCCTCGCTAGAAATGCAGCGTAAAGTAACTCATGTTTCGATCTCAACTCTCGCGAGTCGCCCAGCCCAGCGCTCGTCCCGTGACGGTACATCGGCAGTAACTCCCACCCTCGCGCCAATGCACGAAGGCGACCCTCGTAAGTGTTCGGCAAAGATCTTCCCTGGTGGAGGAAGAAGAAACGACTCAGGCGAAGCATTCCTCGTACTTCTTGCTGTGTTTGTTGGATGCGTGATCTTCGAGACCCTTCCGCGCCGAGGTGCTCTGGAAGGTGGCGAAGCAAACCTTGCACTTGATACTTTGTGCCTTTGCATTCTAGACAAGAGAAAGCAGTGTCAGCGAGCGATCCGATTGACAACGAAAACGGTACTGGTTCTTCGGAGGACAGGAAAACCAAAAGCCGAAACAAGAGGGGAGCCTGGCCCTGTGGTCGTGGCGTGATTGTGAGATGCCCAAGTTCACCGCCCTCCAGGATTGGAAGACCATAAAGCGCGAGCCTAACGCCACCACACAGGCCCTCTAGGAATAAGACATAGCCACAAAAGGACGAACGCGACAGCGCCGGTTTGACGGTCTGTGCGAGGAATGGACGAACCACGTCTCGTCACCCTCTACTCAGCAGAACGACTAGAAGTCAAGCGCCATATCTTTTCAGCAGGCCCAGTGGAGAATCCACTACACGGGCCAAGGGAAATAGGAAAGAAAGTCTTGATAGAGAGGAGTGGAAAAGGCAGTTGAACACGTACCGATTTCAATTGACTTTGGGGGTCCTTCTTCGCATCCTTCGCGGCTCGCTCACGTTTCTGCGCAGCTTTGGCTCCGTTGCCGCCACCCATTTTGACGGTGAATATCAAGCACGATTTGGAAAGGAAAGGATAGAAAGGTGAGCACAGGAAGTTGTCGGCCTGACGGATGGTGTCGCAAGTGCACGGGGATTCCTGAAATTGGATCGGGCGCGAGTGTGAAAGGAGCGAGCGAAGAGAAATTTAGAAGAGGACAGGATGAGGCTGACATGAAAGGAACAGTGGCAAGGACATGGGCGGTCAGAAGATAAATTTGGCAGGCAGCTTGGAAAAATTACAGGTCGAGACCGCATCGGCGGCAGCGGTGGATCCGGAAGCGGAAAAACTTTCTTACGAGGCATCGCTTTTGCCGCTGTACGGAGTACTTGTGCATCATTGGTAGGTACGTACCCGTACTCCGTACCTGAGTGGAAATTGAGCGGCAACGTCCTTCAAAATATTCATGTCCAAGATCTATCCTCGCAGCCACCAGAGTGGAGACCCCTATAAACCGAGAGACATCATATGTGCACCATGACTCTGGTCTTGAGGGAATCAACAATGCGATCATCCTAGATCGCACACAAACCTGCTCATGTCGAGATGCGATTGAACTGCAACCCGGTGCTGATGTCTCCAAACTTTGCATGCCAAATATCCTTCAGGTAAGTGCTCCGCGGCAACCATGGGCCTCGATCACCACCCTTTGGTAGTGTATTCGCCTCCTGAGCAGCCTTGATGTAAGAGCTATTCAGATTCAACAGCGGCACCTCCATCACACCTTCCTTCTCATTCAAACGTGGGACCATGCTGCTCATACCCTTGGCTTTCATCTGTTTGAGCAGGCGAACCCACAATTGCGCGGTGGCGTCGGCACCAAGTGTCCAACTGGCATTTGTGTAGCCAAAGATGAATGTAAAGTTGGGTAGGTCCTGGAGTAAAGCGCCCCGCCAGATGTACTTTTGGTTCATTCCGTAGGGTTCGCCATCGACCGTGACGGTCGCACCACCGCCGAATTGGATCTTCAGACCGGTGGCTGTGATGATGATATCTGCGTCGATCGTCTTCCCTGAAGAGAGCGTGATTTGGTTGCCGGAGATGTCTTGAATCGTGTCCGTTACGACGTCAGAATTGCCTTTGCGCAGAGCTGCAAAGAAGTCCCCACCTGCAAGAGCACAGTCAGCTGAAATTCATCCTCAGGCTCAGGCAATCAAGTTTACCAGGAGTGATGCACATTCTTTGTTCCCAAGGGTTATACTTGGGGACGAAATGCGGCTCGAACGGGATATGCTCAGGCAACTGCTTCTCTGTTTCTTGGCGGAGGATCGAGATACCCTTCTTGGGGAACAGACGACAGAACTGGAAAAATAAAAAGCCCACAAGGAGGAATCTGAGCCGGATAAGTTGATATGCCCACTTCTCGGGGAAGATTCGCTTGATCATGCCGTCGATGGGTTCCGTGAGGGGCACAGTCAGGAAGTAGCCCGGTGATCGTTGCAGCATGGTGATATGCTTGGCTTTATCGGCCATGGCGGGGAGGAGAGTCACAGCGGTGGCGCCACTGCCAATGATGACGACTTTCTTGTCCGTATAGTCAAGTTCTTCTGGCCAGAACTGCGGGTGCACCACGGTTCCTCGGAACTTGTCAATGCCAGGGATTTGCGTGTTCAGGCCTTGCGTATAGTCATAATAGCCGGTCCCGAGCAGGATAAAGCGCGAGTAGAATTTCCTCTTCTCCACGCCATTCACGGTGACATCGAGTTCCCAATGTTGATTCTCGGTTGACCAATTCATGCTTTCGACCTTGTGATGGTACTTGACGTGGCTGTCGATCCCGTGTTTCGCGGCGGTGCCCTGCACATAACGCAGAATCGACGCGGCGTCGGCGATGGAACGATCTTCCTTCCACGGATCCCAGGGGAAACCGAAAGTGTGAAGATCCGAGTCGGACCTGATACCGGGATATTTGAACAGACTCCAAGTGCCACCGATTTCCCCGCGCCCTTCGAGAATGGCATATGAGTAGTCAGGTATGCCTTCCTGGAGGCGGAAGGCAGAGTTGATGCCAGAAATCCCCGCGCCGATAATGATGACGTCGAAGCTGTTGTTGGCGGCGATCATCTTGATCAGTATATGTGTGTATGCCGCTGATATCGGAGATGGTTTCGAGGACGAAGGGAGACGGTGAAGAAAAAGTCGTCGAGAAGGAATATGAGTATCCCTTTCGCACGCCGAGATAACCAGGCGTGCCAGGGCAGGTCAAGGATTCGCCTAGGAAAGTTACCGGGTAAGCAGCTATAGCAGATCTGGGTGGCACTCCGCGGCGCCACCAAAACCTGAGCTTTTATCGACTCGTACTGTAGCTCGTACTCGATGAAACGTCAGATCCGGGCCAGGGCTCAGAGCCCAGTGCCCAGTGCCCAGTCGGCCTGAAACCTGTCCGGTCGAAGGCGGAGGATCCTCTTGTACCTCGGCTGGGAAGCAGACAAGAGTCGTGGGACACTGCAACTCTGACTCAAGGGTCGGGAAGTGGCTCCAAATTCGTCGAAGTCACCACAAAAACATACCGCATTTTCTCTGCCCATGATACGAGCCTTTCACATGTGCCGTGAGTTCGCTGTGGTCAACCCCGCACCCCCCGTACTCCGTACGAGTACGCGCACATGGATGAGTTAGGTCCCACAGCTACGGCCATAGCAGGTATACCGTGTTTGTGGGGGAACGAGTATCGGCATCGAGTTGCAAGGGCAACCAACGGCCCACAACCAGATGACAGGAAACCGAGGTCCACAAGGCAAACCTCTCATACCAAATATGCAGGCCCTTCCTGCTCCCTGTCGATCGTAGAGACCACTGACAGTGTACGAGATACGTTTCGGAGTCAGAGACTAAAGTGGACTCGACCGCGCCTATCGTCAGCATCAGCATACGAGATACGAACGTGATGAAGATATCACGCGACGAGATTCTGCACAAGTTCCTTCGGTCGAAATTCGTCCTTTACTGTCTGTTCTTGTCGGTCGTGTCTAGGAAACATCCCCCAGATATCACTCCCTAACTGCATTCCCGCTCTCATCCACCAGATGGTGCTCCACTTTCTCTGGCCCTCCGCCCACGGCGGTACAAATCACACGACTCACACCACTCTTTAACGTCATCAGTGTCTTCTGCTCCAAACTCCCAAACTCGTTCGGTCGAATTGTCTCGCCGAATTGCCCTTCCCAGCCCGAGACCCTAGGTAGGATGTTCTTGAATACACCTGCCACTTGATGAGTGTGTTCTTCCAGGTAGTAGATGACTGCGTTAGGCCCGGCGTCGAATGTGTAGGCTGCAATCAATTTGCCTGCTTTGCGGTTTGCTGTCTCGACTGCGTTCATGGCTGCGCGAGAGACGTCGTTTAGGTAGTGAATGGGTGGCCACGAGTCCAGGCAGATGGCATGGAAGGAATTCGAGTCCTGCATCGTGATGCGGGCGAAAGTCTCAAAATCGCGCTCATGGATGGCCTTTTCGATCTCTTGCATCCTCTTTGGAACAATGTCTTTGAACCGGGCGGGTGCGAGCGTGGACGTCTCGACGGTGGTTTGCATGCCCGCTGTGGACGGCACGCCTTTCTTTTCGGCGCTGACGACCAGGATCAGAGCTCTCATCTCCGGCCAGTGTGAGACGGGGGCCACCTCTTGGGCCAAGCTGTCACTGCCATCCTCTTTCGTGCCTGCACGCCAAGCCACGTATCCACCCATAAGACTCCTGCACGCTGAACCGGAGCCTTGCCTTGCGATCAGTGACAGGTCCTGGGGAGACTGCGGTAACTCGTAAAGATCGGCGATGGCTCTGACCAGCGCAGCGAAACCAGCAGCCGACGAAGCCAGGCCCGCGGCCGTAGGGAAGTTGTTCGCAGAGACCAGCCGTAGGGTCATTTTCGAGAGCTTCGGCAGAGAACCATCACGGGATTCCAGCTGCTCTCGTAGCGATCGGAGGTGTTTCAGGCATGCCTGGGTTCTCTTGGAGGATTGGATATCCTCCTTTTCTCCATTGAGGATGAGCGAGTCGGCACCGGAGTAGGAATCGGAGCATGAAGCGGTTGTATGTGTCCGTAACGACTTCTGAGATAGTGTCACGGAGAGCGACGAATTCGTGGGAAGATTCAGCGTTGTGTCACGTTTACCCCAGTACCTGGACTGCTCGTTAGCCTGTGCCCACAGATTGTGGAACAGACAATGGCGTACCTACTTGATGACAGCGATGTTGACAGGCGCAGTTGTGCTGGCCCGGTACACGGGCGACGAACCAGACATTGTTGGCTCTGGTACTCGGACGGAGCGAGATTTGATTTCACTTCACCGCAACTGAGAACAAAGTGGTGGAGGTCTGATGTGGGCCTCGACATTGTGCTGGCGTCCCCGCATCTGTCCTGTCTATCATGCTCGCTACATCTCCCAAAATAATTGTGGCGTCGACAACGTTTCTCTCCCTCTACGGAGTAGATATTTCGTAAACCCACCACAGCTCCGGCAATAAGTCACAACATGGGCTGGTGGAAAGCAGACCCTACACCGGAACCTCCTCAACTTCCACAATCACTCTCACACTCACAATCACAACAAACTGCCGCCCTCATCCCGCCGCATCCCATCCCCGCGCACCCCAGTACAAGTACAGGTACAAGCACAAGCACAGACCCAGCCGCAGCTTCCGCCTGCCCAATCGACCCCAGTACGCGAGCAATATGGCTCCAGCAAGCCCAGAAAGTGCAACAGCAACAGGCAAAGAGATCGCCATCGTCATCGCCCTCGCCAGGACAAATACCAGGCCAGCCTGACCTCCCAGCCCGAACCTCACCACCGTCGCCACCACCGGCACCATCGCCTTCCCCTTCCCTCCGCGATATCACCACGACCAGCGCATCAGTCGAATGCTCCTCCGACCGAATCGACCAATACCCCACTGCCGCCTCCCAGTCCGCGTCAGCATACAGCCCCTCCCGCCCCCTCTCTCACGACCGCGTCGTCTCCTCCATCCCACGAGCCACAACAACGGGGACCTTCACCACGCCCGCAAACTCCGAGACCGAAACAGGCCCTCACCCGTCCGGCAACTGGATCTACCCGTCCGAATCGCAATTCTTCCACGCGGTGATGCGCAAGCAAACTCTATCGACCTCGTCCCCGGAAACCCTCGCCTCGAGTATAAGCAGCATCATCCCGATCCACAACGCGGTCAACGAGCGCGCGTGGACACTCATCAAGGAATGGGAGGTGCCGGCCACGGAGGCCACGCGGACCAAATCGTGCGCGGGTCCCAAATTGCTGAAATTTCAAGGGTTGGGCGCTGGGCCGCAGAGTCCCAAAGCCCGGATCTTGGGGTTGTGCGGGTACACGGCGCCGTTTGACAGGCATGATTGGACGGTGGAGCGGTGTGATGGCCGCAGGGTCGAGTATGTGATTGACTTTTATCAGGGGAAGGCGCAGGCGTCGGAGGGGAGGAGTAGTAATAATAATTTGAATTTCTATCTCGATGTGAGGCCCAAGTTGAACACGGTGGAGGGGTGGAGGATGAGGGCCGAGAAGGTTGTGGGGTGGCGGTGACGAGGGGTGTCATCAGAACAAGGGAAGTGGTGTAAAGAGAAGTGTCTGTATATATACTCCGGCAGCAGAAGGGAGACAACCTCTCTCATTGTACAATACCATGTCATCACGACTCACTGTCGAGAACTTGGAAGCGAAGCACCAGTAACGAGATATTCTATGTATCTGACTCTCGAGACAATCACCTCTGTCTCGTCACTAGGTACACTATCTGCGTCGCGCTACCCCTCGCAGACGGGTATCAATGTCGAACACGCTGCCTCCCATCCAGTGCCCATGCCTACCCGTGTAGTATTCGAGTAAGAACAGGCAGGTATCACCATTGGAAACCCGACCAAAAAGTAAATTGATGGAGAGTCTGGGTGACTGAAGCCGCCCTTCCCAACACGGGCAAGGTAGACCTGTATCCCTTCAGAGCCGGAGCAGGAGAGGTCTTTCTCTGTGCTTCTCCAGAGCCAGCCGTAGCCAGATACCCTTGCAATGCCAACCAGGTCGACCGTGGATGCAATCTCTCGACTAAACCCATAAAGCGCCCGCCCGGACATAGGAAAGTGATATGGTAATGCAACAGAAATATGTGATGGCCGTCTCAAGTCGTTAGTCCCAGGTGTGTGCTCCCCTTCAGCTGGTTGACCCGTTACAAAAGAAATTCGTTCATGGCGTGATATGCACTGATGTCGTTGCGAGATGCCAACGCAAGCACACGTGTATCCTGTCTGTGCCCGTTTGATCTGCCGCGGAATGTGGCTCTCGTTTCAATGCCTGCTCACCAGTTTCCTGTGCGCATGGTAGGTTGCTCCATTCCGTATGTGTTTGAAAACAGTTGCTGTCGAATACTCTGCTGTTGTGACGGCTGATTACTGTGCCGCAGCCAGCCTAGAGCCTGCATCAACTCATCATATGCCTCTCTCAGCCGATCACCACTCTTCTCGTTATGGGCCCGCAGTTTCTCTTCCCAGCCATTAAACTGCAATTGATAGCCTCCACCCCGTTTACCAGCTTCCTTGATAACGCTAGCCCATGCCTTGGAAATTTCCTCGTACGCATTTTGCTTCGCAATGTTATGCTGCGGATTGTCCCATTCTGGTAGATCGTGTATGACTTGTGTGACTGCGTTCAAATACTCCAGCGACGTCGATGACTGTTGTTCATTGGGTGGCAGGAAATGAGGTGTAAAGTCGGTGAGAGCATCGAGCAGCTCGTTCCATTGCGGGCGCACACGATCGTAGCAGTAATCGGAGCGGAGATTCCGCTCGAGGGGAAATGCGTTCATCAACCGGTTGTAATATTGCCGCAGGATCTGCAGTGTGCTTTGAATGCTGGGTCGAGGACTGACTTGGACAATCTCCTCTCGCAAGCTCGGATGTCTATCGCATAGAGTCTTCAATACTGATGTCATGGAATCCTTATCCAGTGTCTCGAGTAGTCTTTCGACTGTCAGTGGTCGGCCGACCACGAGATTGGGGCGTGCTCTCTTCCTTGACGTGGGGGTCAGAGCCGTAGGCAGTCGAGCGTTGGAGATGGAGGGGGATGTGGACATTTCATCATCTCGATCAGGAGAAGGCGAGGCTTTCCGTTTTCTTGAAGGGCCAGAGGAAGCCACTGGTGCCAGGGTTAGCGGACGGCCAGGAGATCCATATTGCACCAATAACTCACTTGATCTGTTTGGGGAGAGGCGGGAGTGTTCGAGGGAATGAGGGGGAACGGGCGGCATGGCCAGGGAGTTCATCGTGGCTAGGGAGGCCCGATGATATCAGGCCGTGTTGTTGTTTGAAATCCACTGATTGAGGGGCGACACTGCTTCGTCGTTTGCTCAACTTTCCCAAGATCCCCGCCGCTGAAGACAATGGAATTGTCGATGAACAAAGGCCGCAGGAGTGTTGTGGGAATGTCGAGCAGGCAGAGGAGCAGCAGCGGTGAAAGGCAGCAGCTCGGGATGCGGATGTGATGTGATAGAATAGAGTGAAGTGAAGTTGTGAAGTGTGAGTGGAGGTTCGACTTTGGCATCTGGCCTTGTGCGGGTCAAGTGCAGGTGAGTGCCAATGATCCAGGCTTAAGACTAGCTGCGCCTAGGGTCCAGCCTTAAGCACTGCTATTCGCTGGCAGCTCCCCGAACCAAAGGGTCTCAGGGCGTCGCGAGCCACTGGCCATTGACTGCTGACTGCGCTTCAGGGCAAGGCGCAAATCGCTGCCCAATGCTGCCACGTCTCTGCACGCCCACCGTCGAGTCTGGTGCATGTCCACTGGAAGTCTATGGATTGCCTGGCCCGTATCCGTGCATCCAGGTTTCTTGCAACAACAGTTCGGCCACGGTGACCACCAATGCAAACGAACAAAGGCCGGCAGTCATCATTGAGCGAACGGCCCGGACACAAAGATAGCGACCACAGCCAATCTGCACAGGATTCGGCTCAGTTTCATATCCTGCAACTTTCCGTGTTACCACGCACGAACAAACCCACTGGGTTCATTCCCGCGACTCTGTTGCATGCTCGTAACCAACGTCGAAGGCAGTGCCAAACGTGGCCCTAGCTGCGTAGAGAGACTGTCACTCTGCTCTACGCATCATGTCGCCATGCAATGCGGAGTAGTCGATCTTGATTCTTCTAGAGTTCACATATCTGACGCACACCAGTAGATGTGTCTCAATCGAGCATTCTGAACCTTCGATGATAAAAGTACTGACCCCATACTGATTTCAAATAACTCAGTACGCCGCCTTTGAACCATGGTAAGGTGATTGCAGAAGCTCCTCTTCACCATGGACTGGATGATTTGTAGGCGGTATTGATGCGCAGTAACATTGAAAGGGCAGGGGAAATGGCTAAAGTAGAGTCCGGGACTGTCCGAAGAGCATGGCCAGAAAGCAACCAAATCCGAATCTGGGGAGCAGGTGAGCGGAGACCAATCACTACAGGATGTACCTTGTACGAAGTGCCGCCTTGGAGGTTCTGAGGGGACTGGGGACGGAGAGACAGTGCAGAGCGCCAGGCATTTTGTTAGCAATAAAACCGGCTGCGAAAACACGAGTGGCACAGATCGCAATGGAACACAATGTTATATCAGGACCAGGTCCCTGAGATAATATCAGGCAGCTTTCCGCCGCTGCCAGGCACAAAGGGATGAATTGGAGCGAACTAAGCTAAGTAGCACTTTTCCCGTCACCATGAGTCAATGATGCGTGATCATTATCATAATCAACATAGGGAAGGACCTCCGTGCACAGCGTGAACCCCAGGGCGGATGATGGGCTAAAGTAACATCATACTTATCCCGACATCATCACGCCCCAACGGGTCTGTACATGTCCAACCTCGAACAAAGCCATGGGTATCATGCAAACTCTCAACTTCCCATGATATGCTGAACGATGACAAGGTCTCACCGTAAAGCGGCACTGCGAGTCAAGCCTAGAGATACAGTGACTGAGCTGCCACGATATCTCGTCTTACCTTGTTCAATGCCTCCTCGAACTTCTTCTCCAGTTCTTCGCTTCCCATGACTTTCGAAGCTTCGGCCATTTGACGGAGCGCTTCCTCAAGTCGACGGAATGTGCGAATCAAGCTTCCTTCATAGACATCGGTCATTTTGCTACTACGGTGTCAGTACTTGTGGTGATCAATTCCGCCACGCACTCACCAGATGTCTCCGAACGATTTCCCATTCGCCCAGGCATAAATGACTGGCATGAGATGCCACTTGAACCCCTGCACATACTCTTCCTCGTTCATGGTCAACTTCGACTCAATTGAGACTTTGGCAATGTTCCTGGCTTGCTTCTGGATCTCACGCAGGCATCTCGCCATATCCTCAGGTAATACCGGATTCTCGTTGACCTTTTCTTCAAACACGAAACAACTCATGACGGCAGCGGTTTGCTCGGGTGTCAGGTCATTGAAGAAGCGGTTGAACAAGAGCTCACTAAGCATCAACTCATCGCCCGTGCTGATCTCACAAGCGACACGAGCTTTGAGCTGCACCACCTCGTCCTCATTGATGAACTGGAGCCGCCGAAGCACGCGCTTGCGGCACTTCAGCTCCTCCAACTGCGTTATGGCGTGGGCATCCTGGATTTGCTTCTTGAGGTTACGGATCTTGGTCGTGAGAACCATCTTGTCGGCATACTGATTGTACAATCCCTCCAGGCGAGGAGAATGATGCAAAGGATTAGCAACCAGTCTGGACTCCATGATTTCGATCTTGCGAAGGAGTTCGCGGAACGAGTTGTCCGTGATCTTCATGTTCTCGATGGGATCCAGTACAGCCAAGCCATCGGGAAAGCGCCTTGCAACTTCCTGCAATGCCTGCTGCACCTTCCTCTTCTCTTCAGACACTGTCATATCGGAAGGAGGATAGATGCGGACGTGGGAAATCTTGTGGACGCATTGGAGCAGGACAGGTACGACTTCGACCTTGGACTTCTCGCCAGGTTGAGGAGGACGAATGCCCGGTGGGAGGGATTGATGAGTCTTGGTTGCAGGAGTGGGGCCATCAGCCACTTGCAAGGCAACATCAAGCACCCATTCCTCCTGAGGTGCCAGCTTTTCCGTTGATCTCCCTTGGCTTCTCCTGCTGAAGTTGAGAACCGCCCCCCAGCCGAAGTCATGTCCACCGTCCTTGATCTCGACAAGACGCCCAGGCTGCATGAAGGGCAGGCAGTAGTTGGGATGGACGATGACCATTCGCATGTCTTCCGCATAGACGTCGAGTTGCTTACGGAGCTCATAGTAGGCACGAATATTGCTCTCGTCTGAAATGACCATTGCTGACTTCTCTGCTTCCAGCTGCTGCAACTCTTTTTCGAGGCCAGAAACGCTGGCAGTGTTCTGGAACTGATGGAAGCACCTCTCCAACATAAATTCGGGAGAGATGCCTTCAACTCGAAGCAAATTCAAGATCATGTTGTAGCCAAGGTAGAAGGCAGAATCCAAGTTGTCTTGTTGACCCCGGACAATGTCTTTGGCAATCTGAGGTTCCATCTGTTCATTGATCATCATGATGACGATTCCTCGCTCGTCCAACCCGCGACGCCCAGCACGGCCGGACATCTGAATGAACTCGCCTCCAGTGATCCATCGCTGAGAGATACCGTCAAACTTGCGCACGCTGGTGAAGACGACAGTCTTGGCCGGCATGTTCAGCCCAATTGAGAACGTCTCGGTAGCGAACAAGACCTTGATCAACCCTTCTTGAAACAGGATTTCAATGGTCTCCTTCAGGATCGGCAACAATCCAGAATGGTGGATGCCAATACCCCGTCTCAAGAGTGGTAATAGATGTTGGATCTGGGGCAGATTCTTGTCTTCAGGTGAAAGCATCTCCAAAGCGCTGTCGAAAACCTTGGATACCATGGCCTTCTCCGAATCCTCGTTAAAGGACATACTGCTCATCTGAATCGCATATGCTTCGCAGTCTCTCTTGCTAAAACTGAAGACGATGACTGGGTTGTAGTTTTTGGTCATAATCATGCGGACGATCTTGTAAATATCGGACGGCCCCTTCGTGCCACCTTTATTCGTTCGCTTGTCCTTGCCCCTCCCCTTGCGACGGGCCATGGCATTAGCAGGGTCGTCGCCTTGTTTGTCGGCAATAGTACTCATGGCTTTCTGAAAGTTCTCTTCGCGGAACACACCCTTCTCATCCACAACCAGATGAATGCCGTCGGCTCCGGCAGGGAAGAAGTAGTGCTGCAGGGGAGTCGGTCTAAAGTCGGTATAGACTACGTGACAGGGTTGGTTATGTGTCTTGGTGATCCACTCGGCAAACTGCATGGCGTTCGGGATAGTAGCCGACAAGAATACATAGCGCACTTTGTCAGGTAGCAGGATGATGGTCTCTTCCCAGACAACACCTCGAACTTTGTCTCGCAGGTAGTGAATTTCGTCAAAGATGACCCAGCCCACTTCTCGCATAATCTCGGAGCCACGGTAAAGCATTGATCGCAAGATTTCGGTGGTCATGACCAAACAGGTTGCTGTAGGATTGATCGTAACATCGCCAGTCATCAGACCAACGTCGCCAAAATCAGCCTGAAACTCTCTGTATTTCTGGTTGCTCAACGCTTTGATGGGACTGGTGTAGATGACTCGCTGATTGTTCTTCAGGCATTGCGCAATCGCATATTCGGCCACCACCGTCTTTCCCGCGCTGGTATGGGCGGAGACCAAGACACTCTCATTCCGTTCGATCGAGGCGATCGACACTTGCTGGAAGGGATCGAGCTCGAATTTCCAGGTTCGCGCTGGCTCTGCCGGAGGCTTGTGTTCGGAGATAGGGACATAGTCGTAATCTGGAGGAAGTGCGACCTGATGACGGACTTGGTGCGACAAAATCACCTTCTCTTCCTCTTTAGCTCCAAGGAGACCGGCAGATGCCGCAACCTCTCTCGATTGTTCGGTCTCGAAAGTATCTGTTATCACGGGCTCTGGCTCCTCTTCCGTGCGCATCCGTTTCGCATCCGGCTCGTGGCCATCTGTCATTTCTTGATCACCGTCTGCGGGGCTTGGAGAAGGTCCATCGGTGGACGAAGCGTGTGCATCTTCACCATTGGCCTCATCCTTGACTTCGCCGTTCGCTTGGCGCTTCAGGCGCTTTCTGTCGGTTCTGGTAGGTCTGTTGGCGGGCGGCGCCTGACCGTTATCGTCAAAGACGTCAAACAGCTCGTCCATCCTGAAAGAACAGTATGTTTGTTTTGTTTGGTCTTGAAGATGTTGCCGCTGGTGTCGACAGGAAAAAAGACCAACAGCCCGTTGTATCACGGAAGGTAAAGCGACGTACTAGCCGCTTTAGCAATAGTGCATATGTTGAGCTTCAGTCCGCATTGCAATCACCTGAGTACCGAGTACTTGAGCTCTTCACCACCAGGACCCTTGACACGACACCGAGCCAAGCGGGATATCAAGGTGAGCCGAAGCTATGTGTCATGTAGACCACCCTAATGCAGTCTGCAGATGAACGCTCAAGCCCTCCTCCGCGCCAGAATGGCAACCAGACTCATGGCTCGTCGCGGCTTCACCTCCACCACACGCCGAATGGACGCTTTCAGCCCCTACCACTACCCTGAGGGTCCCTACACCAACTTGCCATTCAATCCCAAGACGAGGTTCTTCTGGCTGAGATACTGGCTCTTCATGGGTAGGGAGAAGTCTACGAGATTGGGCCGTGTGCAAGAACTAAAAGATGGACAGGTACCGGGTTCTTCATCCCATTCGGAATCGCCGGTAAGAATGGCCTACATCACATCTACAAGATACAATGGCTCACGGATCCACAGTCTGGCACACCTACAAGGCATAAATTCTCCCGAGGAATCACTAGAGGAGGTGCAGGAGCGCATCGCGTCCGGTTGGAGGAATGGCAATCCGGCAGCCGGAAATTGTACAGAGCCAACAAAAATGAGATCAATATCAAACAGCCGTCCAGCAGTCTCTCTGTCCTGATGTTTTGCTCTTCCCGCGCTCCTCTTCATTTGCTTCGTCGAGGCTTGCCAGATCGAATGCGTAGGAGGCTGACCAATCAGAATGGCCGAATCTCGTCGTCGTAAATTTCTGGCTCCACCAGGATTTTCACTGTCAACTCGAATATGACCGTTCCTTCATAACTCTTAGATGTAGATGACGGAGACACGCTATCACTGAGAATGCGAAACCTCAAGATAACATCTTATCGGGAGAGCCAACTTCCCCACAGCCTGCCACTAACAGCAACAGCATGGGACACAACGAATGACACAATCATCTGTGCATTTGGTCCAACGCCCACAAACCCGGTCATCGAGCTCAGACGAAGAATTGGACACTCGTCGATCGATGAGGAATTCGCGACTATCACGTCTTGGGACTCTCCCAGCCCGCTCCCCGAGCTGGCATGCGATGAAATCCTCCTACTTCAGCACTTCTCAGACACAGCGACATCTTGTCTCGTCCTGGCAGGCGGGGATGTGGTGGTCGTTCGCGAAGATCCACTGCCGGACCAGGAGAAGATTGAGATCGTTGGTTCCGTTGACGCTGGCATCTGTGCGGCCGCCTGGGCCCCTGACGAAGAAATATTGGCCATTGTGACTCGAGCTGACACGCTCGTGTTGATGAGCAGGACCTTCGAGCCGCTGAACGAAGCCACTCTCTCACCCGACGATCTGAAAGTCTCCAGACATGTCTCAGTCGGCTGGGGCCAGAAGGAAACCCAATTCCAGGGACGACGGGCCAAAGCCATGCGTGATCCCACCGTACCAGAGAAGGTTGATCAAGGGGAACCTAGTCCTTACGAGCACGGTGATGTGTCGGTCAGTTGGCGAGGCGACGGGCAGTACATTGCTGTCAACAGCATGATTTCGGATCATCGGCGAGTCATCAGAGTGTTTACGCGGGAGGCTGTACTCGATAATGCTAGCGAACCCGTCGATGGCATGGAGTTTGGCCTGAGTTGGAAACCCTCAGGCCAACTCATCGCGAGCGTCAAGCGGTCTGACACGAAAGTTGAGGTCATCTTCTTCGAAAGGAATGGTCTGCGGCACGGCCAATTCGATCTCCGGCTAACGAAAGAAGAGATGGACTCGTGGGCATCTAGCATTTCCCTTGCCTGGAATCCCGACTCATCCGTCCTGGCCGTCTCGTTCAAGGACAGAACACAGCTTTGGACTACGGGTAACTACCATTACTATCTCAAACAAGAGCTCCCATTTGGTTCCGCATCCGGAACGAACCCCTTGAGATGGCACCCGGAGACACTGTTGAGGATGGCATGTGGCTACACGAAACGCCTATTTGACTTGACGTTTCTGTCCACGGTGTCTAGAGGGAGCACGGTTGTTCCATATGATCTCGGTATCGTAGCTGTTGTTGACGGTAGGACGCTGAAGCTCACTCCTTTCAAGCAAGCTGGGGTCCCACCACCAATGGCATTCTGTGAGGCGGCATTCGCTCACAACATCGTTGACTGTGCGGTCAGTCAAGAAGGCCTGAAAATCGCCGTGCTGGCCACGACAACAGTCGAGTTATGCAAATGGAAAACTCGCGCGACCGTCAAAGGCGACGTGAAATTCACAGCTACAGTCGAGTCTCGAGGCGTTCCGTTACCGACGGTCAGCACCGACACAGGCCAGTGGGTGACTCCCCACTATTCGCAGATCGCTCTCAAGGACGACGAAATCTTCATCCTCTCACCCATGCAGCGCACGACCACGGCGTCCTGCTACAAGTTAAGATGGCCGTCGGAGACAGGTATCCCAGCCTGGGAACAAGTTCGTGTCCCCAGCGTTGCCGAGAACCTGATCGTGGACATTTTTGAGCAGGCCGTCTTCGTGACCCAACAAGACGAGTTAACGACAGTCATGCTCTCCGACAATGCTGAAGCCCGGGTTGTCCAACCCACAGTCTTGAGGGGCAGTCGACCTAACAGCTCCATTTTCTCTCTCTGCGATGCGGACGCGACCCACCTGAACGGCGAAACGAACGAACTCATCCCAAAATACCACAAAGTCTCCCTGGAACCCAAGGGCGGTCTCTACATCGACGACACCCTCCTCACTCGTGAAGTCACCTCCTATGTCCTAACTTCCGCGCATCTGGTCTTCACCACGTCGTCACACCTCCTGAAATTCGTACACCTAACAAATGACCCATCCACGATGCAAGTCCCGCTCGACACGCCCGAGGTGGATGAACGGTGCCGGAACATCGAGCGAGGCGGCAAGATCGTCACAATCATACCGTCTGTCTACGCCGTCATTCTCCAGATGCCGCGTGGCAACCTCGAAACCATATACCCCCGAATGCTTGTCCTCTCGGGCATCCGCCAACATCTCAAGCAGCAAGACTATCGCGCCGCGTTCCTGGCGTGCCAAACTCACCAAGTGGACATGAACATCCTGCACGACTACGACCCCGAGACGTTCCTCTCCAACGTGCCGAACTTCATCGACCAAGTCAAGAAGCCTGGCCGTGTCGACGAATTCCTCTCCAAGCTCAAAGACGAGGACGTAACCAAGACGCTGTATCGGGACACGACCCTGCCTGCCACTACCACAGCCAGCGCTACCGGCACCGCTCAACCTCAATCTCAGGACGCTCGCCCACACCAACCCGCGCCAGGCAGCAAAGTGAACAGAATTGCGGATGCGTTCCTCTCGGCCCTGGCGGCCCGACCCACATCGTCGTCCATCCAAACCATCATAACCGCACATGTATGCAAACGCCCGCCCGACCTGCCTTCCGCGCTATCGCTGATCTCTCGCCTCGTGCGCACGCCGGAAGGGGAAGGAAAAGAAGAGGCCGACACGGCCATCTCGCACCTCTTCTTCCTTACGCCGAACCCGAACGTGCTGTTCGATCACGCGCTTGGCACCTACGACCTCGAACTCACCCTGCTGGTCGCGCAGAACGACACGGCGCGCGATCCCCGCGAGTACATGCCGTTTTTGCAATCGCTGCAGGCCCTCGCGCCCTTGCGCCGCCAATACACGATCGACAACCACCTGAAGAAGTACGAAAAGGCATTAATCTCGCTGCACGCGCTGGGCGAGCACGACGAGGTCAAGGCCTACGTGGTCAAACACGGGCTCTACACCCGCGCATTGGATCTCTACAAATACGACGCGGGCACGGCAGGGCATCTAGCCGCCATCACGCGCCTGTACGCAGAGTATCTGTGCACGCAGAAGTCGCAGCCCAACCACGCAGCCACGCTGTACGAATCCCTAGGTGACTTCACGGCAGCGTTCCCGCTGTACGCCCGCGCGCACAAGTGGCGCGAAAGCCTGACCTGCGCAGCCCTCGCGGGCGTGGAAGAACCCCAACTCCGCACTTTGGCGCAGTCCCTCGCAACAACCATGGCTGATGAGAACAGGGATTACCGCGCCGCGGCGGCGATCCATGTCGACTACCTCGCCAACCCGACGGAAGCGGCGCGCCTGCTCTGCCGGGGCTCGTACTTCGCCGACGCTCTCCGGGTGTTATCGCTGCACGCCCTCGCCACGGAAATCCCGCGCGTCATCGACACCGGGCTGACGGACAAGGTGGGCGAGATCCTGGAACTGCAGGCGGACTGTCGGGCCCAGTTGTCGGCGCAGATCCCTAGGATATTGGACCTGCGGAAGAAAAAGGAAGACGATCCCCTGGCGTTCTATGGCGGCGATGCTTCCTTCACTGACGGGGGACCAAACGGCGTGGACATCCCGGACAACGTGAGCTTGGCGCCCACGGACGCGAGCACCCTGGGCGGACAGTCGCTGTTCACGCGGTACGGGTCCAACGCGTCCAAGTTCGGCGGCACTGTCGCGAGCAATGTGTCGCGCAGGACGAGTAAGACTAAGAGGCGGGAAGAGAGGAAGCGCGCGCGTGGCAAAAAGGGCAGTGTGTACGAGGAAGAATACCTCGTCGCGTCTGTTGGGCGGCTCATTGAGCGAGTGAACGGGTTGCATGAGGAAGTGGGCCGGCTGGTGCAGGGGCTGTTGAGGCGTGGCATGAGGGAGCAGGCGCGGTTGGTCGAGCATGGGATGAGCGAGATCTGTGAGGCTTGTGAGAAGGGTAGGGTGGAAGTTTGGGGGGAGGTTAAGGAGGTTGCCGTGGCAGACGATCAGGCGGGCACGGGCACGTATGATGTGGATGGGCAGGGTCGGCCGCCCGGTGCGGACGGTGTCTTTTGGGACAGTCAGCAGGAAGTGGGAAGAAAGGAGCCGCCGGTGGTGAAGAGCTGGAGCGGAAGCGAGCTCATTTCTTAGGCTTGACGTCCAAGATCTTAAGCGCCAATTGAAGTGTTGATGTTTTGCTGAAATCTTCGGTTCTATCGGACCTGTTCCATTTCCCTCCTCTGAAACAGTGGCCCGCCTGTCGTGGTCCTCGGTAGAGTCCAAGCAGGAGGCGCGTCTATTCTAGGACGCCCATGCTCATGACTCCCGTTTCGCTCGCCCACGTCTTCTATCTCACGACTTCCCTTTCGCCCATTCAGTTCTGCACCTTGATCCTTCCGTCTCCCATCCTGGTCCCGAGGGCCTTCTCGCTGTTTGTCGCTCTGAAACAACCTTCGCTCGTTCCGCGACTCGATAGGTTTAGGTTTTGACTTGGGCTTCTCTTGGCTCTGAGGAATGGTCGAAGGTGCTTGGATTGCCTTCTTGGCTTGGTTCAGCTCGGAGATTCCTAGACCCTGGTCGATCAGATAGACTTGAAAAGCCGACAGGAGCTCCTTTAGGCTGGCTCTGAGTCTTTCGACGATGATTTCAACCTCTTCAATTCCCTCCGTAACACCTTGCTTGTTTTGGGCGACATAGTCTTCGATCAGATTCAAGGTTTTGGTGAACGTCCGAACAGTATCTGGCACGGTTGGTGTGGCCTTCCCATAAGTATCCTCGGTAAGACTTGCCACCTGCATCTTGGTCAATGCTTCAATCACATCGACAAGAACTGCCGCGTTGCCATAGGGGGATCCCATGATGGTTGCGTTGATCTTGGCAGTGTTTGGCGAGGTGAAGAACCATCCGAGACGACTCCGCCTCAACTCAGTTGTCCATGACCCGACCAAGCCATTTGGAGATTTCGAGTCAGCACTTGAGGGTTTGGCATACTCAAGCAATCTAGTTTCCACCTGTTTGGCGGTCTGGTCAATAGGTGGATGCCATGGTTGCCTGGTGCTACCAAATTGCTTCAAGGGACTTGCCAGCCTCTCTGCTCTGCTTGGCTTGGAATCTGGTGCGAAGATGGACTGGGTCTGCATTTCCGGGAGCAGGCGCGGCAACGGCTTGGCCACTTCTGGAGTACCAGGTTTTGCAGGTGGTGGACCCGTAATGCGCAGCTGTAACTCTTGCAACACGTTCAAACCGGCCTGCAGCATCTGCGCCCAAATCGGTCCTGTAGGGCGTTCAATGTCCTCGAAGATAGCCTTCCTCCGTTCCTTATGTCTTTGCGCAATGATAGCCAATTCCCAGAAAGCAAAGGTCCGGACGACATCACGCTTTGCTTTCAAGCCAGTGAGGAGTGTTCCATTAGGATCTTTGCTAGCGGCAGAAAGGGGAACCCCCGACTTTGTCGGCTCTTGGCAGAGATACTCCAGCAACAAAATGGTGGTCAATTCCCAAGTTAGGGCAAGCAAGAAGCCCGCAAAAAAACATCGAAAAAGGTAGGGGAATCCGAGAGGAGGATAGCCGATGGGATGAGCATTCGCCCTCGACACGTTGTAGAATAGCTTTGCTATAGCGAGATGTATCCGCCATAAAATGGTTCGCAGAAAGAGACCGTTGATAAATGGGGCCACCAAAAAGGTGATTGCCGACGCAGACGCGCTCCTCTTCAGGGCAGAGATAAGTTCTTGCTGTATCCGTGTCTGGACAGGCAGGAGTGAGTGGGTGTCCTGAGCTTTGGCGTCTGCTGAGGGCGTCACAGGAAGTTTCGAGATCGGTATCCGGAGAGAAGACCATCCATGGTACTGGTGGAGTCCTGCATACCCAATTGACACCAACATGGCGTAGAGACGGAAGTATATGGGTCTCTCGTTCAGCATATCTGGGGTGTTGTGGGCTCCTCTTGTGATCCAGCCCAGGTCTGGAGCTGACCAGATATAGGCCTCAGTAAACCACCATCCTGACATGAGATAGAGAATTGCTGTCTGCAGAGTGGCTGCACTGAGAAAAATTGCTCTAAACGTAGCCAAGGGTGAAGTGGTTGTGCGCGTGCCGATCCTGAGGGTCGCTATTTGCAGGGTGAAGATGAGGAGGCTGCTGAGGAAGAAAAGGAGCGCTTTGATGCCCGCAGGGCCAAAAGGAAACCATGACCAGAAGAGATCCTGGTTGGAGCCCAGCCAGAAGGCATTACCGAGGGCAACGAGCAGCGAGAGGAGTGCTGCGTGCACGAATCGTTTGTGGAGCGCCGATGTCACGAATCGCCGGTATGGTCGAGGAGGTGCTTTCGACGAGGGAGCTGCGAGCGTCGACATGGTGCATAACAGGGACAAAAGACCAGACGGGGAGAGTTGCTCATAGCAGAATGGCAGTCATCGGCCGGCGAGCACTGCTTTCTGCGTCAGTCGTGAAACTGCGTTGGTGGAGCGCAGGGAGAATCAGTCGCTGGACGGTGTAAACAAAAAATTGGGCCTGGCGCAACAAGCCGCATTGAGTTGAGTTGCGTTGCGCATGACGCGGTCCACGTGATCCAGCCTCCAGCCTCCAACTGCAACCGCAAGTGCCGCATCCAACTCGGTGCCTTTCAGGCTCCTCCGTCTTTCATTCATCGCAACAGTAACGCCTCACACTCACTTAGAGGGCGGCTCCGACTTGCGCTGTATACGGTTACGACGCTCTAACTTACAACCGCACTCCTACCAGCACCGCAATGTCGTTTGATAGACTCTCGTCACTAGAATCGCAACCTACCACCACCCGGCGGCAGGATGACCCTCATTACAGAGACGACCCGGAGTTCCAAAGATTCACCGAGTCGCTATCTACCAAGCTATTCGAACTGATATCCAACATTTCTCGCCTGTCGAACCAGCTTTCGAAGAAGGACACCGAGCGTGGCCGAGAGCGGATTCATGATCTGCTAGAGGAGACAAGAGAGGGTTTCAAAGAGGCCGGGGATGGTGTCAAGCGAGCGCAAGCATGGCCTGACCTGAATGTTAGTCGACCAGCTCTTGGATTCACACAGAATGCTAATCTAGAACAGCCGGCACAACGGTACACGAATCAAAAGCTATCACGCGAGTTCGCATCGGCCTTGTCTGAGTTTCAAGTCGTCCAGAGGAGGGCCATCGAAAGAGAGAGAGCATCAAAAGCTGCACTAGAGGAATCTCAATCGGCGCAATCACCTTCAGCAGAAGGTCAACAACAACGCCAATTGCTCGAAGAACCTCGTCTGGCAGAACAAAGTGAGGTGGACTTTCAGGAGAATCTGATCATCGAGCGCGAAGGAGAAATCCGGCAGATTGAACAATCCGTTGGCGAGCTGAACGAGCTGTTCCGAGATGTCGCTCACCTGGTCCGTGATCAAGGCGACATGCTGGATGCGATCGACGTCAACGTTGAGAACACCCTGACCGATACTCGAGGCGCAGATGTTGAATTGCGAAGCGCGAGCCGTTACCAGAAGTCCGCCCGTAACAAGGCCTGTTGCCTGTTGGTCATCCTGGCAGTTGTGCTGTTGATAGTGGTATTGGCTGTTGTGCTGGGATGAGCACATCGGGCCAGGTCCTTTTGCGGCGTGATTGGCGTTGAGCATTGTTATGTATTGAATGTACAGCTTGATGCACAGCGATTAGACACTCCCGGAGGAAGAAGCACTGGGACAGCAGGCTTCAGTCGAAGTCAATTAATAATCCATGGCTGCACGATTCCGGGATTTCACCCTAAGGATCATTGGGTAGAATACTATATGTATCCATCACTACTACCGCATCATATTCCCGCACGGATGAACTCAGGTAGGTATGTCCACAGTAATGAAGTATTACGGAGGTGTGGACTGTCTAGAACGCTCCAGCTTCCAGAAGCCACCCACGGTGCCAAGACCAGGCTGAACCCGAGCCTTGCGCAACACGCGTGACGTAGCCTCGTTCCTCCAAGTCGCGCTCCTGACCATCCCACCGACCCAAAGTTCCACGCCCGTCCAACTCCTAAATACACCGTACTCGGCATCTCCATCAGGTTCCAGGATGGCAAGAGATGCAGGCACCACTATCAGTATCGGCAGAAAAAAACCTATCAGCCCTAACCCCAGCCACCGATAACAGCCTGAACGTCGCGTCCAACAACACGGTCCATTCTCCCACCTCGACCTTGGCGCCGACCTCTCGAAAACGCAAAAGCAGCGAACTCGACAATGACGGCCGTGGCCCGAGTGCCAGTGCCGAAGTTTTCACAGCAAATATACTCTCTTCCACGAAAAGTGCAGGGTCAAGTTCAGGTGTAGGTACAGTGACATTCGCCCCAGTCACGCTCGTGGCGCGAGCATGCCTTCCGCTGACATGGCTGGATTGTTCGTCCCCGACCGCAAGGCTCATCTTCCAAGCTGAGATCACGGCCGTGGTGGTGGAGGAATGGGAACAGCGGGTCCTTGTCGTGCGCAGACTCCCCTCGGGGACTCTCTTTGCTGTTGAGAAAGTGGCCTCCACGCCAGTAGCCACGTTCGTGGCGTGTGCGCTGCACGATTGGGTGACTGAGGCGTGGTGTCACGATGCGGGGATCGGGAAGATCGCCAGCGTCAGAGTCGAGGATTTGCTGTCCGGGGGTGGCAATGAGGATGCGTACGCGAACACGTACACGTACACCCACCCAGGGACACATTCGCGAACAGTCTCGGGATCGAGCTCCGCTGCTTTGCCGATCGCTACGACGGGCCTGAGCTCGTCAAAGGGTCCGAAACGCCCGAATAATCGCAGGGGAGCGTTGGCTAGGATGTCGATTCTGGCGCTGAAAGATCCGGCGGCTACTTTGGGGGCGATGGAGGGAGTCATTTCGCCGAGTATCCAGCAGCAGGAGTCGCAGCAACCCATAGATCCAAATGTCCAGGAACGGGCATCTGCGGGGAGTTCTCCTGCCGTGTTGCAGATGCCGGGTATGGCTCATTCTCCTGACCAAGCGGCATTACCGATCACACCGGCCGCTCAAATCTCTACACAGAACCCGTTCGAAGCGTCTCTGGCTGCGACTGAAGCTGGTGCGCCGCAGGAGATGCCTTCGACCTTGCGCGGAGCAGGTATACAGGAGCCTCAACCTTCAATTCTAGGTGAAACTGGTATACAGGAGCCTCAACCTGTGGTTGCGGTAGGACTTGAAGCAGGCGTCCACAACGTGCTACCTGACACGAATCCCCTGGCCCCTGAACGCGTTCGAGCACAATACTTCGAGCACCTATACACCTCCAAGACGTCACTCGCATTCTACGTCAAAGGGCCGCTCAGTCGTGCCCGCGCCCACGTCCGCACCGCCGAGCACCCCATAAGAGCAATCAGGGAACTATCCGACTTCTATGAACAAAGCATTCTGCCCACGAAAAAGGTCGACACCAAATACAAAGAATCAATCGTGAAGATCATCGGCGAGTTACCGCTCCCTCAGCAAGAAGGGGAACCCGATGGCCCGGGTGTGGATATGAAGAAGAGGAAGTCTCGCAAGACGAAGACAGTGATGAAGCGGGGCAAAGATTGTCTATGGCCCCAAGAAGAGGACTTCATCGCGAAGTGGTGGCGCGGGCGGGATATCAGGGGGCCTGTTTCTGCCAGCGACCGCACAGAAGAGGTGCGGAAGGAGGTGGCGGATTTGCGCATGCGCGAGACCAAGATGCAAATGCTGTTGATGCTGGAAGTCATGCTTTTGGACACGGCGGCGTCGACATTGGCGGGATCGGAATCTGAAGTGCCACCAGTCCCTGCTGATCCCGACATCAAGGTTGAGTCTGTCGAAGAAGAATCCTCGGCGGCACTTCTCGCCATGACTCCGCGCAAGCAGTCCAAGAAGGAGAAGAAGAAGCGTGACTGGGCCGCTGAAATCGATACAATCGTCGATCGTCTTTGTATATGGCACACCGTAAGCCTGGACGACCTTGTCAACACAGCTAACGACAAGGCCTTGAAAAAGGACGCCAATGGCAGCAGCGCGTCGAAGCCAAACGATTCTCTCCGGGACTTCTGCAAGGAAGTCCTCTTGCCCTTCTATTCTGCCAAACTGTCCGAGCAGATCAAAGCCATCTGTCGCAAGCTCGGCGGACCTGATATCACGCCCAAACGGCCCAGATTGGGACACACAGCACCTCGTCTCCACAGATCCTCCTCATCAGTATCTTCCTCCACGAAGTCAAAGCCAGGCCAGCCACTCTCGACTCGTACGCTCGAGCGGGTGCTGAGCGAAGACCACCAACTGCTCCGCCATGCCTCCCCTCCCACTACGTTCTCGCGCGCCTCTTCTATAACAGCACCCAGCATCCCGACCCTGAAACGCGAACCATCTGACCGGCCTGCATCTCGAGGCAGGATGCTCGCCAAGTCCATGTCTTTCTCCAACCGTGAGATCGACCTCGTGGCAGATCAAAGAGTGCACGAGGCGAAGCGTCGCAAACTGGATCGACTCGCCCAGCAGAAAAAGGAACTTGAAGCCGCTATTGATGCGCTTAAGAAGCCCGACCGAAGAGCGGTGGCCAGCCAATTCATGGATGAGGCGGAACAGAGGAAGAGACTGGAGATGGACAAGAAGACGGCCGTGCAGATCTCGGCGACCCCGAGGGCAAAAAGAGTGCAAGGGCATTCGCAGCTGTTGGGCGAGCCGGAGCTGCCTCCAATGCCGATGCCGAGATTGGTATCCCGAGGACAAGACGCTACCATGGTAATTCCTTCTTCTACAGTCAAACCTCGAATCCGACCGGGTCTTTCAAGCTCGGCGAGTATTCCTCGGTCTTCGGCGAAGAAACAAGCGGTTTTAGCAGCGATCCATGAGACACCATCCAGAGGCCTTGATAAGAAGACCTCGAATCCCTTGGATTTGGCCGTCCTCTCTCACCCCCTGGTCGAGCCTGGCAACGACACAAGTATTGTGGCAACCCCCGCTGCAAGACGCACGCACCCTGACTTCGGAGACCACGTATCGCCTGGATTCAATCTGCCATCATCTCAGCCTCTACCACCGTCCAGCCAGATGACCAACCCCGGGGAAGGGCTGCTTATGAGGAGGTCCGGTCGTCCAGTCCTCTTCACACCACTGAGAAAGTCCGACGTCCGCTTAGACCAAGCATTCCGCGATGCTCCCATCATCCCAGAGCGGGCGGGTCATATCATGGACAGGGTGATGGGTGGAAAGGGTCGCGGAATAGACGAAGGCTTCGAAGCACTTCCAGGTGGCCATCCCCCAGGGACCAGAAACTTCAGAGCCGCTGAACAGAAGGGAACTCGACTTGATGACGCCGACGACGGCGATATTTATGACAAACTCGGTTGGAACGACGATTTCGACCTTTGATGATGGGTTGGATGGCTTGTTGGTATATGATAGACATGACAATGAAGGTCGGTGATATTCGACCCATGAACATGAGACCTTTTCAGACGAGTATGATCTTCCTCTACTGAGTTCTCAGCCATTGTTGCCGTGGTGAGAACTATATCCCTGGACCCTCCGCACAAGGATTTTCCCAAGTCTTCCTGCCAAAACCCTCGAGGAAAGCCGACGGGAAGTATATCGTGATATGATGTCGAGGATCCCTGGCTGCGGGGCAGTCGAGCGAGGTCATTATCGAATGCGACCCTTGCCTTCAAAGTCCCTGAGATCCTCGACCAGCGGCGACACAATCTTCTGGTACGCAAGTTCCTGGAAGTCTTCATCATCCGCAGATGAGTTTCGCGTTTCAGACCAGCGGAGGCATTGAGTAACCACGTCGCCGTACTTGCAGCCACTTTCGGAGTATACCCGGTTGAGGAGGCGCGTTGCGGTTTTCAGGTTCGCATATGGTTCGATGGAATCTGCGTCCTCCGGTATCCATAACGCGGAGATAGACTGGCAGAGCGATAGCTCCACCAGGACAAGGCCCAGCGGGAACAATACGTCGCTGGGGATGAGGGGATTGGAGATTGTGCTTGTGGCTGGGTGTGCCGTTGCTTTGCTCACGCCATGGCCTGCGAGGTAAGGATGGTCCACCAGAATTTGGCCACTGCCCTCCAACTTGGGGAACAGGATGTCTCGACTTCGCCAATAGCTCTTCAGCCAGCTTCCGTGAAATTGAAGCACGCTGGATGCAAGCGTTGCTGCCAAGAATAGTCGATCATGTCTGCTGAAGAGAAATGCTGGGCGACTGGTGTGCGATCCGATTGAATGAAATGAAGAGCTCAGCAGATCCTCCAACGACTGTGTCTCAACTCTTTTCTCCTTCTTCTCCAGTAGATAGAAGCAATAGCGGTGGGTCGCATCACTTTCATCTGAGATGGAGCCCATGTATTTTGCGAGGTTGCCATTGGCCCCGATCGTGCACAGAACAGAACAAAAATCGGGGATTGGGAGGGCTGGTGGCACATCGGGGAGTTTCGGCCAGGGGAGACTCTGCAGCGGAGTTGCCACTACCGCAAACTGGACCTTTTTATCATTAGCTGGCCTTTGGACAGCAGTGGGGGCAGTGGCCAAGGTGGTCTTGTGCGCTGCGACAGGCATCTCGAGTAAAGCGGGTACTGTCTCGACTTCTTCCCAGTGCCACGATATGGCATGCATAGGGTCAGCAACTTTGGTCGAGAACGCCATTCGAAATCTGGGGATCGTCGGACTTGCCTCGTGGTGGTCATTCGCCTCGATGGGCTCTGCGTCGATGCGCAGATGGACGCAGTGGGAATCTTTGCAGGGACACTTCCAGTATTTCCCACGGACAACAGCATTGTACAGGTTGCTAGCATGCTTCCTCGCGGCCTTGTACTTCAGTAATGGTTTCTTGGAGACCCGATGCTTACGTCGACTCTCCTGCCGATGGTCCGATTGTTCTATGAGCGTCTTCAGGGAGTTGTTGGCGTTGTCAATCTTGCCGAGCAAATCGGCGTAGACAAATTTGGAGAAGATGTCCTTGAATTTTCTCACTTCGCGTTCAACAGCAGTGGCATCATCCCAATACACCTAGCGACCATCGTCCAGTGGTCAGCACGTCGTAGACAAACAGATGGTGACACCCGTGGAAGGTCGACGCTAGCCAAAGTCTGCCACTCTCGAAACTGAGATCAGATGTAACAGCAGCTCACCTTCAAAGGGTCCGCGGATTGAAGACGGAGTTTGCTTGATAGTGTATCTAACAAGGTTGAGAGCTCCGTCATGGTCCTGAGGAAGGCGCCGTAGTTGCGGCCGAGCTTCTGGGCCAGACTTTTCTGAAAGGACGGATCCCTCCAGAGCGGTCCCCGTGGGTTGTTGATGAGCTCTGAGATGTCATCGTCGTAGTCTACAAGGCCTTCGAGAGACTGCTCGAGTGTGTTGAGTAGGATGGCATGTTGTGTCCCCAGCCTTGTCGACCATTCTTCGAACTGGCGGCGATATCGTCTGGTGCGGAAGCCCTTCAGCGTCTCGATCCCCTGGACATAACTATCAAGCTGATTGACGAGCAGAGGAAGAAGGGCAAGCACGATGCCCGCGGTCTCAATGCCGCTCGCCATCGCGACTGCTTTCCGGGTAACAGAGCTAAGGCTGCCTGAGTGAAGCGGTCGAAGAAGGCGAAAGCAGCGACAGAAGAGTCCCACGCCACGTGAGCGAGCTGAAGTCGAGCTGACACCCCGCTCTGTCACACCATCCCGCATCAGGTCATGGGCGCCTGACGGGGAACATGTCGTCTGTCGGCTCAGCCTGATGCCAGATCAATGGCTTTATCGCTGTCGAGAACCTCAAACACCACAGTGCCTGAGACTCGACTGGAGCGCAAGTGGTTGTGTAAGGACGACAGGACGCTGGAAGGGGCGACGGCCCTTACCGGATCAGCGATTGCCGGCGTCTCTAGACTTTCGCAGGGACTTGGTACTTACCGGTGGCTGGGCGTAGAGCCTTCTGAGTTCAGGGAAAGCGTGCTCCGAGATGGCAACATCAATCTCATCCGTGCTTGTCGATTGTCTCAGATGCTTTAATGCTCTAACGACTCGAGCCGAACTGGCGCTCTACGCAGCTGAGGTACCCACGAACCTGTGGACTGACGAACTGGGAAGGCTGCGAGTCTGGGCTGCAAATATCGGAGCTCATCAGACGGGACAATCCTCACTTGACTATCGTCTTAGGGATGCATCTCATATCAAAGCTCAGACACTCAAGCTACTGGAGCGGCTCCGGCGAACACTCGACGATGCGGAGGAATTCCTGACGCGCGGTCCTGAGGACGACGACAACTCATCAGCGGCCGATGAAGACGAAACAGAGCTGCAACAGGTCTACAAGGGCCTCGTCGACACGACCGATTGCCTTTTCCAGCTGAGCATGATAATCCGGCGGCCGGCACAGCACGACAGACTTATTGGGACCAAGAAGCTAGACGCAACTGTCTTTGAGCCTTTCGATGTAAGTAGCTGTTTTCTAGCAGACATGGACAACAGGCTGTTCATCTGGCCTGATAACATGTTGTCTCGATGAATCGGGCACTTGGGAGCTTCCCTCGTCGCGTTCCCAGCCAAACCACAACCTCTGCTGACGCTTCTCGCAGAGACAACATGTGGCCAACAAACACCCCAAAGCTGCCAGCATTGTTGTTGACCGACTTGGAACCGCCATATCGCGACGTCGAGCGGCACTGAAGTATCGTGAGAGACATCATGCGAAGCTGGCCAAGGGCATCGAGCGTGCTACAGGGGCCGAGCCTCTCGATCACACCTCGGCAGCAGACTTGGACGAGCGACGTGATGCGCCATCGACCCTGCTGTCACAGACGATTGCTACTGAGTTTGATGAGACTCATATCGATTATGACGAGGCTGCCTCCAACTCTGGGGCTTCTCAGACCTCCTATGCCCCAAGTCTTTGGGAAAACAGCGGCCGTATTACGGTCCCCTCTATTCCCAAAGGTGGGAGCTACGGAAAGGCGTTTGAGTGCCCTTATTGCTTCTTCATCGTTACAGTGTCGAACAGGAGATCTTGGGCTCGACATGTCTTGAAGGATTTGATGCCATACATATGCGTGTTTCCAGACTGCCCTACCCCAAATCGCCTGTACGACAGTCGTCGCGAATGGTTCCACCACTTACGCACAAAGCACCTCCCATCCTTCGAACCCGGTGAAATGGGCAGCTGCCTACTGCGCTGCGGAGAGAGTGTACCTGTTGTGTTGCTTGAAGGACATCTTGGTCGACATCTGGAAGAGTTAGCATTATTCGCCCTACCAAGAGTTGACACAGGAGACGAAGAAAACTCCGACGAGTCACAAGCGTCGATCGCACGAGCTGCTGACCTGGATGAAGCGAGCAGTACATCTTCAAACGAAGCACCAGGGGCAGCGGAGTCGGCGTCTGCAGCCAAAGAATACATCTACATAAGGATGGACGGACAGGTTGGTAATGTTCACCATGTCCAGCTAGCAGAAGGCCTTGATACGGCCCTTACTGGGACTATTTATGTCCACCTAAGAGAGGCCCTCCAGGTGGGTCAGCGCGTTGTGCTGAGTGGCATGGATGGGCCATTTGCTACCAATATACGGGACATCCGTAGACTTGGCTCGCCGCTGCCGCACAACCTTTCCGAGAAGTGCCAGCCCTCGGAGAAATATTTCTCAATGGACGCCGATGGTTATCTTTCGAAAGACCACGACGATTATTTCTCAATAGATGCCCCTGGTATTGGAAGGGCCGTTGTTGGGTCTCCCTTACTCTTGGTGAGGGACGGCGACGATGAGAAGCAGCTGATGACCCGTCTGCGTGCCTGGAACAAATTGCAGGAGGAACGCAGACCAATGGAGCAGGTATCGGAAGCTGACAGCGACAGCGTCGTGGAAGGGATAGAAAAGCCTGATCCCAACGACCCTGTTTCTTTCGAATCCCCTCCTCGTTCGCAAAATGACCCCGAAGAGACCTTCTACAGCCACGATGAGCATCACGATTACAGAGGATCCGTTGAGTCGCTGGTGCGTGAGCCTGTGCAACAGGGCTTTCGGGTTGTTGTATCCAATGTGGCAGACTCGGTATCAACAGACGACCTCAAACAATATATGAGCCAAGCTGGAGAAGTCCTGTCGGTCGTACGTCTTGCGGAGCAATCTGCGATAGTGGAATACGCAACTATGGAACAGGTTCGGCAAGCAATTCTGAAGTTCCATGACGGTGTCCTCATGGGGCTTCCCATCACTGTCCGGGAGATGTTCATACTTAAACGTTCGGAGAAGCTTGTACCCATGGCACGTCCGGATGACGGGGTACCTGAAGACATTCCAGAGTTCGACAAAGATGGGAATGACACTGATCCCGACGATGAAGAAAGTCCTCCAGGACAATCTCATCAGTTCGCTGGTCTTGAAAGCGCAAACAGCCCTCTAGAACGAGCGGGAAGGCTGTGGGCAAGCTTCCACAGTGAATGGCTTCCACGGTGCAATGACTTTCTCATGAATCCTCCCACAACGGCCGAAGAACGTGCAAAGGCCGCCCAGGAATTGCACGATGGCATCACGGCAAATATCAAGACCAAGGTGTATTTAATCAAACCGGATACCACTGAAACCAAGGGATCATTGAGCAGCCTCCTCAAGAAGATCGACCGAGTGATGAGCAGGCTAGATGAAGTAGGGGCCGTAACCGGGGCAGATGATGCCGCGCGCGAGTCTCCCACAACAAAGCCCGAAGAGAGCGCTCCTATCAGATTTACCGATGCGATGAACCGGCAATATGTGTTTCCATGGGAGCTGTGCAACAAATGGAAGGTTAGTCGAATCGAAATTCTCCTTGCTGCAGTTCTAACTTCGGTAGGGTATGGAAGCACTTGTGACTCAATGCTTGACGCAGTTTGAAGACCTGGCGCAAGATTTCGCCGCCGGCTACTACGACCTACTAGGACCTACCAAGCAAATCATCAGACCCCAGGATTGGGAGGATGTCATCGAACCGGGCATGCAGATTACCATGCAGATGTGGGCCCCATCATTCCGATTCGTCCTTCGCGAGCAAGACGCCTCGAACTTGACGGTTCGGGCGCCCATGCATAGGCGGAAGGTACCGTCTGTGGTTTCGGATCAAAAGAGCGAGCTATCTGATGCACAGGAGGAGTATCTACCAGAAGACATCGATGTTTACGTCATGCCGAAGTATAGAAGGCGTGCAAGGAGTGATCCGCGTGTGGGTGTGGATAATCTTGTCCGACCGCAAAACATCGAAACCTCAGTACAACAGCCATTGGAGGATGGATTCTACTATGACCTCTGGAGTCAAACATCGTTGCCTGGGACACCTCCAACTTACGAGCCTCTGGGCGACATCACTGTGCCTCAGACCGGGCAGCGCGCCGAAGATATTGAGACCCCTCCAGATACTTCTCACACCCCATATAATCCACCTCCGTCACCGGGGCAAGTAGGCTCAACTTCCCAACCTCTCCTCGAAGACGCACAGAGAGAGGGCTACGCGCAACCACAGGAAAGAATCCCCACCATCTCCACGACTGCCGACATCCACCACACGTACAACACACAGTTTGAAGGTATACTCCACCCTGGCAGATCCGGACGCCACGTACAACTACCCGAAAGAACCCCCAACATCTCCACCGCTTCCGACATCCACCACACGTACAACACACAGTTTGAAGATGTCCTCCACCCAGGCAGATCCGGACGACACGATGCTGCACATCCGCGCCCGAACACCACGCCCGTGGCCTTCGAGTGGAAGCTCAGCGGCGAGACAGTCTACGTGAGCTGCTCCTATGACGGATGGAACAGCATGTACGTCCTGCTTGAGCACCAGGAGGATTGGCCCGGCAAGTCCCGCGTCCTTCATCTCCCACCTGGGCGTCACCGTGTCCTGTTCCACGTCGACGGAGAGGTGGAGACCAGCCCGGATTTACCCACCGTTATGGATAGTGTGCTTGACCTTCGCGTCAATTACGTCGACGTGGCGGCCGTGGCGCAGGAGGACACGGGGGCATAGTAAAGGTCTTGGAATCAGGGAGTGGCTCAGCCCGTCCGCTGCAAAGAGATGAGATAGGATATGAGATGAGATGAGATTTGATGGAAGATACTTAATGTAGCGCGGGCGCAAGTGGTAGATGGGTGGCTACTCAACAGCTCCTTGAGTCCTGGGTTTCAGTGCTGTGTGTGAGCGTGAGCGTACAAGAGATACTATAATACTATGTACGAGCAGAAGATATCCTAAGGCCAAACAGTACATTCCGAACATACCGTATGCCTTGATCGGCTTCGTGATGTTCCGTAGCAGGACCAGAAGCAGAGGCTTCGAACTGTATACATGGTGGGTTTATATGCGTGCCCGCTGTGGGTTCAAATACAGTATGACATACGCGGAAGAAGTAGACGTAGATGTAGATGTAGATGTAGACGTAGACGTAGATGTAGATGTAGATGTAGACGTAGATGTAGATGTAGACGTAAACCTAGACACGCACGCAGATATACAGACACACATACACAGACACGCATACACAGACGCGGAGAGGAAGGGAGAGGGACGGACGGAGAGGCAGGGAGGGGAATACAGGAGGGTGGAGTGGGAGTGGGGAGTGGAGAGTTGGGAGTGAAGGGAGCAGATACTGTACGTATATACATAATGATAGGATGGCACCATGACCTCCCCCCAACGTTCCGTCCACACAGAATATAATTACCTAGGTATGTATGTACATACATACCCAGTATACGTACGCAGGCGGCAGGGTGGTAAAGTGAAATACTACAGGATGTACCCCGTACATAAGGTATGTACTACGGAGGAACCTCTCATAATTAGCAGATAGATTTATTACTCGCACCTCACAGCTGGAATGACATGTTCGGATAATCACACGAGCAAGCCTGCAGGATACGCGAGGAACCAGGAGATACTGTATATTTCTAAGCACGCAGACTGCCGTAACTCGAGGAGTGAGGCCAAGGCCAAGGCTGAAACCAAGGACTCAGGCCAAAGACCAAGGACAAGGTTTCTGGTAGCAGTATGGAGTACCTAGGTACATGTACGATGCTCGCCGCATGGTCACGTTCTGAAATATATATGCTGTACGTCAACAACGATTGATCGAGCCACCTGGATGGAGGATGTCGGCCCATCTTAAGATGCAGATGCATATACCCTCGTCTGTACTTGAGGACCGAGTGAGGAGCACATGTGCGTGATGTTCCATCCAAGTCGACGACATCCATGGATCTACAGTGGTCCATTCGTGTGGTCCTCGATCCACGGAGAATACCGAGTACAATATGTACCTGGAACTCGGTCCTGTTTCTCAGATACCTACAGTGTACACGGCAATTCGTAGGCCGTATTCCATATCCTTTTTATCCCACTCCCGCGTCTCTGGCGAGTGCGGTGTGTCCGTGTCCATGTGAGGTCTCCCGTCTCAAGGCCTGAGGACTTGTATCCGATCTCATCCTATCGTAGTCCTACCTGGTCCTTGCTGGTGCTCATCTAGGTGCCTGTCCTATCCACATTCTCACGTCCATCCACCTAGAGCGCCGGATCGACATTCATCAAATCATCACTCATAATGTGCAGGACCTGCGTAAATGTGCGGAGTCTCCGACCACTGATGCCATCCATGAGGTTTGCAAAATCAAGAAGAACCCGCCTGGCGCCTTCGTAGCCGCCACTGTGCGCCACGCCTCCCAGGGAGACCATGCCGCCGTACTTGACAAACTGATAGACGTGGCTAAAATGCTCGTCCTCCCGGTTCGTCGTAAGATTCCGTTCGGTGGTAGTGGGGTCGAGGGATTCGTCCTTGAAACCCATGTCGCCTAGCTCGGCCCAGTCGGGTTCTGCCTCCATGAGTTCGACGGGCGCGGTCCCTTGGCGGCCGGAGCCTGGGTTGACCATGAAAAGGTACAGGCCGAGGACGAGCGCAGATGAAAATAGTGCAGTCACGCTGTGGATGGTGACGTTGTCGCTGACCCGTCGCTCCGACATCAGTTTGAACGTCTGAGCCGCGTGCACACAGGCTCTCCTTGCCGCTTGCGTCTGACTCCATTGGGAGATGTTCTCGAGGGCACCGGTGGCAGGTATGGCGCCGTGTCGACCCGCCGCGAGCTCGAACATGCGGAAGTCAGCCAGGAGCATCACGCATAGACTGTGCCAGAGAACGACGCAGTTCGTGTCGTCGATTTTGGCCAACGGACCTGCCGTGTTCATCGCTGCAAGAATGGCCGGCACCAATGTCCTTGCCCGAGCGTCCCCAGAGTACATGTGCCAGGGTATATACGAGCCGATGGTCAGTTGATCCGGGGGCATCAGACGCTGGTAGGCTTCGAGCACCTGGATCTGCAAAAGAGCAAGCAGGCTCGATCGTCCCAAGTAGCCTAGCTTGCTGATAGGCTCCATGTCGTGCTTGTGCAAGTCTTCGATTTTAAAAGTCGGGGCGCTTTGGTTCTTGCCACTTCGAAGAAGTGACTGCCACTGTGTCGCAGATTTGGCCTGGAAAAGCGCTTCGTCGCATGCCGCAACAAGACAGACCGATTCCGAACGAACAATGGGCGCCTTCGACAGCAGATTCGCGTACCACGAGTCACACTGTAGCAATCCCAGGATGAGACGCTTGGCAGATTCTATGCGACTCCACGCCTTCCAGCGGTCATCTGACTCGGACATTTCTGACAGCAGTGCGTCGAGAGATTGCCCATCTCCAGCCGAGAACAGCCCATTCTGCTGCACGATAGCCAGTAAACTGACATAAAGCATCTGACTCTGGTTGAGACAGTCCTTGTCCCCAGTGATTACGGACAAATTGAGCGTCAACAGTCCCGTGGCATACAGGACCATCTGCTGTGTCGGTGACGCGGAACAAGAAGCAGCCGTAGCGAGATCACTGCAAACCCGTTGCAGGAAGCTCGGAAACATTCTGGACACAAATCTCGTAGCACCAGTCGTTCCAAGTATACTTAGCCCAATAAGACATATGGCGAATAGCATGGGTGAAGGTGTATTCCGTACAGAGAAGGTCGCAATGTGAATGAAAGGCACAGTCGGATGAAAGCGGCGGAAGAAAAGTCCCAGTGCAATATCGAGTATCTCGGCAGGCGGAAATTCTTCGGATGGTGGTTGTGACAGCGAAGGGTCGACGACGGGTTGCAATTTTGGTGAATGATATCGGGACGGAGCAGGCGTACGGAATGTATCCCGGAGTCGTACCCTACATTCGGTGTCAAGCCCCCAGTTTGTAGTTGTTCTGAAGTCGTCGGCCACAGGTGACTCTGAGAAGAGGTTGTCCATTGGTGACAAAGCAACTTCTCTCCAAAGAATAGGCATGGAGCGGTACACGCGACCAGGACGAGGATTCCAACATCGCTGAACCCGAGAGAAGCGCTCTCGAGGGACCTTGGCGATGATCTTCGTTCTGTCGACAGGGTCGTAGGCTCTGCCATTCACTAGGTCTTTGGAATCGGCGTATTGGTGGGTATCAGGTAACCCATAAGTCTGCAGAAAATCGGGAGACTGATCCAGATCCCCCAGCGAAGGGAACAGCCACATCTGAAAGGGATCATGGAAGTTGCTTGAGCTGTCTGATTGAGGAAGCCATTCCATATGGTTGTCCGCAAACTGTACGGAAAGATTTGGCGCTATCTCGGACCGGGGAGTCTGGCCGGGATTTTGGGGGGATGTCATGGACGTTTCAAAGGTTGAAACCTCTCCGCTATGCTGCGAGGGAGAAGGTTTTTGACCGTGCGACGAAGTCGAGGTCTTGTTGTTCATGGTGGCGATGGGCGATGGAACGGACCAGGTCGACCCGGGAAGCTGTATGTCAAGGGCATTGTTCTGTGTCGATGACGGGTTAATGAAAGTGTGGGCAACCTCCAACGAAGGGTGTCGGGCGAGCTTGGGCGAATCATTATTGGGTTGGTTGAGGTAGTTGCTGGGTGAGAGGATCTGCATCAACGGGATGCCCGTCGTCGATGCATTGGCAATGGCCGACGGCGAGTTGACGTTGAAATCATCCTGGGCCGGTTGAGGAGGGACGCCCTCAGAGATCGTGTTCCTCCGTGAGTGAGACTGAGTAGCAGGAGCCGATTTGTCGTTCTTCTGGGCATGGCATTTCATATGCCGGAACAGGACATCGCTGGATCATGATTGGCATCACTTTGTGACATTAAGGATGACATGGGGAAGCCATACCTGCGTGAGAAAGCCTTGTCACAAATCGTGCAAGGGTAAGGTCGTTCACGGGTATCTGTGCATGTATGAGTAAAGTTTGTAAGAGGACGTTAGCGCGGGGTCGAGGTCCGACGTACGAGAGCGTTCATGGCGCTTGAAGTGCTCGGTCTTTGTGAAACGACGGCCACACACAGTACACTGTCGCAAGACCATGATGCATATGTGGAGAGGCTGTCAAGAGATGTGGGAGAGGCGGTGAATTGGGAATGAGAATGTGGGAGCGGTGGAGGAGGGGGAAGCGATGGGAAGGTGGCCGGCAGGAAAGATCTAAAGAGGTTCGAGATGCAGACGACGACGCACATGGGCTCAGGGTCCGAAGGTCTAATAGACGCGATGATAGCACATGGCGACCGACTTAGGCGGATGGCGGGCAAAGAGGCAGAGGACAGGCAGATGGCCAGAGTGCGGAGGAAGCGTGAACGAGGGTGCAAGAGGAGAAGGCAGAGGCGACTGGAAGACAGACGGGGCTGTGGAGGCTCCAGACACTCAGGCCAATTGGGTGAGCAGGATTGGCGGGAGAAATTAGCATTTAGGCGGCCGCACACTGGAGCGTCGAAGATTTTCTGGGGTTGGGGCCGCCAGGGTCGCACCTGCCAGCCACAAGTGCGGGAAGGTGCTCCGAGGGCGCGGAGGGAACATCTTGGAGCCGGTGAGTCGGCGCCGAGGGAGAAGTGAACGAACGGTGACTTCAAACTCGTGGTACGGTGTTCCCTCGCATGGGTCTTCTGCGACCGGGGTCGTGAGATCGTGAGAAGGGTCTTGGTGTCGCCCGACTCGGTCCTCGCTTTGCACCCGCCTCTGGTGTCTGCCTCCACAATGTCCGTCCTTCTGGTGGATCTGGTCGGCCAAAGAAGAATCTCCGGCCGGATCGAGGCTGCGCTTAGACGAGGCACAGGGACGGAGGCGAATCTGGAGCGTGGGGAATTTCCGGGGCTGATCACGTTTCGAGTGTCGCATCTCAAACTCGGGTGAAAGTGACGACACCACGACCAGAGTATACAAAGTAGTACGTGAGTGGCTCAATGTGAGGGGAACCACTGGGAATGTCATTGTTGACCTGCCACTGTCTTCACTGTGGCTCAGAGTGCTGAGCCATATCAGCCATCGTACCTGCGACCTTCCTAGGAAGTTCTGTACCCATAGCGTTGCTGGTAATATCCATACAAAAGCTCCTCCAGAGCAGTCCGTAATTGATCACGCCGACCCCATGCGCCGCACCTTATCAGTGTCGCGCCAGCAGATCCGGCAGCCAAGCGCTATGCTAAAGAGCATGCAAGAGAATTGAAAGTGCCCTTCGTCGGCCACTACGGCGGGTAGATACCCCAAGGATCCTCTCCCTCGCGCAACAACCAGACGGTCGACTGACAGTTGCCTTTCCCACGGACAGCATGCTTGCCACTGACGGCGTCGCCATCGTTGCACGGGCTGTCAAGGATGGCCTGAGCCGCCGCGGCAGCTTCGAGCAGCGGAACTTGACAGTCCTCATCCCAGTCCTCGTCATAACTCAGGTAGACGTGACATTTGACGCCAGGCAGGCCCTGTGGGAGACGCGTGGGTTAGCATATTGTACCTCGTAGTGATAGCTCCAGCGAACCGAAGAGAGAAGGAAGAGGCTGCCGACCTACCGCAATTTCAACGCCGGTGTCACGCTTCGCATCTTTCGCAGGAATCAAGACAGGCCGAGCAGGATTGGCGTAAATGTCGTTCAAGGCATCAACGCAGTCCGAGGTACAGACGTGCTTGTTCGGGTTGCAGACGGCGCCGTCGTCGGCGGCAGCTGCCAAGGTGGCACCACTCATAGAAGCTTTCCAGAGCATCTTGTATCCTTCCATCTGGGGAGTATCGCGGGGCAGGCGCACGCCGGGATGCGAGAGCGCCGGAGCTTGTTGATCGTTCGGGAGTGGCTCGTACGTGTCGCAGTCGACCCAGACGAATACCGCGACCCCACGGATAGTGTTGCTATGGAGGTGTCAGTCAGTATCGAATCTCATACGGTCTCTCTGGCTGGCATTGTCTGCGGAAGTACAGACTTCGACGCGTCTATGATATGACGAGAGTAGCAGCTAAACTTACATGTTGGCGAACTGGTCATTACCTTTAAAATGAACCACCTCGTAGGCGCATTGATTCTGCGAAGCACCGTCACATTAGCATCATATTGTGTCCACAAAGAACAAATCACCATGTCCCTGCCGGCAACGCAGAACTCACCGCGATGGTCTGAACCTCTATACATCCTTCCCGTTCACGGTTCCAGTAGAGGTGCTTCTCAGTGTACGATCCACATGTGTCCTTGGCGACTGTGGCCACGTTAGGAGCTTTTTGACCCGTGAGAAGAGACAAGACGACTTACAAGGGATGAAAGTCCAATAGCCGCAATCTGCTCCCCCTTTGTCAGTAGTGTCCGAGCCAGAAACTGCAACTGACCGTCTCGTGTCTTGAGCGTCACAGACGCCTTGAACCCCTGGCTGGTACCGCCCTTCCAGTTATAGCCTCCGTTGATCCCAATGCTGAGGATTTTCTTCATGCCAAAACTGATCGAGGTTTTGAGCTTGATGGCGTATCCTTGATGTATGGACTGAGACAGGGTGCAAGCCTGAGGACCTTGACAACCCGGCGCGCGGACGAACGGCTGCTCTTGTGCGTACGAGAAGGTCGTTCTCATCTGACAGAAGCTGCTGCAATCGCGGTCTTGTTTGAGGTTGTCCCCTGTGGGTTCTTTGAGGTCGTCTTCGCACGCGCCGGACGGGGTCAAGTGAAATTTCGCGGGGCAGCTGCTTTCCCAATATTCCTGTGAGCGGCGTCAGTCTCCTTTGGTGTAGATGGACAGCCGCCTCACGAATGACACCACATATAGATGATAGAGGTGGGGGAAAACATCGGCGGTGACCGTGAGAGTGACACGATAGTTGCATGATAGAGGTGGGGAAGACGTCGGCGGTGACTATGAGAATGCCACACTTACATGATAAAGGACAGGAAAAACATCGTTGTCCCATTCACAGATCGAGCCCAGGAGACCCGACCCGTTCGTGGGAAGTGCCAGCGTGGTTAGAGACAGCAGACCGAGAACCAGGACGAGGGTGATAGAGAGCGGCGTGCCGGCCATACCGACGACGTCGAAACGCATGGTACAATGAAAATGACAATTGAAGAAAGGACAGCACACGATGTGGTAAGAGGGTGAGCCAATCACATCGAAAGAAAAGAGAGCAGGAGACGTGTGTGGTAAGAGAGTGACGGTAGAGAAAGAGATCGGGGCAGTCTTACTCTTCTCCGAGAGATCCATCATTTCCAGACTCAACAAGTGCTGTGCACACGAAAGACACATCACTTGGCGGAGTCCATCACCATTCACTGTCCCGCTTCACGGATAGGCACGTGCGTGAATGGCAAGAAAGGTAGAGACCAGTGTAGCTGGAGGACGACAGGTGGGCCTTTGTCATTGAGCTGGAGATGACGGTTCAGGAAAAGCAGGCAGGCTTGATATCATCAAATGGATCGCCGTAGACATTTTTTGAATATTCAATATATGTCATGTCATTGATCGCAGACAATTTTAAAAATGTTCAGTATATGTCAATGTGACTGACCTGGGCCCAATGCTTCCCTTCAGTTTTCTCTTTTCCCATGCCAGGCATCACATCACTAATGACTCTCACCCGTGACGTGGGTGCGCTTGTGCATACGAGCCAGCCAGGTCCTGCTGGTGGCCACGCGGATCCTCTTCCCGAAGAACATAAACACCAAGAGCAAGAAGTCGTTGGCGGCCAAGACGCCGCAAAACACGCCCGCAATGATGGTGACGTATCCGCTCTCGACGATCCAGTCGAGGATCTTGAATCCAAAGCCGAAAGAAATGGCCTGCTTGCCCAGGTTCATGGCGATCAGCATTTCCGACAGGTTGACCGTGTAGCTGTCCACGGCGTAGGCGAGGGTGAAGGTGAAGTAGAAATACGCGGACCAGTTGCACATGGCCACACCCGCAAAGTATCCGACCCAGTGGAGTTGGCGTTGCGCGGTGTAGCCGTACACGATCAAGCTGGCGGGTCCGATCAACATGGCGGGGAGCAGCACGCCCAGACGCATCTCGGCCTCGCGAATGCCGCCGTTCTTCTTCGTCAGGTACGCGGCGAGTCGATCGGACGAGGTGGTGAAAGGAACAGCCAGAAGATACCCGACTGCGTTACCCACGGCGATCAAGCCGGAGTTGGTCTATTTTCACATGTTAGCGGACGAAATCTTCCCACCAGGATATTCTCTGCCTACCTGAGACCAATTGTAAGGGGGGGCCACGATCAGGGCAGGGAAAGTGTAGTTGAATGCCAAAGCTCCGAGACCAATGTAGATACCGTAGGTCGCCACGACCCAGAACACCGAGGGGACGGCGAAATAGGTGAAAGACCGCGCAATGGTCATGAAGAAATCCGCTTCAGGGTCATAGACGCCCCATGGCTTCAGGGTTTCGACGAACGTCTTCCGCAGTGGGGCGGCGTTCGAAACCTCTGTAAACGCGCCCTTCTCGTCCGTGGGTGAGACTTCCACAGCTGCCCCGAGCCGCCTCTTCATCTCGTCGCGCTTGTACCAGGTCTCCTCGACGAAGAAGAAAGCCAGGATGAACAACGCGCACGCAAAGGCGAATTCGACGTAGAAGAACAGGCGCCACGAGTAGCCACCTGCAAGCATATAGCCGGCATAGAGAGGTCCGGTCGCGCCCAAGCACAAGCAAACCGTGTAGTAGCCCAGCCTCTGGCCGCGTTCGTGCAGGAAGAAGATGTCGTTGACCAGTTGCACGGGAAGTGCCTCGCAGACTCCCGATCCGAAAGCGTGGATGATCCGGCAGGCCATGAGAGTGCCATACGAATTGCATTGTGAGCAACCGATCAGACCAGCAGCAAACTGATTCATCCATTAGTAAAGACCCGCCGAAAGCGGTAGAACAAGCAACTTACGAAGATGATCGAGATCAGCATCACAGGTCGACGGCCAAATTTGAGGTACATGGGAACCAGAAGAAGCGATCCGAATCCATAAGCCAAGTTGGGATATGAGATCAATCCCGAAGCAGTTGCCGGGTCGATTCCGAACGATTCCGAGAAGATGCCAATGTAGACCGAAGGGCCCAGCAACGACGAATTGCCCAAGAAAGAGTACGCGGCGCAGATACACAAGATCATGGTCTTCTTGAAATTGCCCCATTGGAGGGGGTCGTTGGGATCATCTGCCGGGACGGGAAACAGAGCTTGTCCATAGCCAGTATCATCACCCTCTATAGAAGAGGAGGTTAGCAGGTGTTCCGATACCTCGGTGACTCCCTACATACCTTGAGCCTGCAAGTTCACAGTTCCAGGAATGTCCTCTTCATGAGCGTGACTGTACGGGATGTCAGCAGGACAATTGACAGTGTGGAATAGAGGGTTGCGTCACGAACCTGTGCTTGAGGTGCGCCGGATGGTGCGCGTGTTCATGATGGTCTCCAGCCATGTTGGCGTTTCAGATCGATGCCTCTTGGAGGAACCACAAGCTGAGTCTGGGACAGGGAAAGAAGCGTGGTCGAGGGAGAGGAACTAGGGCATGCGTGGAGGGAGGAGGGATCGATCGTCTTTCATAAAGGAAGCGAGATCTTTTTCCTGGCACGCCTGGCTGGCATGGCCCATCGTCCCCGCTGAGGTCGCGCCAGTGCTTTTCCACCTGCTATCCTTGGCTGGAACAGTCCAGGGGACCGCCGACAGTGCCAGAGGGGTGGGGCGACGAGGCGGGGTCTCCACCACTCGGGCATGGGGCCACCGGGGCTCCTGTCGGCCCTGTTGAGCCCCCGGAAATACGCCAGTCCTTGGGTCCAGTGGCCACAGTGGGAGGCGTCCTGGCTCTGGAGCCTTTGCCTATACGGGCTCGACCGGCTCAACCGCCCGCCAACAGCTGGCTTGCGGTAGATAGCTGCTGCGCTAAGTGCCTGGATCGAGCCCAAAAGAGTCTGTTCAGGATTGGGATCTTCGCGACAACGTGGATCGCCAGATCCATCCTTCGGGGCTGCCTCTGCTCGCGACCCAGTAATCAGAACGCATGCTTGCCACCTTGTCGGGTCCGATTCCTGCAGTGTCACTGCCCCAGACTGCTTAAGGTTTAAAAGTGTTGGGAGACCATATGCCATGTGCGTCGAGACAATCATAGCAAAGAGATCGAACAAAAGACTTATAGCTAGACGAAAAGCTTGTCGCGGCGTCGGTCGGTGCTAAGGGGCAATCGTTGCTTTGCTTCGTCCTCTTGTCGACGACGCTGGCGAGCACACGTCAAGCAGTTCGTAGTTGTCACACATGGCGTTCGGATTGAGATCTTCCTCAACAAGCTTTGGCGAGCGTACGTCGAGCTAAGGCGGCACGGGCAAGGGAGCCATGCATGTCTGTGTTCGCCTTATCTTCTTGTGCATAAAAGCTTACCCATCCCATCGTCTTGGCCGCCAAGTTGATTCGCGACAATGTGATGGTGTTGATGTGGTTGACAATGCGTCTACCGAATATCATATCCACTTGAGTCACATAATTAAGATGTTGATAAGAACACACTGTCAAAGCTTGAGCGCTGTTTGGTGCAACCTGATCTGTGACCTAAACGCCCATGCAATACCCGCTCATGCCGCGTAACAACACATACAGAGTACACCCAACGTCTACCAACAGTTCTGTGCACCTTCCTCTCTGCTTTGAAGTTGTGTCAATCAGTCGATCAGGTAATCATAGCCGGCTTTGCGCTTTTGACTCGCGCTTCATCTCTGCGTCCAGTCAGTACAAGTAATTCCTTCCTCGTATGTGCACTGGGAGCAGGGAACCCAACTCACCTTTCCAGGCCTCCTCAGCCTTGGCTTCGGCATCCCAGCTCCAGATGAATTTCTGGAACTCCGGATCCCCCCACTTGTCGTCACTGTCACCACCGGCTGACAGGGCTCTGAACTTTGCATCACGAGCCTCTTGTTCGGGCCCATCAGGCAGATGAAGGGCCGCCCGCGTCGTGAGACAGGACTGTTGGATATGTTCGGCGCGGGCCTTCTGCGCCTTCTCGAAGGCCAGGAGCGCCGTCGGGATTTCGTCCTTCGATGATATCGAAGACAAGACCACTCCCAGGGACGCAGCGTCCTCGACCGCCTGCGCGGCGCCCTGTGCGACATATGGTCTATTTACCATGGTTAACGTGGACTCTCTGAAACAGGTGGCTCCGATAACTTACAGCATGGGATGGCAGGCATCCCCCATCAGGGCGCACGATCCTCTCACCCAGCGCAGCAGCGGCATGTGCATGCACAGCTTCCATTCCAAGACATCGCCCTCTGGGACGAGATCGAGCATCTTGACCAGGTTCGGATCCCAGCCATCGTAGTCGCCGAGGAGGTTGTCCTTCGACGTCACGGTGGTCCAGCTCTCGTCGACGCGACCACGATCCGGGTGAGCCAGCGCCATGTTGTAAATCTCGTGGTTCCGCACCGGATAAGCAATAATGTGCCTCCCGGGTCCGATCCACCGAATGGCCTTCTTCTCCTCAATGAAGGGCTTCAGCTCTGGGTAGTTGCTGAGCATCTCCCGGGTAAGGACGACTCTGTAGACAGCATCTCCCGTCGGGATGGCGACGTCCTTGTCGTCTCCGAGAAGCTTCCCACGAATCATGGATTTGATGCCATCGGCAGCGAGCACCACGTCACCATGCACCCACGAGCCGTCATTGAGCTTTACGGCCGCCGGGCTGAATTGCACGTCGTCGACCCTCGTGTTGGTCTGCAACTTGACATTGGGCAGCGCCAGGGCTTTCTCAAGCAGAGACATCTGCAAGTCGGCCCGATGGACGACGAACTGCTCGCCGTGTTCCTGGCTGATCGGGACACTGCCGAGAAGAGTACCGCCCTGCCAGCGCAGGATATGGATAGCCTCGAGGGCGACGCCGGTGCTGCGGACCTTGACGCCCGCTCCTAACCGGTCCAGGATGCGTGTCATGTTGGGTGCGCACTGGATTCCTGCTCCGACTTCGGCGATCTCAGGAGCGAACTCAATGAGATGCACATTGTGGCCTCGTTTTCCTAGTGATAGCGCCGCGGCAAGCCCTCCAATTCCAGCCCTGGTAAATGACCACTCAGCCTTGCTCGTTACCTGCTGTGAAGAAAGCGCCCTACTCACCCGACTATTATCACCTTTAGCGGCACCTTCGCTGGCGCATACTGTCTCTCCCTGTTCGCTTCCGAAGTCAAACCCATCTGTGCTGTGGCTGTCCGTGGCTGATTTCTGCACGCAGCCTCGCCAAGGATGTTACAAAGCGGAGTAGCTCAACTGGCACGAAGCAAGCAAGCGACGAGCTTTAGCTCCTGTCTCGAATGTATCGTCCCTTTTGGGATACGAGACACGTAGATCTAAATCCCCTCGGGGCCCGCGTGAGTCGTTCGTGAATGGTGGATCGTGCCGGGCGTGTCGAGGGAGACTGTTGGAAGTAATGTGGTCATTGATGAAGTCGCGGTGATCAATAAAAAGACCGGACTTGCTCGATCTTGACGAGGCTTCATTCCCCCCGGCCAGAGGGCAGTTTCTCCCGATCGTGGGGCCGTTCCAGTCGGCAGATAAGCAGGCAAGCCTGACCCCACGGACTCGCCCCGGGATTAGATGCGGAAGGCTTGGGGAGCTCTGGCGCGGGCGTCAGCGCCAGGACGTGGGCCGGACGAGCACGCCGTTGGCACCACGCAGGCGCGGGCTCGTGGGCGGATGGCCCTAGGAAACATGACGATCTCTCCATCTGCCGGCTGCAGTATCAAGCTCCTGGCTGGATGGTTCATGCTTCTCGCTTGTGCCTTCGGCACGCATGTACGATCATTGGTTCGCCCCATGACGCATAGGCAATGGCGCGCAAATTAACTAGCACGTTACGACATGACGATCTTGATGAACGAACATGAGAATGCCCATGGCAGTTGCATGGGTGCGTAAGGCCGAATCTTGAGGCGACAGCGGCCGCTTTGGCGAGGAGGTACGGCAGGCAGCAGCAGGCTAAACAGCATTTGTGCTGGCAAAGAAGACAGTGAGGTGAGGGCGAGGTGGAAGGGGATCTGGAAAAAGGGCAAACATCAAGACAAAGCTCAGAAATCACACGCCTCGTCGTCTCGCTCTTGGGAAGCCTCAATGTCAGGCCAGTGCGCGTTCTAAAGTTCCTTTGCGTCCATCAGAAATATCGGCTCGATTTTGATTCACAATTAAAACTGGGTATGGTGTGTAATGTAATGCTCGGTCCAAAAGTCGACCAACTTTGCAACGTCCGTCCCATTCCTTCGTAGCCTTTCGTGCCCCATTCCATGACAAAAAGCCCATTGATGCTGGAAAGATGTGAAAAAGAAGCGCAAAGGGGGACTCGGTCACAAACACAAAGCCAGAAGAATACACGATACCCAGGGCACGCAGGGAAAGAAACCGAAGAAGAAACCGGGACCGATCAAACGCCCAAAATAACCCCCCTATTTCCTGATCGCGCTTCGTACCTGGCACCCCTCCAGAAGCAGAAAAGCGGAATTGCAATCGAAATCCCATCCACGGAGCCAACAAGAACGATAGCCGAGGAAGAAACCCGCAAAAAAATCCCTGAAAACCCGCCTTTTCAAATGCAGAAATGCTCGTTCCACGTGTCTCACTATGCTCCCTCCCTCGCTATGCACCAAAAGAAAACCGACTGTTTGTGCCTTCCTGCGCTGTCCTGTGGTCCAGGGGGCGGCTGTCCAAGAAAGAACTGTGGGTACAATCCAGATGAGAGCACGCGTCGCGCTCAATGACCGACCTCGAGAAGGTGCCGGCCGCTTCTCTAGTATGCCATCTGCAAGGCACATATTCAGCCAGAAGTTGTTTTCCGGGAACCCATCTTGTCCCTTGGTGAAGAATTGAGGCGTTCTGTATTTCACCGTACTGCCCATCACTGCCCCTAGCCCTGCAGCTACTATTGGAACCCTTGGTTCCATTGACCTCCTGCCTGACCTTGGCTCTGTGCGCCAGAAGGCCAGCTTTGGCCATGCTGCTGGTTTGACATGTACTGAGACTGGCCGCCCATCTGATACATCCCTCTCTGGGCGCCGCCCATGGCCAGAGCACCGTACCCGGCAGCACCCATGGCCTGCAGTCCAGCTCCGGGCCCATATAGCTGCTGACCTCCAAGACTTCCGGCACTGCCTTGGTGATGGAGCATCGGCATATGTGGTGGTTGCATCTGTTGCGGATGCGGTGGTGGGCTAGCATGTGCACCGCCCGGTAGAGGTGAAGGTATTTGCCCCTGTGCAAGATTGGGAGAGAATTGGGGGGTGGTCATACGATGAATGCCCGGTGAAGGGTGAGGTTGAGGTGGTGGGGCTCCCCAGCTCGGTTGTTGTTGTTGCTGCTGTGGCTGTTGCTGCTGCTGCTGGTTCATAGCATGAGGAGAGAACCCACCACTTCCGAACGCCATAGGCTGTTGAGGGGGAGCGGGTTGCGACATTGTTGATAGGCTCGATGATGATCTCGCATAGCCCGGATGCTGAGGCGGAAATTGTGATGAATCACGTGTGGTGTATTGCTGAAGACTTGGTTGCCGGACGGGGGATTGTATCGGAGGCTGCTGGTGAGTGAATGGTGGAGGATGCATCGGGGCCTGAAGGGCCTGAGTAGAGTGAGACATTGTGTTCGGTTGAGTAGATGGTACGTCGGTTGAGGGGAAACGGGGGGATGAGAAAGGATGGTTTGTAGTTGCCGCTTCGGCTTCGACTGGTGGAGGTGTTGATACTGGTGGCTCGTGAGGTCTGCGCCAGTAGTCTTCAACAATACCACGCCGATACCTGTTCTGTTGGTTGATGGTCTTGCTGTACTCGGCTGCATGAGCGGCCTGACTGGTCAATTCGGCGTCGGAACTGGAACGTGTGAGATCCTGGTATGGCGGTCCTGTAATTTCATGCCGTGGGCGTACGATATCTTTGTATCGCGATTCATAGGCCGGGTCAAAGGAGGCCAGTTGAGCCATGGTCGACGCAATCCCAGATTGCAGAGCCGGGGGTTGGACTGTGCCATAGCCCGGTCCATTGCTGTAGACGATATCACCGTAGCTCGCGGCCACGGTTGCTCGGGCATTCAACTGGTCCTGTGCTGCCGCTTCTCTGGCTCTGGCGGCACCTGGTCGCTTTTCGCCGGCGGCATCTTGCTCCGTGAAACCTTGCTTGATGGCTTTGGCCTCCCAGTAGTCGTCTCGCACTCTCCGCCCGTCTTTGATGACACGGCTGCCGAATTGACGGAACATGGAGCGCGCCGTCACCACGGCAATCTGCCTCGACCTGTACGAGTAGGGCAGGATTTCGCGGTTGACAAGCTCTTCCTTCTCCTTGACGCTCGCGATGATCTTGAACAAGGACCTATTCTTGTTGAAGAGCAGGTACGAATCTCGGTATTGGAGCTGGCGTGCGCATTCAGTGGCGAGCATAAACAGCTTCTGCCCTCTACCGGGCAGGACGAAGGTTCTGATTTTGTACTCGCGCCCGCCTTGGAGATAGCCTAAATGATCCACCTTCTTTTCGCCCGCCTCATCGACCTCGCGCGGCTGATATTCGTCTCCTTCTGGCTTCAGCACATCGCTCGTGTGGTCCCTAACCGTCGGCAGTGCCTTGATGGTGGATTTGGGGATGGTGCGTGGTGGAGAGGTTTGTGTCGGCGTCAACGCTGGTGGTTGTGAGCCTCCTTGGATCACCGGTGTGTGGTTTTGGTCGGGCGAAGTTTGACTGGATGGGGTCGGGAAAGCGTCAATATGGGAGGTGAAGTCGGCGGAAGCCCTGGGTGTTTTGGCTGGCCGGCCACGTTTGCGCGGGCCTGCAGCACACGTCAGCATAGGGCTTAGGAGACTGGCGCGCCGGTAGAAGGCTTGCGCAGACTTACCATCGTCGTCGCCTTGATGATATTCGCTATACTGCTCGGGCGATCGACTTCGCTTGACGCCGCGTGGGCCGGATTCGGTCGATGATTGTATCAATCCACCTGTTACGCGCACGATGTCAGTGAGCGCACACAACTATGGGTACGACTGCGAGATCGTTGCATCGAGGTGATGATGCGTTCAGGACCGCAGCGAATCAAGACTTGATCGACATGAGAGCCTCATGGTCTTCCCAGTGGTCAGGTCAGGAAACCAATGAAACAGAGCGTACCACTAGCGTTCAAAGCTGCAGGATTGATGGTTCCTGAACCATCGCTCATGGCGCCGACACCATTCAAAACATTTGTAGGCTGGCGAGTAGGTGGATAGATGGACATCTCAGGGCCGGGTCGATGAAAGGGTGGTGATCGCGGTGGTGGTGGTGGTGATGCGCAGGCTCTGCACCCGCATCAGCACGCCAGGGAGCTGCCAGGCAGCACAAAGTTGAGTGCGACCCAGACTTGGAAGATTTGGGAGAGGGTGCCTGCGTCGGGTGAGTCGCTCAGCTCGGCGCCTCTCGAGCAATGTGCGACAGTAGGAATATTGGAGTGCGACGACGATGCCGACGGCGACAGGTAGGAGGGTATAGGCGGAGCGAGGCGTGCACAAAGGTCACAGGCGTGCAGCAGTAAAGTTAGCGAGGATGACGAGGGTGATGCTGGGAGCCAGTGGCCGTGGGCGGAAGGTAGATTCTGGTGGAGGAGGACGGCAGAGGATGCAGCTGGAGCTGGGGGTGGTCTTAGTGTTGCAGTAGTGTCTCTTGTCCCTCTTGAGCCCGAACGAGACGCCTGTTGGTCGGCTGGATACGCCACGGTTAGCAGTGGTGAACTGCTCATCCGCCGCTGGGTGGAAGTACGAAGTACAGACAGAGGAACGGGCGACGGCGCCTGGAGCCTGCAGCTGCAAGTCAAGAGATGGCTCTTCCTTTTTCTCGCTGCTCGGACTCTGTGTCTCACTTGGTCAGTGTCTTCCTGTTGTGTGGTCTGGGCGGTCGTCAGTCACAGTTTGTTCGGCCGGTACCCCTCGCGCCCAAGATTAGGCCTGAGGGTTCGTAAAATGACGACTTTGCCGAGGGAACTCGAATTTGGCGGCTGGGAGGACGCGCAGCCAACTGGTGTTAGTGGTGGCGACCGCCGCAAGTGATGACAATTCTCGACTTTGGAGACGACTCTGCAGCGCCTTGATTGGGGGACGAGTTGATGGCTCGGTCAATATAGAATCTGGGGATTCTGCGATCAGACCAGACAGCCGGCACAGTGATGATGATGTGGGTTAAAGTTGGAAATCCACCGTGCGCGAAATGACCAGATGACGGTCAGATCTGGCTGGATACTGAGTGGCACCTGGCACTTGCAGAAAATAACAGATACGGCGACTGTCTAATGGTGATGAACTACTCCGTCTGCTCTCGGTAATATTAGTGCACGGCGTTGGAGAGGGATCGATGTTGCTCCGAGAAGCACGCCTAAGTAAGTCACAGACCCCAGTCGCCTCTCGAGGCGGCACGCTGCGGGTGCTTGTTCCAGGCAAAGTGGCTAACTAGTGCATCTGAGCACTGCGTATGATCCCTGCACGGCGGCCAGTGGATCTCGCGGTGGGTTTAGAGAAGGTGCTTCCGCAGTAATCCCGGATGCTCGGAAATAGGCTGATGCCGAAGAACGCAAATCGACATGCGCGGATGGCTGGACGGTCGACAGTGATTGGAATACCGTCGCTATTTGGTATAGACGTGGATTGGATCCAGGAGCTCGGAGAGTAGAGCCTCGCAGCAGGGTGCGGGAGATGTGCGGCCACAGATACACTGGGTGAACAAGGTAGGAGGCACGAGAGAAGAGATGGAGGGGAGTGGAGAGCAGTCAGCGACTACAGGACAAGGATCACAGCCGAGCAATATTCTTGTGTCGAGTCGGCCAACTCGGGAAGTGGTGGGGACGATGAGACTGTCAAGAGAGAGTCACGCAGCGTGCCTGATAGGGACTCCCGCGCGAGTACTGCTTGGAATGTCAGATGTCTGCCGAACAAGCCCGAGTTCACTTGCGTGTCGATGTCTGGTGCGCCTTGTACACCGTAGCCTGTAGGCTGATGTCGGGTTCAATCCTCGGGTGGACGGGGTGCTGCAAGAGACAGAAGCAGGTGGCAGATGCACATGCAGCAGCGGCAGCTTGCGATATTGCAGCATACAGCGAGATGCGGTTTAAGCGGCACATATGCGGCCAGGGTGGGACGCTCTGAGGCGTCTATGAGCACACTTAGTAGCGGAGAACAGGGACCAGGGAATAGTGAACAGGGGTGGGGCCACCAGATGAAGAAAACTGTGTACCGAGTTGCAGTGCTGCGCGGTGTCCAACGCCTGGACAGTGCACAGTAGTTGTTCTCTATTGGCGGGTCGATAGGTACCTAGGTATGTTGAAGGTGCCTAATGAATAAGAGCCTCCGTCGCGCTTTTTCGCCTCTGACTCGTACGAGGTGCTCGATAGCCTTGGCTCGCGTTGAGAGCGGCATTCTCAGAAGTAGCCTGTTGGGCGGCTCTTCGCCTTCCTCGCCTTATTGAGCATTGAGCTGCTACTCTTTCAATCACATTTGTCGCAACATGCTGAGTGCGGGGCTCACGTAGCAGGATACAGTCACAGTGCTTGATGGCAAACATGCCAGGCGCTCCGACCGCAGGAGGTATCTTTGTTCCTGGTTTAGGTAGTACCGCCTGTCGCTTCTGCCTTTGCAGCTGAAAAGAGCGTTCATCTTCGGGTCGTCTCCGGGGTCCACAGCTTAGGGAGTCATGTGGCACGCATCGAGCACAAACTCAATCGCGTCCATGTGAGGTGCATGGCACTGGTAGACTACTGTATGTCTCCAGCTCTTAAATCCAGCCATGAGAGCCCAGCCGTCGCATCAACTCTCTCTTCATCCTTCACTGGCATTTGTCGCCCGTGGTTCGAGGCCCATTCTTTGACAGTTGTGCTGCCCGCGGCACCGTCGAGTGAAAGTAAGTTCGTGCCTCAAGCTGGGCTCTTGGTACAGAGTATGTTGCATCGAGGTCTGCTCGATTCCGGGTGTCAAGTTTCTTTGTCGTCTCTCGCTCGTAGCCCTCTCGTCAGCCAGTCAGCTTGCAAGGCCAGTGCGCGCGTCGAGTCTCCATCTTTCTGCACAGGTCATCTGCTCGAACGAGACGTTGACATCCCTGCTCGTGGCGGAAATGTCTATCCATGGTTCTCCCTCTTCGGTCATCGCGATGCACTCGCGAAATGCCTCCCGTCCACTCATGGCCCAGCCCTCTAAGAGTCGGAGCGGCCGCTAGGCAACTTGTTACTTCGCGATAGCCTCGAGTCCCAAAGAGTGCAACGCTTCGAGGCTGCATTTCTTGATTTCATTTCCTTTCGCTCGCCTGCACGCCCCGCGCCAACCTAGCGGCCTTTCGCATCGGCGAGTCACCCGGAGCCATTCTGTCAGCTGATACAATTGGTTATCACGTCGAACGGTCCCCATGACCAAGTGCCTGGCCAATGATGGTTTGCGTTTCCCCCGTTCAGTCATCCACTTACGCAGTGGGATGGGGACGCGTCCACGCCTTCTCGCACGATCAGCGTCTTTGCTCTCTTCCCAGCAGGGTTACTCTTGCAAGCATTCGAATATCCAGTACGGCGTTCCTGGTTAATCTATCGATCGCTTTCGAGCACAAGCCACTGCGGAGTGCTGAGCGGGGTATCGCTCGTTCAGGCATTTGTACCATTCCTGTTCATGGGATGTGAAAGTGTTCGGGCTTTTCGCAAGTGTCTGATGTCTTTTCGTCATCGTCTTGTTCCGATGGGTCATGCATTCATGCATCTTTCAAAGCATGTCTGCCAGAAAGGAATCCCTTGCGGCGCTTATGCTTAGTCTGAGCTCTGCCGCACTGCTGATTGAGCGTCCCCGGATCAGCGGCCGCATAATGGTCGTGGATCTGGCCGTGGAGTCTCTCCGTCTCGAATCGCCTTCCCAGTACCTCGTATTGCTCGCGCTCGCATGCTCGTCCTCGCGACATCGCACAATGCCTATATAGACTAAAACTGCCTTTTCGCGGCCGCTAGATGCCTGCCACGAATTACAGGCCTGAATGAACGCCATTTGAAGCATATGTCAATGTGCTCGTTCCCAAGTGTAGCAATTTATGACAAGCTGAGCAGGCCTGGAAGAAGCTCCCAAGCGAGCACGGAGCATCAGGAATTTCTGTCCGTGTATTCTTGCTCGGTGCTTACCGGATCGTTAGCTTTTAGAAGTACGGAGTACATGGTCATCTGGAAGAGTCGTCTTCGCAATGACGACAGCGTACAGTCGGCGACCTTCCTCCCCAACTGAAACGCGCCATGACGAACCTAATATCACGCTTTGAACATTCGGTCAGTCTACAAGGACCGGGAACGAGAAGTAAATACACAATCGCAGTAGAGCGATGCTAGCGAGCACGAGGATAGAAAAGCTGCCCCTGGTAAATATTATGTGCTTGGGAAGGCGTGCGGGCAGACATTATTGCTCGCGCCTTCGTGCTGTGTAGAGCTTCCCCACTCTGACTCGACAGGCCGATGGCATTGCTGAGCATATCACGAAAGATCCGACCTGGAAAGGGCGCCACATTGCGTTGCAAGGTCTTCTGTGGCGAAAATGCACCGGGGCTATTTTCCCATGTTTGGTCTTCGGGACAGGGTAAAGCCTTGAAGTCGCCAGTTGGGTGCCAGTTGGCACCGAAGCGGGCCCCTGCCAGTGATCAACAGTGACTGAAGCTCATGCCCTTTCGGCCCGGTCCAGGACCTGCACACATGCACAAGGGGTCAAGGAATTCGAAACACGTCCGAAATGATGGTGTTGGCCGTTGCGATCGTGATGGTGTGCTACAGCCAGCTAACGTGTCGGCTAGGCACGACCGACGGGAGCTTAGGGGACGAAGGCAATTCCACTCTCCGCTCTCGGTAAGCTTTGATCCTGGTTGACCATGTGGGTGAGCTGCCACCAGCGACACAGCACATTCTCATTCTCTAGCAGGACTCTGCATAGAATGTACGTCCGCAACGTCACAGGACTCCAGGGATCTTTTCGCTTTTGACATTGACCTGCAAAGGTCAGACGTGGCGCGTCGCGCAGCGATAACGTTGACACCGTGTACTGAGCTTCACCGGATCGTCTGAACCTAGGCCCGCTTGTCACACCTCGGAACAGACGACGCGAGCCGTCCTCGCAGTGCCAACCTGAACCCTGCCGCCGCTGCTAGTGACGTGCATCGGATTATGCAAGATTGCTCAATTGCAAGGTTGAAGTGGGTGTGTGCTGCGCTGGCCCAAACGGATTGACAATAAATGTGATTATTTCGTTTCGCCCCGCCTCAAAGGCCCATCGTGTAAGGAGATCTTGCATCCGCCTTTTGTCTGTTGTGAATTGCACACACAGCTTTCCAAGCCGGTTCCGTAGTGGGTGTGTGCTGGCCGATTGGCTGACGGCGCCGCCATTCCCAGCTATTGGGTTCGTGACACCTCAAGCAAGCAGGACAAGTGGAAACTCAGCTACACGTCACGGAGGACACATCTCGTGCAACGAGGGCTGCACGCTTCTGTTGTGACCAGTGACTCAGAGGCGGTGCTCTGAGGTGTTTCCTGTGTCTAAGTAACAGAACCATGGAATTTCAGTGTTTCAGCCATCGACACTGAGTTGACCTTGAGAAGACAAACAACGTAATTATGGAGGTGATGGAGCAAGAGACTACCTACGGTACAGGGACGCAGTCACTCATCCAAGCTGAAGAGCAGCCTACCCAGAGCTCCTTCCGTACTGTCCAAGTTTGCCCTATTCAATCTTCTGTCACTCGATGAAGCATGTCTGTGTGCCTCCTCAGCTCCTCTTTCCCAGCAATAAAATGCAATCCAACTCCAGCAATTCAGGGGTATCTCGTGAAAGAACTAACCACCAACTGTGCCTTTTGTCGTGGACATATGGGGGTATCGCAGCTTTTTCTCGCGCTATGACAAATTCCGTCCATCTGTGGCTGGGGTCACATTTGTCGTTTCTCGTAACATATCGCTTCCATGTGCGACAAGTGAGCCAAGAGCTCATGTTTCATGTATGCCATCCTACACCGCCAATTCGCTTCGTTGTTGATACAATTCGTCCAACTGCATACCAGTGTCTTTCAATGAAATCCAACCAGGTGAGCCACATCATTACATCTTCATCTCCTAGCGCCACAAGTTGAGCACCGTGCTCGGGTTCAACTGGCGGCTGTTCAACTTGATCTCAATTGCCACCGAAACCGTAGGGATCAGTGTCCAAAGTCACTGCTGGAGAAGACGTCCAGTGAAGGTCCCATCCAGAGATCTGCTGTCGTCTGGGTTGAAACGGCCGGGTCTACAGTGAGCTGCAAGATCACTGGAGAGACCTGTGGCTGCGAGCCAGTTCGTGAGATCGTTGTCATCACGAATACGAGCAATCGAGACTCCTGTCTCTGGATCCTGCATGATTTTGGGCTCCAGCTGGCGCATGCTAAGTAGCATCTGAATCGTTTGCGCAAAGGACTCGGCCTTTTCGGCGTAGCATGATGGGGTTTGGTCAAGCGGGAACTCCCTACCTGCTGTAGCCCAGCTTCGATAGAGCCAGCACATACGTTCCGCACAATTCAACATTATGAATGCAACCAGGAACGTTTCGAAGGGTTTGCCCTTGTTGCGCAAAAGCCGCTGCTCAAAGTTGTGCAAGGCACTTCTGCAGACAACACTGGCACGCTTCTCGATTGCTGCTCGAAGTTGATTCGTCAACATGCGATGAGAAAATGGATGCATGGTGTCGTCAACCGCACTTTGTCCACTGTCAAGAGCACTGTCCTTGCTGAAGAATGCGGTCAACTGATTATCCGTTATCACCACCGTTGCAACCCACAATTCAACAATCTGTGAAACAAGGTTGTCAGACTTCTGGGTATTCTCAGCAAGGAGACGGCTTTGGTGCTCTGCTTCGATCGCCTGGGCAAGTCGAAGACTGCCTTTCATGGCGGATGATGGCTCCTTCTCGATGATTTGAGGGCAGATCGCCTTGAGGTACTGTTCGATCTTTGGTAGCACATTTTCGGTCTCAAGATCCAACACCAGCACTTCATCTTCAGGAAATGGTTGATCACCACAGTCAGTGGGAATGGGTACATGAGTGAATTGGCGAGCTTTGAAGGTGACCTTGTGGTCGAAGAAGTGGAAAGCTTCCAGCCGGCCGCTGAAGCCACTTTGATTGGCCTGATTCTTCAGTTTCTCAAAGTCATGATGTGTGAGGACAGTGTAAGGCATGATGAAGTAGAGTGGGAACTCCTCGTCAAGCCTAGTCCGGACGCATGAGATATTCCACAAACGAGGGTTCTCGACTGAGGCGCAGGTTTGGCAAGGTGTGACCTGAGAACATGTTTTCCTCAACATGCGACAGCGCCAGCAAGCACCAAGCTTTCGTACCTGGCGCACTTCATCGCGGCGTTCGGGGGCAAACTTTCCACGGACCCTCTGCTTGGGATGGTGTGCTGGGAGGTCATTGTCCTCAGCCAGGTGATTGGGTTGATCATTTGGGTTCATGGCAATTGGTCGGAGTTGTTGGCTTGATGATCTGTCTATGTGACTCGGCAGTGCAGCCATCGCGGGCCCAGGAGGAAAATGCTCGTCCAATGAGTGACCCGGGTGCATTGAGCTGATCTGCTCGATCAGTGGCGGTGGCAATGGCACAGTTGTCGATGGGAATCGTCCAGAGTTCTGGCAAGACAAGACATGCTCCTGGGACTCTTCAAGAAGGTCCTGAGAGATATCGCTGGACGATAGGATATCAGCTCCCGGCGCACTCTCATTCAGCAACGTCGCATGTGCTGTAGCGGCTATGGTCGAGAGATCTGGGGCTCCTGTGCTGACAAGAGAAAGATCACTCATGGGAGTGGGTGACACGTTGCCTATGTAGGAATAGCCGGTTGCAAAGGTCGAAGCTGTGGTAACTGGGAAGCTGTCTCCTTCCAGCTGGGGGTCAAGCAGTACACCGCCAGCTTGGTCCATCGGGGCGTAGCCAGCGCTGACTACTACGTTGCCACTAACATGACTGGATACCTCGGCGAGTAGTTCTAAGCTAGCGAGCTGCCGTCCGTTCTGAGCCGCAACTCCTCCTGTCCTATTGCCCTGGTTCTGCTCGTTGTCACGGGGTCCCACCAACAGGCCATTGCCATGGTGCAGGCCGCTGTTCCCGGCTAGTGCCACGTTACCATCACTTTCTGAGTTGCGCGCTGGATCACCGTCCGGATTGAGAGTTGGCAGTACGAGGTCATGGAGGCGGAAGATGATGCTGGCGCGCTCCGCATAGCTGATGGCAGGACATTTCTTGGTCAGGTGAGGGATCATGGCCTCACTGCGTCCTCTTGCAAAATGTTCGCCGCATCTCTTGCATGTCTGTTCATAACGGTTGGACATGTCACTAATCTTGACACCACGCTCAAAGAACTCCGTCATAAGCGGGTTAGGTCGACGACCCATTGTCGCTGGAGCGGCTCGCACGCCAATGTTCTTTGACCAAGAGGTGCGACAAAGGCTGTCCGGCAGCAACGTGATGCTTCTCACAGCCCTGCTTCCGCAAGTAGTTAGTAGACAGTCCCACGAGTGTCGAAATCGACTCACGAGATTGGCTGGGGGAGGATGTCTCCACGCGCCGGCAGAAAGCGAGCGACGGGGTTGGATGGAGCGCAGTGAGTTCAGGATGAGGTCGGGCACAAAATTTTGAGGACACGGGCAAAGAGAGCCGCGAGGCCTGCGCCCACCCTTTACAGGCGTGAACTAGGCCAAGCGAACTGTTTTCAAGTACACCTCGAGCGACAGTACTCCGTGATGTCCAACAATTAATTAATAAAAGCGGTGAAATGTGGCAGAATTTTGTTTGTTGGAGAAGTCAAGTTAACTTGGGCTTCAAAATCTCCGCAATGACGTTAACAAGGCTGTGAGTCAGCCTCGTCAATCCCGAGGAAGATCCGACATAGGGAAGAGGCTGGAAGTCTCTTCTTTCACGATACAGAGAACTGCTGTACACTATCCAGAAAGACCTTAACCCTCATGAAAGCTCACCTTGGAGGCTTTGCGCACCAGAACACCAATCCGAGGTTCGACAGGAGCACCATCCTGGCTGTTGCAGTTTGGGAACCCAGGTAAGTATGGCCAGGCCGCTCATACCCCAGTCACAGCATGCGAATTTTCAGTCATGCCTTCGAGCTGATCTGTAGTACAGACCACCGAGCTCGAATGTCGTGAAGTGTCTACTTTTGTCCAGGCTGCCTAACGCAAGACAAACAGTGCGGTCAGTAGGCGCAAGCGCCACCACTTAGATACTCTTCCTTTCCCAGTCGGGCAATTCATATGTTCCGTTCCTCTGGTGGGCGGTACGGTACTCCCAATATTTGGAAGATCCTTCTTTCGTCGTGTGATTCCATTAACGCCCCATCATCAATTCGCTGGCGCCCAGCACCCTTCATTACATGCTTACATAGGCCATGTTGGTTCAGCCGCATTCCTTTTTTCCCTGCGAGGAATCTGATGCTTCGATTGAACAGGTCATTGCCTGTGAAGTAGATCAATGCTGCTCCAAGCTCCTCCCATGGTACGAATAGGAAATCGATACGTCGCCACCTCTCGCTACCAGGAAGTGCTGATGCCCCGTGCCATTTCGAAGTATCGTCCCCGGAAGAACGTCCAGTGGCAAGTGCCACTTTCAAGAAGCCTTGATCTGACAAAGCTGGCATGACGGTATCGAGCATCAAGGTACGAATACGGACTATGTCCGCCCCTTCCATGGTGATGATGCAGTCGATATCACCCGAGTCTTTGCTGCCGCATCGGTACGACCCTCCGATGATCAGCTGAAGTTTTGGGTCTGCAGCTTTCAGGGCGCTTTCCACCACGGCGGCATGTTGCTCGACCTCTTTGCGAGGGATTCTCTGCTGGAAGTCATCATAATGTTGGAGCCCGATCCGCTGGTTGGGCGTCAAGTCGGCACTTTTTTGGAGGTCCTGCAGCGTTCGGAAGCCTTGGGCTATCCAGCTGTGAGCTGTGGCCTCCCCGGCGCCATAGACTCCCTTGAACAACTTGAGGACTTGAGTTCTGGGGTCATTTTGTGCATATTCCAGCCGCTTGTACCGGCCTGTCGACACAATCTCCTCGACCTGGGCAGCAACACTCTCACCCAGTCCGATCTTCCGAGCTTCTTGACTTGTCCGAATCAGTTGACTGTGCCGGCGCAGTTTCCCGATTGCCTCTCGGAAAACTTTGGTCCGCCATTGATCACCTCTGCTCTCATACATGGTTACCATCTCCTGCAACTTTTCGATAGTCGCAGCGTTGGCGTTCGGGCCTCTGGCTATGGCAGTATGACTTTCCATGCATAAGAAGCCGGTGTTATTCGAGACCTTGGTAGCGGTGTTGGCATTGGAGCCTCTTGGATCGCCAACATGACGTTCTGCATCCTCGTCTCCGCTTTCTGAATCTTCACACGGGTCGGAAGCCGCAGCCACATCCGCACCCCCTCGAACATCCCTAATCGCAATCTCAAGAATATCCACGGCGGCTTCATTGTCGCTCTTCTGATTAAGGTGTTCAGGTTCACGTCTTGAACTGTCATCACGCTTTAAGTCCTGCAGAGCCGCATTCGCATGTGAGGACCTGTCGATTGTAAGGCCAGGAATTTCCGCGTTCGCAACAAGTGGAAGAACGACCTCGTTCGGATGATGCAAAGCTTTCCACCCGGGAACCTGGAAGCGCTCCCAGTGAGTTTCCTGCAAATACCGAGATTTGCAGCTCTCCAGCAGCCAACTGATGCGCAAGAGGGGAGGCTTTTTCTGCAAGCAACAGTCAGCATGAGGACTTGGTAAGATCTGGAGAAGTACACACTGGTATTTCCTGTGAAGAAAACCACTTGGCCACAGCTTTCACGTCGAGTTCGTTGTTGGTGACGATGATATGAGTGACTTCTCCGCAGAATTCGTGCGTCCATTGCGCACCGTGCTGGATCGCCTGATGTATGCGGATGCGTGCTCCAGAATCATCGTCATTGTTGGGTACGAAGTCTGCAGAAGCCGTTAGTAGGAAAGCGAACAGTTGGATGAGAGGGCACCTACAGAAGACGAGACCCTTGAAGATCTGCTTGTCCGGGTCGACTGGCTTCATTTTTGCCGCGAACTTTGGAAGCTGTTTGAGCTTTGGTCGACCTTCACCTTTGAGTCGCGCCTGGACATTCGAAAGGTCTGTAAAGTTTGTTCTCAACTTAGGATGTTTAGCCTTGGTCGAGCCTTTCTCGGGCACAGTCGCCGCCCTTTCTAGACGAGGTATCGGTCGTCCTTTCTGGGCTGGTTGCTGCTCGGGAAGAGTGGATGACCTGGCCAAACGAGGTTGGCGTACTGCTCTTTGATCCGGCTGTGCAGCGTCCTCCGATTGCTTCCTCTTCTGGCTCAACGGTGTCTTCTCTTCGATGACTGCTTTACTCGGAGCTAGCGTTGCTCTAGGCATGCTGACTGCCGGCTTAGTTTGGGGGTCCGTAAGTGGTGGTACGGGAACGCTCAGGGTCACCTCTTCCTGTGTGTCCTCGTCAAGGTCGCCTAAACGATCTAGGTCTCGAAAGAACTGCTCCTTTTCTTTCTTTTCTTGTGCGGACAACATCTTTGGTTGGTGATGATGGTGAGGCACTGTGGATTGCGAGGGATATGCATAGTCGTACGCAGGACAGGCAGTGTGCACGACATTGTTTCACGCTCGCGCTGGGAAGTCCAATTCTTCAGCAGTCAGTGAAGGCGGGGTGAGTGGGACGAACCGTTGTGAACCTTTTCACCTTTGTCCATTCACAATCAGACACGATAATGACGCGCTGTCACATGACTGTTGCCAAGAAATCTCTGTTGAGCTTGCACATGGTCCACTTCGATGTGTACGAGTACGTGCAGTTCGACGAGTAGCACTGCCCTGTATTCCACGCTGGATCATCATCCAGCATGCCACGAGAGGATGTTTTGACATTGTTTGTCACACTAGCACTGCGCCCTCACCGCCGTTGCATACAAAAACTCTCAAGATCGTCACCAAGGCTGACTCGCTATGCCTCTACCTCGAGCCAGAGCAAAACGACCCTTCCGGCAACGCAGGGAACCGAGGCTACAACTCGACCGAAGATCCCCCTTCACGTCGGCCTCGACCGCAACCCCGAAAGTGTGTCCGCCATCTCCCGAATCCCCATTCCTCGAGGAGTGAGAGGCGAGAAGTTCACTCCTCAAGTGCTAGCACGTCCCCTAGGTCTTGAACATCCTCCTCGACCCGGGCAGAACAGTCCTTTGGACAGCCGTACGCTCCGGGAGAGGCATGAGGAGTTTACAAGCTACGATAAAGCGCTGGAGCGACGACGTGTCTACCTCCGCACTTTCTTCCGTCCCTATTTTCAAGAATGGAGGGGGATGGACCATCACAAGGGAAAGAGCTTCGTGTCAAGTCCACGGTTGTTCAAGCGAGAGAAAGCGCTGTACTTTCCGAATATTTGGGGCCAGACACTGGCTAAAGAAGGAGATGGGCCAGACGGTGGGCGAGACACGACACCACTTTTGATGGGCAAGGTATCTCTGATAGGCATACACGCGAATTCATGGGCTGAGGAAATGGTCAACTCGTTCATCGGGGGAAAAAACAATCCGGAGCTGAGCAGACTATTAGACCAGAACAGGGGCCGGTTGCAGCGGGTGGATATCAATGTCTCAGGCGATTGGATTCGCGCTCTAATTGTGCGGACGTTCAGCGGCCGCATTCGACAAAACATCCCTGAGGAGCAATGGACCAGGTATTTCAAGATCAAATTGCCACGCGACATTCGACGCGGTCTGTCAGACGAGGTACGCGATGCCATGGGCTTCCTCAACAGCCAAGTCGGCTACGTCTACCTCGTCGATTCCAGCTGTAAGATCCGTTGGGCGGGGAGTGCCTATGCCTGGGACGGGGAAGTGGACGGACTGAACGCTGCGGTCCAGAGACTACTTCAAGAGGAAGAAACCCTGGGACAGGCGTCATCGAAGCCGCTGCCATCTTCAGCGAAAATTGTCCAGAGGCCACGAGCGCCACCAAAAACCTCGACCGAGAAGCCCAATGCAATGCCCAACGCTGTCGTCGCATGATTCAGATCTCCACATAGCCCGGTCTTTCCCAAGAACTTCGACATCCTAGAAATCCCAGAATAGCCCAATACGCCACTCAATGCATCCGGCCATTTCGTCAATCATAAAAGCACAGAGATCAATGTTCACAATTCTCCTCCGGCTCCGGTCTCGTCCTATACGACCAGAAAGTCAGCAAATCTGCCACAAAGATACGCCTGCGACCGAGCACAGTCGACTTACCCGCACTTCGGACACGGCATATCCGCCTCTGCTCCATCTAGGATCTCGTGCCGAATTCTGCACTTCTTCGAGCCCACGACCTGCACTTTGGCATAGCCGCTGGCATCGGATAAGAGTGCCATCTTTTTCGGCGCTGACGACTCGGAGCATATCGAATGGACATAATATGGTGCGGGTCGTGCTGTGCCAGGACAGCAGCTGAAGTGATAGGTATAATAGATGCACATGTCGGGTTGGAAATGTCCCGTGAAATGACCGGTATTGAGCTAGGGAGCTTTGCTGAGGAGGCCGCGCGATCGGTGGAAGATGATTTGAGAGAGTGCCTGGTCGGTTGCCGGCTTTGCTGCGTCTGTCGGTCCGGACTGGCACTCAAGCTGGACTAGAGGTAGTCGTCCTAGACTCTCCAGGTTGCGCTCCTGCGGGCGGCTCTGGCGCGCGCTACCGGGGCGGGCTGGCTTCTGAGTCTGCGGATGATGGCCGTGCTGATGCTGATTCTTCTGCTGAAGTACTGGGATCATTCATGTCCATATCCCATCGGCGCGCAGCGGAGGAGTGAATAACGTCTCGCGCCACCGCTCGTTTGCTTGCACCAATGTAGTGCGCCTACAAGTGTGGCCGGAAAAGTTCTCCGCTCCTTGATTCCCAATTGCTGGTTCCGGACGCTCTCAGAGAAATCGATTGTTCCTTTGTTTATGCGCAAGCACCACGGACACAAATTTTTTCAGAAGTTTGATGTCAACGTCAAGACCCAGCTGATATAGTAACACAAGCGAGAACAAAGAAGAAGGGCCCGCCTCGCGCACCAATAAGATAAGAGATTACGCGGTGGCTTTGTGTGTGTACACAGTATATACCGCAAGTCACTGACTTGATACAAGAACAGCAAGCCTAGGTGTTGAAAGCGGCAATCAAATATCCGTGTCAATTGATCAATCAAATGAAGTGACAGAGAAGAGAGAGAGCGCGGAGATTCACTCGATGCCGAAAATTTTAAACACCATGCCAATTGCCAATTGCCAATTGCCAATGCTCGGGCCCAGGAGCCTCAGCATTCACACTGTCGGCATCTGCTCAGTTGCACTTTGTCGGTAAGTTCGGTATTACTTAGCATGAAGGAACATCCAAACGAGGGCGTGCAGGGGAACCCTTCGCCGCTCAAGCTTCTTTCGGCGGCGCAAAGTCGCTATTCTTTCCCACCTTTGACGTACTTTTCTGGAAAAGAACTCCTCCACCATGACGCACGCAGCGAACTTTTGTGGCCATGCAGCAGCGTACGAGGAGCGTAGCATGTACGAAGTAATTACACAGTAGCCGGCACATCCATAAGGTAACCCTCCTGCGGATTTAACCACGAGGGGATGACCACGGCAAGCCAACCAACCAGCCAGTCGAGCCAGTCAATCAATTCGTGCCTACCGAGTACAGCAGCAATTTCCCGTGTCGTGCTGTAGGGTCCCGGGTGGCGGGCCCGATACCGTAGCCATGCCACGCCATGCAATGCAGGCCTGCAGTTTTCCCCGGGCGGGAACCGGCACAGCGGGATTTTTGCGCAGCGCGCACGACGGTACTGTAACGGTGGGAGGACCGAGGGGCAGAAGCCAAGGGTCATTATGACTGCACAGTCACACGCAGGGCATGGACCTAAAAAGCTTGTGTGGCTCAAGAAACCAACATCAGCATCATACACTATTAGTCGCTTCGTTGCCTTCCGCCGCTTGGGGTCGAAAGGCCCATTCAGCCGGAATGTTTAGCCCCGTGTGCGTGCTTTTGTCTCGTCGACCTGACGTCTGCCAACACAGAGTAGTTACCTAGGTATGTGGTCGTCGGCCGTGCTTTTGGTGGGAACTGCTCGAGAAGTCCTCCTCGTGCGCAACGAGGTGCCTGCATGAGGTGGTATATCCAAGCCAGCATGGACCGTATGTTTACCTTCGCGCCCACGCACGATATGTCATCTCGCAAAAGCATGAGGATGAGGATTCGTTCTGCCGACACTTACGGCTTCCACGTCCGCATCCGCAGCGTGATTCGTCCGGGAGTTGCCGCCAGGGCAGGTGGGCGCGAGAACACGAACATGCAGAGCAAGGACGACGACTGATTCAAGGACGGCGACTACGCCACGCATGCATAGGTAATCACATACTTTAGCAATGCGGCAAGCCAGCGTTGAAGCAGCATTGGTGCTCCTGCCGCTTTCGCCATGTACTGGCTACCAGTGCACCGTAGGTCCTGTACTGAGCTCACAGAGAACACGTGGGAACCTACGTCGTCATGCCATGCTGTGACGCATGGTTCCGTCCCAAAAACTGAGATGAAGGAAATGGGTGGTTTGATCAAAAGCTTTGGATGATCTGACGTTTTACATGCCTACCCAGTGCATGATAAGCGAGCCAGACATATAGGCAAGTCAAACCTGTAAGATGAGGGCCGGTGAGATGACCGCCTAATCCCGCCGAGGCCCTTACGCCATAAGAGGACTGAACGACGGCGGATAGGACTGGGTTGGTTACGATGAAGGACAGTGCAGAGGACAACCTCATAACCTGGGTTATCAAAATGACGGGCAGAGGGCACACCTCCAGGGAAGAAGATCAATGCAGGGAAGTGCTTGTGAACTGACATCTGTATTTGGAGAATCTACCCACAGGGTGTGCCGTAATTCGAGTCGGCGAGAGGATCGGCAAAGGGGAGTTCTAGGAAAAGACTTGGACGAGTAGCGCGTACGGGGCCTATAGCGGCCGTCTTATCCGCGCGCCAGTGACAGATCTGGGCTATAAAAAGGCCAAGGCTGAAAACGCCAGGGACAAGTGAAATCCTCGGTTGCAAGATAACGTGACGTCGGCCGAACCGAGATGGCAATTCTGTCTCACTTTCCGAGATTCAAGATCCAGTTGGAAGCCCAACAACCTTCTTCATTACACGAGCACATGTCTCAGATCTCATGCTGATGTTGGGGGACTGTGACTATCGCCCTGCTCCTTTCAAGGACCTCGTAGAGGCGGAGGACCCTGGAAAGTGCCGGGTGTCAGAATTTCGAGGGCGATGCATATGACGGCTGGGATGATACGTCCACTGTAGGCCATGTGCTCGACGGTGGCGGGATCGCTCTATTGGCTCGGAGCCGAGGACATAGACCCGGCAACCGTTTTGCCAGGCGTCCGTCAGCCTTGCATAGCCATTGCCCTGCAGACCATGCTGACTGGCCTCGCAGGTCCGGAAGTCCTGAAAATGCATTCTTGTGGAAATCATGCTCGCAAAAGCCAGGGCTCGGATATTGCATGAGATCAGCTGACATACGGATTGCCAACGTCGGTACGTACGGCCTTTGGTCTGTGCCTGACTGGTCCCTATCGTGGAAATGGTGACACCAAGAAGGGACCGTATCGTGGGATGACTCGGGATGAACGTCTCCGCCTGTTCTGCGTGCAGTCAGCTGCAGCAGTGGGATCGCCGCTCATGTCTGACAGCAACACGTGCGTAGGGCTGTGTCTGGCTGTCGCTGGGGCCAACGCCGCTGTTAGGAAAATGACATGGATGCATCTGCGACGCATTCGCCGTCATCACCTGTGTCCGGAGCTGAGCAGCTCAACGCTGGTTGAGATCCAGTCGGTTACGACCGACCTATCGTGATCCGCATTGTCATTTGCTTCTCACCAGCATGACAATGTACTGGAGAAGGTACCATTTTGCACTGCGAGGACAATTCTCCCCCAAATGCTCGCTCCGCACCTAGACATGCGGTGCAGGTTCCGCGACCGTGACTCGTTTGTTGAGCTGCGGTTCTGGCCATTCCCGCACAATCAGCTGAAGTAAAGCAACATCAGACAGCAAAATGCAATGAAACTGCCCAGGATGAGGCCATCCCGTCGTCTTTTCGACCCGATCCGCTGAATCAAGCCATTCACGCCAGGTATCTGTGCCGCGGCGCCCGTGATCCGCCGGTTGATACTGGACAAAGTCTCTCTCTGTATGCCGAAGTTCTCATTGATCGCATACGCCTGTGACAGCACTCCGTCAATCACACTGTGACTTTGATCAAGCCGATTGCGTTCTTGAAGCATGTACTCCGCCTCGGCCTCGGCTGGGTTGTTCGTACGGAACGCGTCGATATCGGAACGGACGTTTGCGAGCAGGTGCTGACGATCGCGGGCTTCGGCGATAGAGGCCTTTAACCGGCGGAGTTCCTGGCGGTGGTCGCTCAGGACTTCACGATGCCGGGAGAGGTTGTTCTGCTTGAGGGAGGAAGTACTTAGGGCGGACTCGGAATCCAGGAGACGAGCAAGTTGCGAGACTAGTCCTTCGCGCTGTACATGCAGGGGTGTGTTAGCACAGAGTGTTAGGCGCGCGGGAGCTCTCTTTTGTATGTCTAACCTTTTCCAGCAATTCTTGGATCTCTGCTTCGTTCCTTTGTTCTTCATCAGACGGTTTGGGAGGCAGTTTCGAGCTGGAGGCGTATTGTGAGTAAGTGTGGAATAGCGTTTCGGTCTTGCAATTGTCAGCTCCCGGAAGCTGTATTCGAGTAGTGGAGGCCAATAGTACCTGACTCTCCAACGTCCTGATCTGCTGGCGCAACTGCGCCCATCCTGTGCTCGTTGTCATGGTGGCAGTGGTCGGGTACGGGAAGGATGACTATTATTTTCTCAGATTACACATGCGGATGTGCAAGCGGGAGCAAGACCATTAGTCCCATCATCTGAATTGGCCAAAATCGATCTCGGTTTCAATCCAGATGTTGAGAGTAGTTGCGATCTGGTATTCAAGGTGTCCTGGCCCTGGCCTGAACGAGGCTGAGAAAGGGCCCGACCATGCCAAGACGGGGTGGTCCGCAGCCAATCACGAACCCGTAACTCTTGGCGCACTTCCACAAACAATTTCTGAGGACCGCAGGTTTGGCCATGCCAACATCGACAACGACGTTCAGCCCTCATTTCCCACCCGCGTTTTTGACATCGACAACATCACCAAGCAGCGAAGATGGTACGCGCCTTGCCTTCCCTCAGATCACACCGTCCAAGTGATTGTTTGCCTCGAACGAAGATATGATCGCTAACGACCTTTGTGACTAGTCGTCGAACAGCGCCCGTGTGAAGCCCGGCCAACTCTGGGGCAAGAGCAAAGATGACCTGAAGAAACAACTCGACGAGCTCAAGACGGAACTGGGTCAATTGCGTGTGCAGAAGATCGCGGGTGGTGCTTCGTCGAAATTGACAAGAATGTACGTTCTTACCACACGCAAATTTACTTTCGACATACGACGGTAGAAGAACCTAACCAAGTGACCATTGGCATGTAGACACGATCTCCGCAAATCCGTTGCCCGCACTCTGACCGTCATCAACGCCAACCAACGACACCAACTCCGGCTCTTCTACGCCAAGAAAAAGTACCTCCCGCTCGATCTACGTCCCAAGTTGACCCGTGCGATCCGTCGTCGACTGTCGAAGAAAGATGCTGCTAGGGTGACGGAGAAGCAGAAGAAGAAGCAGACACACTTCCCGGCTAGGAAGTATGCTGTCAAGGCCGAGTAGGGTGGTTAGGGAGCGCGAAGCGAATTTTGGGGAACGTGCATCGCCCATGAGAAATGCTTGCGGAGTCGTGGATCAGGGATGAGGCAATGGCATCTTCATGACCTTTCGAGGGCACGCGAGTGAAAGCTGACGTCGGCACTGAGGATACCCTGGCTTCTAATGCCGTCGCATACGTGTGAGATGAGCATGGCAGGTTGCGTCGCTGAAGGCGGATGTCCTTCGGCGCCTTGCAAACAACAAAGAAACAAGAAACAGTTCAACTACCTGAGCTGAACCTTTCGCGATATCACATATTGCCTCTGTAGGATTTGGATCCCTGCTACATGCCATTGAAAAGCTACTCATTTGCGCGTACCCCCATCACTTATGAATTTTCTCTCAAGGCTCAAGCACCCAGTTTCCATCACAGACACATCTCACCAAGGCAGATTGCTTGAGCGGCGCGACGTCCTTGTGCGCCTTGCGAACACCGAAGAAACAAGGACAGTTCAACTACCCGAAGCTGAACCTTTCGCGATATCACATATTGCATCCGTGGGAGTTGTGTCCTGGCTATATGCCATTGTGAGCCACTCATTCACGCGTGTCTCATCACTTATGAACTTTCTCCCAAGGCTCAAGCACCCAGTTTCCGTCACAGACACATCTCGCCAACGATAGAGCAATCTGCCTTGGCCATTCTTTAGGCGGCACAACGACGTCCTCGCTGAAACTGCCACATCTGATGCATTTCCTGACCATGGGTTGACCCGCGCCGTGAGGCTCTGCCGTGCCCTTTGTGATCGGTCGCTTCCGAAGAACATCATAGATGATTTCCGTAGATCGGCCACCACGTCGATGACCCAGGATACCAGGATTCAGGAAGATGTATTCCAGGTCGACGTGGTCAACAAAGAGTTTGAGTCGATCGACCAACATCTTGGCTCGCAAGCCTGAAGGACTGTTGACCAGCTTGCTGAGCAGGGTCTTGATCGTCGGTTGATACGCCTCATGGACGATGCCTGTAGCCATCATGTCGAGTTGTCGGACCGCTGTGGCTGCAATGTTCCCCTCCACGTCACCGGCCGCGGACCACCTGTACTCAAGAAGCGCCTCGATGGCGCCGAAGGACAAGCCTTTACCATTTGTCTGCTGTTGGATGCACTGCAGTACTTGCAGCTGATGTTGTGACTTTGGCTCCGTGATCTTGGCATACGTCCTGACTGCTCTCACAAAGGCGATCAGGAAGATGCGCGAGGCATGGCAATTCAACAATAGCGCAACGAGGCCCTGACTTCCATCGCCATGCGTGTCACCAAGTCTTCCGCGGTCCTTGCCGTCGAACATGTCCGGATTACTCTCTCGGTCACCCACTTCTAGGATAGCATTGAAGATGAATCTGATAAGTGATAGACCCCATCTCAGGTTCGCGCACAACATGTCGGTGAAATCCTGGCCGACGACAATGGTCACATTCTGTATGTCTCTGAGGTTCATGAACAACAACGTGGTTGTTTGCCGCACATTGTTGACTATCCACGCCCACTGCGCGCTCAACGTCCATCCGCCTGTTCTCCCGTCCGTAGAAGCCACGGACACAAGCTGCGAACAGGTTGATGCCAGGCTCGCGTGGTAAGAAAACACTTTAGCCATGACCTGTTTGTGGAACATACGTTCGAGCTCCGAGCCCGGCGTCTTTTCATGCACGAATTCGCCGTCTCGGAAGAGAGTGCGGTAGACGCTCGAAATTACTGTTGGGATCAAGGCTGGAGGGATGGTGCGCGAGGCACACATGAGGATATCGTCAATGGTGGCATTAGACCAGCAGGCTCGGGCGAAAGTGAGGTTGAGAGCTGCTATCGCAGCGTCAACGTGCGGATCTAGTGGTTGTTGTATTTGGTGCTGTTCCAGGTGATGTTCCATGACAGCGAGCTGGGTCTTGCCGTTCGCTGTGAGATCTGCTCTAACGCAAGCACCGGGCGAGAAACTTGGATCAAGGATAGTTTGCGTATAAGGAAAGGTAAACCCCGATTGTGCCATACACGAAGTTTCTTGCGCTGAGGCCGCGTATGACATCGGAGTCAGATCTTCTAAGCTGAGAAAGTCCGTCCGGTTCTCTTGTGTAGTGATTGCAAGCGTCTGAACGCCATCTATGTGATGCACCGTGATAATGACCTGCTCTTCCTTGTCCGGTTGTTCCTGCAGGACATAAAGCGGTTTCGGTGCTGCCGCAGCAGATCCTGTAGAGGGAAGAGCATCGAAAAGAGGGTGTAATTTCGTTTCGACTGACTTCACCGTCCACCTCTTGATGAGACTGGAGACCAGAAAGCCGGCGTCGGGAATGCTGGCAGTCCTGTTGACACCCGTGAGTACCGCAAGGATTGTTGGGGGCGTCTGGACTGCTTTCTCCACGTCTGACGTCTGCACCATCGTCAGATGACTCAGTAACCAAGACTCGGGGTCGAAAGTATCAGGTACAGCAGCCGAACCAGATGGATACGATGACACTTTGCTGGAGACCGGATCAATAGTCAATACAGGAAGTCCCTCGAGACCTTGATTGACCTCTGTCCAGTCGATAGCGAGCAAGACGGCCGATATGACCTTTTGGTAGGAGTGTATCGCAATCAGCATCTTCCCGTCTATTGTAGGAGCGAAGCTGGCGTGAGTGTATAGGACTCCGTCTTGCGGCGTCAGCTGCTTGATGATCCTCAAGTACTGTCCGTCACGCCGCTGAAAGCAGAGTGTAGTCAGGCCGTTCCGGTGGACGATCAGGGCGGCTCTGGGCCAGTACGTCCCGAGTGGTTTGGCTCTACTATTCGCGTGTTCCCATCGCGTTTCGCCCTTTGAGGCGTGAGTGACCACATTTCTTGGTCTTTCCTGCCTGTCCTGGTTCAGCCAAGTCAAGCCAATTGGCTGCGAGTAATCGTCGCCTTCGTCGATAGCGCCCTGCCGAGCAAGATTGAGACGGTTAATGGCCGTCAGAGCCACGTGATAGATCCAAACTCGTCCCTTGATGTCCACCACGGCAAGCTCACCTCCGGTCGCGCTCCAGGCTAGGCTAATTGCCTCTTCGAAAACAGTCGTTAAGGAATGTCTCTCGTGGAGACCCCAGGACTTGGATCCGTGGTCGTACCGCAGACACTCAAGATAGACGGTCGATCCATCCTCGGAGATACCGGCGAGGTGGCCATGTCTTGACCACGCAATCCGTTCTAGACAACCACTGTACCATTTGCGGGCAAGTTGTTCGACAACAGCCGGGTTTGGAGGGATGGCGACACTCGGGACAGTACCATTAATGTCGGCATCACTCAGATCGGCGCCAGCATCGATCTGCTGAATCTGTTGTTGGAGGGAGTTCTGGTCGAAGAAGGAATCGGACGCGAAGTCGTCGGGCGGATCTTGATCCATCAGGTTCAGGTGGTTCATCGAGATAGGCCTCGTCACGTACTCGTACTACAAGCTGAACGCGGCGAAAAGGTCCATTGGCTACCAACTCAGGTATTCCCCCCAGTGGGTGTGATTAATGCTGTATATATGTAGGTGAAAGAATAATTACTTGAGGGTCTGTCACGGAGCCTGTATGGCCCAAGCTTTTGAGCAGGTCTGGTGTGAAGAGAAGTGAAATATAGAGTTACAGCAGGAAAACGTGCGACTGTGAGAACAAAGGTGAAGCTCCAATAAACAGTAACCAGAAGACTCTTCGTGAATACTGTGTACCACCACAAAGAACAGAGGGGCATCTGCACAACCGAAAGGCTGAAACAGCGGCGACGAGTACAGTACGAAGCACGAGGGAGCCAGCTAAAAGCGGCAGGTGGGCACGCCGCTACAGTACCTAACACAGCACAAGCGCCAGGGGTCGTCGCGGGCCACTCCAGGCAGTAGCTGGGGAAACCGCCACGGGAATCCTGTTGTTGTGCGTCTACTAATTAGTGGTTTTGCAGTCGCTTATCGTCAATGGAGCAGCAACATCATCATTTGTTCGCGTGCATAGTGATGAAGGGTACTCCAGAGATGGAACTTTCATCAGCTACGTGACTTGTAATTGTGGCCGCCAGTCGTGCAACTTATGCTGTACGCACAGTATTACAGGCTTGCAGTGCTGGTTGAGGTCCGCATTAGACCTGCCAGGCACTGGTGGGTGATTTGTCCCCCATAATCGTGGCCCCCAAGTCACTGCAGCCAATCGCTAGTCCGTGTTCCCAGCATTCTTCCCGCTGTGCCGCTGTGCGTGTTTTGCAGCATGCGTCCGCGCTTCTGGGTTTCGATCGGGCATCTTCAGACCAGGGCTGCAAACAGCCGCCCGCCGCTGACGCTTCTGCTTGGACGCCCGCGTCCCTCCTGCCTGATTCACCTGCCCACTTCCCTGTTCAGGTTCGTGTCATGTACTCCGTACTCCGTACTTCGTCCTCTACTCGGCCAGCCTCATCATCGACTCGCCGACTGCGCCTCAGCTCATCCTCACAACAAACGATCCTTTGCGACCACCTCACTGGTTTCTCACCTGATGTTTTTTTGAGAGAGGCTTAAGTGACAACGCTGAAGGGCAATCTAGTGTCATGTACACAAAGGCCAGACTCGAGTCGACACATCCTCGCTGAATGGGCTGCTCCTTCCCGTCATGCGATAAATCACTTTTCTCAACTTCACCGGTAATTCAACTCCCAACCACGATGGAATTCGACCAAATTTCGGAGCTTTCGTCGCCCTTGAGCTCAATTCCCAGCTCTCCTCTCAGCTCTCCTCCATCTTCGCCCACTCTCCCTCCTGGTTTTCAAGTCGTCACACCACCTCCCTCACAGCATGCCGGCGACGAAATGCCTCGCCCACGAAAGCGCCGGAAGCTCGAGCCAAAGATTCGCACAACCCAGTATCTAGACCTCACTTCAGACACGGCGCAGTCCGAGTACGATCGCAGAGAAGCTCTAGACACCCTTCTCAAAGCCGTGCGAAACAGGAGAAAGATTGTGGTCGTCGCAGGGGCTGGCATTTCGGTTTCAGCTGGTATTCCCGACTTCAGGTCCTCCCATGGCCTCTTCAAGAGCTTGCGAGGTGAACACAAATTGAAGAGCTCCGGCAAGATGCTGTTCGACGCCTCCGTTTACAAGGACGACCACTCAACTGCAGAATTCCACAAGATGGTGCGCAAGCTGTCCAAGATGGCTGACAATGCCAAACCGACCCTCTTCCATCGCTTTCTTGCCAGACTGGCTGTTGAGGGACGACTGCTGCGGCTGTATACCCAGAATGTGGACGGGCTTGAGTCGTCCTTACCGCCCTTGGCTACTCAAGTGCCTCTCAGCCACAAAGCGCCCTGGCCAAAGACGATCCAACTCCATGGTGGACTCGAGAAAATGATGTGCCAGAAATGCCGACACATTTCCGACTTCGAGGCGCATTTGTTTGACGGGGCCTCTCCGCCATTGTGTCCCCAGTGTGTCGCCGCCGATGCGCTAAGAACGACACATGCGGGCAAGCGAAGTCACGGGGTTGGCAAGTTACGTCCTCGAATTGTTCTCTACAACGAGCATAATCCTGATGATGAGGCCATTGGCGCTGTCACCACGGCAGATTTCCGAACGCGACCCGATTGCGTGATTGTGGTTGGAACCAGCATGAAGATTCCGGCAGTTCGGCGCATAGTTCGCGAGATGTGTCAGATTGTCAAAGACAGACGGGAAGGCACCACCGTCTGGATTAACCATGAGCCAGTACCGCCTGGGAAAGATCTTGAAGACTGTTGGGATCTGATCGTTAGTGGTGACAGTGATGAAGTGGCTCGACTGGCACGGTTGAGGGAATGGGATGATCCTAGCACTGACATGGCTGAAAACTACACCGAGGCCGATCTTGATAGAGTCAGGTCGAGTCAGGGCGAGATCGAGGTTGTGATACCTCCGACTCCCAAGAAGAGCGAAACTACGGCCTCGCGGCTGCTGCCATCTGCGGCGATCAACACAATGACTCCTCCACGCAGCCAGAACGGAGACGAGCCCTCCAAGACAGGAAAGAAACCGGCATCCACCACACCCTCACCGATCCGCATCAAACTGAACGTGACAGCGCGGAGCAAAGAGGCTTCTGCGCCGCAAGCAACAGTGAAAAATGCAGCGAGCAGGGGCAAGTCACTTTTGGATCTTCTCAATGGACAAGAGAACAAGACGAAAACGGCTAAATCCAAGACCTCGCTCAACAAGAAACCCAAGGTTACGAAAATCAGGGCTTCTGGCACGCTCGCAAGACAAGCAGTCATTACTGGCAGAGTCACGAAGCCTGTTGTTGAGATCAACAAGGCCGGCCTCAAGCCGCCTCCATCAGAACCACTGTCTCCACGGCGCGATGCGAACGAAGCACCTCCAGCCCCTACATCAGAGTTCTCAAGCGTGGATGCAAGTCCCGCGCCAGAGACGCCTCCTTCGACATCTGCCGCAGAGGAGTGGCGCAACAACGATACAGTCTCACCCACGGGTAGAATCCCCACGGATATGGTCAGATTATTAAATTAGGGAATTGTGATTCGAACAAATGACCGATCAGGTTGCCATGGCCGAAATTGACCATCTTGAAGGGTACTCGGGCGCAGGCGGCCAGGAAGGCCGGCCCTCGCAAATGCATATCCCTTACAGACAGGATGCAAGCTAGAGACACGACTACGGAAGACTATGCTAATACTGTTCCATCATGGTACGAAGGGGCGGGCGTCAAGCATCTTTACGCTGCATGTGCAGGTGCAGGTGCATACATACACTGGTGCTTAGAACCAGGGATGGCGAAGATAGTCCGATACCACCAGGCATATTGGGTAGGGTCGGGAGATATTCATGAAATACTGCATTTGCATTTGCAATTGACCTCGGTCTCATTCATGACTTCAAACGTTCAGAAGATACTGGTAGCATGTTCTTTTCTTTCATCTATGGATTGGGTACTCCAAGCATTGCATTGCCATTACGAGGACAAGAATCAAAAGGAACAGACATGGATCGGATATCCTGAGCGTGGCCATGTGAGGACAAGAATCCAAACGGAACAAAGCATCGCAAAGTAGCGCAGATCAGAAGAATACAAATACATGTACTATGATCACACAGTATCCAGCTTAGTTTACTGTGTGGCGAGCCTTTGACCGTGTTTCCCAGATCACTTACTCCGTACCAGTGATTTGGGTATACTCCGTCCTCGAGCCGATACTATATACCGCCATGCGGATGAAAACCTACAAGGTAGCCGCACGGCCTGCTACTCGAACAGAAGTAAGATGTACAAAGGCAAAGGATACACACACACGCGCACCCATCCACATATACGCCATGCTCAGATCAGCATATTTCTCCACTACCGGACATACTACACAAGTGAGAGAACCGCTAAGATCTTGAGGTGATGCCGACGACGGCGACTCAATCCGAATCTGAAATCAAAACATCGTATCATTGTCGTTTCAGCACACGTGGAATAAAGGTCGAAGGTGCCTGGATTCGATCTGTCTACCGGTGCATGCCATGGGATATTTACCTGGGACCACGAGGTTCAAGGAATACGAGTTATCAGGTCCTTCTAAACTCGTATTGTGCTTCGTAACCAATACACTTCGTGTTTTCGACTCGTATCGCGTTAAAGGGAGCAGCAAGGTAAATACATAGGTATGTAGGTACTCGTACTGTAAGCGGGCAGCTATTCCTGTGGACGGGCAAATAGATAGGTAGATAGATACATGGGTAGTAGGTCCTACTCGTACTCACTCAAATCATATTCAATGACTTGGTATTTACGTACATACAGTGCCTGGGTATATACAGCCGTCCCGTCCCTTTCATGATAATCCCGAACCGACGCCGTAGCTTGCCTGCTTGCCTTCCCCGGCATTCCTGGAGTTCCCTTGCCTGCCTGCCGGACCGTGAAAAACCAAAAGAAAATGCATAGGGGATATCATCATGTATCCGAGCTCGAGATCGGATACTCTAGTGGTCGTGAGACAATGCGCGCTCTCGTTCGCCGTGGCGGAACGTAGAAACCAAAAAAAACAAAACATATGCACGCCTGAAATTTGCGTCGCTCATCAATGAAGCTCGTCTGGTGCCCCTCCTTACAGAGCCCGTCCAAGGCCGGCGTAGGGCCCGTCGTCCCTGCCAGCGAGGTCACTCGCCCTCAACCGCCTCTTCCCGGCGTTCATGCCGACTCCCGAGTCACGAGTGCCCAGGTCTCGACTGTTGCGTGGGCTGTCGATGCTGGCGCGCTGCCACCCGCTCGGCATACCGTCACTGATGCGCCAGGATGAGTCGTCGCCGCTCCAGCTTTTTATGGCCGCGTTGCGTGACATGCCGAGACTGAACGGTCTTGTGTCTTGAGGGGCCATTTGAGCACCGAGCGATTCTCCGGAGATGTCGTAATCGCCACCGCTCTTGCGGCGCGGCACGTTCATGTGCGGGTACCTGTTGTCGCCGACGATGGCTCTGTCTGGGTTGGGGTTGGCGGTAGGGTGTGGCTGTTGGGGGAGTGTTGAGAGAGAGGGAATAGCCTCGCTTGAGCCGGCGTTGCCGTGACTAGTCCCTGCACGCGGTCCAGAGAAGACTGGATAGGTCCCATAGTCGTGCTCCATGGGTTCGTAGGGGAACGAGTATCGTGATCCGCCGCTGGTGCTGCGGCGTGCTTTGCTTCGTGGAGGCGGTTGGCCTGCACGGCTGTCTGGACGCACTTCGCTGGATAGTGGAGATGGGATGGTCGGCCGGTTTGCGTAGTTGAATGCTGCAGCGCCAGGGACAGGCGAGCCTTGACCGCTATTCTTTCGCGAGCGGGGGCCCGGTGTGAAAGGCACGCCGTAAAGGTCACCGTGCTCTGGATTCACCATCTCTTGCGGCTGCGAGGCAAATACATCATTGTAACTGCCGCTGCGGCTGTTTCTGCTTTCTCTGAAGTTCTTGCTTGAGCTCGAATGATCGGAGTCGTCACCTGGGATAGCCAGTGGAGGTCGGGAGCGTCGATTGCTGTTGTTGTGGTTGTTGCTGTTGCTGCTGCTACTGCTTCGTGAGCGGTGGCGTTCTTGACCGGTGGGACGATGGGGCAGGGCAGCACCTCCTACGGCTCCAGCAGCGAGCCCAGCGGCAGCTGCTTCCAGGCTGTGGTCACGACTATGGCTACGGCTGCCATCATTGGGTAGTGCATATTCCTGGTCAAACGCTGTGTTGGCTCGAGCTGCGTCACGACCGAAGCTCCGATGGCTTTCGTCGCTGTTTCTCGCCGGGCTCGTTGTCGTTAGTGCAGCCAGCTCGGCGGCGGGATCGATAGGCGAGACGGGAGAGTACGGCCAATCCTTGTTGTCGACACGACTAACAGGTACGGGCTTGCGACTGACTCGGCGACCGACAGCAGGTTCGGGCACGGGTTTGTCGTTTGACAAGCTCGCTCCATCGAGTTCATGCTTGTCCTGTTCGTGCATGAGCGCTCCGCCAGCTGCAGCAGCTGCAATACCGGCTGCAATACCACTTTTAGGTAGAGAACTGCTTGTGGACGATTGACTGCGAATGCTTGGAGGCCGAGCGATTGGGTTGGCGAACGGGTCGTCACCAGGAATCGTGCCGTCTGTCAAGCCAGCTCGGGGAGGAGGCGGCGCCCGCCTTGGTCGAGGTGGGATAGGAGCGAACGGGTTCTCAAGTGGCGCAGCGTTGCGGTAGGCCGGATGCTCGGCCATAAGAGGTGCTGTGCCCGAGACGCCACGAGCATGACGTGAAGAGCCACGACTTGGGAGGATACCAGCGGGCTGAGGCTCTCTCCAGGCTTCCACCTCATCGTCACCCCCAGAAAGGGCGCTGTGGCGGGGCGAGGAACCATGTCTCCTGCGCTTGCAGCAGATTACCAGGGCCAGGATGAAGAATCCGAGTGCCAAAGCGCCAAGGACACACCCAAGGATGATTGCCACATTGTTGCCATGACTGGACCTTGATGCCGAAGGTAGGGTCGTGGCAGTCTCCGCGGCAGCTCCGAACCCTGAAGATGTCCCCACTATCGGCGTCGACAATGTCAAGAGAGATGTAGGATCCGATGAGGAGGTCTGGGAACTGGTATGAGAGGTGGTGCTCGGTGTAGGAGAAGAGGAATTGATCGATCCGAAGACGGCTGAAGATCCTGACGTGGTTGAAGAATCTGATGTTGAAGTTGAGCTGGACAATTCTGACGGCGAGACAGACGTAGAGGCGGTACCGTCGCTTGCTGTCAGCGGGTCGGACGCGCTGAGAGTAGGTGCATTGGTGGTAGTCGTAGTGTCGCTCGTGGTTGACGCGGTTGCAGACGCTGCTGCTGCTGAAGCGGCTGAGGCCGCAGACGACAAGATGGAATTGACCTGTGTATAGACCGAACCGGCCTCGGAAGCGATGACGCTGAAGAAATCAATGCTCTCTTGGGTTGCCGCCAGGTTGGCCAAGGCTGGCACAACTAACAGCACCCGAGAGGCTTTCATATTGCTGGTAAGAAACCGTGATGCTCTCGTTTGACGTCCTGGTTGGATGATCATAGATGTGATTGATCGGCCTCTGGTTGCTTCTTTGCTCAAGGATGACAAAAGTGTATTCAAATGCACGATATTGAAGACATTCAGACAGCTTGTTTCAAAGGAAAGAATGCATATGCACACAACGAAGGGACGGAGGAACTGTTGCTTCAAGCCTCTACGAGAGGAGAGAAGAGAGATCCTCGCCCATAGCTTCACGGCCTACGGTAGATATTGGGCAGTCGATGTAGATCGCTCACCTCGGGTGTCAGTCGCTAACGATGCACATTATCTCAGGGTCTTCGTGGCTGGTGCGGAGGTTTTGACGCAGCTAACCACATGTCGACAGGGAAGAAAGCAGGTAGGCAAGCCAGTCAGAGATGATCTCTAGAGTTCTGGAACTGCATCCTCTGGATACGAATGGTTGACATGCCCGATCGTCCTGGAACTAGCACAAGCGATGCAGGGAGCGTTGAAGACGTAAGTGGATGGATGTTGGAGGAAGGTCTGGAGTGCCGGCCAAGGTCCCTGCTGTGGCAAAACTTGGAAAGCAGATCCGAAGGAACGTGATGCAGGGACTGCGAGAGCAGCTCCGTGAGTGGCTGCGAGGAACAAGGAACAGGCACGAGGGACGCCATGAGTGGCTGCAATTCGTGGCTGTGTGGCGGTGCTGTATCAACCCGAAGCGCCGCTACTCGCAGTAGCAAAGATCATCGGATCGGCCAACGGTTTTTGCCATGAGGACGGAGAGCTTCAGGTGAGCTTGAGAGGCTCAACTATGCGGGAAACATGCTATCTGTGGTAAGCAAGATGGCTGTACTGTGGTAAGGAGGCTCCTACGGTTGCAGCACGGCCAAGACAGAGAATCGCTTCGCAGTCGAAGAGCAGCCACACAATGTGATCAGAACTGGGTGGCAAAGAAATCCGCATCCAAGGACGATCTCTTGCCTGGGGCTACTTCGCATGTATTTTTAGATATCGCTGCATGCCACAACGCCTGCCAAGTTCGAGTAGCCTGGCAGTAGGACTGTCGCTATCTGCCGGGCTGCTTGAAACCATAGTCCAGCCGACTGGATCACAGGTTGAATGAACCCATGCAGTGGTCCGGAACATTTTGTAAGAGCATGGGTCACCTCCTTTACCTGCATGTTTCCTGCACGTTGCGAAGCAACACACCTGCATGGCCGCGATCCGAAGTTGTTCACTGTCAAAAGCGCCAACAAGCAGCCCGAGCTGCAGTCCTTGATACCTGTATTGCGCAGGTTGGCCTCCTTCCTGCCTTGCTAGTTTAGCTATTCCGGCTTCGGCTTCACTGTTGTCTACTGTTGACATTTAGTCTACGACTTCCCGTCTAATCGAGTTCGTCGCCGCTAGCCAGTTTGCCCGGTCCATCGGATCTGTCAGGACCTGCATCGTGCCCAGTGCGTCCCGATAATGACCCTGCTTATTGAAGGTGCGCATTAGCTTCAGTCCTCCCATTGTCACGGCGCGTCAGTAGAGCCGAGACAACTGCTCGCATGCAACTATGACTTGAAAATAAAGGCGAGGTCTTCGATATACAACCAAACGAAGACCGAGTACCTACTCCGCAGTAATCACGCAGACGCGCGCTGGAGTCACGTGGTCATGACGTCAGTGCTTTAAGGCTGTTGGACCCTTGACACCCATGGTCAGTCACAATCGGCCCGTCCCCAAGTTCTGCGGTGATCATGGTGACGGATTGCAACTCAGGCGGTTCCCCATGGTTTCAGTTGCTCGATGGTGAGCTCACTGGCCATCAGAGCTTCGTCCATGGCCTGTCCAGCTTGAGGTCTCTGTGGAGCCCAGCGAGCCTCCCAATCGACCACCAAGGTCTCTCCTCTACGGTGCTTCCAATTTTCCTCATCGCAGTCGGCGTGAGCTATTTCCACTTGACGAGCTGTTGTTGGATCACCATCATCCCCGGCATCAGAGTCGGGTAACATGAGGTGTTGGAACGATAGTTCCCACATATCCCAGGCCCTATGTTGTGGCACTTTCTGATTGACAACGCACCATTTTGCAGCTGCAGTGGCGAGATCGCACAGTAACCAGAAGGCCGGCCCCTTGATCATTCACTTCCACCGTTCGTCGGGTTGCGCGACTTGTAAGACCCACCCTCCGCACCCAGCTGTCCTCCGCCTCATCAAGCAAGCCACAAACAACGCGTAGTGCCCGAAGAAGTCGGGTATGGTCAGTGAATCTGTACGAGATTGGCTGCGAAGATGGCCTGATAATACTGACTTTTTGAGTCGACGTACTTCGCTGTATTAGTCAAGCGTCTGACGGTATCAAACCAGATGACATTGCTCGGTTTTGCCTTGCGCCGGTGAGTCCGTACCGTCGGAGCTGGCTTTCATCTGTGCCGCTTCTTTCGTCTTGGCTCGGTTGAGCTCGGTTGCTTTGTGATCTTGCGCACGCGGCGATGGTTACGGTCTCGGGCTTTGATCTCATCGAGTGACGGCATCATGCGAGCTTGGTGTTGATCATTGTTAACCGCTGGCTTCATCAGAATGATAAGGGAGCGGCTCGATGAGACCAGTATCACACTAAACGGTCGACAATGCTTGCCATCTCGGTACCATACGGGTCTATTCAAACAGCTCGATGATTAAAAGTACCAGTCTCTGACGACGGCCAGGCAGAGGTAGGTCCTGGAAGTGGCACTTGATGCCAAGGAAGCGTGGCCTCCAATCCTCCATGTTTAGCTCGAGTCCAATCGGAAATTCCTTGTCGTCAGCTGCGGACGAGGCGGCGGCGAGCAGATGGCACATGAAGGGAGCCTTCAGCTGGGGAGCGGCAATAGCGCCTGCGGCGGACGATTTGGTCGAGGTCTTAACCGTCTTCTGCTGGTTGCGCACAGCACGGGTATAGGACATTATATCGAAATGCATGCGAGTTGCCCGCAACTCGACCGCAGCCGGCATTGCTAACGCCTTGTGATAAGGGAGCAGACCGGCCTTCGCCAAGCACTCGCGCTCACCCTCCTCCAGGTGATCAGGTCAACTGCGATCAGCATGCGACACAGGTACAGTCGGATGCGAGCCTACCGCAACCCAATTCGCAATTGTCTGTTTCCCCTCCTGGTACCGACGGTTGCGCTTTTGACCCAATGCCTTGACTGAGTATAGCTTCGCTAGTGTGAATTGGTCAACGACGGCCGTCTGTACGGGGCATTTTGAGTGAACCTGGTTGTGAACGCCGAAGTCCTTGAGGAGACTGACGTGATCAGCCGCGCCGATGAACAGGGGTGGCCGTATGCCCATCCGCCCAATGTCTCCACGGATCGCGAAGAGAAATGCCCCCACAATCGTCGTTCTGCTGCGGAAGTGCTCGAATTTCTCAGAAGCAGTTGGACCCCCGTTCATCCAGGGGCAGCCCATGGCGGACTACTGGTTTTTGGCGTGCGGCTAAGTCTCGTGTGTCGAGTGATGCGATAGCCGCATCCCGGCGTTTCCAAGGGTCGCGAAGAACTCCTTGGTGGTTTCGAGTTGGGCGCTTGCCTTCCTTGAGGCGACGACAATTTTCCACTGGTTGGGTGGGTTGTTCGTCCTCGTTGGGTCGGGGCAATTATTGCGTTGCGCTGGTGGATGAGGCGGCGGAGTGCGTCCAACGTCCAGCAGTCGTACGCGATGTTCACAAGTCTGTTATGCTCTCCGTCGGTAAACGGAGTCCAACCGGCTCTCTGCTCAGCATCGCTTGTGCCACCAAGGTAGCTGTCGAATCCATATACTCTGGTAAATCGAGTAGTTTCTCTTTACGGCCCTCGCAATCGTCTTGGCTAACTCTACGCAACCCTCATCGGTATCGGTCCGCTCTGCGCAGTCCCCATTTGTTGTTGGTGACCGATGGTTCATTTTCCTCGTCATCATTAGCGGCGAAGTCGATTGCGGATGCTCTGGGTGTGCTCTCGTACTCACTTACTAAGAGGTTCCGGGCCACTTCATGGGAGGCTTCATCGACCTCCCTTGTCGAAGCATCGTACCATTCCCCTGCTTCGATCTCCTCAAGGTCAACAGCTCGCTGGCCGGTGCCTCTTCTCCTTGGTGACTGGGTCAACCTCAGAGTGTCCACCCACGATACCGACAAGTTTGTCTCCGAGCGTATCGATGACGATCTGCCATATCGAGTCGGCTATCCACGGGGTCGAGGGAATGCTGCAATGCGATAGATTCACGTAATGTTCTCAAGCGCTCTGTTCGCTCGGAAGTATGAGCTGATTCATCAACCCATCTAGTTTAGAAGTGATCATCTTACCTTTCGCAGACTGGCCCATGGACGACGACAATGTTTGAGCGAAAGTTTGTGCAACTCAGAAGTCCAATCTGTGGTTCTCGCGCCGCATCCAGACTTCTTGCCGAGTACCGTCAGAGTCCAGTCCTGCCTTGGAGATTCGTGAAAGTTGCCTCTCACAGATGGTAGAATGATATACACCGCCGCAAAAGAATACTCGGCCATATCATATATATATACACCCAATGTGGGCTGCAAGAACACCCTCTCGCTTGTGGCTAGCTTGGACGAATGGTCAGGTGGCAGCCAATCGGCACCTCACTGCGCTGGCCAAAGGTCACTGAGGAGCTGCTGGAAGGAGAAGAAGCGACAAAGGGGGAGGAATGCAGGGGCTTAAATACTCGTGGGCACTGAGGCCGTGTCTGTGCTAGAGAAGAGAAGCAGTGGGACACTGGGAGCAGCAGTCCTGTTGGGCATCTTCCCTTCTCTTGCCATAACTGCGATGGTGGATAGTCATCCACTTGGCACACAGTATAGGTAAAGAGACTTGCATGACTCACCGCGGTTGTCAAGGATCCATTTCACCAAGAGAACCTTGGAATCCGCCTGCCTCTTCTCGCCAAGTTCTTCCCGTACGTACAGCGAGTCTGGGACTGCTGCGGCACCGTTGACTGTTGTCGCTTGACAATGCGACTGCTTCAATTGCTAGTGATGACGGACTACAATCAGCCGGTGGAGACGGATGGGCTCAGACAGCACGGTACGTGAAGTGCGGAACTTCGAGTGACCTTAGAACCACGAGTTTTCGGTGACAGCGAGCAGCCCCCAACCAGATCTAGTCACTGGCGATTGAGTTTCCAAAGGCCTCTTTTGTCCCAACCCTCTTGGGAAACAGCCTCGGAACTCACCTCCCGGGCCGTTTGTTGGCACAAGGCAACGCAGCTCTGTCTCAATCGGCTCCGGTCAGACTGCGGGGGTGCAGGTCGTACTGATCCCAAGATTGCAGCCATAAAGAGATGGAAACCTCTTCAGCCCAACGAGTTGGACAATTCATAGGCACTTCACGATCCATGGGATCCCGCCGTCCAGCCATGACAGCGAGCAGCGTATTTGATAAATTCGCTTGCAGCCTTCGTCAGCCTGGATGAAGGGTTGCACCCTGCTCTCTCATGACAAGGGATTGACGGCGATGTATTCTCGGCATAGGACACAGATCGTCAGCGTCCAGCTCCGAAGCCTCTTCCGGAGACATAGAGGATAGATGGCTTGGATGCCCTGGTAGCTGTGAGGCCGCCCTTGAAGATATCTCCGACAATCTGCTTGTAATTAATTAATCGACCGATCTAAGCCCCGAGCTGCGACATTTGCGAATGAAGTCGCTGCGCTTCGAGCCCGGTGCTTAGTACAAGGCTACAGTACATGAATGACATCTCTTAGAGCGCGGTGCCCCCTGTGCGTAGCCATTGAGGAACTCGACAACATGGTGGCAATGGGGTGGTTACAAGGCTGGCTAACTCAGGGGGGATTTTGCCCTCGACCGGCGCCGCGAAACCCTTCAACCCTGATTGGCGGAACGTCTCAAACGCGCGTAATGGCTCCGACCCCGACGCTCCTCGCCCCGCGTTCTGTCTACTGCGGTAAGGAGTACTGGCTCTTCACTTTTCCCATCAGTTCGCGTATATTGAATTCGCAGTTCGAGTTGTTCGAGCGGTTCCCTACATTTCACCACATCGTCCAATACCTGACGACACAATCCTCAACCACATACATGTAACCCAAATGCAATGCACGGCGAGCTAGGAAACAAGCTCGTAAGTCGCCATCCAACCAAGGCAGCCCCTCCCCATCGACGCATCAATACATAATTTCTGCGCCCCAGCACACGCGAAGCACGACCAACTCACGCGCGCACGCACGCAGGTCCAACACGCCAAACGCACCCTCGCCCTCCCCGCCCTGCCGGCCTACCAGACCGAACTCATCCGCAGCATCGTGCTCGAAGTCCGCGACCTAGACCGCGACGTCACGCGCCTGCTCGCCCCCTTCACCACGACAGTCTACGACGACGATGGCGCGGCTGCCACGCAAAACACATTCGCGCCGGTAGAGCACCCGGCCACGGCGTGCGCGCTGCTCGTCGACCACCTGAGCATGCGGCGCAATAAGCGGTGTCTACTGGCGTATCATCGCGTGAGGGCCGAGAAGTTGGAAAGTATGGTTTGGGAGGGGAGGGAGTTGGATGTGGGGGCAGGTCAAGAAGGGGAAAAGGAGAGGGAGAGGGAACAGATGTCTCCGGCGGCGGGAACCCAAAATTCCGTGTCCCCGGAGGAGGCGTCGTATTTTCACGCGTACTCGGATTTCCTGGGCCAGTATAAAGCGCAGTGGACGGATGTGGATCTCACGGGCAGTTTGGAGCCGCCGAGAGATCTGTTCATCGACGTGCGCGTGCTCAAGGATGCTGGGGAGATACAGACGGAGTATGGGGCCATCAATCTGACGAAGAATAGCCAGTTCTTTGTCAGGAAGGGGGATGTCGAGAGATTGATCCAGGCTGGGTTCTTAATGAGGTTGACTTAAGCCTCCAAGTCGGGGGAGAGTGCTATGAGAAACGCTCCGAATTGGTCGTTTTGCTCGGAAACAGGGGGGCTCGAACAGCATGCGATACGAGATGTGAACGTGGACACGCTTCCATGATCATTCCAAGGCCTTGACAAGGTCTGTATCATGAATTTGTCTGGTCTACATGCCATGGATGAACCTTCATTGGGTTGTGGAGGACATCCGAGCTGATTTGGCTCGCCCTCTTCCCACGTTTTGTGACCAGCGTTACTCCCGTGTTGGGGAGAGTCCCTCTGAACCCCAGCCTCTCACTTCATGGTTGAAATGACCGTGTGGCGGTTACTATCATACACCTGACTCGCAGACCTGTGGTCACCTTACTTAAAGTCCCCCAACTAGCACAGCGACAAGCAGCATCAAAGCCACAGAAACCGGTGCCATGGTCATGGCCGAGCCATTGCTCGCGGCAGTTTGTGTAGATGTACTACCCCCACTTCCGGTGCCCCCAAACGTCTCACTCGGCATCATCTGCGTGAAATTTGCGCAGTTCAGTCTTGTGCCATTCGCAGCATGGACTACCACTGATCGATTGCCAAAGAAAGCCACGCTGTTGGGGTCTGTGCTGAGGTATAGATCCAGGTACATGGCCTGGAAACTATTCGTGGCCCGCGGGCCGTTATCAGAATCATCGGGGGCACTGGCGGATGCGAGTTGAGAGATGTTGCCATGCTTGCCGCTCAGATCACCTGGTTGGCAGGTTTGAGGGTTTATTGGATCGCATGGTGGAGAGTCGGGGCGACCAAATGGCGAGAGGTGTCCACCTGCCGCGGTGCAGTTTCCTGAGGGAGGGATGGGGTATTGATGGATATGGTAATCTGCGGGTTGAGGTTAGCTCTGTGGGAAGAGATCAAAGGACGGCGTCAAGGTGAAACTCACTGAACGGCCCAAGACCAACGTCTGGGAAACTGAAGAAATTGACCGAGAAACTGACTCCAGTGCCATTGTCGTTGGACACACCGGTGATCTGACCCTGCACGGGCTTGCCGGACTGGAAAACCCCTTGAAAAGTGACCCGAGAAGGATTGTTCTCGGTGATGGGAGCGATGGTGCTGTCGCTGGTCCCTTGAGCGAAGACTAGAGAGGTCAGGAGAGCCAAATTCGCAAGAAAGGCGAGCGAAATCATTTTGCTGCTGGTCTTTGGTGGGTCTCTGATGGTCGACCTGCGTGGTAGGAGGACAACTCTCTATGATCTCAGTAGAGGGAATTGAGGAAATGATTCGTATGTAAGGTCGTCAGGGGGGAGAGCAAGTAGAAGAAGGAAGGAACTGTCAAATCCTTCGAAAGGAAAATGAGCTCTTATGACGATCGTGGTGCACGTCTGTAAACGCAGGTGAGGTTGAAGTGAGGAAAGGTTGAGGTGAAGAAATTCAGCCCAGCAACCTGTAGGAATTCGGACTGTGAGTGGCGTCGGTGGTCACCCGAATACCTCCAGACATGTTTCCCTGCCCTCACTCACCAGTCACTCTCGGCTCGGAGAAGTCCAGATCATATCCTTTTAACTCAGTCAGTCTGTGTGGTGATGTTGCTGGTGAAGTCGGAGGCGATAAGAGTTCGAATATCTGTTGCTTGCCACCAATGGGTCACACAGCTCGGATCGAATGCCGTTTGGCGTCATACATTCAATCGAGACGATTGGTGCAGCAAACAGTAGAACGTTACGCTTTGAACAAGTCGTCGCCTTGATCGAATGTTGCTAAATTGATTTGTTTTAGGTCCTTGTCATGGTTGAGGCACGGGCTCCATCTATCTTTCCACCACGATTTACCTGCCATCTTTCACATCCTATTTTCGTTCCCGTGTATGCCTTCATCAACCCTCTTCTTCATTTCCTGCATGTTATAGCGCCGACCTGACTGCACATTTGAAAGGCCAGATCTTCGCTTCCTTTGGATTCCAAGCTCCTCCTTTTGTGTAGGGATCATTTTCCAAGAACTCCCTCACTTCTTCTTCAGTGTTGGCTTTGATCAGCATGACACTGCCCGTCATATCTGGTCCCTCACCCTCGGCTGGTTGCTTAGACAGGGTTGCACCGCCAAAGACCACGATCCCAGCATCGATCTTCGGTTTCAGGCCGTCCAGGTGCTGTGGCCGTACTGCGAGCCGCTTGTCGAGGGCATTGGGATGATCAGGAATCTGGACAAGCCATTCCTTTGTAGGCGCTGAGGAGGACATTATTCTTGTGGTAGAGAAAGTTCTGGATCTTGAGGTCGACCGTTCTTCGATAGCTCGGCAGCTCTGCGGCGCGGTGTTTGTTTTGCTTGGTGAGTCAAGGGTTAGACGCGAGATGCCGGCCCTTCTTAGAGCAGACAAAAGGCGAGTTCCGCGCAAGACTGCAGACATGAATGCTATAAGTCCACGAGGACCATCAATAATCCAACCTGATGAGCTCCGCCGTGGAAGCGAACGAGGGCTCCGACCTCCAACGTGGTGACCCTCTCCGCAGCTTTGGAGAAGGGCGTGAGGTGGGGAAGAAGGAGCATGTTCACCAGATCAGTGGGGCAGGGGGCTTCAGCCTTTCACTCGTCTCTATGAGTTTATCCTGCTTTCTAGAGCATCAAACACAGCTGAGGTTCAGAGAAGCGGTCGGTGCTAGCCTCCAAGTCTAGAAGAGCCGTTTGAAATTCTCAGTCACAAAGCAGGGGCAGTTCGCTCATCCACTGCTGGGCCACCATGGTCGAGCCCCCGCCAAAACATTCACCCACCTTGGTATAAGCCCACGATAATTCTTAGGTAGTGAACAGACGTCCCAGTCACACACTGACAGAATCTACGTCCTCAAGGAAAGGACGGTTTCCCCGCTTTCTTCCCACGCCAGGCTGCACATCCGGATCCCCTTCGACACCGAGATGCAGGAGTGATCCATGTGCAAACCCAGATGAACCCCGTAGTGCATCTATAGCCTTGCTCTAGGCTCATCCTTGGCTAATAGGGACTCCGCAACTTTCCGTCGCTGTACCTTGCCAGTCGCTGTCTTTGGTATCTCTTTCAGTATCCAGACCTGGTGAGTGGTCAGCAAGTCCTGCATCGGAATGGAGTTGGGCAGGATGAACATGGGCTCACCCGCTGCGGCTTCTTGAAGATTGCGGTCCTGCTCACCACAAACTCCGTGATGCCTTGCTCCGTAACATCCCTATCAGCTTTGGGCACGACTGCCACTCCAATCTCTTGGCCATACAGTTCCGAAGGAATGGCGAAGGCGACCGCCTCTGAGATTTCTGGATATCCGGCTAGAAGATGATCAAGCTCGATTGGGCTTATCTTCTCACCACCCCGGTTGATCAGCTCTTTGATTCGACCCGTAATGTAGACATAGCCATCTTCATCCTTCTTGCCCTGGTCTCCGGTCCGGAAGAAGCCCGTCTTGGTGAACGCCTCTTTGTTGGCCTTGTCGTTTTTGAGATAGCCTTTTGTGACATTTTCCCCACGTACACAGATTTCGCCTTCCTTGCCCTGAGGGACCTCATTGCCATCATCATCTAGGATCTTGACTTCCACACCTTGGCCGATGCCAACACTTCCCGGCTTTCGCTTCCCAGTGTGAGGAAGTTGATTCGAGCACATTTGATGAGCTGCTTCGGTCATGGCGTAAGCTTCTAGAACTGGTGCTCCGTAGGTTTCTTCAAGTTCGCGGAATGTCTTGGGTGCCAATGGCGACGAACAGGACCGAATGAATCGGATCTTCGGCTTGGGATTAGGTGGGGCCCCCTTGAGTAGTATTTGATGGATTGTAGGCACCGCCGTGTACCAGTTTGCTTGGTGCTCGAGAAAGTCATCCCAAAAGGTCCGGGCCGAGAAACGGTCAGGGACAATGACTGAACCCCCAGCACTTAGAGGGGCGAGGAACCCAGCCAACAACCCATGGACGTGAAATAAGGGCATGACCAGCATTGTCCGGTCTTGGTGGGTGAGTTCGTAGGTATTGCGAATGTTTTGCATCGTTCTTGTCAGGTTTCGATGGGTCAGAGGGACGGCCTTGGGTCTTCCTGTGGTACCGGAGGTATGCAAAATGAGAGCAACATCTTCAGGCTGAGCTCGCGCAACAGGCTGGGGCTGTCTTCTTGCCAATTTGCCTTGCTCCTTGACGTCCAGGATCAGGTTAGTTCCATTCAGATAGCATTCTGCAATAGCGGCATTGTGTTTTCGAGCTGCTTTGACTGCAAGGCCATCGTCTGCATATGCACCCTGGGGTAAGATGACCACTGCTGAAGACAGGTCTTCGATGTAGAACTCGAACTCGCTCTGTTTGTAAGCGGGGTTTAGAGGGGCTGCAATGGCTCGCTGGAAGGTGGTTGCAAGGAAGGAGACGATGAACTCATAGCTGTTAGGCAAGGCTATTGAGACTGCGTCGCCAGATGGAATGCCCAGCTGGGCGAGCTGCTTCTGGAAGACCAAAATGTCATCCGCCAATTGCTCGAAGGAGACAGACAGAGCAGTGGGTTTGCTGGGGACAATAACGGCAGTCGCTGAGGACGACGCTGAAAGGGAGGTTGAGAGCGTGGACATGGCCATGGCTGGTTCAGATGGTGTAGGAAAGTGAGGTGGGGGAGGAAAGGGCGGGAAGAACAGCACCGGTGAACTCGACGAAGTCCAATGTATCTCTAAAGTCAATGCTCTATGCGACTGATATCAACAGTTCCCGGAACCAAAAAACAGTAACTCCTCGGACAGAACATGACGTGATTTGACGCGAAGCATCAGGATAAGAAGAAAGGCCCGCGGCCTGACCGCCGTCTCTTCTGGTAATTCGTGACTTACCGGGCATCGTCGTAGCATCATGCGGGGCCACAAGCCAGCGTGTGAACAAGTCTCGGGTGATTTGACCACAATACGGGGTACTTGGTGAAGATATCGGGTGCTGAGTCCAGCTGGAGATGTTCGAGGACGTGCAAACTGGGACCAGGACACGAGAATCTGCATCCTCCCCGAGAATAGCGATTGGTGACTCCATGGCCCCTATGCAGCCTGCTTCTGACGCGCGCATCTAAGGCTAGCAGGGAGGAGCCATTTCAGGACGACACAGGCGTCCTTTCCCCGAGAACTGGCCGCGCCGCCTACCTCGTACACAGTAGAGCCTAGCCTAGAGTCACGAGATGGGAAGCTAAACCGCACAGGGACAGTTTCATCTCCACCTCATTTCTCGCTCGAGCTGGTCTCACCACGATCTCGAAAACACGACACGCACATGACGATGGCCAATAACACCTCCACACCTGCGCGGGGAGGGTTGTCGCTGTATGCCAACCTCCTCGACCCGAAAGTTGCTGCGCCTGGCACCATCTCCAGTGCTCCTGTCTCGTACAAGTCCGGCGAAGGCTCGCCCGAACAAGATGAAGCTGTCAAGAAACAGCAAGCACTTGCTGGTACATCATTCGTCGTAAGGACCTCAAGGTTTGCAGGACAGACATGCTCACGGATTTGCCATGCTTTCGTGTGATGCACAGCCTCTCTGAGATTCCAACCTACCAAGAGACCCCAAGTCGCGGCCCAAAAAGCAAAAGCCAAAGCCATCGCCAGCAAATTCTCCCTTCCCTCAACTGCCACCACACCGACTCCTGCTGCCGAGGCCACTGGGCCTGGCGCTACGGATCAGCTCTCTTCCCAGCCTGCTGCACCCAGAACCACCATCGCCGACTGGACCGCGACTGCTTCCGACGACGAGGACGTCAGCAATTTGTACACGGAGAAGCGTCCACGGGGGGGTCGCAAGAAGCGCAAGAAGAACAAGGAAGCAGCTCCGGTGACGCAGAACTGGAACGACATCTACGATCCCAGTCGGCCAAACAACTATGAAGAGTACAAGCACAGTGAGGAGAAAATTCGCGAGGTGAGGGAATGGAAAGATCTGCTGTATAGGCATCGTACGAAACGGAGGGGTTACAGCGAGTCTGAAGACGACGAATACAGGCGTCCCATGAACAGTAAAGACCGCACCACGCTGTACTGTAGTTTTGCTGACCTGTTGCAGAACAATTTGCACCGCCTCCCATGGCGTTTGCGCCGCCGCCCAACCTGAACGATGAGAGTCCTCCTCCACCGCCTCCTCCTGCTGATATCCCAGATGACCCGACTGGAGAGGATGCATACTTGCGTCGACTGCGGCTGACACAAGGCCAGGCCCCGCCAGCAGGGCAAATATCACGTGCACCAGTACGGTATAATGTGCCTTCTGCGCCGGAAGCGATGCCGGAAACCGAGGAAAACTTGGAGGACATGCCTGCAGAGCCGGAAGCGCTCGACAGTGAGGATCCTGATCAGCCACGGTCCAAGCGTCCTGGCCAAGTAGGGTTTGCAGAACGTCTCATGGCCAAGTATGGCTGGAGCAAGGGTCAAGGTCTCGGGGCCCAGGGCACCGGCATCATCAACCCGCTTTATGCCAAAGCCGATAAACGCAAGAAGCGGGCCGACGCTGAAGGCGGAGGGTATGCTACGCCTGCAGGGACCGGCAGGATCCTCGGCGGCCAGAGATCGAGGACTGCTGAAGCGGAGGAAGAAGGGAAGTTTGGAGCCATGTCCGAAGTCATCCGACTTGAAGGCATGCTGACTGGCTTGGATCTGGACGACGAGCTGGCGCAGGGTGAAGGAGGAATCATGCAAGAAATTGGCGAGGAATGCGGTGACAAGTATGGCAGTGTGGAGCGAGTTTACATTCATCGACCAGGCAGTGAGGAGGAGGAAGCCTTGGTGTTCGTGCATTTCGTGAGCCAACTGAGTGCTCTTCGGGCAGTCAATGCACTGGAAGGGAGGATCTTCAATGGCAATCCCATAAGGGCCAAGTTCTGGCCGAAGGAGCAGTTCGATAGAGATCAGTACTTCTGATGTTGATGGCAGGGCCGCTAGATGGCTTGGATAGCTTGGATAGCTTGCATACTGTACGATTCGCAGATTTGCAAATTGAACAGTACTACATATTGAGCGAGAATACTCACCCGTGGACGATTGGCTGTGGGCTGGACGCGGAAACACGCCCTGACACGCCCCGAGCCACAAGACGCGCAGTGATTTCGTCATCGGGAGTTGGGAACCTTCCAAGGTTGCACACTGTGGTGGCCACCACCAGATTCACATGGACACTGTGCACAGTCCTCTGTTTCAGTCCGTCGCAGCTTGCTCTTCCCAGCATCAGTCACGCCAACACTACTCAACATGTCTGACCGTGACACGATAGACCGTGCCTTTGCGCGCAACTCGCCATTACGGAAAAGAGTATATGAAGCCATCGGTAATCCCGTCTCTCTCCCCACCGTTTGGTCCCCGGAATTAATTTGACCACCGCAGACGCGACTCCCCAATACGCACCACTCTTCGAGGACATTGCGAACTATCACCTGACCTCGGTCTATGACCGCGGCGCCATCGACGACGACCCGGCCTCGAAAAGGCGGAAACTCCCCAATGGCGGCGCGACCGCCACCACCACCACCACCCTCCCCATCACACCTGCGCACAAAGACCAGCCGCGCGAAGTGGTGCTTGAGGCCCGGGACATCTCCTTCTCCCTGCCTCAACGCAAGAAACTGCACCTAGGCATGGCGCAGTATGGCACCGACATCAACGTCGCGGGCACCTCGTTCGCCATCTTCACGCGCAACCCCGCCACGAATGAAGTCGACATGGAAGTCCCGTTTTCGCGGTTCGCCTACGCGCTCAGACTGCCCGTACCAGAAAAGGCAGCCAAACAATACAACTTCGTGTTGATCCCCAGGCCGGGAACTACGGGCGTCGAACCCATCATCTGGACCGTCAACGCGGGGCCCTTGAAGTCATGTACCATCCCCAACGAGCAGCTGGCCATAGTGGCAGCCGGGCCGGACGACGTGCTGGAATGCGCCCTGGGGTTTGTGCTACGGCAGTCCAACGTCAGTCTCTCCCTGCCTAGCCCCGACGAGTTCTACAGCGCGACGCCCGAGTCGCATCGCAAGGGCGACAAGGCGTACCATGTGAAAGCCCACCGGGGGAGCAAGGACGGGTACCTGTTCTTCTTGAGCAACGGGATTTTCTTCGGGTTCAAGAAACCGCTCGCCTTCTTTGCGTTTGAGGACATCGAGAGTATTTCTTATACATCTGTGCTGCAGCGGACGTTTAATCTGAACATTGCACATCGACCGAGCGGCAGCGGCGAGGCTGATGACAACGCAAATGCAATTCAGGAAGTTGAGTTCTCGATGCTCGACCAGGCCGATTTCGTAGGCATCGATGAGTACGTGAAGAGGCACGGTCTGCAGGATGCAAGCCTGGCGGAGGCTAGACGGGCGAAGAAGTCGGCAACGAATGCGAAGCCTGGTGGCATACAGAATGGCGATCCCGCGGGGGAAGGCGAAGGAGAGGACCCAGACACGCGCACCGAGCTGGAAAAGGCGCAACAACAGCTTGACGATGAAGAAGACGAGGACGAAGAGGACTATGATCCAGGCAGCGACGGAGAAAGCGAGGGAAGTGGCTCCTCTGACGACGACGACGATGACGACGACCGTGAATACGAGCGGGAGAGGAAAAAGTCCAAGGGCAAAGACCTGGTCAAGGAGGAGCTGGGCAGTGAGGCCGAGGACGTCAGCGTGACAGAGGATGAGGATGAGGGTGAAGGTGAAGGTGAGGCCGAGAACGGCGACGAACTGGAAGACGAAGGCGACAAGGAAGAGCAGCCCGGGGCGAACGACCGGGATAGGCACGACAGGACACCCGGGAAACGCGATCCCAATGCACGCCGTGGGGGACCCACTATCGCGTCAATCCCTTCCCACGACGGCGGCTGGACGTACCAAGAAGGAATGCCCGACCCAGATGATGAAGACCAGCTGTGACATCGGATACGCGGTATGCAGAACGTGTGTCGGCGCTGGATGTGTAGCCATGTATGCATACGACGAAATTCCTCCAGGCTGGACACCAATCCATACGAATGGAATGTAGAGTACCTAGGTACCAAGGTATGCAGGCAGAGCGCGCAGACAGTACAGGACAAAACAATGTGTACCTTATGATCCCAGTTGACCGGGTACGAGACCTGGAGGGTTCGATCCTTGTCACCAACCAGACCATCACACGATGCGCATCGCCTTTCCGCAATCCAACCCCTGTCCATCCCAACACTCACTCAATTTACCTTCGCTCCACAGCAACGCGAATCTCGCCCAACATTCAATCCTCCATCCCTCCCTTCCCTTTACAGTCCAACTGCCCTGACTAACCGGTCGGGCCTCCTTCCCTGCGTTACCACTCCTTCATGGTACTACTGTAGCAACGCGGGAACAACAGGGAAGCATATGATATAATCTCCTACTGTAACGCCGTGGAAGCACATAATATGACCGAAAGACAAACGCTTCAGAAGCGCAACAGCGCGACACGACATGATATGACTTGATATGAAGAAAGGCAGCTACCTACCTAGGTAGGTATTTTCTTTAACACGGGGCGCCACTATCAATGAACAGAGATTTCTCCCACCTTTGGGGCATTCTAGAGACCGTTTCTCGTCTCCTTTCGCTTCTTGGGGCTCGTTTTGCTTGCAGGTAGGACGGCGCTATGAGCGCGACGAAGTAGTTGGAAGTGTGCTGTCTGATTCTCCTGGCACGAGCGGAGGAGAGGGGAGCCATCGCATTGCCCATTGGACGCGGAGGCGAAGTTGGGCTGTGCGTGTACGCAAGCTGCGTAGGTTAGGTAGATCAGTAGGTAGGTGAGAGGTAAGTAGGTGGACAGGTAGGGGAGTGGTTCGGTAGCAGCGGTTCGTCCGCCCACGATCGTGGCGAGGGAATACTGTACGTAAGTCCGTCGTCAACCGGAATCATCCATGGTAATCTGTTACTGTGTTTTTGTCCATGCGGCAAAGGTCAAGCCGTGCGCGGGAAATCAGAAAAGTGTGCTTCGGAGGGAGGCGATGGGCGCGGCCTGCTATGGGTAGGACGGGCGGCGTCGTCGCTCACGCTGAGTTATCTGCCGAAGCCATAGCAGAGAGTTCCAAGTCGGTCTTGTTCTGTTGACTCGAAATCTCGCACAGGAGGCCATACGAAGTTGCCCTTCGGATAGGGGTTCGGGTTTGCACAGCGTGGTGGTGGTGATGGGGTTGTCTCGCGCATGGTCAATTTCGCAGAGGCTGTCTTCTCAACCAATGCATTGCGACGCCAGGCCACTGCCTCCCTTCGTTTGTCGTGGGCCCCAAATTCACTCGCTCAGCATTAGGAGCATTCGCTTCGCTTCCGTAGACACATCAAGTTCTGGCTCGGACAACCCACTCGATCGCCAACGCGATGATCTCCCTGGTCAACGCATCAGCGTCGCCGTCCTTGCCCACCTGCATGGCAATCTCCTCGACCACCAACCTCCCAAACCGCCTGGCCCACCAGACCTTGTGGCCCAGCTGCTCCACCACGGCGCCCCAGAGCATCAAGACCAGCAACGCGACACGATCTCCGTCCTTGATGGCTGAGACGTACTCGTCGCCCGCCATGTTCAGCCACCCAAGTATATATCCTTGATAGCTTTCGTCGACGACGTCCCCCATACATTTGGCGAAATACTGCTCCAATAGGCCGATCGATTTCTTGCACGCCTCGAAATACTTGACGTGTTGGACCCTCGCTTCGTACGGCTCGCCGACGCTCCCAGTCAGCCTGCGCTCGTTGGCCTCGTTCAATCTGGCTAGCACGACGGCCGACGGCGAATCTACGGGTAACCGCGGGAGGTCGTCGAAGCGCGTGAGTTTCAGCACGTAAGGGTTTGAGGCGAGGTATTCCTCTCCCGCGTCGCCGAGCACGGTGCCACACCCGCGAATGAGTTGGTAGTGCGTGATGGTGTTTTGCACCATGCCCTGCCCACCCGTGAACTGCGCCGAGGCCAGCGCCAGAACCATCAACATCATCGAAAAGGCCAGCACGGGCTCAAAGCTGCTGTTGCTCGGATGGCGATGTGGTCCCATCTGAACCAGTTGCAGGTGTTGGCGAAACTGGGTCAGCGCGACGGACTGGTACTCGATCGCCGCCGTGACGTAGCGGTCGCGATTTTGTCCTGCGACCGAAGCACTGGCTGCTTCGAACGCCGTGAGGCTCAACATACCATTCAGCAGGAAGTCGTGTCTGAGTGCCCACTTCGGTAGCTTGTCACGCCACACAGGCCCGTCCCCGGCAGCCGGAGTGCACACGCTCTTGTAGGTGACCGTGGACCATCGATGCATGAGTTGGAGTTCCAGCAGGCGCGTGCTGCTGGGGAACTGCGGCTCCTCCGCCGGTTGTGACTCGTCATCAGCGCCGGGCGCCGGTAGTAAACCATTCTTTGGTGGCGAGGTGTTGTCTTGCCGGAGACTCGGCGGCGGATCGGGATATGTACAGGTGGTTCCTCTCAATCTGCAACGCTCGCACGGCGGCCCGTCTTCTCGGCATTTGATGTGGGCTTGTTTGCAGGCCAAGCAGCCACGCCGGCTTTTCTGATGCGAGCGCCGCGAAGGCATTGGCCTACCTGGCCAGCTATGCTCGCCTCGGTCCTCAGGAATTGGATTGTGTGAGAAACGTGAAGTCGACCGGAGGCAAGATGCAGGGAAGTAAGATGGTGCTCCGGCTGGGAAATACGAAACTCGAATACGTCGTACACTAGCAGGTACGAGGCCAATGAACTTTTGGCTTGGCAGCACTATACCCTTCTAGGAAACATATCTCAAGGAGGGCCTGGAGCAGGGGAGGAGATCAGGAAGTGGTATAAGAGTTTGGGTATTGCTAGAATGCTGATTCTTGTCTACCTTCCTCTGTTCTGTTCTGTTCTATTTCCCAAGTTCTGTAAGATTCATGCCTGCGTTACCATTTCACATGGCTCTTTTCAAGCTGCCGCTCAAATACCGCGGATCAAGATCCATCGTCGAGCATGTCCTTCATCCAGCGCTCCGACGTAAATTTCTGACTCATCACTCGTATACCCTACCTATGAGCCAGCGGGCTTCACATTTTCGATATCAGAGTAGCCGTTCTGATACCCACAGGACCGCTCAGTCCCACCCGAACTCAGACGGCCCTCATTCCTCCTTCAGCTTCGCAGACTTGGGAGCAACCCGTACCGTCAAGATAAGCGTTCTTGTTGCGCTCAGCATCTTTGGGACTCTCGAGACGATCTTCTGGGCGAAGGCTTTGTGGCGATATTTCGTGCCGTCCGAGTCATCCGCACCCACAATCTCTTCGAACGACGGCTCTCCCTCACCTTCTTCAAGGCCGATTCCTCGACGATGATTGCTGAGAGATGTCGAAAAGGAGCATTTGCGGACATCAGAGATGGCTTCTGCACGGGAGCAGTGCACAATATGGTTGGCACACGGGTTGCTTGTTGGAATGCTGCCCGTGTGAATGTCCGAGGGCTATCGTCTGGATACTGAATGCCTACCCTTGTCCACATGCTTGTCAATCTTAGCCAGCACTTCGGCAACGCGAAAAGGCTTGGGCAGGACGTCATCAACTCCCGCATTGTACGCCGCTTTGATCTGCTCAGTGCGAGCGTTGGCAGTAATGGCAATGATGTAGATGTGTCTTTTAAACGACCCATTTTGTTGCAGTTCGCGTATCCTTTGAGTGCACGTCAGGCCATCTAATACTGGCATCTCCACATCCATCAGAATGCAGTCTATGTCAATGTCGAGATTGGCGACTGGAAGCTCGGCCGCCTGTATCGATCGGTAGTCGTGCCAGATCTTGGTACGCTCAAGAAAATCCAAAGCCTCGGAACCATGGTTGGCGTTGTATACAGTGCATCCTGCCCTTTGGAGTTGTTTGGTGAGTACCTGGGCATTGATGATGTTGTCTTCGACCAGGAGCAACCGTGCGCCATCACAGGGCACCACGGTGCCAGAAGCTCGGATAGGTAGATCGATCTTTGAACGCGACCAAGATGTCTGCTGTACAATCTGTGGGGAACGCGACAACTGAGGAGCCTGAGCATCATCGTCCTGGGCCGCTGCCTTGTGTGCTTTGACATAGAATGCAAATGTGCTGCCTTTTCCGGGCTCCGTAACCAGGCCAATTTGCCCGCCCATGGCCTCGGTGAGCTCTCTGGAGATATATAACCCAAGCCCTGAGCCCCCGTACTTGATGTGTGTCTTCTTCGTCCCTTGTTGGAAGCGGTGAAAGAGTCGTGTCATCTCCTCCTGCTCCAAGCCCTTTCCAGTGTCCGATACCGAGAAGAGGAGATTGATGGGCGGTCCAACACTTCCTTCAGGAAATGACACAGAACGGCGCCGCTTCTGGTTCGTGGGGAACCAGACAATGTGATCAATCGGAGGCACTGAACCGACAAAGACAGATCTTCGTACAGTGATTTTGCGGGCTGGCTCGAGCTTGGTGAATTTGATGGCGTTGGTGAGAAGGTTGATGAAGACTTGTGTCAGGCGCGCTGGATCCGCAGAGACATAGTCTATCTCGTGGTCTCGAAAAGTGTGATCTGTGATGTTCTCCACGGTAATTGAATGCGTCTCAAACTCGGCGCGGAACATCGTCAACACCGACTCGACTAGGATGTGAGGCTGGATGACGACTGGGGTGATCGCAAGCAGCTGGGAATCGAGTTTCGAAAGCGTAAGGACATCATCCACGATCCGCTTCTGGTGCGCAGCACACAGCAGGATGGTCTTCCCATATTCCGTGCTCTCCTCAAGTAGGCCTTGTGCGGTGCTTTGAGATTGATCCGAAGCGTCCCAAACATCGAGAGACGAGGCAATTCCATCTGCGAGTTGTGTGATGGCGGAGAGTGGATTCCTCATCTCATGGGAGACAATGTCAATGAAGGCCTCTTGCAGCTTGCGAGCCTCTGTCGCTTCGGCAGCGAGACGACTTTGTACTTCTTCCGCCCACTTGTTCCTGCTGATGTCGGTCACGCAGCAAACAACACTCTTGAGCTCGCCATTGTCCAGCGCCGGAAAGGCATGTGCCATGAGCCAGCGGCATTCTTCTTTTGGGTGAGGATTTCCAGCGGTAGCTGGGGGCGTCCAGGTCCGGTGTAGGCGAATTTCTCGATTAACTGGCTTGAGTTCCTCGACCAGTTCTTTCCACATCCGTGAAGTACGCTCTCTGTCATCAGGATGAACCGGATCGAGGAATGAGAACTCGTATTTGTCTCCAGCAGGGTGACCTGTCATTTCAAAATACTGCCTGTTGGCCCAGAGGATATTGCCTGCGGCAGTCACACGGATCATACCAACTGGCGCCTGTCTGTCAGCATGAGCCGGCTCCGACGGGAGAGAGATTGGACGACGGCGCGGTCTTGGAATAGAGGGAGGACTTACCTGGGCCATGTTCAGCAATTTCCCTGATCTGCCGTTCACTCTCTTGCAGTTGAAGAGTAAGCCGCTCGGCACGCACCTGCGTCTCCTCACGATCAACAGCGAGAGCTATCGTGGCAGACACCTGTCGACAGAGAGAGTGGATGAAAGCTTCGTCCTCCGCTTGAAAGTGTCTCCGCGGGTTGAGTCCGAAAACCAGTACACCCAATAACCTGCTGCTGACCGATATAGGCAGCATCGCCACGCTTGTTGGCACATCACCGTACCCGCACCAGGCGAACCCCTTCAAAAACTCTTGTGGAAGAGTACCGTCGGCTTGGTGGAGGACGATGGGCTCATGCGTGGCTTTCAGCTTGCGATAGTAGAATGGTAAACCGGTGGGTCCCTCAAAGATGTCGACATGCGCTGGAACGAGTGCGTGACCACTTGGTGGCAATCCGAGCGACTGCTTCAATGTCAGTTTACAGGTAACGCCGTCATCTTCGGCCGAGTATGCGAAAGCCATGGGGAAGTCATTGGGATTGCTACACAGGGCATGGAACAGGTGGTCCCAGATCGACTCGTTCGAGTTGGCTGCTGGCGCGCTAATAGCATAAAGTGTGTTGGATCTTCGCTTTCTGACTTTCTCGTCCGTGATCTCGGAAGCTCGATTGTAAAAGCCTGCAACTCTTCCCTGTTCGTCGAGTATCGGCAAGAGTGTTCCCATCCAGAAAGACTCTTCAGTTCGCCCGTTAGGCTGCTGAGGAAACAAGGTTACCTCCATGTTCTTCAAGGTATGGCGACTATCTTGCATGTCCTGGAAGACGCCCTCTAGGGCGGGCCATGAATGTTGCCATATCTCTTTGAAGGGTCTCCCTTGTATGCTCGATTGATTGTTTAGCCTCTGACGGATGTCGCTGTGTGCGCTCCGATTGAAGCAAGCTGAAAGAGATGGACCCCAGTAGATAACCGCAGGACAGTCATCGAAGAGGACGATGCTGACAACAGTCCGAAGAGATACGGGCCAGGTGTCAAGAGGGCCATAGTCGGTCTGGCTCCAATCCACGCTCGCCACGAACCAGTCCACATTATCGTTCTTGGGAAGGGATTTCGTCCAGGATTTCTCAGCTGGCGCGACGGCCGGACCTGGTTTTGCGGCGTGTGATAATCCGGCACGCTGGGGAGCAACTCCTGCACCGGTGACTCTCCATTGCCCCGTCCAGCCGTCGAACACGGCCTGAGAGATTTTCAGACCATCGGCCCCCTCCGACTCAATCTGGATCGAGAATTGTCTGTTGCCCTCTTGGTCGACGAATGACCGTATTCCAAGCTCTTCTAGGCTCTTGTCACGGGGTGTTGCATCCAGATGACTGAGGGTCGATGGGCTCATCGTCATAGTCAGGGCTCGTCAAAGAGCGACCTCATCTCTGGTTACCAATCGCGCCTCAGGCTGATTGCACACATGATCGAGGTCCCGAGCCCGTCGAGCTGATGCTTCCACGCCAGCACCTTCGACAGTGCTCATGGATGTGGGAGGATAGGGCGTTTTGTGGAGCACGACCGACAGGCGGTCAATGGATCTGGGGAGGGGATAGCACGAGTCTGTGGTGGTCGGGCGCACAGAGTTGGAACGAAAGGAAAAGGCATGGTTAAGTTTTCGCGGAAAGTGTCGACTCGATGACATACTCGGTCCGTGGAAGTCTGGACGCCACGAGGCGGGACGGACGCGGTACGGAATAGCCATCGCTGTTGGAAATCTTAATCGTGACCGACACCCACAATAGGCATGAGCTGGAGATTTGGCTTGGAGCTCACTGGCTGATACCCTCAAGCGAACTGGGTCAACCGATCGGAGCTATGGAGATCTCTAGGGACCCCGCCTATCGAGCCGGCCGTAGCGAAGACATGGTTGCGGGACAAATGAGAGCGTCTGATACAAAGTACTCTGGACGCCACTGTTCCTTGGAGATGAGTCTTTGGCATTGGCCAGCACACATAGAGTCTGCTAGGCGAGTGGCTGGCGTTGCTCAGGCACTGCGAAGATAAGTGGCTATGGTATGTACAAGTCCTTAGGACGCCCCGGCCTCAGCTTGCGCGTCGTCCTCTATCCAAGTCCCTTGCTAACGCAATACAGTCTCGTCCACACGGATGAAGATGTTCCTGTTGCCCCGAACTTCGCACATGCTGGTCAAAGAGGTCTTTGAGAAAGGTAGAAGTCTAAGAGTTGCGAATCTCATCAGGAGTCTAAACTTTCCTCTTTCTGCAATCCCCACTGACACCTGCACTGACACGAGGCTGAGGCGTGTCACGCGCCGGGCTAGGGCTCACGAAGCTGACATGCTTCTCTTCCCTGTCTTCGCCGTGTCGGCGAATGGCTGAAGGTCTCCGAGCATGCGAAGGTCGAGCGGCTTGCGTACAAGTTGGCTGGAACTCGGGACCCTGCAGGACGCTTCGCGCATCATCCTCATCACCTTGCACCTCAAAATCAATCTCGCCAATGTCGTGTTCGTCAGAGATCGAGCTGCTGCTCGGTGAATGTGGCTCAAATTCCTCATCATCGTCCACAAGACTTGGCGCTTGGTTGGATTCACTGGTAGGCGATGGATCGGACGGTCGAAGGTCAGTGGGGGAGTTGTCGCTTATGGGCAAGGTCATCCCCCGAGGCCGCGGTTGGGTTGAAGCACCGATAGCACCGATAGCACCGGCAAAGTGCTGCACACCACCTCCGCGCAGATTGGCCGTAGACCTCAGCATGCTCGAGCTCACTAACGGTGAAGACAAGGGCGTTATGGTGGGCTTTGGCGGCTGTTTGCTACCGGCGACTTGTGGATGACGACCCTGAGGAGTGTTCTGCATGGGTACGTCAATATCCATATCGTCGTCCTCCGAATCAGATTCCGGCAGTTCGACTTTCGTCTTGGCATCCGAGACCAGTTCCTGAAGGTCAATTCCTAGACCTCGACCTTTGACAAGGTCGGAAAGGTTCGGTGTCAGGGTTGATGCCTTAAACTCAGGTGACACCTTTGCCTTGGCGGTTTCGGATTTGGTGTTTCTGATTGTTGTTTGAGATGCTGTTCGGGGCGGTGTCGGTTGCAGAAGCTTCGCTGAACGAATCAAGGGATGGACATTGCCCGCGGTGGGCGTCAGAACAGGTTCAACGCCAATCATTGCCCCTGATTCATCCACTTCCACCGGTTCTCCACAGGCATCAGCTGCAGCATCATGCGACGCAAAACTCCTCCCGTGGCCTATTCGGCAATGGTTGATGAAGCCTTGGGCACTCCCGAAATCCGACCGTCCACAATCCGGACACACCAGCTTAACAGTGGCACCGTCCGATTTCCTCTTGATGATCATTGGACCGGTAGCCTTCTCTTTCGGCTGGCCATATCCAGGGGGCAGGGACTTCAATTTCCCGCCACGTTGCGTACGTGACTGGCTTGATGTTTGTGGGGTCTCTGCAAAGCTGCCTCTCGTTTGAGATCTAAATTTCATGGGCGACTTGCCAACTGGGGTAGACACCACCTGTTCGACTTCGCCGCCTTCGAAACGCGGATCTTGTAGTAGCCACTTTGCGTAATGACGGGTATAAGGACCCTCCAGAGCGCCCCATGGCGCGGGAGACTGAGGAAGCGGAGTCGAGAATGAAGTACGAAGAGCAGGACCCGTACCATTGCTGACCGCACTAGAAAGGCCTTGGGTTCCGGGAAACGGAATTTCATGGCATCGCCGAAGCTGCTCCAAAGCGGCCTGACATTTTGCCATCTCCTGGTCGATGAGTCGAAGCTCTTTGTGCTTGAGAAGAATCTCAAGACTGATTTGCGTCTGGATTACATTTCGAATGGACTCTAACCGATCAGACTCTGCACCATTGACTGCAGAGTCTATCGCGCGCAACTCCGACTCATCCATCTTCGCTTCTGGCGGTGACGGTAGATATGACGACGGGTTATCCGTAGTTGATGCAGTCGTCTTGGATATACCAGGTGCAAGATCGGCTGTAAGAGTTCCGTTCGCAAGCGCCGGTAACGTGGCGTTTTGTTGCCTTTCAACAGTTCTGGCTCGTTTTCTGTCTGCCTGGCCTTGAGGGTCGCCTGATTGCCGGCGCTTGTGGCCAGCAACGGGCATCGCGAGACTACCAGATCCAGGAGAGTCTTGTTTCGAGACAAACATCCTCATGTCCGGAGAGTTAACCATATCACAGCCTGTCCAAGACAGGAGCCGCAACATATTGGGGTGCTCCTCTGCGCGACGCGATGCGAGTTCGACGTCACCACCGTCTGCATCTGGACCAGCTAGTCACCGAGGATTTAACCTTGCGCCACCAGCCATAAGTCTGTAGGATCCTGCGGCGCACACCACAATATCACAACACTTTCCGCCCAGCCTGGCTGACGACGTCGGCTTCTGCGGATAATTCCCAGACCGCCGAAGAAGATAGGGTTTCCCTTGCTGTCGGCGGGAGTGAGTAGAATAGGAATGTTCAAACAGCCGTTGTTGGTGAAGTCGTTAGAATACAGGTCGTTCTGGTATTACAATGCGTAAATCGTGTATGAAGATTGCGCGCAGCGCGAGATGATCAGCAAGATCGGAAATAGGGAGCGACAATGAGGCCAAAGCGGCGTCAGTGTCTGGAGAGGGTTGGCGTAGAGGACAGATCGGTGGCAGGCTAGAGTGTGCCGTGGAATGAATGACGCAGAAGATGGGGATCAGCGTGTCCCAAAGGCGGCCCAAGATCGGAGAAGTGCTGCCAGGAAGTCGAACAGAAACACAGAGTCGAAGAAAGAAGAATTAAGACAAATAGGTGGCAAGACAGGCGCTGAGAAGTGGTACAGGTGCAGGCTTGCAAGAGTCAAAGAGGTGAACGGGTGCAGGCAGACGCAGTTCAAGAGTCTCAAGAAGGTAAAGAGGCAACAGGTGGAAAGCAAGAGCAAACCAGGGAAGAAGGAGGACGAGGAAGGAGGAAGGGGGCGGCTTCGGGTCCAAAGGCAAGGCGACACATCAGAGTGGAGGCACCCGAGGGGTGAGAGAGTGGTGAGAGGAGGAATCATGGGAGGGATGCTGATGTGCTTCACTGCGGAAGTGGTGCAAGTTGGGTTGTCCGTGGCTCCACCTGCCCCAAACTCTATTTCCAGCTATCTCTTAGTTCCGCCAATAGTTTCGCGTATCAGCTGAGCCAAGGCCAAGCTAGTGGTCGGGCTAAGCAGTTTCCGAAAGATAGTCCATGCAAGGGAGCCACAGCAGGCTTCCTGCGGGTCGTTCTCCCGAGCTCTCCCTGAATGGCCGCCACGCCGCCACGCCGCGCGAGATCACCTGATGCTACGATAAGAAGCACATGGAAATCACTTTGCCAGTCACGTGCGAGTATAGAAGTATCGTGTCACCACAAACTGGCTGACCCAACTTTCTTTGTTGCACTGCGAAACAGCCTGGGCTCGATCATTGATGAACCTGTTGTGATTCCACAAGTCCGATCCGCAGCTCACACATCGCCAAGCTGCGTGATCACAGCCAGCAGTGCGAAAATCACTGAGTGCTCCGGGTTAACGAGTTTGCGGGATCAAGCTGGCAAGGGGGATACTCACACGCTGATGTAGTGATTATGTACGTGGCAATCACCCACGCGGCTTCCGCAACCGCCACGTCGTCGACTTCGCCATGATCCGAGTACATGTACCAGAAGCCGACGGCCAAGCTCAGCAGGATTGGCACCACGCCCCAGAACACAACCTTGAAGACCGACCAACGGAGCTTCAACTCCAAAGTCAACGTACCCGATTCCGCATTCTTCGAGCTATTGTTGAAATGCTGGTGGATCCACATCAGCCAACGACCCTCATAGTCGAGTTTGTGAGTGTTATAGCTCCGCCAGAGCTCTGCGAGCGCTCGCTTTGTTTCGGCGTCCAGTTCCACCTCGCGGTGGTGGCCTTTGCTGGGGTCGCACTGGTAAATGCCAAAGCCAGACACCTCTTTGAGAGACATTCCTCTTCGAATCGGACTCCGCAACTGCCTGTGGGCCTTGCGAATTTGCTGGAACAGTCCATCGATACGCATTACGCGACGTAGGGATTCTTTTGGCGCCGTTTGGTCGGCCATGATGCCCACGACCACATAATGGTAGTCATCTAGCCAGGGATGTACAGCGCTGCGGACCACGCGTCCAGGTTCATTTGACGCCTTCTGATTTTCGACAGCTGTTGTGCTGCTCTGCTCTTGACTCGAAACGCTTTGTCTTTCTGCGTCTGTTGGAGATGGTTGCTCTTTTCTGACCAATCCCAATCGCTGGCGGAGTTTTGGTAGCTTATCAGATACCCAGTTGGCTTCCGAGCTTCCCCATCCCTGACCGACCAGCACGCATCAGTAAACTGCCTCTTGTGGGTGCCACACCAAGAGTTACCTACCAAGCGGATGGTTTCCATGGCACTATCGATCCCACTTGCCGAGGTTTTGTAATTAATGTCTTTGGACAGGCTGAACCCGAGAAACCGAAATGTCGTCCGGTAGGAGTATGACCGGTGCATAGACCTTGCACAGTCGGGAACGTCTCTCTCCTCGTTTCGATTCCAAGCCAGCCAAGAGAGGGCAGCATGGCTGAAGCCAATCGATTTGACCTTGGGTGGCCGTGTGACTACTGGCGGTGACTCGAGGCGGATTGATTTCGACGACTTGGACATCTGAGGACGGAGCTCGAAGCCCAGGCGCTTTGATACGTCTGGGATCTCCGCGGGCGGGCGCACCGTCGCAGCAGGGTCATTTCTGGTCGCGGAGTCGTGAGCAAGAATTCCGGGATCACCGACTCGTTCGATCTCCAGTCTTGCAATGTGATCGCTTAGGGAGACACTGTCCCCCATTTCTGATTCTGTTTATCCGCGCAGCCTGGAAAGCGCGAACCTATTCAAACATCTGACCATGGTACACCTGTTGAGACTGCGTTGTTTCTGCCTCAAGCTAAATGAAAACAAATGGCTGTATTTCAGGTTATTGTCGTCTTTCTCGGGAGCACCAAAAACATAGTTTGTTGCTGATACAAGTCAGCTATTAACCGCAAGCCGATCGGTGCAGTCTAGGAACATTTGGTACGAATGATCTAGACCACGCGGAGACATCCACTCTTTCTTAGGGGAAGGACGCCTGCAGCGCTGACTAAGTAAGCCCCCAAGTTCCCTGTCGAGCCCCTTACTGTAACAAGCACCGGAGGTAGTCGTAGCACCAGGATGAGTAATAGCGCAAAGGCGTTGACTCCAGTGTCATACGAGCCACGTCTTCCTGCGGCGCCGTATGCCAGCTTTACGGGCGGCACTTTACTCAATGTCATCTGGTCTTGGCTGCCAGGTATGGTCTTGGAGTTATTTTTGTACGCACAGGAGACGGACCTCGAACAGTGATTCCAAGATACATCAAATGCGGCGCAGCTTTAGCTGGCTGGTCAAACTGTTCATAGGAAGTCCACAAAAGATGATCACCAAGGGGAGTAAAATCTGCATGAACGCGGCGAGCTATGTAGTTTCTGCGAAGCATCTGTTTCGCGGTAAAAGTAAGCTTCGCTGCCAGGGGCGGGCTTGGGTGCCAAGCTCATCTACCGAGGCTAGCATGAAATTGGCAAATATTTTGTAGAAAAGAAATTTGCTTAACAATCAACACAAAACCATCATTGTCTACTCAGGGCAATTTATCTACTCTCGATGGTCTAGTTGGATATGACGTTCGGCTGTAATTGGTTAATTGTTACCGAAAGGTCACCGGCTCGATTCCGGTTCGAGAGACAGCTTCATCTTTTTGGCCCTGAGCACGACGTTGAACTGCATCAACACCGTAGCCAGGAAGATACGGCAACAGAACTGTCTTGCTACCTCGTAGACTCTGCCCAGTGATCTTTCACAGTCTCTTCTTTTTTGGGGGCATCGTCTTCGCCATGTTTTTCTGCCACTCGACGGATTCTCGATTTGTTGGCAGACCTACATACGTGATGGGGCTGGTGCGCCCTTTGTTGTTGTTCTTCACAACCGCATGAAAACAAAACATCTGCTGAAATTATGTACTTCATCCCTCCAGGACACGTCTCCTTCCTACGCCCGAACATGTGCCGTCCAGCGGCAGTACTCAAAGCTTGGGATCCCAGGTAAATATGAATTCAGCACTCAGCGCTCAGTAATACTCCCCCTCCCAGCCATCCGTCTGTCGGCAAACACCCCTCTTGCAACCCTCACAAAGCGCCCTCTCATGCGGCTTGCTCGTCTTAACCTTTCGATGGCGCCCGCTCCGCCTCACTTGAACGCCCGCCCAGATCTGGATCCTATCCGCCACTCGCTCGACGTATGAATTCTCGTCCAGCGTCAAAGTGCCGAGCTGGTCGCACGTCCGGCACCGCTGGTTGAACACCACGGCATTGTACCCGTTCAGGTCGTAGCCGCGGATAAGGATCGCTACTTTCTTGCTACTCCAGCCCTTCGTGCAGCAGGTGTTCCTGTTCCTGCACCGGAAACGGCCTATGACGTGGGTGGTCCATTTGTTGCGGACGCCTCTGTCGGTGTCGATGTCACAAAACCAGGGGACCGCCATGCCCTGGGAGACTGCGTTGGTCACGGCCTGGTGGAGCGACGGGAACATGAAAGACGTGTTCGTCTCGCCTTCGGATTTGTTGGATTTGGTGGATTTCTTTTTCGCCATAATGCCGGAATTCCTGGAGCTGGCTGGCTACCTTGAAGGCGGACTGAGGGCACTGAGAGGAGACCGTGGGTGTCTGATCACATCAAGAAGAGCTCGTGCCAGTGCGTTATGGGGCGGAATTATATCGTCTGTGTCACGAAGTGAGGAGGCGGCGCGCTGCCATTTCCAGAACCAGCCGCAATGTCTATGGTGGGCGGCCAGATGAGTTGCTGAGCGTCCTCACTGGCCGTTTTCCTGACCGTTGTGCTTCACCCGCAGGCGGCTGAGCTGTATGGCCGTCTGGGATGCTGGGTGGGCTAATGTTGACTGTCGCAACTGGACCAATTGCATGATATCGCACTCCTGCTACAGGCCATGCCACGACACCTCCAAGCATGTGCCGTTCTGGCATGTAGGTTACTTGATCCGCGTATCAGCCTCTTGCTGTTCGACTAACGATACTGGGTATGTTCATTGTTCTCAGCATCTACTTGGCCGCAGCGGGCCGCATACTTACGCGTTCCGTGGTCAAGGTCCCGGAGACCCTTGCAACATTGCGGACTCGAGAATCCATTCACTTGGACAGCTCATCGATGCCGGTGCTGCATTCACGAATCATGACGGTCGAACGTGGCGGGATTTGATTCGTGCTGCGCCTTGCAGAGTGAGGTGTCAATGGGGGAAGATGCACGGTTGAATCAAGAAAGAGTCCACGCAAGGCAATCCCTCGGAGTCGTTCCTGGTTCGCAGGTTTGACACCAGTCATGATCATGTGCATGAATAGAATCGCGTGTTGAATCCGAAGATAACCCCTGCTAGGAGGCATCGGGCAACAGCTCCTAAAAGACTGCACTACTATCCGTAATGTCGAAGATTGAACAACCAGGGATTGAAGAGTTGAGAATATCCAGGATGAATCCGATACTCCCATTTACAACTTACTACATTATTGCCCAGTTGAGCCAGTAGAAGGGTCGTACGCTGCTTTTTCCGGACTGAGACCCTCTACTACATGTGTACAATTTCACCTGGCCCAAAAAGGATCTCCCGTTGTTTGATAGCATGAGGCCTTGGGCGGTTCCCGGTTTGTAGAGAAAAGACGTCTGCTTTGGCTCAGAGCCAAATGCTGAAGGCAGTTCGGCTTCCCCCTCCATCAGAGATAGAACATGGTGTCGCGCACATTTTCGTGGATCGTCACCAAAGCTGAGTCCGGCTCACGCGATGGGGCCTCTTCGCCTTCCGCCATGCTACCCGCCGAGCTGGTGACAGACGGGCTGAACAGCCCGCTCAAGTAGCACCTTGCGCGTTCGCACACCAGATCGGCGTAGTACGCCGGCGGACAGATGCTGACAGCCTTAGTCGCCCTTCCGAACAGGTAACACATATTATGCGTCAGGTCTTCGAGCACGTCCGCTGCATTGCTGAAATGCGGCGGCTGGACTTTGCGCGCTTGGAATATCTCGTCAAAGACCACGTAGTAGTGTGCCGGCCTTGCCGTCCCCTGAATCGCCGAATGTGCTTGCATGTAGAAATCCCAATTCCGCGCCTCCGTCACACCACGGTCGACCACGGTTCCGTTCTGCGGGTTGGAAGAGCGGTCCGCCTGGTCGGCCCTGGTGGGATAGAATCGCGTGTTGTGCCTCTTGCCGACAATGATGATGGTGATGCGTGGGACGCCCTGCTTCATCATCGACGCAGGATACAAGGTGGTGCAAGCGGAACGGATCTCGGGCAGCTCCTCGTCAAGTACCAGATTATACTGTCCCTCGGATACGCCGTCGCGGTATATGAGGATGTTTTCCGGGTACGTACCATTGCGCTTTTTCCACAGGTTCAGTCGCGATTCGATCAAGGCTTTCAGTCCGGACACCATCTCCTTCCGGGCAGTCTGAATGGCCAGTGCCGCCGGCCACTGACCGAGCCATTTGTCGACGGAGGCCACGATGCCAACCACGCTAGGAGCACTCGCCAACGACCCGGGAGACGGATGGGTGACGTCGATTCCGACAACCATCGTTTTGCCCGCGGACAAGATGCCTAGCTTTGATGGGTCCAGGCTCTGGTTCAGGCCACCAAGCTTCAGATTGAACTTGAGGCCCACGTTGGCGAGGTATTGCTCGTTCGCTCTTGCGAACTTTGAAGCTACCACGCAAACGTTGATAAGTCCCTCCCTGACGTCACACGCGTGTTTCACGCGGTTGTAGATTGGACCGTCGACATACGGTAGGATGACAAGGACGAGCTTCGGACGTTCCCTCTGTGGAATGGAGGTGAGTCGCTGAAGTGCTTCACCAATCGTCGATTCGATAGTGTTAGGAGTGACTATGATGTGCAGGCCTCTCGTGCAGTCGCTACATGTCATACCCAATTCGCGGAGCTTGGAAGTTAGAGCATTGACCGAAGTTTGTAGCTCCCCTTCATGGCTCCATGGATCTCTGGTCGATTCCGACGAGATCCAGAGATATGTCCAGGACTTTAAGTCGGCTTTGGTGGTGAATTGAACCTGGACCATGTTCCAGCTGCCGAATCTCGTAGAGATCGGCTGTTGTGCCCAGTACCGCACGTTTGGCGAGTTCAATACCCGACCCGAGACAGTCATCAATCTCGGGGTGGTGCTGATTCCGAATGCATCCTTGAACCAGTCACCCACTAGTTAGCTGAAACAGTGCGTGGACAGAGCCACCGGCCTTGGGGAGTCAGCTTACAAGTGTCGGGTTGTTGGCCGTCAACATCTGCGCCCCCGAAGTGACGATCGACTGTGCATTCTGTGCTGGTCGACGGATAGCAAATCGAATCATCTGTTGTGTCTGAGCAGGAGTCAACTGCGCGTTGGTAGCCTGACCAGCAATGACATGGCAGACTTGAGCGGGCAAATAGGATGGCCTTTCTCGAGTGCCGACGTTGACTACTGGTAAGGCTGGAGTGGTGATGACAATGTTGTATTCTGGGCAACGTTAGCATCATGTTCAGCAGTCGGAGTCCTTCCATACCAGAGCGAAAGTAATCATAGACGCTGGTGTATCTGCCCTGCGGAGGAGGCTTCGGACCAGCCTTAGCTGGCTTCTTGCCTTTTTTGCCGCCCGCACCACCTCCTTGGTGGGCAGCTGACGATCCTTCGGCCGAGCTCTCCAGCCAGAACAGAACGTCTTTCGATCCCGCCCCTGATTCAGGGACGACCGGCGGGTGGAGCAAGCCAGCACCATCACCCCGTGTGGCAAGCCCGGAAATAACTTTGATCCTGGGGATCTGATCACCCATCCTGTTTCTCCGGATTATGTGAGTGACATTGACCCAAAAGCTTCTTGACAAATACCGCAAGTCTCGCCTTGTTGTTACCGGTACTCGCTAGGTGGGCCGACATGATTCGCTCGAGAGGACCTTCTTCGTAGAAGGCTCCGTGCTTGACTTGGACGTTGACGAGGAGTCGGCCGGTCGCGGCTCGAACGCTGATGAAGAATCCGCGGATCGCTGCCAGGCCCGCGCCAAGTGACATTTTGTCGGAAGCCGCGGCGTTCAACGCATAGTGCCGATTCGATCCAATGGACGCGACTTGTGAAGCTGCCTTGGGATGTTGCCCGACGACGATGTTCAAGGCTTGGATTATCTCTTCCTTGGATCCAAGCAAAGTTCCGGCCCTCGTGGAAGTTAGCTCATCCAGTAGCTCGGAGACTGTCAACGAAGCGGTACGCGCCAAACGGACACGATAACGTCTCGCATTCGGCTGGGGGTCGTCCTCATCCTCGGTCCGGTAGACGATGGTATAACCGCCTTGGTCAATGTCAAGCTCGGCCGAAGTAATAAGGTTCGACTTGAAATCCGTGGCGATCCTCGGATGGTGTTGAACAAAGTGTTCTTCGAGCAGCAGTTCGACAATCCGGCGAGCCTTCTTTCCCGCCGGCCGTCTCCCTGCTTGATCTGGCAATATGTCAAGCCCGTAGCGGTGTAGAACCAAGCCACCGTACGACATTAGCTGAAAATAGTTAGTCCATAGCAATACTTCTCGTCCTTGAGTGCCAAAGCCTGGCCGGAGAGGTAGCCTTGCTACAAGAGGAGATGTCTTCTTTTGTTCGAGTCTCACGTTGTCCTGGATCCGATTCTCGAGTTGACGAGTGGTCGGATCCGGGTCCGCAGAGTCGTTCGGCTCATGGCTGCAGTGACAAAGAAGTTAGCAAATCCAACATCGGGCTTGGGAGTGGTATGTGTCCTCACGAAAATATTGTCACTGCAGCTTGACCGCCACCGCCGCTTCGACCATCCCCACCCCTGCCTCGACTACCTCGATACTCACCACGAAAATGGCCCGACCTATCGCTGCCTCCATGTCTGAAAGTTTGATTATCTGGATTAGCGGGCGGTCCAGCGGGTCCACCTTGGCCCCGTCCTCCTCCTCTTGGGTGAGAGGGTAGGACAGTGTCACCTCGCCCGCGCCCACGCCCACGCCCTCTTGACGGCTGGCTTTCAGACATGTTGAAACGATATTGTTAAGGTCACTGCCGCAGGAATACAAGTGAGACAAAGCAAGTCAGGTAGATACGCACTGCGGCTGCCTGATCTCGCGCCTCGTACGCCCCGCGGCGGGGTATGGATGCTGTGTAACCTACAGCCGAAAGGACCCCTGTGAGTTCAAAGCAAGGATTCGACAACGGCGGGATTGAGATTACCTTTGTACGCATCTTCCGAGAGTAAGACTTATGGTGGCTCGAGTTCACCCGCGAAGTATTCGTCATTCCAGGTTGGGGTGTATGAACATGCAACGAGCATCGAGGCTGCCGGGCCAAAGATGTTAGAGCAGACAGAAGACTGTCACAGCTGCGATCCGTCCCCTTCTACACCTCGTTCCCATCCAGGCACGCTCAACAGTAGCCTGGGGCTTGAGGTTACGGCCGTCTCGAAGTCACTTTAGTGTATGCCTTGCTCTTCGCTAAATTGCAAATGGACGGTATCACCCAAGACGGATCCATTCTCGTTTTAGATCGAGGCCTTCGATCGTCGCCTTCGGGTCAGTGTCCTCAAGATAGCTGTCATAGTTCCCATCAGCATTCCAAACATCCCCATTATAGCTGAATGGGACTGTCCCAAACCGCTCAAAGACCTCGCCGACGGGGCGCAGCAGTATCCCAATCCCGTAGAGCTTCTGCTCAGTATCCGGCGGAATGAGAATCATACACTTGACTGGGCTGTTAACGATTGCGGCAAAAATGCCTTGTTCGGATGCCTTGTCTTTGGATGTGTGCCACAGTCCTCTGTTGATTGTGACGATGCGAAGATTGGAAGCCTGATACCATCGAACCAGCCAAGCCTAGCCGCTGATCCTTACCTTGACAGGCTTGCCAAGCAAAGTGCCCCCTCGACGCGTCGCATCGATGAACACGTCGTTGTACGCGCCGTTGTCTTCCAGCTCGATCGAAATCACATACAGCAATCGGGAGGCTACGCTATGCATCCACATCCCACAGATGACTTTGCATGAGGTTGCACCACGACCACGCTGGCGGACCCACGGACAGGTTCATGCTCTGGCAGAATGGATACGACCGCCACAGTCGCTTGAAGTCCTGTTTAGTTTGTCCACACAGTACGAGGTACGCCTATCGACAGCGTCACACCCGCTCTCTCTGTATTAGCTGGTTGACGCCTCGCCAAGGGCGTTCCATCCGACATTCGAATTCGTAGGGGAAATACTCCATCAATCGTCTCGTCACGGTTCACCACAGTTTATGCGGCGTATGGAAGATGCAACGCATGGGATGATTCAGACACCACTTGCTGCACTCCTTGAGGCGTGGACACTGGCGCGACCATCTGGCATCCATCGACATGTTGTCTTGAAATGTCAATGTCAGCAAGCGGAGTAGTATCCTAGACTAGTCCCAGCTCGATTCCGCATTAAGGTAGGAGAGCTATCCTATAATGGGTCCAGTGGTTGCGTGAAAACAGTACCGCGAAGCGATAATGTCAAATCTTTCTTGCGTTTCTAGCACTGACGTCTCAAAAGGGGATGTCGCTCAGGGTCTTCCCTGTATATGTCAATTGCGTCGGTAAACCAGGATTTGAACTCTGCGGAGTAACGGGCTAAGCTTTGCTGAAGCAGCAGCAGGCCGATGGATAGGGCTACCAAAAGTACGAGGAGAGATCTACACTGTGGTTCCTCTGGACATGGCTTGTCGACGTGGCAAGAGGTTGATTCAGGAAGAGCATGTGAAAAGCCGAATGCAGCTGGTGGAACCCAAAGTCTTCTGCGGGTGCGAACCATGGAGATCCGTACTCCGTACAGCTTGGCTACCGGTGATGCCGACGCAACCCAGTGACTGCCAAAGTGGGACACGAATCACTCAGAATTACTTACAAATCAGTTGTACCAGGGCATTGGTCGGGATCCACTTCGTGTCGACGCCTTCGGCTCTGGGGTAGTCGTGGGAAGTTGTGCGAGTGGAGAGTAGTCTAACGGCTCTGGGATTTTTGGGGCGATGGAGGTCACTCGGCTCTTGTTGGACTTACTTATCTTGATTTGTGTCAAACTTCAGACCACCGAAACAGCTCCGGGATCAGCCTTGCCATTGGTCGGATGAGGCTGCATGGCACTCCAGGACAAACACCGTTCAAGGGCCTTGTGATCTGACGGAGCAGACACAGCGCTGTGGAGGTGACCACGCTTTAAGTTGACAGTACCTTCCAACATACTGCAGTCTGAGCCGATTTTTATAGCAAGGTAAAGCGGTAGCGGGCCGCAAGGGTCCCGCTTCCTGCATGACATCGCGCCAGCAATCAGCAAGTCCTCTCCAGGATCCAAAGCCGAGGTTCTCTCGATAGTGAAAGCTGTAGGGGCACCGATAGTAGTGGTAGGTGCTTCATAGGTAGTGGCAGAGCTCCCATAATATAGTTGATCTTGGAGTCAACTGCAGAGCCTTCGCCGTGGCGGCGGAACCAAGAGAATTTCATGGGAGGCCGAAGTGAAGTTCCTCGCCGGCGTATCGGAGATTATGGAATGCAGCAGGCGGTTCCATGACGATCATGTTTGTTGCCGCCTGTCATATGAGTCGTTCGTCGTACAAAGAACCCGTCGGTAGCCAATCACTGTAGACGACCGGTCGGCAAATCACCGCCGGTCAGATCAGGGCCCGCCCCGAACTGAATGCTCGCAGCATTGGAGAGTATATGAGAGTAGGTCTGGTTGCAACCGCAAGCGGCTCTTGCAAAGTATGTGGAATGTGACTGGTGGCCCGAGCATCCGCCAGGAATTGCGGAGTGCATCCCCCTGCCCCTCTAGATGAACCCTATGCAGAAATTGGGTTTTAGACACTTGTTCTGTCTCCCCAAAAGGCTTCGTGGGAGCTGCTTGTCGGTCTTGATCCTTCTACAGTCACTCCTGTGCGTGACATGGGGGTACTGGAAGGACATACCTATCCAATGAGACGCATCGAGGACACGGCCACGGAGACCCATTGAGAATTCATAGCATGACTAGCTGAGAGGCCCAGGACCCGGCAGCAAGACTTATCAGCTCTCATTCCCCCGGAAGCTGGTAGCCTGGAAGACGAAGCCTTCAGAGTGATCGTTTCTGCTCCATTTGCTTTCGTCGAACTGAAAACAAAAGGAGTCGTCTTCAGAAAGCCCCATGTTGGTCATGTTTCCGGATGCGGCAACTCCAGCTGCAAGCGACCAGCAATCGCAACCACATCAACAAGACCGAGACTCTTGCTACACCTTGATATGTTCTCTTGTCGGACTCTTCTTTCTCTTCGTGTTCTTCTCTTTTCAACAAAGGTTCTCGACTGGCTTGTAATCTGAGTCTCAGTGTTGAGATTGCAGCTCACCATCACCTTGCGGGTAGTTGAGACAAAGGTGCCTACAGCTAGCGTCATCCAAGTTGGTTCAGCAACGCCATCCATCTGCTCACCGCATGTACCAGACTCCAACTTTGCTGCAGCATACCGACACAAATCCTTTCAAGAACGCAAACCTCGCCAAAGTCCTTCTGTTCCATCGGACGGGTTACTGCAACAATCAATAAAGACGGCTACAACATAGTCTCGCCAAGAACAACGGAGTCCTTTTGTCAATTGTCTTTGCCATCAGAGACAACGCTGCTGAGATAAAGCACGCCCACTGTTGTGCACCTGCGCATTGCGTCCGGACAGCGACAGGTAGTGGATTGGGCAGATCTGAGACGGGCGTCGCGCGGTTCTGGTAGCTGGATACAAATCCAGAAGACCATTTCAGACGTTAGAGTGACTCCCCTATCGCAGTCAGAAGGCATTCAGGTTTTCGGAGCATCAGGCTGTCATTTACTCACCTCGCTCTTCTGGACTCACAAAGTCCGGCGGCAACTCTTCTCACCAGGCACATCAGCCATCACACCATCCTTTATCCCTTCAACGAGCTTGCGACCATCAATGGCCCAGGAATCCACGACTGCCCGGCCACCATCACCACCTCGTTCCCCAGACGGACACTACGGTCAGGCCGCCGACGACCAAGTGCCAGCACCTCCCACAATCAAGCCACAGCCTTACACACCGCCAATGCCTGCATCATCGTTCATGTCAGACATGACGTCTCAACCAGCATACGTATGTGCTCCGAGTTGCGCCCGAGTTGAATGGTAGCTTACTCTTTTTGCAGGACCCATACGGTGACCCATCCTTATATCACACAGCACCAGCACCTATCTACTACGCGCCACAACAAGTAAGTCAAGAAACGCGCAAGCTCCGGGAAAGGAACACACTGACCGTGACAGACACTGGTCACATCGGTTCCATCGCATACTCCTCCTCAGAACATAGGAGTCCTCACCCGCAGCGGTCGAGCGATCGGTACACCATCAAGTCCAGCTACCACTGAATCGTCACGGGCGTCACAATCTCCGAAGTCTCGACGGAATTTGAGAAAGAAGGCCAGCAACAAAAAAGGAGGACCCGTGATCGAACAGCCACTGAGTCTGCTGACGAAGGATTATAAGACGCCGATGCGGGACATGGGATTGTGGGTCCATCGGTCGGTGGAAGAACGGTTAGCAGAGGTTGAGAAGAAGAAAGGCTACGTCTCCAGACCAATGAACTCCTTCATGCTGTACCGTTCTGCATACGCCGAGCGGGTAAAGCAATTTTGCAAGGAGAACAACCACCAAGTCGTGTCGCAGGTGACCGGCGCAAGCTGGCCTCTTGAACCGAAGGAGATCAGGGAGCTGTACGAGCAATATGCGATCGCGGAAAGAGACAACCATGCCATTGCTCATCCAAATTACAAGTTTGCTCCCAACAAGGCAGGGAAGAGGACAAGGAACGACGACGACAGTGACAGTGATCCAGAATGGGAAGGATCGGTCAAAGGCTCCAAGCGGAGTCGCAGTGCTCGCCGATTCGAGAGCAGGAGCGCTTCATCGACGCCCTTCGACGACAGACCAGCAGTCTATCACCGGACGATGCCGGCCCAGCACCATCTGTCAGGTTATGAGATGAGCAACCCATATGGGCAACCTCAAATCATGTTCAGCTCCAACGGCATGGTGGGTGACTATTTTCAGACCGCGGCTACCGTTGGACCATATGAACAAGTGGCCGATCTTGCATATCGAAGGATTGAAGAGCCCTTTCCGGGGTATCCGACGAGCATGGGGTTGGTGGGACTGCCACATACGGAGCACCGCGATCTTTTGACAACATACGCTGCGCCTCAGCCGATGGCAATTTCGGTCCAGAATGACATGCTTGATCCTCGACTTGGACAGGTCGATGCAAATTATCAGGTCGTGTATTATGAAGAAGGCGCCGAACCTGGGCAGGAGATCCCAAGGACAATTGCATATGATTCGGGCCTGAAACTGGACATGGGTTATGAACCTGAATCTTATCATCTAGGCCTGGCGACACTGACGGGAGAACATGGTGCATGGGCAGACTCGGGCCAAGCTGGCTCAGACTTTGAGGCCGAGTTCCAGAGGATGACTTGAGGACTGTAGCGGGGCGTGACGATATGGGATTGTATTCAGAAATCTGTGGAAAATTGCATGCATCGCAGAGCATAGCGGCGAAGTTGAGGAGCCATAGATTTTTGGTATCTCGTTTGTATCTATAGGCAAATCAGTACGATAATGGTTACCTTGTCCTATCTTGGAAATTCTGTGCCGTCGCAGAAACCCCGCCGGAACGGGATCGAGTCGTCGGCAGGGTTGCGAGCTTGCGCGTCGCACATTGTGTGTGTGACCTCATCCGAACAAAGACAGGCGAGATAGAACAGGGTCTGCATTTGTTTCCCTCTTCTGTACCTCTACACAGTGTGACACCCTTGAGTTGAAGGGCTGCTGTAGAAGTGATATCGGCCGCATTAAAGAAATGGTGCCGGTCACAAAAGGTCGAGGTCGAGAGAAAAGAGCAAGGGACGCGCACGCGCGATAAGCGAGAAGCGACCTGCACTTCACAGTAGCGCCATTGGGCGGAGCATATCAAGTTCTAGCACAACATTGAGGAGGGAAATCTGTTTCATTTTCACTTCACATTCCAATCACTTACATTTCACTTACCGAGGGCCAACTCAAGCTGGTCGATAGCAACGTTGACGCGGTCCTCCGCCAATGCAACCTGGGCTTGTACTGTCTTGAGTCGGTTTCCAGCTACAACTGCCTGTGCTCTAGCAATTTTCAGTCGATCTCTCAAATCCTTGAGTTCTTCGCGGTTGCAACTTTATTCAGACATCGCGCGTCATCAAGGCAGTCAACAACCTCGTCTTCATCTCTTGCAGGTTCGACCTCAAGCAGCTCCTCCTCTGCATACTTGGCGTCAACCAGCGCGAACAGACCTTTGGCGACGGCGAGGACGTCGTCAGTGAGTGCCAGCACTACCTCAGGATCACTGCTGTGACTGTGCGATTGCGGAGCTGGCTGCTGAGAAGAGGCGGTGGATCTTCCCACAGATCCTTCCGGTGTTGGCAGAGAGATGGCTGAGTCAGTATCAAAGTCAACGCCAGGCCAACCACCCTTCTCGCCGATAGCCGCCAGTGAGATTTTAAGTGGCATTATGACCCCGGCCAGATAAGAATCCACGAGTGTTTGTTGGGTAGGCTTACTTCCTCTTAGCACGATCGATGTCCACCAAAACGGCCGTTTTTCGTGAACGGCTAGCCGCAGGCCCGATTATCGTAGGCATTGGGGTATAAGTACTTGGGGTCTCACGACTCGTAGTATCTTAAGCGTATTGTTCGGACGGCTTTGTTCCACCATTTTGTTTTGTCTTGCTACTGTTACCTTTGATGTCGAGTCTTTATTTGTAGAACTAGTGCAGATAATGCGTGGTGAAAGTCCCCTTTCTCTGTTAGGACCAATGTTGTATCCTCACAAAGACTTACCACTTCTGCTCATTATGTTCCTTTACTGGACTCCAAAAGTAACACGACGTCTCGGTCGAGCCAATCACTGGTAACGCAGATCACTTTTCTGTTGTCGCTTGGAGCGGAATCTATGACGCCTACTTCGGTACCTCAAGCCATTCTATCTGTGTCTCCAGAACCCGACATGCGTCGTACTTCCAATTGCAAGACGGGTCCTTAGTCCACCCATGGCATGACACTACTATTACGCATCATGCATCTTGACGGAATGCAAGAACCGAACTCAGCTACATGCCCCGGGAGATTTGCTCCGCGAATGTGCCGTCGATTGCATCATGATTGCAAACGTCCCTACTTAGGTATTGACAACAGTGCAAACATTACGAGAGACACTTCCAACAACTTGACCAAAACCATCTCTAAATATCCACGAGAACTGCAACACTCACATTTCAACTGAATACCTGGAAATACCTGCAACAATGGACGGAGACCACACAGGCAAGAACTTAGATGCTGGCGCCAACGCTGCCACCAAGGCACAAGATCTTACTGAGGGCATCCACGAGGGCACCGCACAAAAAGTACGCACTGCTCTGTTTTTGGCGGTCTCCTATCTCATGCAAGACTTACACTGATCTGCTCCGTACAGGCGGGCGCTGGAGATAAGACGACAGGCCAGGGTACCTCGATGTTCTCCAAGGATGGGGCTATTGGGTCCCAATTCACGGGAGCAGGTCAGTTAATCTGGGTTCTCCGGTCGTGCAGCAATAGTCAATAAGCAAGCCAGAAGGCGATTTCTGACAAACGCATCACACGTACAGGCGCAATCGGAGGTGCCGGAAACAAAGTCGGAGGCCCAATTGCCGAAGATGGCATGATCGGAAAGCACTTCACCCCGTAAGTTAAATCATGTTTTTCATATGCGACCATGTCCTTGGACGCTGCATAGATATGAGAGCTGAACAGCCCCTCGACGCCATTGGAGTCTGCGACGAATGGCGTGCTGATCTGTATGCAGGTCCGGTGCCATCGGCGGTTCGATCCAGAAGATGGCGGAGAAGAACGAGCAGCATTGAGCTGTGAAGTGAGGCGAGGCGTTGATAGCTGAAGAGAGAAGCGGCCATCTCATCGAGTTGGTATAGAACCTGCAGTTCGAGGTCAGTAGGGTGTATGTTGGTGGACATCTGATACCATCATATCCTACTGCCTTTGAAGCGTCTGTATTCTACTGTAGATCTACGTCAAGGGGTGTTGCAGACCTGGTGAAGACATTGGTACGCTCCTGTTGACTGATCTCTCTGTGTCGTGGTGTCGTCTTCTAGGATGTAAATATACGGAAACAACCCCTGCTGCACATCTCTTGTCCTTGTTTGCATCTCTAGAAGTCCCCAGTTCGTTATCTACTTGCTTGATGAAAAATGCGCATACAGATCTTCTCGCCTCGTGGACGGGTGCGTAAAGATCCTAGAAATGATATGCTTATATCTTGTTTCGTTGTCGAGTCTAGGGAAAGCCTCCCTGGTGCTGCCTTTTGCGCCCAGTTCATTGCAGGAGCCTTGCTTGAAAAGGCACCGTCGTCCGAACGAGGACGTAGAGCCAATGGTATATTTGTGGCCGGTGCACGTTGTCACATGGTGTACTCCCTGATTCTGACGCTGCTAGCGGCTCCTTTCTATCAAGTCGCCAGTACTTTTTAGGATCGGCCTTCCGGCCGAATTGCTGACCGGTATTGCCATTCGACAAGAAGTCTGAAGGGCGCTTGGGCTTATGTTCTAGGAACCAGAACCGTTCTGTAGAGTATGAAATGATTATCCAGCGACCATCCATGGCTGTGACAGCAGCAAGGTGCATGGCCAGAACCTCCATAGGGTGCATCGGACTTGCCACCTCCACTTCTCCGTGGTCAACGGAGGCTGGCAGGAAATCGACATCATCCCCGCAAGCAATAGCATCGCTTGTGCTTTTGTCGACGACGAAATCGTAGAGTGTTGTTCCTTCATTTGTCAAGGATAGGACGTCCCGCCGTGAGAGAAGGTCGACATTGCTCCACCTCATCCAGCTAGCATTGAGATCGAATTGATTCACTTGAGTTTTCTCTCCTATCCCGGCTCCAGGAAGTGCGGCTTGTCCGAAATACTCCTTCTCTCTCTGCTGGCCAAGTTTCACAGCCTGCCGGGAAAAGTCCACATTGTGTACGTCAACTGGTCGGCGGACATAGTCTCTCAGACGTAGCGACAAATCCGAGGTTCCACAACCAATGTGCAAAATGGAAGGTCCGGTCTCATCAAAACGGCTATTTTCAGCATTGAGGGCATTCCCGATCTCTTTTTCCAGGATGCTGGCGGTGACGTCAATTGGTGTCAGCCACTCGAAAGGCGTTTGAGAAGCGGTGAAGCGATGTTCCCAGTATACTTCTGAGTCGAAGGAGAGCGATTTCTTGGATGATGGACGGGACAATGCCATTCCCAGGAGCTCAACCTGGCCTTGAAGTCGACCCAGTCACATCGTTCTCACCTAGTAGGCAGTCAATGGGTGATTGTTTATGATCCTGGAACAAAGTTGAATGCTTTCATCCCATTACCAATCCATTGTGTTCGCCCGTTCTCTGCCATACAGCAAACATAATTCTACAGTGGACGGTCGTGAAGAAGCTCGTAATTATTCGTCAAAAGTGTGCGCAAGCTGAGGTTGGGTGATGTTTCGGGCCTTGGAAATGATCTCAGACCAAGCAAACCCAAGCACAAGGCCCCATTCTATTGGTTCACTCTGTCGGCCTTATGGGACTTTCCAGCTTAACCACTCGACCTCCACCACGTCGTCACTGTCGATCGAGGGGGTGCGATTCGTTTGAAACGGTACCGTGCTCTGACACAGCCTGCCTTGCCCTTCCCTTACAGTTGTGAGAGGAATTCAACCACCCTGCCTGTCGCAAACCCCACCCCTCTGCTGTTTGCGTTTGGCGCAGACGGGTACCATGGACCGGCGGAGAAGACGACCAGCCCACCACATAAAGACCAACCCTGCACCCTGAAATCTGCTCGACCATGCCTCCTCCTCCGTATACGGCGGAACCAGGCAATTGGTTTCTACGCGGTGTTCAGTCAGCCGTGTTCTACTATGTTTCCTGTACACCTTGGGTTGAGTTCAAACACAAGCGCAAAAGAAGGAAGGAGGCCAAAGAGCAGGCGCAAGAAAGAGCGGATGTTGTGGTCACTCAACCAGGCCGCGTGAGACAGCCGGCTCCATTCCAGACGAATGAAGCATGGGCAGAAGAGTTGATGCTGGGCCCTGGTCCACCGAAAGGGTGGAAGAAGGATTCTCTCCTGGCGAAACTGCAGAACAAGGTACACAAAGAGCCGATCGAGTCCTCCACACCTGACCCTGAGATGCATGCTTTACAACCGCAGCCCACAGAATCCTCCGCAACGCCGTTCACGGAGTCGGCCACGGAATTGTCGAGCGCCAGTGGGGCTGAAGAAGACACAGCCAAAAGAGCGAAATCTGCTCTAAGCCCAACAAGATCACTTAGGGAGAGGAGACTATCGAATGCCGTGGACAACATCAAAGAATCTCTGCGTATATCACTACATCCACCCAAGTGGAATTGGAAGAGATATGATCGGGAAGATGAGATACTTGCCGGCTTTACTGAGAGAGTCACTAGAATTTGGAACCGCGCCACGCTCGGGATACATCGGGACGATGCGGGAGACGAAGACGAACAAGATGAGCCTCCGACACACAAGCGGAAGCGGGCCCTCACGAATGAGAGTGAGCGTTACGACTATTACCGGGCAAGACACCCTGAAGTGAACGATATGCACCCCCCAATTGTGTCACAACTACCAGCTGGTAGGGAAGAAGTAGCCTGGATGCTGCTTCCGCCTCCAAGTGCCGCAGTGATGGAAGCACGAACAAGACCTGCTGCAGAACCAGAGATGCGATGGCCGCTATGCGTCATAGGGAGACCGCTGAGAGATACGGAGCCCAAGCTATCGGTGGCCAAGACGCAGTCTACAGAACAAATTCACTCCCAAGCCGTCGACCTCTCTACTGACGCCGAAGATGAAGACGACTCTTTGGATAGCATAGACGACCCAAGCGAGGATGAAAGTGTCCAAGACGGCGACATACGAAGCGAGAATCAGAATTCTTCACGGATCAAACATCTATCAGATCCTATCATCAGGCCGCCTCCTATACATCCAGTATCACGGATTGCTGGAGATCTGTTAGTCCCCAAGAGAAGGGATTCATGGCAGATCCATTATGTTGTCCCGTCGTGCCAGCCGGTGGAGTGGTGACGTAGAAGAGGGAGCTCATTTATCTGATTGTTTTACGCCTTGAGACCGTGAGGAGTTCTGAAGGCCCCTCCAACAAGCTTGGTGTTCTTGATTCATCTATCTGAGCGTTCATTGGGAGTTTTCTCTTGCAAAGGTCGCGGCGACGCTAGAATGTGTTATGCGGTACGAGTATCACCCAGTCTTGGAGTAACATCTGGAGGTGCAAGACAAGAAGCAAATGCCCTTCTGCATGAGATATGGCGTGCATGCCGCCTTTCGGGGAAAAGCAAGCATGGCCCTGCCGCAAGGGTGATCTTCTATGCATGAAGTGAAGCTATGACAGAAAACTACTGGCTTCCTTCCTACGAAGTACCTGCCATCTAGAAATGCGTGAATCGAGATGAGGTGCACCATCAGCTGCACCCTTTGCCACGATGATTGGATGTCGAAGGGAGATCCTAAACTAGAAACAGTGCGGAGGTGGAGACTGAACGCCCATCTAAACGTGGCTTCAATCTCAACTAAGGTGACGTTGCAATTTCACGAAACAGTCAAGCAGGCTGATTTTCAACAGGCATGATTTTGTGAGGCACGGTGAAGAGATGCCAGTACGTCGGTCAGAGCAAGTGAGTGCCAAGTGAAGGAGTTGAACAGAGTAGCAAGCCTGCCTACCACAGTACACAGTAATTAGCTCTCACTGAAGACTTGCACCGGTTGGCTCAGAGGACACTTCGCATCCCTTGCTTTCGGGAACTGTGCCTTCGTTCCAGCCGTTGAGCATCCACCAGAGGGCGCTCTTCTCCACCCTCCATACTCCAAATTCTCGCCTCAAACGACGACCGTCACTACTGCATCACTCCAGCAATCGTACCTCGTACGAGTACTCGCGACTAAAGTCCACAGTTCCTCTGCACGCTGTTCCTTCTTTGAGGCTGTAGCCCACTCACAGTCCTGCGCCGCGGAGACCGGGCACTCTCGTGGGTCTTCTTCTAAATTTCGCTGCATCGGTTCCTCGACCCCGACAATCACTCCTGAGACATCTCCAGGATCACCTGCCCATTCTGCATCTGGCTGGGACTGCAACAACAGCAGCATTTCTAGTCTTCGACATCATCTACACCGTACCTCGCACCTACGACGCACCTTGATAGCCGCCGAGTTTTGCCCAGATCTCTGGTGAGATTGACAAGCTGCTTGGCCTGCGACTCGAAATCAGTCGGCATCTATCCCTTGCTTGGCCACGTACCCCTACGTACCCCTACGAGTCTCAGGCTTGTCCTACCTCCCCAGGCCTGCTGCATACATAAGTTTGCTCACTCGACATCCGGCTCTATCAACTTTGCCACCGGTCCTCGACACATCCTCGAGCATTCGACAGCGTACTGAAGATCCAAGATGTGGTGGAAGGTGGCCACTTCCTGGCTCGCTGTGCTTGCGGGTACAGCATTTGCTATCAGATTCTACAGTCCCGATCTCTTCAACAAATTGACCGGGCACATATTCGCACGCGCACAACCGTCACCGGTCGTCGCAGAGCCACCTGCCAAACGCCAGAAGGCGAAGCGGACGCTTGCAAATCGACTCGAGTCTAGCAACAGTGGCGTCTCCACCCCCACTCTAAGTGCCACTGAGGGCAAAGTCAACAAGAAGAGGAAGCTCATTTCTCCGCCGGTCGAGAACCAGGTTGTCGCTAGAACCAACGAAGGCCGACAAGTGACCTTGCTAAGAGATGAGGATGACGATATGAGCAATAAGGAGTTCGCTCAGCAGCTCGCCAGAGCACAAGCTGGAACCAAACTTGAGCCCGCCAATACTCAGGGCCAGACCAAGAAAGAGCGTCGTGCTGCTGGAACGCCGGTTCAGGGCAAGCCAAACGGCCCGGTAGCTTCAGGGCGGTCCACAGACACTTCCTCCGCCACTGGGCGTGATGGAGACGACGATGTCTCTCCTATCGGATCCCCTTCGACCGGGGCCGTGTCTACTGCGCCTACTTCTCGGGCGGGTGACGTGTCGGATATGCTGGAAGCGCCCGCCGCCAAACCTGGCGTTTTGAGATTGACCGATGTGAAGGACAGCGGTTCAAAGCCACCAGCCAAGTCATCTCAGTCCTTCCAACCTGCGTTGACTAAGAAGCAAAGACAAAGACAAGCGAAAGCGGCCGAGCAGAAGAGTATAAGGGAGGAATCTGATCGTTTGCATGAGCAGAAGAAACAAGCGCAACTACGAGCAGCGAGACTAGCTGAAGGAAGCTCCAACCAGACCAAGGCAGATGCCTTCACGTCAAAGCAGAATGCCTGGCAGTCGAGCAAGCCGGCGGCCGAGAAGCTGGCACAAACCTCTCGCGACGAGGAGGTAGGACCACTGCTCGACACGTTCGAGAAGCCTGTAGGACCAACTTTCACAGTGCATGGTGCCGTCACAGCAGAACCACTGTCGGATATCACAAATGCTGTTCCAGGTACAGCCAATGTCAATACGGTGAGGAAGGAGATCGGCGTTGACAAGACAAACGCACTCGCGCCCTCCGACCGTGAGAAGGTCCACAGACCTACCTTGGGAAGCCAATCTAGTTGGGCGGACGAAGTGAACGAGGAGGAACAGGACAACTGGGCGACTGAGCTTGCACAAGAGGAAAAGTGGGAATCCGTCACCACCAAGAAAGGGAAGAAGAAGGGCAAGAAAGAAAATGGCGACACAAGCAGTGAGGCCAGCTTTTCCATCACAAAGCCATTGACAAATGGCCGATCAGCTGTCAATGGTCACCAGGCGAGCGATGTGAAAACACCGCAAGCAGAGACCTCGAACCGGTTTCAATCCATCGAGGCAATCACAGACCCGGCTTTCACGGACGCCGAATGGGAGGCTTGATTTGAGCTGTGGTGAACACATACACAGCAATGCAATTTCTTGAGCGAGGTGTAGGAATATGTCACCAGCATGATGGTTCGAAACTCAGCGGCGGAAGGCGGGTATCGGTTCTAATATTCTCTTCGTTCATTCAATTGGTGGTGGCGCGCTGCTCGTCCATTGTCATCGGCATTGCAACGGCTAGTTACGGATATAGGGAGGAGCAGTCCAGCTCAAAACATTTCGGATCGTGCTAGCAGATTACACCTACGAAAATTGGAGGTCAATTTCGGGCATACTGAATATGCATCTTTCCCAGCAGCAAGGCGAAATGGAAATGAATGAGATAGATGAGTGCAACGCTGGACATGCTTCTTAACATAGATCTGCTGCATGTGGCATGTTGTGGCGGTTGAGGACACAATCCACGGCTAGTACTCCGTATATGTAACCATAAAGATGCCACGAAGAAATGGTGAAAGTGGTGAAAATGGTAGAAGTGGTGGAAGGGATTGTGGCCTTACACAGTAGTCAGAGCAAAATTCAGGGGTCGCTTAGCATCCTATTGGCTTGATCGAGTACACCTCCCCTCATTGCTTGTTTGGTTGGTACGGCCAGCGTGTTAAGAATACACCGTAAAGTGCGCATTTTGGGTGTTTCCGTTCTCGGTTGCCTTTGCGAGATATAATCTTACACACATTTCTACGGCCAGCTCACGTCACCACCTACAAACCCGGCGGTATTTCTCTCCTCGCAGACGTCTTGATCACCCTCCACTGCCATCAACACTTCACTGCGTGCTCATTTGCTCTCGGGAGGCTTCACATCTCAGCTCGACACACCCACGTCCCACTGCCCTCCCTACCCTTTCGTATATCGGCACGTGGGGAGCCACTCTTTGCAGTCCGTATTAATCTCTGATACTCTTTCCATTCCCCAACACCGAGCCATCCCCTCTACGCAGACGACCAGTTGCACGATCGAGGCAGCCCCCACAAATGGCGCAAATACGTGGTACAGCGGGCTACAACCTGGGCCTCAACAACCAGTTTGGATCTCAGAAGAATATGGATGCCACGAGTGATCCCAGTCCGCTTGACCAGATCCGGGAGCAGACTAGCAAGATTGAGGATTGGCTGAATACCATGGGGGAGCCACTGAAACCGTGAGCAGCGCCTTCTCCCTCGTGAAATAGAGACTGGGGACTTGGGGTTCTCCTGAGCACAACCGGCGCGGCGATGCCTCAGTGGTGGCAGTCTCTTAGCCAATATTACAGCTCCCGACGACTGGAGGCCTCACTCAGCTGAGAGAGATATACGGTGCGCTAACGAGGAGCCAACAAGCTGATTGTCGTATTCGCAGGTATCTCCCTGCTATCGGACGCTTCCTGATCGTCGTTACGTTCTTCGAAGATGCACTACGAATTATCACCCAGTGGGGCGACCAGCTCACGTACCTGAGGGACTTTCGACACAGTAAGTCGTCTTCCGAAGTCCATGGCGAATGCGAGACATGCCGGATGCTGATCCTTCTTACCTCAGTCCCCTGGGGCATCACACACCTCTTCCTCCTCTATAACGTGGTCGTCATGTCCGTCGCTTCCACACTCGTCATCGCGCGCCGCTATGGCGAATATGCCGTTGCTGGGCTCCTCTCAGTCGTGGTAGTCCAAGCGCTCGGGTACGGCCTCATCTTCGATCTCAACTTTTTCCTTCGCAATCTCTCAGTCATCGGCGGCCTTCTTATGGTCCTCGGCGACAGCTTTGTTAAGAAAAGGGTATTTGCAGGTCTACCTACCATCGACGAAAAGGACAAGAAGATGTACATCCAGCTGGGTGGCCGAGTGTTGCTTATTTTCTTGTTCGTTGGATTCGTCTTTGCCGGCGAATGGAGCATCTGGAGAGTCCTTGTCAGCCTGATCGGCTTCGTGGCTTGTGTCATGGTCGTGGTGGGATTCAAGGCCAAACTCAGTGCCATCATCTTGGTGTTGCTGCTCAGCGTCTTCAACATCCTGGTCAACAACTTCTGGACGGTGAGTACATTGCACGGTAGTGGAAGTTAAGACGCTAATGCACGTGGTCCAGCTTCACAAGAACCACCCCCATAAGGACTTCGCCAAGTATGATTTCTTCCAGATCCTTTCTATCATGGGCGGTCTCTTGTTGCTGGTTAACATGGGACCTGGCCAGCTCAGCGTGGATGAGAAAAAGAAAGTTTACTAGGCTCCTGTCAGCACACCGGGAAAAAGGTGCCCACTCGGCGAGCCCTCGATGATCCACATGTTGGAAATATGCCAGTTCGAAGGGAGCTTCTACGACACCAGCCGCTTGAGTCAGAAGGGATTGCCGGGTGCGCCGGCTGCTGAGCACGTCATCGACGGCGCGGGGAGACGATGGCCCATGAGCGCGCCGGCCATTCTGGAGCGACTCCTTCTGGCGCGGTGAGCTCGCTTGATGCCCGCAGGCGAAATGGTATAACGATGTGCATGAGACCATGCAGGATAACGAGCAAGCCGAGGATGACAAGGAGCGAAATTTGAGCGCCTGCAAGTTTCCGGGTCTACGGCAGGTTCCTTTGACCTCCGCGTCCCACAGGAACGTGGCGCGTCGTACCGGAAGGGCCCTCTGTTATTTGGACTTGCATAAGCGGAACATTCGTGGCATGAGCGTACTTTGGCAGCACGGTGATAGACGAAGCCACCATGCAAGCATCCAACCATGGTTCGTCGGGTTGACTGTGTCGATATTGTAGACAGAATAGATGCGCACTGGTCATTCTGTGTCACACCTTGCCGCCCACTGCTATTCACGAAGTTCAGGAATCTACAGTAGTGTAGCAACGCTCGGATGAGATGGACATAGGGGAGCCGTGGTCGAGTCCGAGCTGCTTCTCTCCAGTGGTGGTGCAGGCGCCCAGCAGGTATACAGCACCATTCGAGGATGACTCATTGAGAGTGAGTAGCCTCAGCGGATGATTATATCCCCCTTGTGGTCAGGCAACCTTTCTACTGTACTACGCCATGCTCGGACCGTCCGTGCTGCCTATTCAGGCGTCCTGCGTGACAGCACAAGACTGCAGTAGATCACAGGCGATTATGACTCAAGCTCTCTCACCCATATTCGAAAACTCTATTTGTACTCCTGCACGCGCTGTAGCCGAGGTAAGGGGAGAACTCGTCCCCGAGGTGGCCTTGCTTCACCAAGCTTCTCTTCTGATGGTCAGCCGTCTCGTCCGGCCATCCGAACCTTCAATGAACACCATCTCACGGAGCAGTGAATGAGCGGGTCCATCGAAATACCTCACTGGTAAGTCCCCTACAGGAGCTAGAGCTACCTCAATGGTCAACCATAGCTGCTTTAAGACTCCTACTCCCTCGCACAACGTGCGCATATTATATATTGCAGTCACGAGCACGAGCAATTCAGATTGAAACATTTCCAACCTCGCGGGGGATCATCGCCTTCACCCTCCCTTCCCTTCTTCGACTCCTACTGCTAGTCCTCCCCAGACCCAACACTTTAAAATACCTCCAGGGGACCAGGTGGCCGTCTTCGCTTCACCATCTGTACGTCAACCACCATGTCGCAACCGCAACCGCACCCCCTAACAGTGCATCACCTCCACATCTCGCAATCCGAACGCATAGTCTTCCTCTGCGAGGAGCTCTCAATCCCATACACCCTGAAAACGTACACCCGGGCCCCGATCTTCGCCCCACCCGACCTCGCGGCCTTGACACCCCAGCGCTCCGCCCCCGCGATCACCACGACCAACCCGGTCACAGGCGTCGAGTTCCACATGTCCGAGTCCGGCGCCATCGCGGAGTACATCAATGCCATCTACGGCGGGAACAAACTTTCCCTGCCTCCGACCCACGCAAACTACCCCGATTATATCTTCTGGTTCCACTACGCGACGGGCAGCCTGGGCCCGGCGTTCTTCCGGCGGATGATGTCCCTGGCGATGGACCCGGCGGGGTCGAGTGCGTACGCGCAGTCCGTCGTCGCGGGGATCCAGAAGCACCTGGCCGCCCTCGAGGCGCGGCTGGGGCTCACAGGCGCGTATCTTGCCGGTGAGGAGTTTACGCTTGCAGATATCATCGTCATGTGGTCGCTCACTACGGGGAGGATGTGGTATCGCGTCGATTTGGGAAGCTATCCGGGTGTGTTAGGTTACTTGGGCCGCGTGGCGGGGCGGCCAGGGTATCAGAGGGCGATCGCAAAAGCGGAGCCCGGGTTGGAGTGGCGTGGCGCTCTCACGGCCGAGGGACCGGAGTTGTTTGCGCCGTATAGGGACGTGTTGGTGAAGATCGGGGTTGATGTTGGGAGGGTCAAGGTTGGGGCTAAGGTGTAGGTAGGCGACGAAAGGGGACTGACTAACCACCTGGCCATGAGAGAGCAAGGCTGCTTCGGACACCACGAAGAGGCGCGGATTCGATGGAAGCATGCTGGGGAGGAAGGGTGTGTCATGTATATACGATCGTCCTCCGTTTTGGTGTGGCTGTGAAAATATCGTTCCGCTCTATTTCAGTGGGACTAGGGAGACGGACGCTTAACCGTCTGCTCGCTTCTATTCTACCGTCCATGGCAGAGCAAGTCTATTTTATATTCCCAAACAGGTGCAGATTCGATGGAAACGTGCTGGCGAGGAGGAGTGGCTTGAGTATATATGCATGGGCATATATTTATAGGCCTACCGTCCCTCAATCTGGTGTGGTTCTGAAAGCATCGCTTGACTCTACTTCATAGAATTTAGGAAGACGGACGCTTGAGCGTCTCCTCTCGCTTCAATTTCTGCTGTCCATGCACGCTCGATTCCTAGGCACTTTCAATTGCGTATCAAGGAGCAGGGTCCCAGCATGCGGTTGACATTGTCTTCATGATCATCGTCAACCGTCAAAATTAGCCTATTTGACCCGTCTTCAGGACCGTCGTCACTCGTCGAAAATCGACTTCAACAAATACTTGCTCGCCTCGTCGCGGCCCGGACTCTCCAGCATCCGATCCACCCTGTTGCCACTGCGATTTCCTAACCAGTTGCCCCTATCGTGAGGTACTTCGCCGTCCGAGTTCCTCCTCCGTCTCGCCCTCTTGTCTCCCACCGTCATACCCCTGGTCCACTGGCCGGACGTTTCAATCCTGATATCCTCGGGGCTTCTGCCACTCGCTTTCCACCGCACGTCATCTTGCGTCAGCACGTACCAGATACAGAGAGGGTCGTGGAGTGCAAGTGCTGCCCCCTCCCCTTCGTGGCCGATATGCAGCCGCTCCATCTTGTCGAGCATGGGTGTCATGAAGGCAGACATCCAGGCGGCGAGAGGGGATCCTTGGTCGAGGAACGGTTTCGCAAAGGCGGTAAACTCCCCGCGGGACAGCATGTGGTATTCCGTGATGTCGAGGCTCATGAGCGTGAGTTTGAGCTGCTTTGACAATCGCGGCGGATAGTGCGGCATTTCCACGCTTCTCTCCCCTTCTGTGGCGATGGGCATCGTACTCGCCGGAATGGGCGACGACAGCGCATACACCCTCGCAGCGGCGTAGGGGTCCGCATATACATTGAACTCGGCCACGGGGGTGACGTTGCCGATCCCGTCGACCGTGCCTCCCATGGTGACCACCTCTTTGCATCGCAAAAAGGTCTCCGGATCCTCGGCCGCGGCGAGGGCAAAGTTCGTGAGCGGCCCGATTGCAATGAGAGTGATGGTCCCGGCTTCGTTCTCCCGCAACAGGCGCAGAATCTCCTTGTGGGCGGGCTCGAGGGACGGCACGAATGCATTGCTCGGCTCCTCGAGGTCGACTTCCGGCTTGGCTTTCTTCGTCAGATCGTCGTCCGGCGGCGGCTGCTCGAACAGGCGCTTCCAACTCTCCTCGGGCGAGAAGTGCGGATGGCTCGTATGCGTGCCTGCCAGGCCGTCGACACCGTGGAAATAGTCGGCGCTTTCAATGCGGTCTTGCAGGGGCTCGTCCGCGCCAATGGCGACGAGGGGTTTGAACTTCGTGATGCCCTCAAAGCCGAGGGGCTTGCCTTGCGACTTGCGCCAGAGGAGTTCTTTCTCCAGGATGTGGAAGATCGCCACGACGTTGCGGAGGCAGGAGCGCACGTCCACGTTGCCGAACGTCAGCGAGATGAGGAGCACTTCTAAGTCCTCAGCCTTAGCGCTGAGGGCCAGGAGGATGGCGAGGACATCGTCGACCCCGGGGTCTGTGTCGATGATGATGCGGTTCTTCGGTGCCATGGTGGAGTTGACGCCTGTGGGCAGTCGAGCCGTCGAGGGATACGCGCTGGATCCGGAGTCCAAGCACTACCTGAAGCGGAAGATGATGGTCGTCAGGCCGACGTTGCACGAGCCTCGTTGTGTTGTGTTCCGGTCAGCTCAGATAATCTTTTGTAGGCGGATAACCCGATGCTTGGAACTGATCGTCCAAGAAGTTTTGGCTGGGATCAATAGTAGGCTGACCGCTCTGTGCTCCAGATTATTTCCTTCTTTTGAGCCCATATACCGTTGGAGGAATATGATCGAGAGAGAATGAGGAATAGTGACATTGTCGGAGAACTCCGATGTCTTGGCAGTCGTAACGCTTACAGAACTGAGGTGGTCTCACGTGCAGGCTAATCCCTTCTGGGCAGCCTTTGCAACGGCGAGAAGTTGCTCCGCCCGCTTGATATTCGGTATCTTCCTGTGCGAGGTACGAGATACGAGATTAAGAAAGCCTCGTCACCATCATGATTTGCTTCGCTTAGTCAGTTGTGGTGATCGGACCAAGCATTCTGGCTTCCTCGACGCGACCTGGAGCGAACATGCCTCACTTGGGGCAGCTTTCCGAGCTTGCAGACCTGCGCACGGGAAGGACGCGAGCTTGGCTGTCATCGACTTGGTCGGGTCGCAGTCGACCTGTGGCAGATCGGATGCCATGTTCTCCGCTCGAAGCTGGTAGGCTAGCACGGTAAAGCACTCGCTCATTATCGGCTCACGGGTCCAGTATCATGCAAGAGCGATCGATACAGTGGCTGCAGGAGGCCTAACTAGAAGTATGATGCACGAGGCGTACTATAAAACCAATTTGGCAATCACTACAGGGGCTGAAGCATGAACATTTTCGAACGACGTGCTTCTGAAATACCCATCGGTGCTCCGTCTCCAGCATCTATTCACTGTGGTATCTTATACCTCATACCACGCACTGACAATGACGGACTCAAACGCCAATCCCGTATTTGGGAGAAAACCCTACACTGGGCCACGTTATACGCATCTACATCCGCACCTCGGCTCCCTCACTGGTCGCCTCATCAAGTCACCTCATTTTCCCGGCTCTTCAGTTGTGCAGTTCTGTTCCATCCCATTTGCGCAAGTGCCTAGACGCTTTGCACCTTGCGTCGTCCAGGACAACATACCAGACCATTTTGATGGCAGGCCTCACAGGGACTTCACACAGTTCGGGGCTGCATGTCCTCAAGTTGGTGCCACCAAGCCCAGCTGGTTTACCGCTTATGGTGGACCGCTCGATGATGATCTCGGCGTGAGGTTCGACGAATATACATGTCTCAGCGTCAGCATCTCCGTGCCCGAAACATGTCTCTCTGTCAATTCAGATAGGAAAGGGCTGGAACGACGGCCCGTCATGGTCTACATACATGGTGGCGGCGCACAAGAGGGCATTGGCCACGCTGACGGCCTCCACTCCAACGCTGCGCTAGCAGCCTACTCCTCGGAGCTATCATTGCACGCCATCACGGTCAACATCGGGTACCGCCTCAATTGGCTCGGCAGCCTCGTTTGTCAAGACATTCTCGACGAGTATAATGCCGACCCATCAGTTTCACCACATGGTCCGTTCAACCTGACCATTCAAGACCAACGTGCAGCTTTCGCGTGGATTCACAAGTACATTGGTGGTTTCGGCGGTGATCCCGGCAACATCACTGCCTTTGGCGAGTCAGCCGGGAGTATTTTCCTGATATATCATATATGTGGTTCTCCTGAAAGGCTGTTCGACAGGGTGATCCTTCAGTCCGGAGTCATCTTTGGACAGTCCACATTTGACCAGAAGAATGCGGAATACCAGAGCCTACTGAAATACTTTGGGATCGAAGGCAGAAGTGCTAGCGAAAGACTGGAAAAGCTTCGTCAGGTGCCTGCGGAACTGCTCGCAAAGTATCCCGGTCAACACACCCTACCATTTGTTGACGACGTGCCCGGCATGAGCGCCAAGGAGCCACTCTTCCCCAGAGGAAGTCCTTCTTTCTCAGAACAAATCTCACTAATATCATCGTGCCCATGGCTTGAAGACATTATTATTGGCGATGATTTCTGGGAGGGGTACGTCTTCAAGGACTTCATCCGAGGAGCTTCACCAGTACTCCTTCTCGATACTGTCAAATCCATTTTCCCGGAACAGCTGGCCGACCGCCTGCTTGATGCGTACGACTTACCTCGTACAGTCGAGCTCGCCGGAAAGGTGGACGATAACCTCTTCTGGCGGAACCTCATGCACTTCGTCGGCGACCTGCTATTTTCGCAGCCCATTCACAATATGGCTAACGAGCTCACTCTCTACAATGCGACACCTGCGGGCTCTGTCAAGAAGCGGAAGATCTACCGCTATTCATTCGGCTTGACGAACCCGTTTCCTGGCTCGGACCACAGCTTCGTGACGGGCCACCATTTTGTGGAGATCTTGTTCCTGTTTCTAACCTTGCTGGACCGGTATGCGCGCCACCGGGATAGATGGCTCGAAAAGCAGGCCAAGGAAACGGCAAAGAGATGGATCGTGTTCGCCAATGGAAAAGAGCCGTGGGACGAGTATGTTGTCCGTCAGAAGGCGGGAATTGGCGACGCGAGGATGGCAGTCTGCGATGACATTCGAGGGTGGCATGTCAAGACAGTCTCGCAGGACAGAGAAGAGAGCAAAAGCGATCCCTGGGGTCCGAGACGCTACGATGGATGGGCAGCATTGGAAGACGCATTTTTGTCGCTGAAGGGGCCTGAGATGGACGTGAAGACATATGAACAAAACGTGCACATGGCACGCATGCGATTGTTTGGCAGTGTCGTCGGGCTCCCCTCGAACTGACGTGGAGTTCATCTTCAGTAAAGATACAGTAGTATTTGTTCATGTACGGAGTACATGGGTATGTATGACACGTCGGAAGCAACCGTCTACCAAGATCTCGTCCAGTAGACCGGACCCAATCCACGCCGATCACATGCGCCGATTGACCGCTTGGTCTGCCCAACCAGCCCCACCCGCCCTTAGCCGATGGTGCAATGGATGCAGTTCGCACCGCCGCTCAGATGTCCGGCCAGATGCAGCCAAGTGGGAGCTTAGGCAAGCCTATTTCTGTGCCCCCTGACGCTCCACGCTGTCAGAGTGAAAAATTGTTTTGCTCGTCAAACCCACAACGCGTGGACGGTACAAATTTTTGGTCGCGCAGGCCTGGCACTAATTACTGTGGTATCCAGAAACATGGCTGCCATGGCGGCCGTGACTCCATCTCTTTCTTATCGGTCCCTGTCCTCCTCGCTCTGTTCTCCGTTGTCGCATCACAGTCCTTTCTCGAGATCACTCGCACCTGTCGGTCGCTCCCCCGCACGTCTCCTGCATCGGCCACTGCACGACCACGTCCAGTCGCTCCCCGAGTCCCAATTTGTCTCCCCACAAGTCGATTACGCCGTGACGTCCCGGCCCTTTTTCAAGCTGGCTTCCTCACGCTCACGTTCACATTCATATACCCAAGCCAGCAGTCGCTTGAGTTTGATCTCGCGACACTTGGAAGAACACCAACAGTCCTCCTATCCTCCCATCAACACACCATATACTACCGAGAGGACTTCGTTGCCCTCGGACGACGTCCCCTGGAACCCGCCGTCACCACCACCTGCCCCGCTTCCGAAATCGCCCTCCTCGCAAGTGCAGAAGAGACAATTGTCCACGTCGTCGGCAGCCAAAATGTCTTCGCAACCTCCTCACCCTTCTCTCCTGATTCCCGGGCCCATCGAGATCAGCGATGAAGTCTCGCAGGCCATGGGTCACTATGCCCAGTCCCACGTTGGCCAGCCATTCGTCAACACCTTCGGCGAGACGCTCACTCAGCTGCGCCAACTGTTCCAGACGAGCAACCCCAACTCGCAGCCCTTTGTGCTGGCGGGCAGCGGGACTCTGGGCTGGGACCTCGTGGCGGCCAACCTCGTCGAGCCCGGCGAAGACGTCCTCGTACTACACACGGGATACTTTGCCGATTCCTTTGCCGACTGCCTGTCGACGTACGGCGCAAAGCCTACACAGCTGAAGGCTCCCATTGGGGACAGACCCCAACTCCCAGAAATCGAGGCGGCGCTGAAAGAGAAGAAGTACAAAGCCCTGACGGTCACCCACGTCGACACCTCCACCGGCGTGCTCTCTCAGATCCAGGCTCTCTCGGACCTCTTGCGCCGTGTTTCTCCAGATACCCTTCTGGTCGTCGACGGCGTCTGCTCCGTCGGAGGCGAGGAGATCCACTTTGACAACATGTCGATTGACGTGTGCCTGACCGCGTCTCAGAAAGCCATCGGCTGCCCGCCGGGTCTATCCATCACCATGGTTTCGGAAAAGGCGATGAACGTCTTCAAATCCCGCAAGTCCCCGCCGGGCAGCTACTACGCGAGCTTCAAGAACTGGTTACCCATCATGCAGAACTACGAGGCGAAGAAGCCGTCCTATTTTGCAACTCCGCCCACTCAGCTCGTGCAGGCCTTGAACACCTCCTTGAAGCAAATCCTTTCGCGGCCAGTGAGCGATCGCTTCGCCCAACACAAGAAAGTGAGCGACTACGTGAAGGCCAAAGTCAAGGAGATGGGTCTCAAGGAGCTGGCCTTGGACCCTAACAATGCCGCGCACACCATGACGGCAATTTATTTACCCGAGGGCCTGACTCCGCCCGAGATCCTGCCCAAGTTGATGAGCAGGGGTGTCATCTTCGCGGGCGGCCTGCACCGGGAGATTGCGGCGAGATATATTCGTTTCGGCCACATGGGCGTTTCGGTTACGGATGAGTCCAGAGGAGAAGTTGACAAGGCTCTCGATGCGTTGAAGGAGGGGCTGGCCGAGGTGCAGCAGGCCAAGGGAAAGAATTGACTGTAGAGATCATGTGGACGTGGCAGCTTGCATATGCATCAGACACGAATACGGAATCCGGGAATAGAGAAAGAGGGCTCATGTTAGACGGCCCCACATGTGCATCCAGCTACGGCGAGATAGAATGCCACTGTATCAATGCCCCTGTGCTACATGCAACTTCTCCCATGGCAATCACCCAGATGGAAATGAGTGATGACCGTTGCTATGTATGCCGTTGCGACGCGCTCTGATTCTGCCTCGTAGCACGGCCGGTGTGCGATGATAACAAGGCTGAGCAAGGCTGCTCTTCGGTATGGCATGCCACGTCAGGTATCTGTATCTTCGAATTCTCAAGCCAGAAGAATCTGCCCACGGTCATGGTCTGGATGTTTTGCGCCCCAGCGCAAGGCATCAGCCAGATGAAGAAGAAGAACATCAAGCCAATGTAGATTGATCGTACGGCCATAGAAATATTGTGCCAATGGTCGGCCAAGACGTTCATTCTCTTGACTTGCCTGGAAATGGTAATTAGGTGAAGTGGGGGAAAACGACCCTGGGACACCGGACCCAGCAGCATGGGTCCAAAGGCCCGGCCCACTAGAAACAGCGAGAGCCCCAGTGTTGCGGGATCTCGTGAACAGCGGAATTCTTTCTTTCATGAGCTGTTCGTATGTGGTGGTGTATGTGGATGAGGTAGACGACCTGCAGCGCCGGCAGTCGGCAATCTCCCGGGCCATGGGTGGTCGCACGAAGCACATACACGCAGAAGGAGACAAACGAGGTGATGAATACAATGAACTACTCCCTGGCGAGGTTGGAGTTTCGCCGACACGACAGGCTTAGTCGTTCGGTCCATCCCAGCGGACCTCGGAGGGATCAGTCTTGGTCTGGGTCTTGGGTCCTTTGAGCTGTCGCTGAAGCCATGCCATCGTCCGTTTTCGTCCTTTTCCGGCGGCCTCATCCCCATCTGCCAAGTTATACGTCGAGCAGCAATCCGTGCCTACAGATCTGATGTTTGCCACGTTCCTCCGTTCGCGAGCGCGTCCTGCCCACCGAGCCCGGTGTGTCGACCTGACGAAGAGTATCCGCCTTCTCGAGGTCGAGGTTGATGTCGCCATCTGAGTCAGTCGGCGAATTGACCCTGTCATCGCTGCGTTCCCGAGAAACAGGATCGTGCTGCCGGTGTTGATTCTTGATGTTCACCATTCTTTGCACTCCTTTCCTTTCCAGCTACCGTTTGGAAAGAGGAGAGGTTAGGCGCTCGACGTGGCGATGTCTCCCGTATGCATGCACGAATGAGACAGCCGATGATCCTGCTTGTTGAAAGTTAAGTGCCCGGATGCATGGCTCGGTGGCACCGATATACGTCGACGGGTGGTTCCTCAACGACAATCCAGCGAGCTCATACCCCAGACGCTCTGTTGACGAAATTCCAAAAGGAGCCCTCGCCAAACTCGCCCCGGAACTGTTGCGGCATCTCGTTGGACAAGCGCTCAGATCCACTCTCGGCGCTGAACCCTTCTTCCGACATCGCGAGTGCTACATCATTGTACGTTAGGTCCGCGACTGGTCGGAAAGGGGTATCGTCGAATGTGTATTCCGAGTTGACTGGTAGGGGAACTGATGACGATGTCTGCTGAAAGTGCGTGTTCCAAGCAGGCATCTCTGCGAAAACGGGGTTATTGGCGAATAACGGGGGTTGATCCGCCATCGGATAAAATGGCCCTGCACCGTGGGAACTGGGCGTCATGAGCACTTCGGACGACCGTCCCTCCGAGGATGAGTTGCTAGGTTTGGAACCCAGCGACGGTGATGGACGATTCTTCTCTGCCCGTAAGACGAGGTTGTGAATGACATCGGCGCCTTGTCCAGCTACTCTATTTGCGCGTCGAATCTTGTTCACTCTGGAGAGGGATTCTTTGATACAGCGGAACGCCTCGGTCACCAGATCGACATTTTCACTCGGAAATGCAATCAGAACCGCCAGCATCGACACACAGGGTTCGACGGTTAGGTAAGCGAGCGTGAACATCCTGTAGTGGTGCTGTTCCAAGGTCAGGAAGAATCTTTGCTGGGCATTCAGCATTTCGATCCCAGCCTTTAGGATCTCGGTCCGACTTTTGGCGAGGGAGAAGATGTAGGGTCTGTGAAGCATCAGGACAAACAGCCATACAGTTGCACACAGGAATTCGCGTTGCGATGCCAACTGTGGACACTCTGCGTCGTAGGACCTGTCTGGGTTCTCGAAACGATAGATTGGGGGAATGGAGGCGATGTAGTCGAGGGCTATCTGATGTAAGCGCACCACCTTGCCGTAATCGCGTGGATAAGGACCTTGCGCTTCCAGCTCTCTGACTTGCGGGAGGTATTTGTGGATGTGGTACTCGAGCAATCGCACCGTGAATGTATTGGGCTTGTCGTATTCAGTCCTCTGGAAGGGTGCTGTGGATGTGCGGTTTCTTGGGATCTCACAGTCCGTAGGCGGGATGATCGTGTAACCGTCAGACTTGAAATTCAGGGGCTTGCCCAGCACCATGCCCATTTGGCTGTGATAATGGCCGTCAGTAGAGGACACGAGTCATCCTGACGAGTCATCCTGTTGAGCGACTGACCTATCCCAAAGGTAGAGGTTCAACATAAGTCGCCGGCGCAATACTACCTCCCACAGTTCTTCAATGGCACTCTCGGCATCATCGGCGTACAGTTTGCCATCATCGCGATGGAGGCCTATCTCCTGTGCGTTAATAGCGGCTTGGGCAAGGACGAGCCATGCCTCGGCTATCAGGCCACGGTTCTTCAGCCAAGCGGTACGCAGAATCTGCGCTGCGATGTAATCCAAGTTGATGACGTCCTTGGGCAGCAGGCTCAATAGGCGCATTGTCGCATCTTCTGAAAGGCCATTTCCATCCTCAGCAATGCCCTTCAGGCACGGAGGATGCAGGTTTTCAGAACGCCTTGCTGGAATGAACTGTAAGGCGTACACTAGGACCTGAAAAACAAGGGCTGAAAATATAAGTTTCTCGGAGGAGACGGTCGTGTCGGCTCGAGGACTCGCGGGCTGCAGAGGGTGTTGCTGATAGTATTGCTCTAGTCTGGGAATGAAATAGTTCCTGTCCAGGATTGTGTACTGCCAATTCACCTCGTCGAAGAAGATGGCGACGAGGTCCCTGACGCAAGATGGACAGGGCAATTGTCTGAGGACGGCGCTGTAGATGTCAAGGGCTGGCTGACAGAGGGAGATTTTCCTCTGCTTGCGTGGTGATGGTTTGCGCGCTCCGCCGACTTCCAGGTTCTCTAGTTTCTGTAGGATGCCAAGTGAATTGTGCACATTGACGCTGGAATACCCGTACGCCGCGAGATCTGGGCTCCGCGACTCTCCTCCATCTGTAGGAATGTATTCATACGCTTCAACCTCGGGTTGCTTGGACAAGCCGTTCGAGTCGGAGCCTTTCACAAACGGATGTGAACGCTTGAGACTGGGAAGCCCACTCAGAACCGTAGTGCAATGGATGATCACTACTTACTCACCCGGAGATCGCATCGCCGTAGGTACAACTATCCTGCTTTCCACGGAGCACGCAGGTCATACATGGGGATTCCCTGTTGCACTTCTTTGCGTCAGTCGGTATAGAATATTGTGTGACAAGGGCGACAAACTTTCTGTTTGCTGTGTCGACAATTCGTGCAACTGAATGTGATGCGCATTCGTTTCCTCCGTATCTGCTCGCCCGAGGCCTCGGCAGAGTAAGGTCGGCTTTCCATCGCCTCGACAGGTACCAGGAAACCGGCACCGCCTAGCAACAAGATTGGAGTCTCACAGTCCAAGGCCTGCAGGCGGCTCGCTTTACATAAAGCCGCAGGCTCTCTCGCGCCAGCGAGAGAGACATTTGAAGCAGGGCGATTACAGGGTAAAGTTATATTCAGGCTCAGGCTCCGGGATTACTCAGCGCCGCCAAGGCAGAGGAGAGGACGTACACTGATTGGTGAGACTGTAAGTAAGTGGGGCATTGGGAGTGTCTCGAAAGAGACCTCAGTTTCGTCTGCTGCGCGGCTCCGCACGCCAATGTTACGTCCAACAAGAACTTGGCCACCTGGAACTAACACGTATCGTTCTTCCAGCGCTGGACTCGTCTGGAATCTTGCCGTTCAAGCCCTAAGATCTCCTGCGCAGATCCGAAGCCAGCATCATGCCACTCTTGTTGGACAGCATGGACAACGTCCGACACCCAATATAAAGCAATTGGCAAGGGGAAAGCATTCTTCGGGGCTGCTGTGCCGCTCACCAACGACGCTGTTTGCCACTGACTAGCGTAGTAGTCCACGTGACGGTCCGCCAAATGTAAGCACGCTGCTACGTTCAGCTTGCTCCTGCGGTTGATGCGGACGACCGCCGCATGTTTGTAAGGCCCCAACGTTCACTCTACGCTTCAGACCATATCATCCACAGGAAGTTGTGAAATTCCGGACATTGCCTGTCTCCGTGACACGCATCCTCCGGCTGGCAGACCTCAGAATGGCCTGCGCGAGAAGCCCGGAGCAAAGGGTGATGGCGAGGATACAGAAGCCAGAAGCGTAGCCCAGTCTCCAACAAACACTGCCGGATGGAGGCGTTGCAGCCAGTGGTTACCAGCCCCACTGTGTGTCGACGGGCTGGGCATTTGCCGTACGAGCAGTCGCGCGAATCGAGGCAATGTGCCATCCAAGGGAAGGGAAGCGTTGTTGCATTACCCAGACGACTGTATATCTCGGCGCCCTGCTGCATCCGCGCCGATTCAGGGCGGTCGAATACCTTGACCGCATCCTATCAGCCAGCCTGCAGTCCGATCTGGCATCGCATAAAAAAGTGCGGACTTTGAGTGGAGAACGGGGAGTGTGGCATGCGACCTGGCTGAGATAATAGGGGCAAAGGACACGGGTCGGTCCTAGCAAATACTCAGTATGAGGAAGTGACTCATCGGCAGTTGAAGGGATGACCGGTTGTTGTCGTATGGTTGGTGGGGCATTGATGCAGACCTAGCACACTCGCGGGCCCAGCGTGGTGCGCTTGAAGACGGGAGTTTTCCACCAGAGACCCAGAAAGGGGATATTTCGAAGAAGACGGTAGTACCGGTATGGCACTGTGGTGATGTTTACCATGAATACAAGCCCTCAACAAGCACCAAGTGAAAGGACGAAAATCTGAACACAAATGAGAGTGAGGATATAAAAATGAGCTTTCAAGGAAGCAATGCAGGTCATGTCAACAGCGTGGCAGCCACTGCGAGGCGGTTACCCTCGCAAACCTGGTGCAACAGCAACTCGCCCACCCCCAAGTGCGTCGCCTCCACGCTGGAAGCTTGTACTGTTCGGCGTAGTAGGCAACCATGTCTTCCAATGAGACGAGCAGGCTGTGGTCAATTGACCAGGTAGTGATCCCTATCAGCAAGCCAGACAAGTACTCTCTTAGCGACAAGTACGCCTGACTACTACCGCATTAGCGTGAAGGGAGAAAAAGGGCCTCAACGGCAAGCAAGATCCCGACGTTGTCGCTCATCTCTCGCATATCTTCCAAGACCAGAAGAACGTCGGAGATATTGTTCGACTGTCCCATCCAGCGGCGATTTCTTTCTCATCGTGCGAGAAGAGCGCGACGACCATGCTCGTATCGTCCTTCTCTCCGCTGGTGTGGCCTTAACTCCACTCACATCAATTCTCAATACCTCTATTGCCAAGCGTGGACATGAGGTCTCGTGGGTGCACGTCAACAAAAGCCAACAGTCCCACGCGTTCTATGACCACGTCAAAGACATGCCCGATTTGAGTCCATGGACCAACAAGCCGATCTTCCACAGCAGCGTGCATTATGATCATAAGGGACGCTCAGATTTGTCGAAGCTGGACCCAGAAAAAGATTTGAAGCTGAACGACAAGAATGCCACTTGTTATATTTGCGGACGCGGACAATTCATGGTCGAGCTGGAGCACTGTCCGGGGGAGGAAAGGAGTGGATGTAAACACGATCACATGGAGGTCTTCGGCACAGGCGGCGTGCTTCAAATGACTGGGAGTTGAGTGATAGAAACGGCACTGACACGTTTAGAGATCATGGACTACGATTTCTGGTTAGCAAGCGTCCAAACTCACTGGGCACGGTTATAAAAAGGGGTCTCCGTCCACCATTTTGTCTGCGGGGATTACACGCAGCCACTAGAGACAAGGTGGCACCACTAGCTTGTTTCGGGGCTAGTTCCTTTGGCCAAGCGAGGCTTCGATCTCGCGTCGGAAATCAACAAAGTTTCGACGACATCACCGGCCTTTCTTCTCATCTTCTCTGCTGCCCGGTGCATGCACTTGACATACTCTGTACATCCAGTTCGCCGGGTCTTGGAACGCCTGGCTTCGCTGCTTCGGCCATGACCACAGCATGTCAACGCCACGCGTCACCTCGGAGGCAATTCTGGCGGGCCACTGCAGCGCGGACGGTCACAAATGTCAAAGCATGTCTTAGGTTGGTGGCGGCCACTGGTCTTTGCCCAAGCACCTCCAACATGGACGGAAAGGGACGCTGTTGCGCGTCTTTCAACGAGATCACCAAGGATCCTGCCGGTCTCTCCACAGTCTCCGGACTCGTGAGATTAATCCGGCTGGACCTTTGTCGTCTGCGTGCTCCATCGACCACGACCTGTTTTTAACGAGATTGAGTCTAGCCCCCAAGCACCGTGTCTCCATGTCATCGGGGTGGTGGACATCTTTCTATTTATTTTCACCCTCTCCGTCCACCACCTTCTCGCCGCCCCTTGGATCTCTATATACGCCAGGTCATTTATTGTGTCGGGTGCGTTTTCAACATTACATTCGTTGCATTTTCTATTCAAGTCTCTCGTTACACCCGTTGAGCATACTACAGTATACTATAGTCTATAATCTTCTACTTCCGACCAATCCAACCATGCAATTGACAACTTTCCTCCTGGCATCCGTTGCCTCTTTGGCAGCAGCTCAGACAGCCACGTCGTCCGCTGGCTCATCCACCAGCACTTCAAGCTGTGCTGCTCAAAAGTGAGAACATGCCCTCCCCCATTCACAAGGGCGATCCAGTACTGATTCGGACCATCAGCATCCTCGACGCCTGCTTGGCTACAATCCAAGGTCAGGTCAACTCGTGCCTGTCCACCGACTACGGCTGCCTCTGCACCCAATACCAGAACCTGCTCACCTGCTACAACAACTGCCCTGCCGACCCGGGCGTTTCGACCGTCCAGCAACAACGTGAACAGTACTGCGCTGCCGCGTCCGCGTACCCTTCGTCCACAAGCACCCCTGCCACGACCGGTTCGGCCACCTCGTCCGTTCCCTTGACCAACCCAACTGCAACCACATCTTCCGAGGCTGCCGTCCAGAGTGGCTTTGCGACAGGCTCTGGCTCGGCCAGCGCAAGTGCTACCGACAGCGCGGACTCGAGCAATAGCGCTTCTGGTCTTTCAGTCGGAGGAAGCCTCGTCGCCGTGGCTCTCGCCGGACTGGGATACATCTTGTAAGGAGGTGGACATTTGAGTAACGCGTACCAGCCTGAGTCAAATACTCCGCATTGTGTGGCATTCGTGTTGGATAAGACAAAAGCATGGGGGTATAATTTCCAGCCTGCATAGCGCCGGGAGCTGGAACGGACAATATTAATAGCTCCCTCATTTGGGACATTTGCAAAGGACACCTCGTTCATCTGTTGCGCTGTGATCGTCTCTTGGCCGTGTGAGTTTCGGTGTTCGTGTCGTCTTCGTCCTTCGAGCTCCGTTTTTTCCCTCTTCGTGCCGACGCCGGTCCCGGCGTTGGAGCTGCCTCGGCCGCAATCTGATCGTCCTTGACTTCTGCCGTCCGTTTCCCGGTCTGGTTTGCCACGGTCTGCTCCTGCCGAGTGCGTGCCGCATCCTCATCTCGCTCCCGTACGTCGCCACTGCTAGCTTCCTTGGGTTCGGCGTCTGTCGTTGAATCGGGATCCGCCTCAGCCCTTCCCTCGAACGACTCCTCCAGCCCCTCCCTCTCCTCAGCACCAAGCAAGTCCATATGTCCAAGCACGTAGGCAACCTTCTCCATCTCGACCGCCTTACAATCCAACCTCGTCAGCACGGGCGTCACCGCCTCAAACAACAACTGGTACTCCTTCGCGCTGTACTTGAGTTTCCCCGCGTCAGGGAAGAACCACGCAAACATCTCGTCCTGGAAGAACGGGATACCGTCCGGATCGCATACGCTGAGGATCAATGTGCCGGTGGCGGGTCCTATCCCGGTGAGTTTGCAGACGTGGTCCAGGGCTTTATCCATCTTGATTCGGTGAGTCGTAGAAGCCGCGAGGGTTAGTTCTTTGAAAGCTAGAGCCGTTTGCGTCTGGATTGCTGATGGCTCGTTCTTGCGAACCATTGCAGGGAGGAAAGGGCGTGAATGGCCGTGGGTGCTAGATTGATAGATGAAGGAAGTCAGCCAGCCAGCACCGAGCCGGGGGTATCGTCACGTCAGTAAAGAGGTCATGGTCGAATTCGAAAGAGACTGCCGTCAAGAACACTGTTCTGCAATCGACCAAGGCTTTATCTCTTTCTTGTAGGTGCTTCACGCCGGCGGGCTCAGACGTCCAGTCCTCGGCACCTCTGAACGGTTTAGCTGATAGAGTACAGTCTTATCATACCCATGCGAATGCGAATGCGAGTGCCGGTTTCTCCCTCACCTCGACAAAGGAGACCATCATCGCCTCACGCAAGAAGAAGCACGCAGAAACCCAAGTAAGCAACTTACATCTTCCACTGCACCAACCTCTCCACCTCGTCCTTGCTTAGCTCCAGCGCGGTGTCATTGGCATTACCTGCAGCCTTGGACTTGGCGGTTGCTGCTTTCCCATCTCGAATCCGCACATTCGCCTGGTTGACGTTTCCGTTGTCGTCGCCGTTCGCCTTCTGCTTCCTCTGGGCAACACTAGCAGGTAACTCGTCGAACCTCCACCTGTCCCGCTCCAGTGCCTCTGTGACTTTCTTGCCGTCGTTCTTTAGCTTCGTCTTGTATACCTTCTCCACTAGCGATGGGTAAAGTGCCAGGGCCTTCTGGAATGATGAAGCCGTCAGAGCAGCAGGGGAAGGGGTAGCGGGAGGTGGACGAGGCATGCCCGAGGACGCAATGCCCCTTAAACTTAGGCGGTCAGACTACGTATATGAAATGAGAAAATACCAATACGTATCTCACAGAATCCCAAGGAAACCGACTGGATTGAACCCCGGGGTAGGCTAAAGACGCCCAGACGTACACACTAGCCGTGGATCTGTCGTCGAGGCCAGGCGCGTCGTTGACGATCTTGAACACGGAGTACGGTACGAGAAATGTCTTGGCGAGCACGAGCACAACCCGCTTCGAGCCCCTTGTTCCGCCTCGTTCCGCCTCGTTCCGTCTCGTTCTCAACCACGGCGACTCTATCTTGCTGCCATCACTGCGTTGAGCTTACTATGGGACTCGGAGGATGGATCTATTAATCATTGTGGGAAAAGAGCATTGACCTGTCTTGGCTGAAGTGCGGCACCGATGGATTGCACTGCACTGGACTGCCTTGCTTCTATGGTTGCTCAAGCAGCTCGACTTATAATACAATTGTTGACACCTTCGCGCTGATTGACTGCGAGCCTGTCATGTCGTGTCGACTTGCAAGTGCCTCCCGGACCATCCTGAAACGACAAGCCTGCCCCGCTGTAGCAGGATTGCAAGGTCTGTAACTCCGGACCGCCACGTCTATCAATCCCGGACCTCCACGCAGGAACTTCGATGGGACGTGTGTTGCCCCCTTTTGCCCGTGCGCGGAAGTAAGCTCTTGTGTCTATCAGAAACGTCACCTCCCTAGCGCTTGATGGCCTTCTTCTGCTTGACCGTGGAATCCTTGCCATCGATCTTTCCACTGATTCTCGCCATCATCTCTTCCCGCTGCATCAAGTGCCCCACTCGCTCCAGAAGACCAAGTAGGCCCTTCATACTGTTGCCCCACTCATCCAACACCTCATCTGGTCCGCGCTTGACTTCAAAGCTCACCACTCGTGCTGGTCTGTCGATTCGTGCGTAGACAGTCTTCTTGGTAACCAGGTCGCAGATGTACTTTTCGGTCTCTTCGTCTGAAAGGTCCAGAAGCTCAGTAAGGCGAGGGAACGTTATCCGGGTATAGTACTTGGCCACGACCCGCACGTTGTGTTCTATGACACGTTGTCGAAGGCCTTCGTAGCGGGTGTGTGCCTTCGGATCGGTCGAGTCGGCAGTCTTGGAGAAGATGTCTGTAGAGCAGAGGTGCTCACCGTACTGTTGCTCGATTATGGGCCAGCGCATAAGCTCCGGGATTGTGAACTGCTTCAGGAGCGCGGTATCTCGTGGCACTTGAGAGTTGCGAGCGTCTTGGTTGATGCGGTGTAGTAGGTCAGATTGTTCATTGTCGTATGGGGCGAGGAGAACAAAGTATATGACTCGTTGAAGCACGGCGCGGAGCTGGTCGGGATTGTTCTCGACAGACTCGGTGTCGAGGACTTGCCGGTAGTGCTTGCACACTTCAAGGTATTTGTCTTCGTGCTTGGCCAGGGTGATCTGTTGTTCGTAATACCGCAGCTTGAGGTCTGTCACGTCGTCTTCCTTTTCCGGCTCGGGCTCGCCCGCGGACCTCTTCTTGTCTTTCTCCTCTTGTTCCTTTCTCTCCTTTTCAATCTGTTCGGGCGTCTTCCTGGGTTTTCGAGCGAAATATCGGGTGCTGATCTTCCTGCTGAGGATTGACGCCTGAGTCCAATCACCGTTTCGGATGCACAACGCCACCTGTTCCAGAATGAACTCTGTCTTCTCTCTTCTGGTCATCGACCCAAATGTCTCGACCTGCAGTTCGCACAGGATGTCGCATGCTGACTTGATGTCGCCTTGCTCTTTCTTGATGTTGGATAGTATCCGCGTGATTCTAGCTCGCTCGACCTCGACGAAGATCTAGTTCATCATCAGTAATCTCACCAGCATCTAGACTTCCGCATCCACATACCTTGCCCTCAGTTACCGTCCTAAGCGCCTCGATGACGCTAAGCTTCGTCTCCAGGTTTGGTGTATCATCTAGGAAACCCATGACCGCCTGCACCATGTTTGTGATGGCTTGTTTAAGCTGGCCATGTTTCTTCGACAGCAGCAGGACTTGCTCGTTCAATAAGCTCCAATCGCCAGCCTCTTTACACAGGGTGACGATTGTGATTAAGCATCTCGATGTGGTGGCAAGGTCTGATGACTGGGATACGATCAGCAAAGCGTGGAGGAGTGTTGAGGACACATGGATGGTGCACCTGTCTGGCCTGTTTCTCCAGCGACAGGATTCGGTCAATACCCTTCTGGATATCTTTCTGCGTGACTGTCAGCTCAGTTTTCGTATCTGTGAGCCAATTTGTTGACCTTCGCTATTGACTCTGCTTCTGGAAGGACCTTGTCCGCTTCCTTGCTGAAGTCCTTCTCCGGCTTGAAGAGTGCGCCGTCCGACATGGTGGCGGTATGCGAGAGTAAATGAGGAACTAGGTGCGAGCAGTATCTGTAGAGAGTCCACAGAAAGAGTCAGACAAGGAGAGAGGAACCACAAAGGGAAAAGTGACGTGTTGATATTCTGTCGGTCTACGGAGTTCACACTGGTCTCGAAAGTCGCTCCGAGCCTTGAAGCCTTGACGCGTCCTTGGCGCCTGCGCTTCCCAGCCTTGCAGTGGCCCCCGCACATTGTGACCAAAATAAACGGGACAGAGCCTAATCCTCACCAAAATACGGAGTACACTCTTTGAGTCTTTTCCTCGCTGCAACTATCTATCCATAACTTAGATAAATGAATAATAATTACACTATTACTAAGGTATTCTATATTAATTCTTATATCTTTAACTTTGTATTTTTATTTTAAGTACTTTAAGTATAATGCTATTATAAAGCGGTTTAAGTATAGTCTCTTACTAAAATTACTAAGTTAGTAAGAACTTCTTAGTATAACTACTTAATAAGAAAGAGATTTAATTTTAGATACTAATATAGATAAGAGTAAGTAGTTACTTATATATTGCCTGAAAATCAATTATCTATCTGCTTTATGGATGCATAGGTGCAGCTATGAAAATAACGTATTTTGGTGAGGATTGTGCTGTGTCCCGTTTATTTTAGTTAGACTGTGCCCTCGGTGACGCTACGCCTTCTCGAGGCGGAGGCTCTACACAGTAACTAGGCTTCACTAAGAATTATCGTTTTCTTCGTTCTAGTAAGCACGGACGATCAATCAAATACGCAATGGTAACAGACGATCTTGGACATTGAGATCTAGCAACCAAACAATCTTCGTCAGTCTACCCTATCCGAGCCAACATCTTGCCCATCCATCCAAAGGAGCATGTTTGCGGCGACTCCCAAGTGCCTTTCCCTGGCCCTTTCGTCTCGGTCATGATATCTATCCCATCACCTGCCCGATAATTACACGCTGCCCAAGAAACCCTGAGACTCCAACATCAAGACGATCTGGTGAACAATATTTCTGACAGACGTCTTCTCACAATCCACCGTCAAGTCTGCGTCGGTGGGGGCTTCGTACGGGTCGTTGACACCGGTGAAATTCTTGATCGAGTTCCTCCTTGCACGGGCATAAACACCGCGTTTGTCCGTCTTCTCGCTGAACTGGAGGCTCGTCGCAACATGTACCAAGAAGAAACTGCCATATCGCTCAACGGTTTGTCGAGCCTCTTGACGCGCCTCATCAAAGGGCGCAATAGGAGCAGCAATAACCGCAGCCCCAGCTTTGGTCAACTCGGCGGCGACAAAAGCAATACGTGCAATGTTTGTATCTCGGTCTTCTCGGGTAAACCCAAGCTCGGCCGATAGCTCAGAGCGTACAGTCTCACCCAGGAGCAGAGTGACAGGTCGACCGCCCTGCTCGTTGAAAGTGACTTGCAGCGCGCGTGCAATGGCGTCTTTGCCCGAGTTGGTGTACCCAGTAAGGAATATGGTGAACCCTTGCTGCGCACGAGGAGGGTTGGACTCTCGGAGCACTTTGACAACCTCAGGATACGAGAACCATTCTGGAATGGGAGCGCCAACTCTTAGGCGTCTTCGAAGTTCCGTGCCGGAAATATCAAGCGTCTTAACTCCTTCAGGCACCTGATCCTTTGGCCGGTACTCGTCGGTGTCAGGCAGGTAGGTCATCATTTGGAACTCGACCACCTCGATGCCCAACTCATCCTTGTACTTTTCCACGGCGTGCTGGGCATCATAAGGGCCATAGAAATCCTTTCCGGCGCTGTTCTTTCCAGGGCCTGCGTGGTCTCTGCCAATAATGAAGTGAGTTGCGCCATGGTTCTTCCGGATGATCGCGTGCCAAATCGCTTCGCGTGGCCCACCCATTCGCATGGCAAGCCCGAGCAATCCCAGGACAGCCATGCCATTGGGGTATCTGGGCATGAGCGCCTCGTAGACACGGACACGAGTAAAGTGGTCGATGTCGCCGGGCTTGGTCAGTCCCACAACAGGGTGAATGAGGACGTTGGCCTGACGTGCACGAGCAGCGCGGACAGTCAACTCACGATGCGCTCTGTGCATGGGATTTCGGGTCTGGAAGGCCACCACACGACTCCAGCCCAATTTGTCGAAATGCACTCGCAGTTCTGCAGGGGTATATCGCAGAGCCACATAGTCGTAATGGTTGAGCTTGTTCACGGCCTGGATCTTGCCGCCGATGTAGAACTCCTTGGTTGAATTGTTCAGGTATTTGATTGCAGGGTGTTCCGGATCTCCTCCAAAGACTTCTTGGGCCTCTTTCTTCTTGTCCGGCCTGTACACATCGTCCACGGTAATAATGGCAAGGTTGCGGTCGTCGCGGAAGTCACGCAGGGTGACTCGAGAGCCTGCCTTGATCTTGAGACGTTCGATAACCTGTCCGGCGACATCTAAGCAGATGGGCATACTGAAAAGAGCCCCATCTGCAAGTCGCAATTTCTCGACGACGCCATTGTAGTCCTTCTCGTTCATGAATCCCTCCAGGGGAGAGAACCCGCCGTTCATGATCAGCTCGAGATCGCATAATTGGCGCTCTGTCAGAACAATAGCAGGCAGCTTTTCAGCCTCGGCTGCAAGCTCGGCGTTACGAGGTGCATCTCGAGCAACGAGGTCCTTCAGGACACCACCGTGGGGTGGGTTGGCCATTGTAGAGTGGGGTGCGAGGGGAGTACACAAATAATGCGTCAATCGGCAATGCTCAAACCAGAAATTCTCGGTGCAGGGGAAAGGGACAGAGAAAGGGAAGAGGACAAGCCAGTCTCTGCACAGGAGTGTTCGCAGCAGTATATAAAGCGGTATCTTCTCGTGTTGACAGAAACGCAGCCAGGGTCAATAGTAAGCTCGATTCTTGCTATGTCGCAATCCCCGCGTGGCGGCCGTGGCCGCACACAAAATTTTGCAGCCCTGCATATGGCGAATCGAGAGAGGTTACTTTATTAGCTTGGCCGACTTCCGAGCCCTGTCCTGGTTCGGGGCTTGATCGATAGTGTTTGGTTGGGGCAGATCTTCCCCATCCCTGGAGGCCTCGATAGAGATCTCCGGTGCCTGGCAGTGGTGCCCGTCGGAGGGCCTTTCGCAGGACACACGGCTCTTCCGGAAAAGAAGGCGACGAAGGCGTGATTATTGTGAAAAGCTCAGGCCAGCGTCTGTGCTCTTTTTCCACTGGGCTTTCGCTGACACTGGGGCCAAATGTCGTAACACGTTCAACAGTACGAGCGAGTGGTCACCGATGGCGGCCTTGATTTCAAGAACGGTGATTGTAAAGAGCGAGTGCTTGCGAAAGTTCGCGGCTGTATGCAAGTACCTTGCGCAAATCTGTGCAACTACAGCACGAGCTGACAAGGACACGCAGGTGAGTGTTAAGCAATGATGAACGGGGAAGAAAGGGCGGTCTGGAAGCTGCAGTTGTGATTGATAGATCTCAGTGAGGACACTGAGGGGCACGGCACAGGAGGAAGGCACGCCCTAAAGATAAGAGGGTTGCCAAGCTTCCTGCATGCTCGATTGGGTCTAAGGCCAGTACGGCGACCACCTCTTCTCGTCCTTCCAACAGAAATCATAGTTTATCACCTGCCCCTTCATGCTTCATGCTTCATGCTTCATGCAAAAGCTCGTATCATTTCATGTCCTCCTTTGCTCTGTATGGCTCCCATGTCGATGCAACCTGCCGTAGCTGATGGTAAAATCCCGGACGCCGACGCTATGCTCCAATTGAGAACGCGCTCAAATGACCTCTGATCATAACTGCCCCTCGAGGCTGACCTTTTCGAGGGCCTGTTCTAAAGCTTCGCGTTCTCTTTGCTTTTCTTGCTCCATCAAAAACTGCGCGTACTTCGATCGAGGGTTGTGAATGCCACATTCAGTTTTTTGTTGACCTTTCCAACGACCCGCACGCTCGTCTTCACCGACCTGGACGGGCTGCGTCGAGTGCCAGTCACCAACACTCTTGTAGCCCCTGTCCAGCAGGGAGTTGTATGGTACGTTATTTTCGTCAATGTACTGCTTGATCTGTTCAAAGGTCCAGTTGGCCAGGGGGTTGATCTTCAGCAGCCCGGCCTCGTCAACCTCGATAATGTCAAGGGAGCCTCGAGCCCCACCCTGACTCCGTCTCCTGCCGGTGAGGACGGCATAGGCGTTGAGCTCACGGTAAGCCCTTTGTGCTGGTTCTACCTTGACGAGATAGTCATATCTGTTGTCGTCGGTCTCCCATAGTTTGTCCCCATACTTCTCCTTGAATTCTTCCGCTGTCTCGACTCCTGCCGGCTTGAAGGTGTGGATGTTCACCAGAGGATATCTTGCTTGTACCCTTTCCACCAGCTCCAGTGTCTCGGGGAAGTGATGCAATGTGTCGAAGAAGACGAGGTCCACCATCTGAGGCCGGGGAACCTTCAGCTTCGACAACATGTCGAGAGACACTAGGCCAGTCAGGCCGAAAGCGGTGGTCTGGTATAGGTTGGGAATGGTGGTGATGGCCCATCTCAGGATTTCCTGAGGCTCCAGAAACTGAAGCTGACGATTGAGGAAGCGAAGATGTGGCTTGGTGAAGTACAACTCGGGCATATCACTCTCGCTGTTGGTCCCTGAGGCATACCCAGAGTCGGCACCCTCCAATGAGGGGCTGCTGCGGCCACTGCCACATGGGGAGTTTGCTCTCACTGCCATCTCGGTACGACTCGTGGCGAAGGGATTGAGAAGGAACAGAGATGCTTGGGACAAAGACGTGAAGAAGCTGGAGAGGGAACGCATTTGAGAAGTGGTCGAACCGACTGACTGACAAAACTGACGGCAACATAGGGGATGATGAAACTGCTGGAACCCACCTTTACAAATCAACCATTCCGTTGACCTGTCGAGCACGCAATTCAGTGGTGGAGTGAACTAGGAGTCGAGAGCCTCGCCTGCCGCGGGCAAAAATCGAAGAAAGAGTGAAGAGATCCCTCACCTCCCTCGAATGCCTCATCATTTGGACGATGGCGTGATCGAGAGGCAAACAGCCTTCCCTATCTTCATTGGATGCCGACCATTCTCGACGACCGGTGGCTGTTGTCATTTGCTGGCCTTCTCACTCCGATAGCCGTAGAAAATCGGGAATCGGGGAAAATATGCATTACAGTGCGTGCGAGCTGGACTCACTTGGGGGTCCAATTTTTCACCCGGACTAGCTCGGCGGTATGGTCGGACGGCACTCCAACCACACAAAAGCCCCGAAGTGGCAGTTACGTGACAGCTGCTTGTAAGCACATCATTCTGCCAAGATAGTCGCCGTGTAAAGTAGTCTGAATCCGGAGCGCAGTGGTGATGTCGCGAGAAAGAGCTACGTTGACGAAAGCCTCGCTATATGTAGCCAGCTTTACGAAAGCAGAGCGCGTGATCCAACAGCTGAAGGCCACATCACGGGGTTTTGCCGAGTTCCAGAAAACCGCTCAGCTTGTGCGCCAAGCGGTGTCGCGAGAGCCGGGCCAAGATGATCACGCGTTCAAAGTCACGTGACTTAGACATGACATCACAGCTTGGGAAGCATCGTCTCGGCAATCGCTGCCAAAAATATCTGAACAGAGGAATGTTCAGAATTGTTCCTGCATCGGGCTCGACATGCCATGACGTCGCCTTGCAGTCGCTGATTCTTTCCTCACCCGTCTCTCAGCTGTCTCTTGCTGCTCGACGACCTCATCGTGTCGTGACTGTGTACCTGACAGGCGCTATACAGCTGTATGTGATGTTCATGATCTAACCATTTGGTCGGCCATGGCGTCGCCTATTCCACCGCGCAAGCCGAGCCTGGCTAAGGACTCTTTGACTGGTAGCAGTTACCTCGACGACCACCTCGAGTACAAGGCTCGTCAGACAGGCCCGTCGCCCAGCATTGATGGAGTCCTTGAGCAGCCCGCCCGGGTTCCTCGCAATGCCATGTCGAATCTGTCTTTGTCGAGCGCTTCAAGGAGATCAATTAGCGCGATTCCTCCGTCGCCGATTATATCTCAAGAGAGTGGAACTGTGCACACAATCTCCCATACCAATTGCATTCCTGAGCCAGGGGATCCTGCAAGGCTAGTTGCAACCATTTTCTATAATTCGAGCACCCCTCGGCATCCTCATCTTCATCCAGATCAATCTCCTCCAGCCAAACCTACAGATTTCATCCCGGCACCCGAGATCGCAGAAGGTTCCGCACCCACGACGAGCATCCAAGAATATCCATTGGAACCCCCCGCGCCCGAACCCGAACCTCTCGACCATCTGTACGGCGCCTACATCTCTCAACTATGCTTGACTCATTTTCTTTCAACTCTCGATAGCCTTCTGATTCACAACGAGCCAGAAGAGAGACGCCTAACGTCGTCTCACCGATGTCTAGCCCCCGATCCGTTCAAGCCTCGGGTCATGGAAGTTACCTTCACGCCGCCCCCCAAACCCCAATACCTCCCATTTGACCTCATTCCCAAACACGAGTCTATCTACAAGTTCGAACGAGAGTGGAATTGCGAGATTATCCTGCAACCCAACACGGTATATCGGCGGCACAAACGACTCTGTGTCTTCGACATGGACTCGACGCTAATCCAACAGGAAGTCATTGATGAAATTGCCGCCTTCGTCGGAGTCAAGAAGGAGGTTGCCGCCATCACCGAACGAGCCATGAATGGTGAACTCGACTTTGCAGCCTCGCTCAAAGCGAGAGTATCTCTTTTGAAAGGCGTACCCGCTGACGTGTTCGAGCGGCTGAAGCCAAAGATTGTCATCACGCCGGGTGCGAAGGAACTCTGCAAATGCTTGAAGCGACTCGGCTTCACACTCGCCGTGTTGAGTGGTGGATTTCAACCTCTGGCAGACTGGCTCGCAGGTGAACTCGGCCTCGACCATGCATTTGCAAATCATCTCGTATCAAATGAGAAGACCAACACCCTCACAGGCGAGCTAGATCCCGCATACCCAATTGTCGACTCGGCGCACAAGCAGGCCTTGTTGATCAGCTTAGCCAAAGAGAAGAAGATCCCTCTTGCGCAGACGATGGCTGTCGGCGATGGAGCGAATGATATTCCCATGCTGAAAACCGCAGGGCTGGGTGTAGCGTGGAAGGCAAAGTCAAAAGTCCAGATGGAGGCACCTGCGAGACTGAACATTGGCGAAAGTATGCTAGACCTGGTCTACCTGCTGGGATTGACCAAAGAGGAGATCGATCAGCTGCTAAGTGGCTGAAAACGAATGACGACGGTCCGGGCGGACACAACAGCGTACTTTTGGAATTGGTTGAGTAAGCAAATACCAGCGGGTTCCATTAGGTCAGCACAGCCAGCACAAGCGCATGAGACATGAGGCAGTCAATGTACAAGTAAGCATCGGATATGACGAATGGGCAAGGAACAAGAGGGCTCTCCGGCAGAGCAACCCCTGCCTGTGCAAGGAAATAGATACTCTGGAGGTCGGACGTATGAGAACAACGAAGTACGAGGTACGAAGCAATACGACGTAATGAACACTCTTGTTCTCTCGGCTACCTGGTCACCCCGGGATCATATGGATTCTGTATCAGAGCAGTCACCTGCTTGAGACTGAAGGTTTGCACTTAGCCTTGAGTGTTGAATCTAACATCCCTGATCTTGTATACCTATGCTAGATTGCGCTACAGAAGTTATCAGGGAGCAAGATCAGAGCCATTCAGAGCAAGGTACGGAGTATAGGATTGTATAACATAGCATCCATAGTAACTGAATGCATGGTGACGCTTGGCGCAAATGGCACAATTAGTACCTCCGTACCCACACAGGATGTGGACTGTAATACTCCGTACACAGGTAGGTGAATGGCCATGCATGTGTGCTACTGTACTGTGGTAGCTAGCTTCTTATATTCCCCTCTCTCGCTCTCACTCTCTATCTTTCTCTTCCTGCTCTTTCTTGTACATGGCACCAATGGCACAGAAGCCGTCTTGAGCCCCAGAAGAATATATGCGCACATCATTGCATGTATCATGCATGTGTGGATACCAGGCAGGTCCGAGGGGCGAAGAACCGCCATTCTCGTCCGCATACATACATGCCCACTTCGGCATATCATACAACAAGGGAATCGATATAGGTAGGTCGTGCAGGCCAACTCTTGGATTACCGTGTCCAAGAAGTGCTGCACAATGCGCCCTGTCCGTGCTGAACGCCGGATGTGGCACCAATCTGCCGAGACGGCCAGGGTATACAAGCATATACGCCGTACTCCGTACGGGTACACAAAACCACGCTCACGTTCAAAGAACGCCGTTGAAAAAAAAGGCACAAGAGCAGGAGCTTGCGAATCACTGTCTTTGGTTGCGCGGAGTCTTTTATGCTCAATGTCATCTTGACCCGGAACCTTCGTCACCGCCGATCACTTCCCCGTCTGCCTTGGTTATGCTGAACGTGTCAAAATCGGCGGTGAGCACGAGGTTGCCCAAGCCAACATCTACCACTGAAGACGTGGCGTTGTCCGATGTTTGCGCAGAAAAGTATGACTCCATCCGCTGCTGTGCATTCACTGCGACGCTTACAGCTCGTGATTCCTGTAAGACGTAAAGGACCACAAGCTTGGCAAACTCCACTTCTTTGTCGGTCACAGTTGAAGGAGACTGGGCCTCAGTCGTGGGCGTGGAATTGCTTTGTGATGACGACACGGTTGCTGAAGCGATAGGAGTGCTCGTTTCACTAACGCTGGCACTGGCCGAGACACCAGCAACGACAGCTGTGGTTGGAGCTATTGCGCCAATAGTAGGAGAGCTCTGCGCGAACACAATGCCGTTAGAAGTCGTTGTACCGGCTGACTGGCCATCTTGCCTCTTCTCAAGATGTTCTTCCGAGCAATCTGCTCCAGCACGAGCCGTGATCCGTGGTGAGTGAGGCAAGCCATTGATAGCAGATGGCTGTGGCTCAAGGCCGGGTATCATCACGAAGCGCTTTGAATTCGCCCCTTGATTCAGGGCGCTTGAATTGAAGTCAACCATAGAGTTCTCACCGATGCATGAAAGATTATTAAAGGAGAACACCGATAAGATGGTCGAGACGTTCAGAGGGATGTCGAATCGATTCTGTGTATCTGTGAGAGATGGAAGTATTGAAGAGCCGATCGTTGCGTTTTTATACTCGGTGTCGCCGTCGTTCAAGGTGATGGTCATACAGTCGTCTGTGTTGCCAGAGGTTTCGCACTGACTCCCGGTGAAGCCGTTCGAGCACACGCAGACACATACATTGTTGCTCACAATGCTCGTGCCACCGTTTCGACAAGGATGTTTTGAAGCACAATCGCTGAGCTCGTTGCTGTTCTTGTGTTGTTTTGGTACAAGTACTAGAAAGATCGGTATTAACACTGCGGCAGCGATGAGGACGATGCCAGCAATGAGGACGATGATGAAAACAGGCAGTGATAAGCCGCAGCATTTCCGCCGTTGCTTTCCCGGCGGACCTCTCGACAGGTCCGTTGTTGAGGCGTAGGCGTCACTCTTTTCGCCCAAAGGCCAGGCAGTGTCTCTTTTGGTCGGAGTACCACCTATTGCTGGAGCAGGGAAAGCTGATAGCATATCTGACATGGTCGAATGGCGATTCTGGGTACCGGGTATCCCCAACTTTTCAGTGCTTCCGAACATATCCAGCATACCCAACCTACTCGCGGTCCTGCCTCTATCCAGATTGGCAGCCAATCTCGTAGCCCGCTTGATCAGATCCGCCAAGCTTGTTGTGCTACCGCGGGATTCGGCCTCCCTGACAGCGTCCATATCGAGTCTGGGCGGTCGTCGATTGGCGGGTATCTTATCGCTCATTGACGGTTGCTCGATGCCCAGACCCAGCAAAGGGTTTGTGGATTTCTGAGAGTGCACGGAGCCCGCCGCCTGGCCAAGCATCTTTCCGGATACAATGGTGTTGGGTGACTTTGGGGTTTGCAGGAATTCTCTATCTGCAGATGGGGATGCAGGAGGAGATGTATCGAAGGGCATCCTGATGGGAGTGTGGCCACGGGATACAGGTGTCTCTGAGCGCGACCCAACATGCGGCGCACTGCTCATGCCAGCAGCAACAGCCGCGCTGAGAGCTTCCATAGTTGTTTTTCTGCTAGTCTGGGTTGGTGGAGCTGGGAAGTTTTCTGGTATGTTTGGTTCCGGCTGACTCTCTCTGTTTCTTATGGTTGTGAGGGCAGGCTTTGCTCTTTTGCCCAGACTTGCCTGCCGGACTATCTGCTGTGTTGGGTCAGGTGAGTAGCTCTCATCCGACTCCGGGCCGCGTGCCTCTGAATCAAATCGCTCTTCGAGCCCCAGAGCGTCACTCTCAGCATAAAGCGACCCGGAATATCTCTTCGAGGTCGGTGTCGGGAAGCCGCGCGATCTACCGCCGGGGGTGGTTTCGGGAGTAAAATCATTCACGACTGACGACAGATAGGATTCGTGTCCGTTGTACCTCGAACCTGGCGACTGCTGCCACGGCTCCTGCCTGGATCTGCCGGAGCTGGTTGCTGGTATGGGAGGCGCAGCAGGGAATTTGAAATCCTGCACCAGCATCCCATTCCCATTAGTTCGGGGTTGTTGTATTGGGCGTGCTGGGCTGCCAAATCTGACTGGGGGCGGCGCAACTCCCACGCCAGCAGGGACTTGCCGTGCACTGAGCTTGATGTTCGGAGGCACTCTTACTCCCGGATGTGGGGGGAATTGTTGATACTGCGAAGGTTGTGCGTAGTTTGGCTTAGAGTAGTGGAAGCGGGTTTCAGCCGACTGGGATGTCTTTGGTCTGAGAGGATCCATGGTGGGTATTGCAGAGTTTCGCTCCGTGGAAGACGGACCGGCTTGAGCTGAGGCTTATGTTCGAAGACAATTTTGGAAAAGGCTTCGAGGCTCTAGCGCGGCACATGCATGATTCGTGAAGAGCGTTGCAGAGTAAGGAAATGGGTGTAAATGAGGCGGAAGTGCCACCCGTACAGGCGTCTGTGTTATCGGGGAAGAACGAAACCTAGAGGCTATGGTGCGTGGTCAGCATCATTCAGCAAAACATCCCACTCCAATGCGTTGTTCTATATTCATTCCAACCCTATAAATCCGCGTACCTTAGGCTCTAGAGGCACTACTCTTGTTGCGACCCCAACTCAATTTCTCCAGCTGTGTAGGGTCCCGGGTGTCGCTAATAGGAAATGGACGTCAGAACTCGCTGACGTGGAATGTCACTCGGTGTGATATGGCTGGTAACGATCAAGAGAGTCGCAGACTGTTGCTGTACATCAATCGGGAGAGACAAGGTGCGGGCGTCGAGTCCGTCAAGCGTTAAAAGTACGCAGGGCGCCGCGGTCCGGCAAGCGGGCGATGGTGTTAATGAGTGTAAGAGTTCTGTGCAAGAGCGACAGAGGTTTCAATTGCGCAGCAATGAATGTCGAAAACGAATGCTGAGTTTCTATCCAACTGATTTGACCGACCCAGTGTGACTACGCTTGGAAGGCGGTCAATGAGAAGGCAAGGAAGAAACTGGGAGAACGAGCGGAAGCACGACCACAGGACGGCAGAACGATAAGCAACGGAAACGAAGGTCACGTCTGAAAGTGAATGTGACAGAGAGCGAAGTGTGAGAGAAGCCGTGTCAGGAGTTGATGCGATACCAGCCAATGCATTAATCGGGACTGGCCTCGGTATTGCACAGCCGTTGTGGCCCATGTCGTGGGAGCGTTATTCTCAGGCTATCCTGGTCTGGCCCTAGCCCGTTCAGGCACGGGAACCTCATTGGCTCCCTCAGCCAGAAACCGGCACCTAACAACGTGCCTAAACACGTTCGCCTGCAGGTCCTTGGCTTGAAGCACAGCGAATCCCCACCCGCAGCAACGGCTAGAGGGGCGCTGAAACACAAGCTTCGGTGCGGCCTGCCTGCGACGCTCCCCAGACCCTTGCTTGACGGCGCTCCTGCGCTCTCGAACTTCGGTCCAGTCGCATCGTTCTGCGCATAGAACAGTTTGGAAGTCATGGTGGCATCCCAGCCGCTGCAGGGGACTAATCATGAAATTCATCCCACAATAAACTATTTGACAGGCCCTGCGGTCAACGATGCCCTACGCGATAAGATCCTCGCACAGAGGGGTGGAAAGGCCATCTTGTACTCGTAGTCATCCGGTGCGTGGCCACTGGCCAATTCCGTGGCCGAGCGGCCTGGTGACGGCCCCCGAGGCCTGGTGAGACTACCACAGTAGTAGGAGGCCCAAGCAGAGACACGGCCCCTGGCTCTGCTCATGCACTACTCCACACTCCGTACTGGAACCGAGTACATAGTACAGAATATGCCTCACTGCGGCTGTCGCTGCTAACCGTGTAATTCTGAATCTAATTGCTATCTGCGCGTCGCGTTGTTGAAGTGCTCACTCAGCCTGCACAAAGTCGACAAGAGCGATCTGACATGCTGAAGTCCTTCACTTTACACAGTACGGAGTAGTGCTTGCACTTGTGCCTCTTAGTGGAGCAGCCATCCTCTATTTTCGGCGAGCTCGGCTGCGAAAAGCGGATTTCACTTGCATTGCTGCTGAGCTGCTTTGCCGTTCTGGCTCCAATCTTGACCGCAGCCAAGCGCCACATCAACTCCACCAGACACCACTTTATCTCTCTCATCAAGATCAACTCAATCTCATCGCGATGAGCACGGACCGTAAACCTTGTTCCTTAAGGAATTATCTCGACAGATTCATTCAAATGCTGGTCAAACTAGCTGCTTGATCGGTTCCTTTCCTCATTCATGGCATAGGCGACAAAAGGAAATAGTCGCGCCCTCGAATGTTCACACAAGGTCACGGCATGGCGAGTTGCTTCGTAAGGGCAAGAATGGATTATGCTTCCTGACAACGGCGCCTCATGCACAAGGCTTCCAGTAACTATCGCATGGAGATATTTCCCTGATTGCCTTGCTCCGCCAGGCAATTCCAACCACATGTCGCCATCACCATTGACACACAAATTATTGCCTATCGCTCATCATCCACAATCTCGCGATCCCACGTCTGAACGACTGTATACCTTGTCTCCGACCTCGATCTTGGTCTTGGGGTAGTAGGAACGTCCAACATGCCACAGGGCTTGCCAGGCCGGCCGCGACCATAATCGTTCTGGAAGTAATACATGGCCACAATCTTCTCCCTGGTGCATGAGTCAGTGCCCAAATCCCACCGGTCCGAAGCCCACACTGGCACCATGCTCCAAGCGTTTGCGCCTGCAGCCACTCTGACAGTCGTCGCCCATCCGACCCGTTGCCCGACGTCGGGCTTTTGGCTTTGCCATTTGGGGTCAATCATCCAGTACACGGTCTTGCTTCCTCCCATTCTGCCGCTTCGCAGTTCGCAAGCTAGAACCAGGGGAGAGATGCATGAGCTAATGCGCCGCGCAGAATGATATACTCGTTGGTTGGGGTGGGGACTTACTGAAGAGGGCCCCTTCCACTCTGTTACCATAAAAGGATTCGTCCGTCCCTGGCTTTTTCACCGTGGAGACCATGTCAGGCCTGATATCCTTTCTGTGTTGCCTAGGAGTGCCATCAGAGAAGAGCAGGACCATTGATCTCCTTGGCCCTGCTGAGCAGATGTAGGTATATTCTCCGCTGGGATCGCTCATTGTGAATAGTGCTTGAACGGATCTGAATCCAGACGTCTCAAGAAGTGTAAGGCTCGTTCGTGTGCAGCTAACATTGCACGCAGGGAAAGCGGCAGTCTTATAGACACAACTGCTCTCTCCGGTGGCGCCTTCATGACAGGACGTGTCACTGAGCAGATAAGTGGCTGACCTGCATCTGAATGTGTGGTCACGCTGCAGTTAGGCATGGTTCAGATCCATGGACGGTCAGGCTCGTCAGGTCTTGCTTAGATTGCTTCCGCATCACTCTTAGACTTCAGCACCTCCGACTTTAGGGTCGCATAGGCATATCCCGCCATTCATCCTCCACTCAACCCCGTCATTTCATTGGTCGTACAATCTGTCCTGCTTCTGCTGTGACAGGGAAGTTTCTCGGATTGGAAGGTCAAGCCTTGGAACACAAGGGTCAGAGGCTCAGCAAAGTCAAAATCTAGATGTGCAATCCGACATTTTCGAAGACAATGCAGAAAGCAAGCCAGTCACGCTCATCAGCCGATCGATGAACTGGAGCTACTTCTAGCTAGACCGCGCTGCCTCGCTTTGAAGAGCAGGGTTAGGACGAGCTTCCAAGCTTGCCAAGCGACTGAAATACGAGAATTAAGCTCCTCTCAAGGTCTCGCCCTTCCATGGCCCAAGCGGCACCTGGTGTCATAATTATGGCCAACCTCGAAAACCCGCCAGGGTACGAGCAACACCGCAGTGATGCTCGAGAATAGAACACCTTCGACCACGCTGGGGAAAAATATCGAGCCTTAATAGAAATCATGAACAATCATTACTCGAGTACGATGGTGGCAGGCAAAGCACATTCCACGTCAACTGGTACCTCGTATGTACCACAGCAAGTTTACGTGCTCTCAGCTCGATGTGGCTCACCTGAACTACCCTTGGCTTTGCATCGGAAAAAGCTCCTTACTGGCCGGAATGCGTGGACTTTCCGCATGCATCTTCAGTGACCTGTGTGGCATGGCACCAGGTTGGCGGGGGTGTTGATACTCTACTCGGCCCTGGGCCTTTCGTTGGTTGGCATTGCCAGTTTATGCGTGGGGCTCGCGAGGTCAGTTTGCAGGACTTGCTCGAAACTCAGGCAATATTCATTCGTCCCACTGCTCGCCTGCTAAGAATCTTCAGATGATTTTGATCCAGTAGAGTTCGGGTATGTGGGCAGGGCCAGGTCAGCCTTCAAGGCTATATGCGTGGCAAGTCGACTTCGAAACCGATGGTATGGGATATCAAGCTGCCATACCTGAGTGACCTGACCTCAGAACCCTGCAAGTTGCGAGTAGTTGCCAGCGCTTGTGCGACAGACAAGATGCGAGTTTGGCTGCAAATGAGGCTGGCCTCACATTACCGGCGACAACAACAATGGGCAATGTAGAAGGTCGAGTCTTCATGGTCCTTCGGCTTGAGCATGGCGGCGCGCTTGAAGAATGTGCTCACTCGTCAGCCGTGCCTTCTTTCGCCTGCAACCTTCGCGTTCTCGCGTATGGGCCACGTGGAACAATCGTCGCGACCTGCCTCGCGGAACAAGACCAAGTGCTTGTAAGACGGCTGATGATGGTTGCGACAGAGGAAAAGCTGCTTCAGATCGGTCCTCGAGCAACCCTTCGTCGTCCACTTAAATGTGTGTAAGAGTGTATTCTGGTCTGCTTGCCCTTCGCTGAGATCTGCCTTCATGCGAGTTTTATCGAGCACTTTGTTCGTGTTCAAAGCTACTTTCCGCGCCCATTAACCTTGACGTTGATAGATCTCATCCCAGGTGTCAAAAGCGCCTGCTCGTCCCTCCAAGTGAGAGCAGCGGCTGCCAATGTCAGACTGCTTTCTTTGAGCATGGCTTCCAACCGTCGACTTGTCGTCGTGGAAAGAGCCGCTGAACTCAGATTGAACTGTTCTCATCCGATCATCTCGTGGACTTCACCATTACCGCATTGTCTGCCTCTGGTTGCAGATGTCCGCTCGTTGTTGTTTACTACACTCCTCTACTCGAATTACCGTTGAGCGATACCGCATTATTTCCCACTTGGCTGCTCGTTAGCATGGATCATTCGCCTGGGTCGCTGCCGTCAAGCGACTCATCCGGCAAATCCACGCACTCTGGTTATCCCCTTGGTACTCCGAAGCGTGAGTGGTGTTGATACTCGTGCTTCTCACCTGGATTTGAATTATCGGGCATATACTCACCGGTCTGCGTCTGTAGCACCATTCGAACCTCCCCGCCGACGGTCTTCACTATTCTTCTCAAAGGTCCTCCACCACTCCCACTCCCCGAAAACGCCTGTCGGGGCCAGTGCAGAGCCGCCGGCGGATCAGAAACCTGAGACGAATGGAATATTGCCCAACACGGGTCGGAAACGAATGTCTTCGCCACTAACGAAATCCATCGTTATGCCGGGTCATGTCGCCCAAATGCAGAGACTATTCCAGAACGCAAAGGCTTCCTTGCGCCTCGATGTCCGCTTTGCATCTTCGCCCGTCGGTTCCATCGATTTAAGACTACCTACTAGCCCCGAAGAAGCCAAAGATGATATTACCGAGACGGGTCTACTCCTCGATATCAGAAAGGAGCGGACAGAAACACCATCGAAAAATTGGAGGTACTCGAGAACTCTCGGTTCTCTCGCTGGTCTTGATACCGACGTTAGAGAGCCTTTCCCAGAAGGTTCACCACAACTTCCGGCAATGCTCCCGTTAGCTGTCGGACACAACAACGTCTTTGTCGCAGAACCACTGAGCAGTGGGTTTACGTCCCCTCTTGAACAAACCAACTTCAAACTACAGGTGGAAGACATGTCCATCATGTCATCTCCACCTATGCCTGAAGACTTTGGAAATGCCTCGGAGGCACCGGACAGTGCGTCTCCAGGAGAGGATATCTCGGCGAGTGATCTGGAGCATCCGATGACCAAGCTCCGTGTGGATGACGACCTTGAGATGGATGTTGACTCACCGGATGAATCACCTATCATCGCCTATCTGAAACGGAAGTCTGTAGACGTGGAGGACAAGTACAAGGAGACATCATCTGGTACGGAAGAGAGGATAGTTTTGTCTCCCTCGGCTAGGGCTGCAGCTGATTCAGCGAAGCTGAAGCGAGGACTGTTCACCGACCTGTTCCCCAAGCCACCAACGCACAAAGGCAGCAGTGACGGCACCCTTTCCTCGTCAAGCGAGGCACAGAACCCCAGCAAACGATGCCCAGACCCTCTCTTACACGAGGGTGGACCAGCGGTGGTATGTCCTGACCCAACAGCTCATTTTGTATCTCGCGCGCCGAATGTCGCCGGCCACCACAATGCCATTCCCATACCCAACGCATATCCAGGCCAGCATATAGCTTCGAGTGCATTTGGGCAACCTGCTGGACACTTCAACCGTGCCACAGCGACAGGAAGTCCAATGCCTCTTCTGAAAACCAGGCCATCGCCAGTTCCAACGATGGCCGGCAGGGGGCACGGTTCATGGTATCCGCCAAACGAATTCTCGACCCGTCCTCGACCTCAACAGCGACAACATCATCATCATCACCTCAATTCAACTTACATCTCTACCGCATCTGAACACTTTCAGCCAGGCTGGTATTACGCCAAAGACAGTCCCCAGTCATCACCAAGGCCTCGGCCCACAATGTACTCTTTTTCAACGGCAGCAGCTAAAGTCATTGGGCACAACCCGGCCCCTGACTCCATGATCCGTGACTCGTATAGAACAGACACTTTGACACCACTGGCAAAGCCGCCAAGCCGCTTCAGGAAGAACGGTATGAGTGCCATTGCGAGTGCCCGAGGGGCACACAAGCATCATGGCGGTGCACCATTTCTGTCGAGACCTCCCCAACGTCGTATGCACTCTATGAGAGCACGATTGCCAGACAGTCTACAATTCAGGAGCAGTCCACCACGGTTTGTCGGGGATCCTGCTCAGGTGTCACAGCCCAGGAAGAGGTCACGCGATCTTGTGTCGCCAACCACTATGATCCATGAGGATAAGACGGCGAGGAGGGTGCCGGTAGATCCTCGGTTGAGACTGGAGGAAGGTGAGGAGATGATTGAGGTAGACGAACAGACACGCGCTGCCGTGCGAATGAGTCTCTTCGGCGCTGCGACTCCGGAAACTGGCAGCGAGGCTGGAAGCGGGCTGCAAGAGCTGAGTCCTAATGTCATGCTGTACAGAAAGGGTACTGGACCATGTGGCAGCCGAAAGAAACGGCGACCCAGCTATTGGGATGGAGACCTTGAGGAAGTGGTTCGGAGTCCCGCGGCACGGCATGTTGTTTCGTCACCAATCAAGAAGGACGACGTGAGATCTTTGCAAGCGGATGTCGAATTCCATGAGGATGATGCTGACAAAGAAAACCACATGCAAGCGGCTGATAGTGAACGCGGAAACGTCGCCAGGCTGGCAGAAGGCCCGATGCCTCTGAGAGATGCCGTTGGGATGGAAAATCAAGACATATGCGGCGACAACTAATACCACCGACATCATATCCGCACGAGCGATGCTTGATGAGGGGTTGATGTTCCCAAGGGCAGCGAAAGTGGTCTACTTGTTCACATGGTTGTTTCTTGAGGCATCCCATATATAATCCTTTAGTCACTCGTTCGTCCCAGTCAATCGCTTGATGTGCCTTCGTTCTTCGTTTTCGATACAGTCTGGTATTTCAGCTGGGTGTCCCACACTGTCGGTCTCAACAGGGAAGAAAAATATCCATACCAACTAGCTCAATCCAGCTTCAAGACTCTGGATCGCGCCTGACGAGGCACACCCGCGGACGAAGTAGACAACAGATTTGATGGATTCTTGGTCGGTGACGCCCTGGACCTAGACGATGACAGATCCAAGGCTGAAACGGATATCTCTGGATCACGATCTTGGGAGCCCTGTCTGGATTGATTGTTCTTCATGCCTTCTTCGTCCGGCCTATGGACTTTGTCACTGGAGCTGTGTTCGTACTCGTCGAGGATACCCAGCTCACGCCGAACAGTCCAGATCTCATCCTCTACACTTCTCAAAGAAAATGTAGTATTCAAGAGTTCTGGTATCACAGAGGAGACGGCTGAGGCGAAGTGCTCCTGACACGTCCGTAACGCCGGAGGGATCAAGATGCCGTAGCATCTCAGAGGATCTTTCATGGGGGCTGAGCAAGACTCGATCGAAAGGTGATAAGCGGACGAAGACAGATTCTGGTCAATACCATCCTTGATTTCGTGTTGGTGCGGCTCTGGCTCATCAAAGTCTTGCTTGGGCGCGTCACTAGCCATGACCTCGGACGGCTGTTCGTTGGGTTTTCTCATAGATAGATCTTTCTTTTCAGAGTTCTGTATCGTCTGCCCGGCCGCCTCTGTATCAACACAGTGACCATTTCGGTCCCTGTCAGTCCGCTCTCCTCGCTTGATACCGACTACCCTCCCTGCTTTCATCCTGTCGTCGAATCCTTCCTCTCCATACCGTCTCCCTGCGCCCAATGTGGAGTCCGCATACCGGTTTGCTTGGGCGAGCGCGAAGAAGCCGGACGAGAAGTCTCTGCCGAGCCGAGCGCGGAGTGTGGTGTATCTGTCCAGGAGGGAGAGGTACTCGATCAGGAGGACGTCAAGGCGGGATGAGAGGGCCTCTCCATCATCGGCGACGGTGTCCGAGTTGCAGGCCGATTCAGGCGAGCTATCACGCGAATCTGGAGGCGAAGGAAGCGTGGACGCCATGCTGTTTCCCTTCTGAGTATGTCACACTCAGGTTCTACTTTGCGGCGAGGGTCGTCTTGGAATGTGGGAGACGCAGCCTTGCAGAGCGAGGAGCTCGGTCGGTTCGGACGTTCCAGGCCGAGCATTGACGCAATCAGTTCGACCTGCGCGAAAGATTGGAAACAGATTAATTATTGTCACGCTCAACTCGTCTTGCTCTCATCAATGTAAATTTTCTCCCATCGCGCAAATAGGTTGATTCTCAAACAACTTCAGTGCTCCTCCATACGATTTCGTGTGTTCCAGAGTGTCGCCACCTGGATTGACACCCATAACACTTGTCTCCGCAAATCCTCCCGGCGAATCTAACCTCGAGTCTCACTCCGCTGCCTCCCCTGCTTGCCTGCACCCAAGTCAGGCAGTGCGCTCGCAGTGCCATCACACTCCTTTGAAACCCTCGAACGTCTCCAGACTCCCACTGAGCATCCCCACCAATTCCCATGGCCTCCGCCGCACTGGCCACCACGGCCGACACATCTGGGCACAGCGTCCGATCTTTGTATCGAGCACTATTACGGCAAGGAAATCAGTTTGCAAACTACAACTTCCGAATGTACGCGAGGAGAAGAACACGGGATGCCTTCCACGAACATCAAAAGGAGTCGGATCCTCGAAGGATACAAGAACTTGTGCAGAAAGGGTTGAAGGAATTGCAGATGCTGAAAGTGAGTTCTGCTCTCGCAGAATCCTGAATTCAAGGGCGATTGGACAGGAATCTCCCATATATCTTCTTTTGTGCTTTGGGATTTGGTTGCCTCACGGGCCCTGTCATGCACAAGAGCTGACTGTAGATGCTACAGAGACAAACGGTGGTTTCACAATTCTACCAGCTCGACAGACTGGTGGTGGAAGGAGGCAAAACGGTATGTGCTGTTCTTCTTTTCTTGCAGGATTCTCCGCTTACGACTTGTTCCAGGGTCGTGAAACTGGCGATCATGGTGGAATTATACGGCAGAAAGATACTGGGTATGTCCATTCTGCGTCAATGCCTGTCAGGTCTCAGATTGCTAATTGTGGCCAGATGGGACTGATACTGCTGTCTTCCCTGGCCTTTCTCCAGCGTCTTGTACAGTCCTGGAGATGCATGGGTCTTGTCCTCCAGGCCTATACCCACTTGTGTGATACCATAGTAATACCACTCTGTCTGATAACCTGCATACCTATTCTCACTGTACCCTCCTCTTACACTCCGCGAGATCGTAGCTGTCATGATTGTTTCCATTGTGCACCTCGTCGGCCGTATCCATCATGTGTGTGTATGGTGGCGTTCCCACACCGAGCTCATTGTCGGTCTCATGGTTCTTCCGGCCGAAGTACTTTGTACCTTGTACGGATCATTGTTTTGCTGGATGAGGATATCTGCTGGGCCATAGGAAGGAAGTCCTTGATGGAGTCTGCATACGGAGCGCTCTACGCCGTATCTTGGTCCTTTGAGTTTGCTGCGTCACGTCTTGCAAGCGTCCTGGCCCTCGCTTTGCTTGTCCGGTGTCTTGAATGGTGTATCTGGAGGATCCATCTTCCTCATAACCTCGTTGTTTGGCAGTAGTGGCGAGCCAATGGGCGATATTGCCAACCTTAGCGCCGGCCCCTCCCGATGCTAACAGCTCTAGCGCCTCTGTCCGCCGGGCCTTGCTCTTTTCGATAAACCTCATCTTGCAGTCGTGTTTGTTCTTCGTCTCCATCTCTCACTGCGACCACCACGACTCAATACCCAGCTTTCCTTGTAAGTATCGTCCTGGCGCATGTCACACTCGCTGTGCATCATGGTTTGACGTCGCTGAACAAGTTCTAGCCATAAAAACGCGTTTGCACGACGGTGTTGGAGAGGGAGGAGTTTAGGAGTGATCATGGCGCCGGTAAGTCGTGTTGACGGGTCTCTGAACTTCTTGTCACGCATCTTGAGCAAGCACACCACATTGATTTATTGCCCGACCCTGCCAAGCACAGCGAGGGGAACAACGAGGAGATGGTTGTCATTTTGTTCACTGTCGAGTGTCATCCTCGTCGGCCTTTCTCTCTTTCTCTTCGGCGACCATCAACATCATGGCCAAGGACAGGGAGTGCGTTGCCTGTAGCAAGGCATATCAAGACAATACCTCGTTGTATCGTCACTTTAGGGATCACCACTCTCAGCTCACTGGGGGTCTATCGCACAGCACCAGCTGGGTGAGATGGGTCGGGGCTGATCCTCCTCCTTCGAGCCTATCTGGCTGTGTTTGGAGGCCTGCCGTGTCTCCTCCCGGTGCCCTCCCTGCACCTCTCCCTGTCCTCTCTCCTCCTCTTTCTCCCCTTCTCCCTCCTCCTCCTCCTTTCTCTTCTCTCTCTCTTTATCCCTCCCCTCTCCCTTTTTATCATCTTCCTCCCTATTCTCCCCTTCCCGCCCCCTCTCCTCCGCCCCATTCTCCGCCTCCTCCCCCTTCTCCTCCCCCTCCACCACCTCCTCAATCTGGCGGTGCCGTTGGCTTACGGCGTCATCGTTATCAGCTTCGCTCTTCGCGCAGTACGCGCAACCAGGAACACGCGCCGAGAAATCGGGCGGGTGTCCCGGACTTTGACCCAACCGAGGGTCTCCCTGTGCGACGCTGGGAGCGGCAGACCGTTCGGGTCAATCAGGACGCGTCTGCCGATGCAGGCGAGTCAAATGCCCAGGCAAATGACAAGGACAGCGACTTCCCGTGGCCTGAGCAGCCACTTCCTTCTTTCTTTTCGCAGCTCGCACCACACAATCAGGTACTGGCCATCTACTCTCAGTCACAGTCTACAGCTTATTGATAGGTGGAAAATAGGAACTGCTCCGCCGCGCCCGAATGGGCAACGTCAACGCAAAGCTCTCAATCTGGGACCCCAAGACAAACTCGTACATCCCTGGCATTGAACTCGAGCGCCGGGAGGCCGCCCGGAAGATGGCTCTGAACAAGCCCAAACACACATCTAACACCCACCCGGACGAGACACAACCACTCGAAGACGACGATGACAAGCAAGACGACGACCCAGACGATCTTCTCGATGCCGAGGGACTTCCAGAAAAACGCCGCAAGACGGCATCCGGCTCGGCTGAACGCGTCATCGAATTCAAGAAATGGGTCCAAGTCCCTCTCGCTGTGGCCGAGAAGATGCCGGAACCGAAGTACCTCGCAGATCGCCGACCAGGCATGGAATCTCTCTACAAAGGCGCCTACAAGGCTACAAACGGATTCGGCACATTAGGAGACATGTCCGCTGGGGCCGCGAGTGGTGGCACCACGGGGTACGACCTTGGCGACCCGACCAATGCGCTTGCGGGCGGCAGTGGATCCGGCACTCTGAACGGTGGAGCCGATGGTGCGAACATCGACGGCACAGCAACGCCTGTGCGCAAGAATATCCCGCCTCGACGCAAGAAGAAGGGTGGACCAGGACGTCGCCCGAAGAACTGGAAGCCACCGACAGATCCTAACGCCCCACCAGCGACTGAGACTACCACGGCTGAGACCGCTGCTGGCGCTTCGACCACAGATGGAAGAGACACGACCATGGAGCATACTTCGGCTGTATCTGGAGAACGTACCGGCAATGCCGATCAAGGACCCGCTGCGCAGAGTGAGGCGAACAATCAAGACATAGAGGGAGACGGCGAAGGTGAAGGTGACGGTTCAGGATCCGAAAGCGAAGGGGAAGGCAGTGAGGAAGGCGAGATTGCTCCTCCTGCTAATGCACCGGTCCAAGAAGACTTGGCTGGAAATGTTGTACCCGAGACTGTGGTGGAGACTGTGACTGCTATGGTTGAGCCAGAACTTGCTACTGAGAAGGAAGAAGAGAAGCAGGGTGCTGACGATGTCGTTGTCGCAGATGTTGAGACGCGTGAAGTCGCCACTGAGAAGGAGACTGAGAAGGCAGAAGCTGCGATGAACCTGGAGGTGGACGTGCTTGGTGCCCTAGAGGCTGCTCTCGATAAGGAAGCAGGCCAGAACTCTTAACGACGAAAGACACGGACGATCATCGGAGATGGTGTTTGTTCAAGCCGCTGAAAACGTTGGAACGACGATGTTGAATCATGGAAATACAGGAGCGACAGGAAAGACCAGAAGCGAATCAATCGTGACACCCTTTCTGTGCACAATGGAACTTGATTTTATGGATACATTGACGGGATTAGCTGTTTGCCTCTCCAGCGTTCCAACTCCCACGCCCTCGTTATGTTTGCCTCGTAGCAATTACCAATTTCTGGCGACGATTGAAGCATTCGTCTACTTTACACGACTCCTTCTCCTCCCCATTGTGAGTTCCGTGTTCATTGTTTATCGACTGATTTAGTCGAATGGGTTGGTTCGAGTGCCCCAGTATGTGAGGAACAAGCTGAGGCCGACCGTCTCGAAGACACGGCTGAGAACGCCGACAGCGACAGTGTCCAGAGGTCGCTGCTCGACAACAACCTGAGAGACGAGCTACAAAGAAAAATCAGTACTAAAGTGACACCTTCCTGGCTTGACGAGACCTACCGATGGAGAGTATGTAGCAGCGAAGATCAGACCACCCAAGTAGGCAGCTCCCTTGTAGGACAGAGTACCGGTAGCGTTGATCAGGGCAGCGACACCATATGTCTGAATGGCAGAACCGACGAGCGAAGAGCCCCAGCTAGCAGCGGCAGTCGCGGTCTCCTTGGACTTGAAGAATTCCTCCTTGCTGTCCGCGGCCTTGGCACGGTGGTAGGTGTCACCGAAGAGAGGGGCCAGGACGCCGGCGGAGGCGGCCTGGTTGAAGACGATGCCGAGCGCGATCGCTGAAGGCTTGACAGGAGGGAGGTCTGGAGAAGCAGGATACTGTTAGCTTGATGCTCCTTGGAAGGAATTGATGATCTCTTGTCGAAGAGGTGAGATCGGTTTGAGCTGTTGGGAGTGACGTATTGAGATCAGCATCGCAAGGAGGGCAACGTACAGTGTAGTGTGGCCATTGTGATGGTAGAGTGTGTGTTTGTGTGAGTGTGAGGTGTTCAATTGAGTCTTGCTAAGGTCGAGGATCGATTGCAGTTGCTTTGGGGTCTGAACTGAAGAAGGAGGAAGAGATGAAGTCAAGGTCAAGCTTATAAGAAGGAGCCTGTGACGTGCAGGAAGGACCGAGTGACTTGAAACTGGCAGCTGTGGCGCAAGAGTTGACCAGCAACAAAGAGCTGTCCCACTGGTCCAGCGGCACAAACAATGACGACACAGGGAATTGGTGGTTGTAATTTCGCGTATGAGCCACCACTTTACACCAACAACTCGGGCTTCCACCTCGGTTATCTTATTGTAATGACTATCTTAATGGGTTCCTCCCCAATGATGTCAGTGCCGAGCGTCGTTCCTGCGCACCTGACGTTAGCCTTGAAGGACGTTCTCCAAGCTTCCAGTGATCGGGCTTTGCGCTCCCAATTGCGAGATCCTCTTCATGCGCTCTGGGTCCTCGACGCTGCAGCTCAATTTTACGGAAACTGATGTCTACTGTGTACTGAGGGACAGCTCTGTTAATGCTTCAAGTTATCTCATAGCAACAAACACCTAGCTAAGATTTACCCCGGGTTATCAGTCCGCTCCACTGTTGTCCAATCAAGTTCAACGCCTGGTATCAGTCCTCGCCTCGTTGTCAGCAGCCGGCTGCACAACAGAGCCTCGCTGAAACTTTCTGCGCTTTTTGGTTTCCCTTGTCTGCAAAAAATTACAGCTCCATTGAGTGTCTGAATCTAGGCTCCTGCCACGACTGAAAAGGTCACAGAAGGGAAGCCTTCAGTTTTGGTCTCTTACTAAGAAAATTAGGGACTCGACCTAAAACAACATTATGCGCGGCTGGGTTCGCTACTGTCTCACAAAACTCATTAGCTCAAGCTAGGAATCATCCCATTATCGCGCTCAACCATGCCGGCATCCCGGTCACCTTCGCCCGAGAACGATGTTTTCGCCATTGACGCCACCCTCGTGCCGGAGCGCGACAACAAAAAGCCCTCCACCACAACCATCACATTTGACAATCTCCTCCCCACAGACAAAGCTCTCCTCCTTCACGAAGATCTTCAAGAAGGATGCGGTGGTCAACTCTGGCCTGCCGGCATGGTCCTGGCCAAATATATGCTCACATATCACTCCTCACGCTCATTAAGAGGGAAATCGCTTGTCGAAATTGGTGCGGGCGGAGGACTTGTGGGGCTGGCTATCGCTTTAGGTTGTGAGCTTGACGATGTTCAAAAGATTTATATTACAGACCAAATACCCATGCTTGCGTTGATGAAGAAGAACATCACCTTGAACAAGCTCGAATACAGAGTGGCCGCGGAGGTATATGACTGGGGCACTACGCCTCCGCCGTCGATTCTTCCGTCCGGCTCAAGACACCCAGATCTTGTCCTTGCAGCGGATTGTGTCTACTTCGAACCTGCATTTCCGCTACTTCTACAGACGCTTCGTGACCTTATCGGTCCCTCAACGACGTGTTACTTCTGCTTCAAGAAGAGACGAAAAGCCGATATGAGATTCATTCGCGATATGATGAAGACCTTCAATGTAGATTATGTCGATTACGATGGCAAGGAGGGTGACCGGAGACAGGGAATATTTCTCTATTCCGTGAGGAGGAAAACGTGAAGGACTCGAAACAACCGCCGAAAGCTCTTTTAAATATGTCAAAGAGTAAACATTCAGACCTTGAATTACATTCTGGTATCTGATACATCATCTCATCATACTCATAATCATACATTCGACGATCAATGTCGACCGCCAGGAAGATCCGTCTGCAATATCGCATCCTCCATGTCCTGCTGCATAGAACTTGTTCCAAACAATGGCGCCATACTTGTCAACCTTTCTCGGCTCTTCCAAGCCGATCGCAGCGACTCGGACCAGCCTCTCCCCGCTCCACGAAGCTTGGACCCTAGTGTTAGTCGAGGGCCCATGCCACTTTGAGGACGACTAGTAGTATCGACGACTCCCTCTGCCGTCTGTCCCATGCATGCGTCTCGTGCCGGCGGCCTTCTGGCCGGGCCTTCGAGTGAGACTCCCCTTCAACTTGAGCATCGCGCCGGAGACCTTGTCGCTCATGCTGGCCTTGCGCCGTGGAGTGACGGTCGTGGTGGCAGTCGCCGGTGTGCGTCGCGTGCCGACACGGCGTCTCCTTGGTGGAGCCGCAGTCGTGGTTCTTGGTGTTCTAGTCTTAGGAGGGCCAAAGAGGCGCTGCCTGAGGGTGGGCTTCGTGCCCGCGGCACGAGTGCCGCGAGTGCCTCGGCTTCTTGTCGCCGGTGCTGGTTGTTCAACGGTGGTGACTGTAGTGGTGACGGTGGCTCCGCCAGCATGGTGACGAGCTCGCGATCTACCAAAGGCCATTGTGGAATGCTACTCGTACTGTTGTTGTTGTTGTTGTATAATGGTACGAGGTATATTGGAAATATGGATTGTTAAGGATCTGGATGGTTCACCTCTTCTGTGATGTGGGAAGAGAAATGGAATCTTGACGCGACCGGGAGCCGACTTGCACGTTTTTATCAATCAACTCACCTTTGTTGGATGCGATGTGCTTGCTTGTTTCCTTTACCCATATGACCTGCGACGTCACTCTTCGTGGTACATAGCACCGGATTAGCCTGCTCGGTCGGAGTTATCGTGTCTTTTCATGGCACTTTGACGATCCCAGAACAAAAGGGAAGCAGGTCAGGCAGGTTTCCAACTTCGAGCCCTCCTCGCTTCGAGGAGTTGGCGTGGGATCGGCCTGGGTAGCCAATCGTCACCCCTGTCGGCAGCCACACCAGGAGGGGTCCGATGACGCAGGGCGACGTGAGCCGCGACTTGGGCATCTCGATTGGTGCCAACTTCTGGATGATGGCAGCATCGATCACCTTGGTCATTGGATGCCACACTTGTTTCCCCACATCAATGCAGGCGGAGGACGTTGGGAACGTGGTGCGTGTGGCGGTGCAGGTGTCTTCACAGGATATCATTTCCAACGTGGCTCCACCAACGGACAGCTAATGCACACAGCATACGAGTACAGTACGTCGACAACCAGTGGAGCCTGCCTCGTTAGATGAGGAGCACGCACACAACGGCAGGAGTCGACAAAGGCCCCCGCCAGAACGGCACTGAAGTCGCAAAGGGGCAAGCTGCAGCTGTCGCTCACCTGTCGTTGAAGTGGCCTAGGTGACCAATTTTCGGCGCACATTGACAGCTGCCTCCAGGTACGAAGAAGGCAGCCTGGTCTAATAGATGCTGGACTGCCAGGAGTGGAAGTCTTTCCGGCCAGGCGAGAAGCAGTTTGAGATCCACTTCGTGTCTCCCCACGATACCTCTCGGCGCGCATGAGATCCAGCTTCTCATATGGCAGAATTGGCGGCTGATCCATGGCAGAAATCGCGTTGACAGGGGAACCAAAAGCAAAAACTCTACTTCCACCTCTATATCAAATTATCAGTAGAGGTCGTGGTAAGAGTTCATAACAGCATCGCCATTCTCTGATGGGCTATATTCGGTGGTGGCCAACCATCCGATCTCCTCCCATCTCACGGTCATTTTGATGACCGCCGATTTGACTTGTCAAGTAGGCCAGAGGAGATTATTGTTGTTGGTGGGATTTAGCGGTTCGAGGCGACCGGGGGTATAACTCGTTCGAAATACGGGAGTCGGTGGAATGTCTTTTTGTTGCCGGTGTTGTCGCACAGTATCATCGAACACGCTGCCAGCTCGTTGCTAGCTTGACCTAGGCCCGGAAGGATATCGCACCCAATTTTTGCAAGCTTCAAAATGTATGGGATGAAGATCAACGGGGATAGATGATGCGTGAGCGTGAAGAAGGATTCACAGTACTGTCGGTTCTTAACTGAAGGATCATCAAGCGGCCGGAGCTACACAGGCACAACGGCATGCACCATGCATGGCAGCACCCCTTGCCCGAATACAGTTGCCGCATACCTTTGATCAGATTTGGGTGTCACTGACTCCCTGTCTACACGCTCCTGAAGATATGCGTTTTAGACGCGATAGAATGGTTGGCACATGTTCACACATCTCAGATGGAGAATGTGCAGCTATGATGTGAGGCTATTGACTTCTACAGGAACTGCGGCTACCTGTGCCTGGGGCAGGTATGACTCGTGAGGGAGACCAAGGCGGCTTTGCAACGTTGAGACACCGGAAATTCGAAGCTGTTACCTGGACGTTCCTCCTGTTAGCTGGTGTTGTGGTATCTGGAGTGGGTAGGGAGACGTGTGGAGGTCAAATAACAATTGGATTTCCACCCCTTTCATTTTGACTCCTTCCCAGATCACATTCGCCTTACCTTGACCACCATCTGAGGTGGTCGCCCCGGTGACAAGACAATGAGTATTGACACATGGTCTCGGTTTACCATGCAGCCAGCCAGCGACAAGCATGGCACTGTTTCTGCCAAATCACTCTTTTCGCGTCCTCGCAAGTCATTGGCGCCGGCGCCTGCCAGAACCCCGGTCCACCGTCAACCCGTCGTCCCTCCCCGGCTTACCAAGCCGCAAAAATCTCTTCCTTCAGAGCCGTGTGACTCGAGCCGGGTCTACCGGAAGCGACACAATGATGCCCGCATTGGCCTGGCAGACAAGTTTACCGGTGGGTCGTTCAGAGGCTTTCCATGGAAATTGCTAAACTGTACAAGAAAGTCTTGACCGCTATGGTGAGACTCTCCTTGACCAATCTACAAAAGACCTGGAGGGAACCAAAAGGAAGTTGGGAAGCCACCTTGAAGAGCTCGCGCTCGATGTTGAGGCTCATTGTCACAAGTTGAGCGAAATCGAAGAGCCCCTGCAGAAACCATTCGCCACCGAGGCATTGACAAACGTCCGCAGTGACAGGAAAGATGCAGGAGCTGGCACGGAAGAAGTACTGCTGAAAGAGAGCATCTCCGAGTTCCGCAAATTGAATGAAGAGAAGGGACAGATCCTCCGCCAGCTCTGGGACGAATGGGAAGACGTACAATTCAAGATTATGAGTCTAGCTGTAGAGCTCTACGGCAAAGACTCGCTGCACGTCGTCCAAATGGAGACAGGACCTACGAAACCAGGCCAGCGTGAGAGACTTCATGACATGTTCCAGGTTGCCAAGATCGCATATGATGAAATGCGCCGGAACCACGCAGATTTTCAACAAGGCCTGGAGGGATTCGAAGAGGACATGGGTCAAATCTCCAACAAGGCCAGAAACGTAGCCAAGGAAATACACGAGGTATGTACTGCTCCGTGCCTCGATGCCAAAGCTGTCCGTAACAATGTGGTTCAGTCACATGTGCAGAAAAGGACCGAGAACATGAAGCGAATCACAACTCTCCTGCAGCAGTTCACAGAAGATTGAGACGATCATGTTCAGGTCGGAAGCTTGGCCTTGATTCCCCCCAGGCACACGGACCGTGCTGATACTCCGTGTCTGAGGTTCCGTGTTCCTGAGGTCTCCGTGTTGAACTTATCAAGTACAAGCTGCTCGTCCACGATGTCACATCGTTAAATGAGATCATTCTTGCACCAGCTGACCTCCCAACCTCTCACAATGGATCTATGAAGTGTGCAATCAATATCATTCGAAGGGGGGAACAAATGCGCCTCCGCTGCCCCTCCCGGTTTCTGTGTCGGTAACCGCGAATATCCGACACACGTTGGGGCTATGACGGTGACCCGGATCTCGGAAGAAGCTGCATTTTTTGGGCGGAGCCTGGTTTGTTTCCAAGACGTCCGAGTACCACCCAATCTGAATCTTCAACTGGAGCTCTCGCAGCAATGCATATCGTTATCAGTGGCGTCGAACAGCGAAACTTGCTGTCTGGGAAAAATTTGAATGAAAATCTTGCACTCGTATTTTGTTCAGACGGGCCGCGATCGGGTGTCTGTTCCCTGCATCCTCCCTTCCGCCTCGAGTGGCCGCGATGACAAGGCCTTGTCACTAAAAGGCGTACAGTAGGGTCCGAACAGAAGTAACTGAAGGAAGCTGGTCGCTTCGACGGACCAAGTAGATCCCGAAATCGCTGCAGCCATATGCAAGGCTTGTCCCACTATGAAAGTTTGTGAAGTGTACCCCTGTCTTTGGTCCCCTCCTTCGAGGCGGTAAGGTCATGCCTTCCAGAAGTATATGAGTCACGGAATTTTGTCCATACGTGTTGCCCTCGAAGTCCTCATTCCGCTTCAGTCTTCTGCTCTCGTCTTTCTGGTTGGGTGGGCGTAATCTTTATTCACTATTCAGTCAATACCTCTTTCTATCACTCTAACCATGGCACCGGCCGCGGTTTCTCCTGTGTCGCCTCCGTCACCCACGCTGGATAATACGTCCAAGCTAACCAAAGCGGGAACCGCGACAATACTCGAGAAGACAATCTCCAATGGACCGAAAGTGGCAGACCTTGAAGCCTCGAAACTGACTTTCACGCCGAACCTCAATCCGAAGCCCGTCCCAGCCCCCAACTCGGCCGAAGTATGGAGCCAAAACTACACGACAGATCACATGCTCACCGTACGGTGGACGGAGAAGAATGGCTGGGAAGCTCCTGAGATCCGACCCTACGGCCCACTCTCCATCATGCCGACAGCATCCGTCCTGCACTATGCGACCGAATGCTTCGAGGGCATGAAAGCCTACCGTGGCGACGACGGCAAAGTTCGACTCTTCCGACCAGATCGCAATGCCAGACGTTTCCTCCAATCAGCCACACGGATATCTCTTCCCGGCTTCCCACCAGAGGAGTTCCTCAAGCTGCTGAAGAAGTTCGTGGGCGTCGAGGCACCCAAGTGGATCTCGGAACCCGGCTCCTTTATCTACATTCGGCCGACCATGATCGCGACGGCGCCAGCCCTGGGTGTGCAGAGACCGAAGGAGGCACTGATGTATATCATGATGGTCATGTTCCCGAGTCTCGATGACCCATTGTGCAAGCCTCCCATGCCTGCTCCTAGTGCTGCTTCTGCGAGCAACGGCGTCGCTGAGGCGAAACCCGCGGCCCCACCCAAGGGCATGCGCCTGCTCGCCTCCAAGCACGACATGATCCGCGCGTGGCCCGGCGGCTTCGGCAATGCCAAGGTCGGTGCGAACTACGGCCCTTCGCTCGTCGCGCAGGGCGAGGCTCGCGCGAGAGGGTATGATCAGATCCTATGGCTTTTCGGGGAGGAATGCTTCGTCACCGAAGCCGGTGGGAGCAACTTCTTCGTATTGTGGAAAGATAAGACCACTGGACGGAAGGAGATGGTCACGGCGCCGCTTGGGGACGGTGTCATCCTCGAAGGCGTGACTCGCGCGTCGGTCCTCGATCTCGTCCGCTCAGGGAGATTAGGTGAAGACGTGGACGTTACGGAGAGGAGGTTCACCATGCAGGAAGTCATCGAAGCTCAGACCGAGGGCCGTCTCATTGAGGCATTCGGTGCGGGCACGGCATTCTTCATTGCTCCGGTGCAGGATATTCACTTCAGGGGGCTGGATCTTGTTCTCCCGCTCGGGCAGACGGAGGGGAAGCAGGGCGACGAGTTCGCAATGAAGGTCAAGCGCGCCTTGAAGGATATCATGTACGGGCAGTTGGAGGATGACTGGGGCGTTGTCGTCGAGGAGACGAGGGAGAGAACGTACGATGCATGAAGAGTTTATGTTCCCTGTCGACGAGGAGGCTCCTTTGTTAAACCCTTCGAGCACTGGCTGTGGAGGATCACGGTTTTCTTGCAAAAGGAAGAAAAGCTCGGACGGCATGGCGTAGGTGCATAGGTCATGGCATGAGTCCTGTTGGTGCCTTCATTTTGTACATATTCTTAAGGCGAAGCTTGCATGGCGGAACAATGGCATGAACATACACGACACTGGTGCCAGACAGAATCACTGTTCCAAAACCTCGAGAGCTCTGGGCCATCCGCAATAGTGGTACATTGCTCATCTGGTAACCAGGCCGTGATCACGAACTCTCGCCCTTGGCATCCTTACTCCGTCCTCCTGTACTTTGTTCCGTCTCAGCTCTTACCTCCCCGGCCTTTTGTCCCTCGACGTCGCCACCTTCCTTGTCGCCTCCCGCTTCGGTGTGCTCGACCTCATCGCCATCCTCGGTGACGATGACCTTCTTCTGCGCGAGGAGCTCAGCCAGACTGCCGTCCTTGTGCATGTTGATCAGGATGTCGCAGCCGCCGATGAACTCCTTGTCGACGTATAACTGCGGGATCGTCGGCCAGTCGGAGTATTCTTTGATTCCTACAGACGGCCGAATCTCGTCAGCCGAATGGGAACGGGAGGCGAAAAGGGTGCTGCTACCCCGCCGGTCACTGTGCTTGGACATACCATTCCTCAAATCCTGGTCCTCCAACACGTTAAAGGCCGTGAATTTGGCCGGGTCCACGCCCTGAAGGCCCAGTATTTGGATGCTCGTCCTTGAAAAGCCGCACTGTGGTGTCTCGGGCGTGCCTTTCATGAAGAGCACGACCGGTGCCGAGGCGACGGCTCTGTCGATTGCAGAGCGTACTTCTTGCGAAAGGAGGCGGGTATGCGATAGTTGGGAGGTTATGCGCGGGAGTAGGCTGTTGTGGGTGGCGGAGGGGGATAGGGACGAGAGCGCGCCGCGGAGGGCCTGTGCAGGGTCAGTGTTAGTGTCTGAGCGGGAAATCGAAGGTCGGGAATATCGCACGGGTAGTCTTAATGTTCTCTGGAGCATGGTTGTGTGGTGTGTGTGGTGTGTGTGTACGGTGAAGGGAGACAAAAGCTCGAGGTTGTCGTCTGCTGCGGCGTTGGAGAAAAGTGAAGATATGGGATGATGTCAAATGTTGACAAATTGGCCGCCGCTCGCTTGCCCCAGAATCACGCCGTCCGCTACACGTACAGTAGAGCGTATCCTCCATTACAAATACCGGAATTGATGCAGAGAAGAAATAAATAAATGAATATCGCTGGATGGGAATAAAGCTGTAGGTTACCGAGACTCGACTCGACGTGTCCCGTCCATTCGCACTGCACACACATACATATCCATGACCACAAACCCCACGACCAGCGGCGAGCGCTTCTCCGCTGCCGCGTTCGAGAACGATGGCAGGCACCACATTCTCCTCGGGGCGAGCGGCTCCGTCGCAACCATCAAGATCCCTCTAATAGCCCAGGCACTCGGCTCCCATGCCAACGTATCCATCCGTATCGTGCTCACCGAAGCGGCCGAGCAGTTCTTGCAAGGCCAATCGTCGGAACAGCCGACGCTATCGTCGCTGATCAACCTCCCAAACGTCGACGGGATCTACCATGACGACGATGAATGGTCGAAACCCTGGGTCCGCGGCGACAAGATCCTGCACATCGAACTGCGGCGCTGGGCGCACGTGCTCGTCGTGGCCCCCTTGTCGGCCAACAGCTTGGCCAAGATGGTCAACGGCATGAGCGACGGGTTGCTCCTCAACGTCATCCGCGCGTGGGATACCACGGGGCTGATTGACATGCGGAAGAAGAGGATCTTCGTGGCGCCGGCGATGAATACCGCCATGTGGAGGCATCCTATCACGAGGAAGCAGATCAAGGTACTAGACGAGGACTGGGGTGAGAGTGAAGACGGATGGGTCACGATCCTAAGACCTACGGAGAAGGAGTTGGCTTGTGGGGATACGGGCGATGGGGCGATGATGGACTGGAAGCAGATTGTCGCGCGTGTGGGGGAGTATTTGACGTTAGGGGAAGAGGGAGACGAGGTGAACGGAGTTTGAGGTTGAGTAGCGATCATTGAAGATTCGAAAGGCATTGGATATCGACCATTGCAGATTCGAAAGGGATTGAACAACGACCATTGCAGATTCAAAAGGGAATGAACAACGACCATTGAAGATTCAAAAGGGATTGTTATACAGTAATTGCGGCTACTTTCGACTCTTGCGACTGGCGCCGGCGGTACAGGTAGTCGCCCACCAAGCCAAGGGAGATGGTCCCGCCTGTGATCCAGGCCCCGTTCCTAAACCACCACCAGCAGTCCTTGACGTCCTCCAGATTCACCCGCCGGATCATGGTCGCCAGAGCCAGGGCTCCGCCTCCACAGCTACCGATAAAGAAGATGGGACCGGCGCCAGCAAAGTATCCGGCAGTGGCAAGGAGGGAGATCTGCGCCGCGGAGAAGACGGACAGAGCGACCTTGGAATTGTGCTCGTGCGCCTGGGCTATCGACTTGATGCCTGCCTTGGCGTCGTCTTTGATGTCCATGTACGCGTATATCATGTCGTAGTTGAGGGTCCAGGCTATGCAGCTGGCGTAGAGCGCTGCTGCCGCAGCGAGCGCGTCGGCAATTGATAAAAGATCGATGCCCAGAGCCGGGAACCCCATGATGGCTCCCCAGGAGAATGTGAGCCCGAGGACGAATTGAGGGTAATGTGTCACTCGCTTTGCAAGCGGGTACGCCGTGACGAGCAGGAGGCTGGGTACTCCGTAGTAAAGACAAGGGAGCGGAAACTGTAATAGCAAGGTCAGGCCCGTCAGGAGCTGTGCGCCTAGATACACAATCGCGTGCTCGACCGAGATGGCCTTTCGAGCAATCGGTCGTAGCTTCGTGCGTTCGACGTGGGGATCCAGGTTGCGGTCCCAGAGGTCGTTGATGGTACAGCCGGCGCCTCGCATTATCAGGGCGCCGGTAAAGAAGAGTGCTGTGGTTGAGACAACTTGCAACGGTGATGCCATGGCCATGGGAGCTGCTAGGAGCGTCGAGAACATGCAGGGAAGGAAGAGGTAGTACGTCCCTGCCGGCTTGTCCAGACGGATGAGTTCGGCGTAGGGGATCCACGATGACGGTAGCTTCGAGATGATACCTGTTGTCGGGGGCTTGTAGATCGTGGGCAGGTCTTGAGTTAGGGGTGAGGGTGATGCTGAAGTAGACTGATGTCTGTTATGGTTCGAGAAACGTCTTGATGTTGGTAAGCGTTCTCGATCGAGCACTGTCAACACGTGAACCTCTTTCTTTTGCTGGACCCATGTCGCTCGCCGGGCAGATGTTTGAGTTAGAAACCGTAAAGCCTTTTTCGTCGCCCTTGAGTGTAATGACCTTGATGTGCATAACATGTTGATTCAGCCTGTCAGAAAGCCCGCTCAACTTTGCCAGCTGTTCAGATTTGCTGCCCCAGCTGCATATATGATGTGCTCGGCTGCCACGGTGGATCGTGTCCTTGGGATCATCAGACGATGTCTTGAGTATACTGTGAGCCACCACTGTGATGCTTCCAGTGGAAGGCCTGGTGCACCTGCTTGTTGGAGGATGCTAGAGCGGTCATACGTCCATTTGCTTCGCCGTAAATGGCGGAGTATTGATACAAGCGCCCGAACTTTAGCGTCAAGGTCGAAGGCGCGTCGCGAGAGGCGGGCACCGGATACTTTCGTCGGTCGCTCTACACCTGCGACCCTCACCTTCAGTCTGCCTCACCATTCTCTCACTCTTCCTGCCCGCCTTCGCAGTCGCGCCCCTCTGGCGTGGTTGGAAGATGCGCACGAGAGCCATGCAACCCACTGTTGAACTCGACTCACCTCGGCTTCTTCATACCCGTTTCAGCGCCTTGCAGTAGGATGTGCATCATCCCAGAAACCCACTCAAAGAAGAGAAGGCTGTCTGTGTGAAGTAATTCTCTCCCCTGCGCACCGCCACTCTCGACCGAGGCATGCCTTCTACACGGCCATGCGCGGCCTTCGAGCCAATGGCGCCCGACTTCGACCTCAAGAGCCTGGTTGAGTCACAAGCGAACTTTGAATGGGTGGTGCGCATACACTGCGATATGATCGACCACCAAGGCCTCGAGAACTTTGAAAAGCTGGTCCTGATCCATGTCATACTAGGTGGGAAGCCACTGGTCATCGAGGGCTATGAAGGACGCCTCGACCGATGGACTTTTGCGCTCCAGTGGCTCCGCGACAACTGCGGCTCAAAGGGTATGTCCTGGTCCTAAGTGTGCTATGGAAATCACCTGTGCTGAAATGTGTTGCAGTCGAGAATGCGCGAGATCTCACCAAGAAGACTAACATCCCTTTGACCATCGGTCACTACCTGAACAACATGGCACTGTTGACGAACCAATGGACCCCACAAAACTACAAGGACCCTGAACGTCAGCGGATGTATCTCAAAGATATCGACTGTCCACAGCTATGGCGGGACAAGCTGGCAGAGATCCTTCCGCCTGGCCTCTTCTACCTCAACGAATCGACCGGCGACGTTGGTGGGTTCGGTGCGGTGGACGAGAACGACTCCATCCGACCCGGCATGAAGAAGGGCAGAGGCATTGCCAAAGCGGGCGATCTGATGAGTAGCTTGCCCAATGAGATGCGCGCCGAAAATCTCATGTGTTACGTGGGCCACGAAGGCACTTACACCCCCGCCCATCGAGAGATGTGCGCAAGCCTGGGTCAAAACATTATGGTGGAGGCTTCTACTGGTCTCATCGAAGATGGCAGACCCACCAGACCTGGCTCCTCAATCTGGTTCATGACAGAGAGTAAGGAGCGAGAAGTCGTCTCTGAGTATTGGCTTTCGCGGCTTGGCCATGATATTGAAATTGAGAACCATTTCGCGCAGGTCAATGCTTGGAAGAACGCTCCTTTCAAGGTTTATATCGTTGAGCAAAAGCCCGGCGACTTTATCCTGATCCCACCACTCGCTCCACACCAAGTCTGGAATCGAGGAACCCGAACCATGAAGGTCGCTTGGAATAGGACGACTGTCGAGACGCTGGAGATGGCACTTCATGAAGCGCTTCCTCGGGCCAGGATGGTCTGCCGTGACGAACAATACAAGAACAAGGCCATCATCTACTACACCATGCAGAAATACTCGAAGCTGCTCCGTCAGGCGGAAAGGACCAGGCAGAAATCTGTGGGGCCCAAGCAGAAGGCATCGGGCGACGCCAAGGTCCGACAGCTGGAGAAAGATTTTCGCAGACTAGAATTCCTGTTCTCGGAGATATTGGTGTCTGAAAGCTTTCTGCCCGATAAGCCTGAAAAGAAGGTGGAATTGGTTCCTTATGACAGTAACATTACCTGTTCGTACTGTCGCTGCAATATCTTCAACAGATTCCTAACCTGCCCCAACTGCGTTGGGCAATTGGCAAATGGAGACGAGGACACATACGACATCTGTATGGATTGCTATGCCATGGGCAGAAGTTGCGCATGTGTCTCAAAGCTTAGGTGGGTCGAACAATGGTCATGGGGAGAGTTGACGCAGAAACATGAGCAGTGGCGACAACAGATTCTGCAATATGATGGCAAAATCACCGAGAAATCGCCCAGGTCCTTGAAGATGGAAATAGACCGACTCGGCACCAAGAGAACCCTGGCGCAAGTTTGTCAGCTTGAATTGGCAAGGAGACCATTCCGCGATATTGCACGCCCACCATCCCCTGTACAGGCCGAGGAAGAGGTCGAGGTAGTGGGCGCCGATGGAAGCGTGAAGATCAAGAAAAAGGTCAAGCGTACAGACAAGTTCCTCCGAGAGCATGCGCGCTGTCACACCGACTGTCACTGGGAACCGAAGTGGAAGCAAGCTGCATGTACCCAGTGCGACAAGCGTTACTGTTATGGCACGCTGTTCCGTAGATTCGACATGATGCCACAAGATATCCTTGCCGATCCAAACTGGACTTGCCCTAGCTGCAAGCAAATATGCAGCTGCCGAAACTGCAGACAAAAGGCCGGCTACGATTACAAACCTTACACGCCCTCGGGCACTATGCTGGGCCACAACACAAAAGCAGTCGCGGACCCGCGGTCAGTGGAAAGTCTTGTTGACTTCAGCGTGTCCAATATTGGCTGGATCCAGAAGGCAGACGACGATCATGGTGACCAATCCCGCCGGCTTAAGAAGCGGCGAAAAGATGCAGAAGCTGCAAAAGCAAATGAGCCTGAATTGGGCGAACACTATGTTGATGACAGTGCGGACATGTCTGATGGTGTGGAAGCAGGTGTTTTACGGCTTGCAGAACAAGAAGGCTTTGCGATTGACCCAGCGCTGGGTACTGGTGGTGCCCTTACTGACTCGCCTGCTGGAGACGAGGACGACTTCGATGAAAACCCAGAGAGCGCGAGACGGCTGGGCGATTCGACCCCTCCAGACTCTCCAGCTGCGCTGCCTGAGGGTGGCGTTATCAGAGACCTCGAGCATGCCTACGATCGGACCGAGGCAATCACCTACGACTACCCTGACCCTTCAGTGGCTCTCCAAATTCCTGGCCCTGTCGAGGAAGGACAAACTGTACTGCCGCCGGGCTATGCACCAGCCAGACCCGAAGAGAGTGGGGAGATCGAGATGATGCGACAGAAGCGCAAACGAGCCAAGACGGACGACGGTGACAGACCTTACAACTATAAGAAACCGAACACAGAGAAGCAGAAGCAGAGAAAATCACTCATTGTGAAGCTGTCAATACCGATAGAGAAGCTGAACGAAATGGGAAAAACGGCCGACCTTGCCAGGCGGCCATTGAATGGAACCCTTCAGGTCCCGGCACCCGTCATCAGTTCCGATTTGCAGGCGCTCAACGCCGCCGAGGGCAATCCTCAGGCCTTGCCCAAGAAGATCAGACGAGAACCGGAGTATATCGAGGTGGAACGGGACGACGAGTTCATGCCTGGAAGATACCGTGACCGGAGAAAACGTGCACAAGATGGAGCTCCTCTGCCGCCACCTGACACCGAGATCACTCGAAGACAGACGCGCAAGCATCAGACTCGCTATGAGGAGCCTTCGGAAGATGAATTCAACGAGATGGTCGGACCGAACGACACACGGAACGAAAAAGGCAAGACAACTGCGAATCCCACGCCTAGCAGTGTCGTCAAATTAAGTGATCTTGAACTGAAACCTGATGCTTCGGATCTGTCCGAAGAGGATACAGGGAGTCATAGCTCCACCTCCAGCCCAGTCGTGGAGATTGGGCATCGAAGGCCGAAACCGGCACCAAGAGCAGCCATGAAGGCTCCTGCACCGGCTGCCAAGAGTGGTGTCGATCGTCCAGTCAGCAAAGACTCCACAGCAGAAGAAAGCGAGAGGTCATCGTTGTCCACTTCTCCAGCATTGCCTTCCAAGGGAGCCAACCTGGCGAAGCCAACTTCAACCGCTCCGGCGAAGACTGCCGCTGAAGCCGAGGCACAGGCGAATCGAAGAGCAAAGATGGCTTTGATCGAGTCAATGGAGTACGACAGTGATGGTCTTGATTATTCATGGTCGCAAGAATCGGTCTCAGACGAGCCCACAACGAATGGGAGAGCGTCCGGTCTACCTCAACCGGCACCCAACATGCAGTCAGCCACTGATACCGAAAAATCGATCAGCGGCTCCCCGAGCGTCGAATCCGTGAAGAAGCCCGTCATCGTTAGTAATGTGAAGGCGTCGGCCGCGGACTGGGTTGATAGTGATGATTCAGATGATGATGGCATGCCAACTGGGGGAGCCTGGGCCTCGATCAATGGCGGAGCTGCAACCGCGCGTCGGACAGTCGCCATGAAGACTACTAACCACGTCGGTAGTGGACCGGTCAAGAGGGGCCGGGGCAGGCCGCCAAAAAATCCAAAGTGATCTCACGAGAGACCAGAAACTGCGACAGGTGAAGAGGCCTGCGATGACGAGAAACTGGGAGTGCTGAGCTTCGACGATTCTTGCCTGTGTATTCGAGCGTTGTACGACTTTACAGCAATTGGCTATTGTACGTGGGAGCCACCTGATCAATGGACCAGTGTCAACAATGACCCAGCCGGACGAACGTGGACCAGCAACCGCTGTGCAAGGCTGGGGATTATGTGCGATGGAACTTGAGTAAATGTTCCCGTGTTGTAAATGAGTGTAGACACCAAGTGTGAATGCATCATGTTAGCTGGGGACATGCTAGCGCTCCTCGACAAGAAGGTACAAACGCATTCTGATTGATGCGGCTATATACGTGACATGGCGATCGCTTCTGTGGCTTTGAGCCGACCAGTGATGAACCATATCTACTGTACCAGCGGATGGATGACAGTCCGTAAGGCTACGGTCCGTAAGGCTGCAGGCCGAGAAAGTGGCTCCCGGAGTTCGCGGATATTCCATTCCGGCCACTGCAAGGCTGAACTATGACATGGCGTGACGGCCAGGCCGACGCAATTTCACGCGCCGCTCACATCTTCATCGACCAAGTCTCGTCTTGAATCCTGTTCGCTGACAATATCAACCATGAAGAGCATGCGCTTAATACAGCGCAATGCCATTATGTGGCATCTTTCATCTGCGCGCCCTGCGGCGCACCAGTCTCGAGCTCCTCTCCAGCAGTCCTTCCGTACCAGACCAATGCTACAGCAGACAATGCAGACAACATCCCCTACCTCACGCATGATCCACACCCAGCGAGTGAGAACCGCCTCACCATTTCAAATACTCCGCTCTTCTAGGCTTCGAGCCCCCAGAAGACCCGCGGGTCGCCGGTATAACTCCTCTACAGCCCCTCCAGACGCCGAGCCGACGTCGATCAAGGACCGGCTTAAGAAAATGTCGCGCGAGTACGGCTGGACCGCTGTAGGCGTATACTTGGCGCTCTCGGCGCTGGACTTCCCGTTCTGCTTCCTCGCCGTGCGGTTGATCGGCACGGATACCATCGGGCATTACGAGCACGTTATAGTGGAAGGGGTGAAGAATCTGCTGAAATGGCCGATCCGGGAAGCCGCGGGCGATGTGCTCGAGGAGGTGGCCGTTCCGGACGATAAGAGGGTGTTGGATGAGAAGAGCGAGGAGGAGGTGCTCAATGATCATGGGTATAGGGAGGCCGAGCGGGCGAATCGCGGGGATAATGCGAGTGAGTACTATCTCAGAGATTTCTTAGTCCGTTGAGTGTAGTGGGAGAAGCACACCGGCTAATACGAGACGCACTACAGGTCTATGGACACAGCTTGCTCTCGCGTACGCGGTGCACAAGTCGTTTATCTTCATTCGGGTGCCGTTGACGGCGGCGATCTTGCCAAAGGTGGTCAAGACGCTGAGGTCGTGGGGGTACAATATTGGGAAAATGCCAAGTAGGAAGGCGGTCACGCCTGGCACGGGAACGGGCGTGAATACTAAGGGGTCAAAGGTTAAGCCTGGAGATTGAGCGAGCAGCAGACGTGTGAGAGATCACTCGCTCGGTCCTGTCAGGACTCAGGACTCAGCTCATCCTCGGGGCGTTGGGCCTCGCCGGGACGATCCGCGCGCGCATGCTTGTCGGCAGAGACAGAGACACCAAATCCATTCCCAGCTCTGTTGGGTGTCTGTAGCCATCCTTTTTCATTGACATAGCGTAGACCTTTTGGTAATGTACAACACGGCTCCCACTCAATCTAACCTCTGGCCCTCCAAGGGATCCGTCGTCCCCTCCTTCTCCAACAAATGCACCTCGGTCCCGTCGTCGCCGCGTAGACTCCACTCCAAGGTCTCGAAGAAGCCGCCCCTCCGCTTCACGGCCACGAACTTGGTCTCCGCCACGCCCTTTGTCCCCTTAACCCGGAACCGGATATTGATGACGCCCTGCATGGGGCTCAACTCGCCGCTGATCCATGGCAGCTTGCTGGCAAAGTAGATCTCATCGCCCAGCAGGTCGCGGGCGTGGATGTTGGTGCGCAGTGCGTACAGGATACTATTGACCGTGCTGGACGTGGACTTTTCGTAGTTGAAGATCGCCAGGCTGGACACCGTGATTAGGAGGACGAAGATCGGGAGCGTCTTCAGCCAGACTGAGCTTCCGGTCGCGGGGTCGGGCAGTGCGCGGTCGGGTCGGCGGGAGAGGAGAGGGCCGGACCCTTCGTGGGGAGGAGGCACCAGAGGGCGGACTATGCGGTTGGGGTCGGCGGTGGGGGAGGATGAGGATGAAGATGAATATGGGCGGGAGAGCGTTTTCGGTATCAGGGTCGAAGGTATGGATGTGCGTGTGGGTGTGGGTGTGGGTGTGGCTATGGCTGCTTCTCGCAGTTGGTGGACGCGGAGGATGGAACGGCGCAGAGAAAGTGGGAGGCTGTGAAGCTGTTTGAGCGCCATGGGCGTCGTGAGGAGTTTCTTGCCGTTCATTGCGGGCTTCGGAGCGGTCGAGGTCGAGCGAGCTCTAGTCTAGGTCAACACATGTCCAGATGTGGTGGTGGTGGTGATACAGGACGTCGTGGACGCCCTAAAATCGTGCAGTACGGTAATGATGCCGCTTTGGCTCGGTTGCTCTATCTAACTAGCAAATTAAGGTTTATCCTATTACGGCTAGCTCCGATGTTGGGGCGAACGCCCTCACCATCGCCAGCAGCACCATTATCATCAAGCTGTATTGTGATCCACGGCCGCCATTTGCAAATGCGCTGAATCTGTCATATATCGGGCAGTGAGCCCTCGAAAGGAACGCGTTATTGACAGGCGGAAAAGGTCTCGGTGTGGCACTAGATTCCGGAAGCTGCCAGTTCAAACGCCACTGAGCATCGTTCCTGCTCAACCAAGCAGTTCCAGCGTGACGGCCCTGTTTTTCGACTGCGTTACCTTGCTTGCATACCTTACCTAATTACTGTACTATGTGTTCGAGGTCGGAACCTCCATTCCCTCCACCGCCCAGGCAAGAACCAGGTTTTCCTTCTTTGACGTCGCTGCGGCGTATGTTATGAATGCCGTCTGAACGAAGGCTCAAGTATCGGCATGCTTGACAGAGTCCACATCCTCATGAAACCGCCTTCTGTTATCCTTTCACTGCTTCCCACTATGCAAATGCCACGCAACCTGCGCTCAAGGTCCCATTCGATGCGCCATCTTCGACTACATACTGTGTATTTCTCTACTTCACCAACTTCCGTCTTTCCCTCCCTGTTGGGTGCAAGCTGCTACGGTGCAATGCCTACAAACACCATGGCCTGCAGGTCCTCCCTCGAGCGGCCTTCTATTGCCACTCTGCTGTGCCATCCGGCCTAGTTACCTCGGCCATGCACATTCTCACCGCCTTTGCAGCGGAACTCGTTCGGACGATCACAGACCTCTATGGCACAGAAATACTTAAGGCTATCCGGCTGAGGAGCGTTGATGTCCTTTCAGAACATGTGGAGCCAACCGTCATAGTACGTTCTATTTCTCCGGAAAAATTCATCCACACAGCTCGAACACCAAGATGGGAAATATGTCCGCAAGATCTCCATCGAGAACAGCTAGACTACTAGTAGGCGGTTTATTTGACGCGAGGAGATCAGGAGATCTTCCTTGAGGGTTGACCGAGGATGTCTTTTTGAGGGCAGGATGTTCACTCGGGAGCCCAGGTGAGTTGTACTCGTCACGAAGTCAATGTGATCGACTACCATTCACCCCAGTGCAGGATGTTAGGAACAATACTTGCTCCCACGTCGGCTCCTGAGACTACCAAGATCGATCGAGCTTCAGCAAAGCCTCACTACTATGTAACCCTCCTGTCGGAGCGAGGCGAAACAGCCCGTGCTGCGGCTTCTGCATATAACAATCCGGTGGGGAAGAGGCATATCTACAGAACGACCGACCCTGGCAGATAGAACCTATGGTGGACGATTCGCTGACCACACAGCATGAGCATTATGGCGCCTTGCTCCAAGGTGCTTGTCCCTGCGAGCTCGACGACGGGCCGCCTCCATCCACGTCGTCCGGTTCGTGACCAACCTGCCACGCCATTACATACTATGTAGTATTAAACCAGCTCTTCTCGTCTTTGCTGTCTGGGCATGCGCCTTGCGGACATGGTTGAGGAGAGCTACAACAACGCTGCTGGACATTCGTAACGAAATGCTTCGAACGCTGGAACCGTCGAGTTTGCATTGTCACAATGCCCGCTGGACCGCATGCAGAAGATCTCCAGGAGAAGCAACAGCGGCCTATGCTTGCTCTCTCCGACAACACTCTGACCTCTCCACGCGCTTTCCCGGGCCCGAAATCTCCGTTGCTACGGAGTACATGCCTCTCATGTACAAACGAGCCACTTGTACTCCGGGTACATGTTCACCGTCCCCCTGCGAGACTCCGCCGTTGCAAATTGTTTTCTCATTGCCCTGGGAGTAGTACTGGCACGCACGGACTTAAAGCATCGATATCTCCAGGTCGTTGACCAATTTGGACGATAAAATTGGCACATCTTGGAGCATGTCGAGGACTAGGCACTGCTTCTTCGAAACGTTCGGCGCTTGTGCGCTGAATTTCTGCACGAATCTATGAACGACTAGGATGGATTGAGGGCTACAACTCCTGAACTTCAAGTTGGGCTTAAGTCTTGACAAGGACTATCCTGGGCGTACGGGATATTTGCCCTTTGGATGTCTCCGAGATTCACACAGCTGATGACGTTGTGGTTCGCCCAGGTGAGGTCCTCGAGGAAGCCACATACGGCTGGTCAGCCGGACATGTTTAATGAAGGTCCTACAGTTGAAAGATTCAGCCAGAGACTGACGTGTTTTGCAACCTGTTCAGTAGCATGCGGAAAAGGTTGGGCGAGCTGGGATGCCCACGTTGCACAAGCAAGAAGCATAATTCATGGACGATTCAGGGGCACTGTACTCCGTATGGTTTTCTCGGATGTCGTTATGCTCGAATTGGTGGGCGGTTGGCCAACTCCCTTTGCGGCTCTTCGCGAAACACAAGCCCAGCTACTGACGGCTTTCGCGACGGCGCTCAGCCCACATCGCTGCTGCCACACCATCTATTGAGTGAAATGACTAAATGGTCGCACAGTCCTGCTGATGCAATTTCAGCCATGCAGCAGAGCTTCTGCTGAGGTGCATTGGCAGATTTGCAGGTTGGTGCCGATGCAAATGCGGCACGATCGAGGTAGGAGGGACACCGTTATTGACATGCTTGTATGGTCGACCAACTCAGTTGGCAAACCTCTAATTGACTTGTCAATCCTCCTACAACTCTCCGTCGCTGGGTTCCAGTACGCACTAAGCCTCGCTGGCATGGAGACAACTCTCTGTTCAAACTGCTTCTCCCCGATCACACATGGAGGACCAACAAGTTCCGTTGCACCACTATCTGTCCCAGCAGCCACCGACCCGTATCATCCTACCAATGTCTCCAACAGCATTGTGCTCGACTGGCCGCTTCTTCTGTACGCCGCTGTGATGACACCAACTCATGCTACGCAATAGCATGTCCCGACTGTCCTCATCCGCGACAACTTCAAGTTTTGAGTCGGATCACCCTTTTTCCCTGCATGTCTGGATGTGGATGTCCTGTTATTCCACGATTGCTCTCCCGGGTACTAGTATTTGGATCAAACTCACCCAAGGCATTGCGCGATTCCTGCAATGGTCCTATGGGTCGGGATGGGCGACTGTCGACACGCCCTAGAAGTTGGACCAGCCTTATTTCCATACGAAACTTTCGTCTCAATCAGTGGCATACATAAGTACTTGTACTCCTCACCTTCTCAGATCATCTCGACGTTTCCGCAAGCCAAGCCACTCTGACAACGGGGGAACCTGCGTGAGGACAACATATGTGGACCAACACAAATCCGTGTATCCTCGTTTATGCATGACGGCTTCTTGAATGCCTTAGCCCGATTCCAGTGGTGCTTCTTCACGGCTTGTAAGTGCCACTGCTGGAACTGATACAGAAGCTTGTGCGATTTCACCTCAGCGGCCAAATGACTGCACTCACGGACAAGGAAAGGCCGTCCCGTCAAGTAGCGTGCTCTACCTGGTCTTGTGGACTATATTGACAACTTGCACGACTCTAGCTCTAGGGGACGGAGGCTTCACACGAAGACAAGTCTTCGGAGTTTTGTCCCGCAGAGATCGACTCTCTGCGGACCAGGCAGCTCTACGTGGTGAAAGCGGATTACCGCCGCGACTTCACATCTGCGTTAGAGTCCGTGATATTGGGAGAAGGCCTTGGCACTTTGTCTAACAACATCTACTGTCGTCGGAATCGGATAGTCAGCATCGATATGCTCTCGGAAATTTGGTCAGGCAGGCCTAGACGAATAAAAAGTACTTACTTAGTATACGGTGAGACGAATAAGAGGACTAAATATGGCTGCAGGATAAATTGATACAATAGATAGTTCCCTCGTGCGACGTGTGTATAATTAAGATGTTATAAATAATATAGACACAGCAGGTGCTATACATAGTACTTAGTAGAGATTCTATACTTAGTAGTATATACTAATTAGTAAGTAAATGACAACTATAGAGATATACTAGTATTATTGTACTATATTAAGTTAGTAAATATAGGATATAGTACTAGTACCCTCTCCGTACCCGGATTACTTTATTCCGTTATCTAAACTCTAAGTAAGTAGTACTTAGTATACCCGCACGGCCGTTACTATGAGTTCCTACTAGTACTATAGCGAAGACCGCGTTACGGGTATACCTACGAGTTTAAACAATGAAATAAAGTAATCTTACTTAGTACGGAGAGGTTAGCTAAGTATTAAGTAGTACTAAATAACACTAAGCCTCAAAAGGAAAATTCGTACTACTATTAAAGAAAAGAACACTAGCAAGTAAGTACTTTTAGCTTCGGTATAGCCCGCCTAAGGGTGGGTTAAACCAGTCTGAGATCGATCCCAGACCGATCTGGAAGCGATCTGGAAGCGATCTGAGATCGATCTGGGACCGGTCTGGGACTGAGCTGAGACCCTGAAAGCGGTTTTGGTAACTATTCCACTTAAGGTCTCAGCTCGGTCCCAGACCGATCTCAGATCGCTTTCAGACCGGTTCCAGATCGGTCTGGGATCGATTCAAGATCGATATAGTGTAAATAAAAAAAGGTCGCGAGTTCGAATCTCTTTTTTCTGGAGTTTTTATTTTTTATTTCTTTATTTTAGTATAATACTTAACTTTTCTTACGAGTTTTTTTATTTATATTTACTATATTTTTTACGCTTGATAAATATATACTAAAGATATAGTAAATATACTTATTTAACCTAATTAAGTATACCACGATCCTAGATCGGTCTCAAACCACTCCAGATCAGTTGAATCGATCCAGCTGATCCAGATCAGTCCCAGATCGGTCCCAGACCACTCCAGATCGGTCTCAAATCGGTCTCAAATCGCTAAATCGGTCTCAGCTCGAGCTGAACCCGGGTCCAGACCGGGTTAGACCCCCTAAGGGGGGCAGCTTAGAACTTGAACTGAACAACTTGAAGTGCGCTCTACGCGAAGCCATCTATTCTCTCTGACCCTGCCGGGGCGCAGGTGATGTCGTCGCTAGGTGCGAACAGAGGCCGCCAAGCTCAGGAGTTCATCAATGCCGCACCCTTGGCCAAGACTCCATGACCCCAATGTCATGAGGACAACGTTGGACGCATCATAAGTACATACTAAGTACTTATGAGCTTCCACCCCTGGCGCAGCTGCATGACAGAGTTGCCAGGCTCACCAATCCGCTCTTCAGGGTCTCGTCGCTGTAGTGTGCCAGACGGTCCTGTGCTGTAAAAAGTCGCGGAGAAGAAGACCATGGTGGTCCCAGGTCGCAACTTGAACCTGAGTCCGATGTCTGAGACTTGCCTTTGTTCCTTCGGGATCACCCCCGCAGACGATGCCATGGGCTGATCTTGAGTGCCACCGAGATCCGCAAGGACCATGCTGCCCGCTGGCCGCCGTAGGTCTTCCTCGAGCTCTGCGAGCAAGAAGTCGAAGAACATGAGGCAGTACGGAGTATGTGAGGGCCTCTGCACCCTCCTGGGTCAACAGCTGAGCGGCCTGGACGACTTACATAAGTACTCAATAGTACTTTGCCAAGACCTGTGCGATCGGCCAATATCAGTCCTCCCCAGGAACCGTAGGCGCTGCACAACATGTAGAGCTTGAAAGCGATGTCCAATGGGTGAAACATGAGCAGATCCGTGCGTGTATTGGACGTTGATCCATGGCGAAGAAATCCTTCAGGCGATGTCGATTTGCCCATCCGACTTTGAATGTATGCGAAGGCGTCGAGCTGGCACGAACTCGTGGAGCGAATGCGGCGGTGGGGTATGTCCCGCCATCTGCACCAGACGGATCTGCCGAGCACAGCTGCGCGAGCACATCGCGACCTATGCTGGCTGGTGTGCAAATACTTGCACCAGCAAGAAGCAAGACCTAGGGGCGCAGGCACCAGGTGGTCGTGATACAGCAACTCTGTTGAGTTGTTCGGCAATCGTCCTACCCGACCTGGTGTAAGTACTTAGTATGTACATAGCATGCGGGAGAGGCTTCGGTAAGATGTTCTAGTCAAGAGCTCGTCTGCCGATAGAGACTTCGCGGCCACGAAGTTTCCGATCGCGCTGCTCACGCTTGACGTAGGAGGAACGCCACGAGCGGGACCTTTTGAGACTGAGGTGTTGGACGGGCAGTTCGCGTTCCGCTATCGACGAGGTTGTTGGAAAGCGAGAGGACGTCTCTGGCGATGCTCTCGTGAGCCTCCTGTGGTCACCACTCGCCCACACTGCTGGTGACGCTGGGAACCACAACGGCATCAGCGTCGACAAACGAAGCCCTAACACCGAGAGGTCACACGTAAGGTGACTCGCATGGACGCATAGACGAGGTTCCTGGTCGTCTCTCGAGCTCTTTCTGCGTGGACTCCAGGGGAGATCACTGCATTTTCTGATCCGGCCAACTGTGGAAAGCCGCTCAGAATGTCGTTGAAGTTGTCGCCGCTGCCACCAGCCGTGCTGATAACTCATTGTGGTTCTTAGCAGCGTGTGGTGACTTCTTGTCTGGGTTGCCGTCGATTATGTCACAGTTGCGCCACGATGCGACCTTGTTGACCGTTGCGACCCAGCCACCCAAGAGTCGTTACGAAGCTCATGCCGGTGCAAGGAAAAGGATGTCTCGGTGGCGGCTTAAAACTTGTGAACCCCGGTCCCAGCCACATCAGCACTGCCGCCTGTACGAGCATAGGGCAGGGGCAACAGCCGGACAGACCTGAAGGGCCACCAGGCGAAAAGATCACTGACGCGTCCGCTTCGACGAGCAACCGCGTCATGGCTTCTGTGCAGACGTAGGCAGGTGCAAGAATGGAAGCCGAGCAGGTTTGTAATCAAGCAGGGCACCTGATGCTGCAATAGAAGCATAGTCCGACGGCGACGATTCTGATTCCACACGTTGCAGTCTCCGTCAATTTCTGGTCCCAGGGATGCGTCGCGACGGGGCCGCTCAAGAAAAGAACTCGTCGCGATGTATTAGAAAGAGGTGTAAATTCTTTCCTTATCGATGCGGGTTCAGGGGAGGCGGCGAAATAGTGGATGCGAAGTAACAGTGTATCTGTAGTACTCGCTTGACCAGAAATTAAGGTGGACAAAAAGAGCGTTGCGTTGAAGCACCCATTCCTGGACATATTCAGTCAGATCACGGCCTTCAAGAATTGCAAAAAGAATTGCCTCCGTTGAGAGTCGAACTCAAGACCTCGGCATCACTGTAGTATGGTACTAGTCTGTGTTTGATGTTAGAATCGCGATATACACCCCGGTATATGAACTGAAACTTACGCCGCGCTCTACCAACTGAGCTACAAAGGCAGGATTGAGTCTCCCGGGAATTATTGGCGAACTTTAAGATACTACAATATGTATCCAGCAATAATGCTTCCCCCTTCTATGTGTGGGCTAAATAAGCGCTAACCGATCAAAAGGCCTACCTACCTCCAATCACTGTAGGCCAATGGGATCCGGGAAGCTCCCAACGAACCCCGCCAGCCGACAACACTTCCAAGGTTGATTTCTGTGACCGACGCATGCTTGCAATACTGTCACTACTAGACTTGGAACAGCTACCCGAATGGCATACAGAAAGGATCCTCGCCCGGACAGATCGACTCAACAAGTTGGAAGCAGTTGCCCACGTACGGTGCGAAAGACGCACACCCATAGGGGTCAGGCATTCGGCTTCGGTGCCCGCTATTCTCGTCCCGTCCATGACAGGACAGACAGCCTAAGTCTGTCGTGGCCGTCCTCTCTGGTTGCTGTCCCAGTCAGCAACACTCTCATCAGTTTGTACCGTGGATTGGGGTATCATGTCCTGTACCCATCGCAAGATATACGCTCCCCTCGCCTGTCGTGCAATCCTCAACCCTCCTGCACTCCAACGTTGCGTTGCCGTTGCATTTGCCAGGCTTCTCTCTGAACCAGGTCTGCCAATATAAGTTGCTAAAGGGACAACGGAAATACTTTTTTGAATTCATACTCGCTCAATACGCTAGCTTGCCTACGAACACACACCTTTCGTCAATCGCCGTGCAGCGTCTTCAAGACTTTTCTGCACAGAGACTTGCCAGCTTCACAGCACCTACACGCTGCCCGTGCCATAGTGCTTTCGTGCATTCTTTCCCTAAACGGCAGTCTCCCATGCTGACCATAGACCACGCCAATACCGCTTCTTGCTACCAATGCTTTTCCAATACAGCCAATGCCTCAATGTCCGATCGCTGTCGTCTGATAAACTGCTGTCGATACATGAGGACCGCCTTGTAGGTTCAAAATGGTTGCGCATTCCATCTCTCACAGATGATTTTGATCGCCTGTGTCGGCGAATGATTATCTGGTAAGTCTGCATGAACTACAATGCGTATGGGTTCATGGATCGAATGGTCAAGCATCTACGGGATATGTCAGTGACGGCACGATAGGGCGACGATGGGTCGGAACTTACGGTGGACTCTTCGTGAGGTCGGTCTTCAAGATGACCGGCACACGAGTCATCTCAGTCACGTCCTGGATGTATTCACCACCTTCCTCTCTCAACTTGAAATAGCTGAGATACTTCTCTTTGTCGGTCAGATTATTCTCTGGAATGTTACCACCCGCCTTGGCAATTCTGGAGTCCGACTGGGTCCTGACAGGTCCGGTTGATGAGCCTCCATTACGGCTGGGAGATGGTGGCAAACTCTGAGTAGATCGGTCACCTTGGTTGTTCAAAGACACTCCTGATGCCATCTCTGTGAGCTCGGACGTGCTGTCGTCCTCGTCGTCGTCGAAAAGCGCATCAACATCATCGGTCGACATGGTATTGCTGTCAGTCTGTTTGCGTTGGGATTCGTATCGTTCTTTGGCACGTTCTCTGGCAGATTCGGTTGCACTGTTCGTACCCTTGGTACTTGCTGACCCACGAGGTCTCTCATCTTCAGGGATGTAAGCAGATGAGGGAACGCCCTTTTCCCAATAGAGCTCGAGGACTCTTTCATCCTTGCGGAATTCGGCTTTCTTGAGCGGAAGCTGGTCGCAGTGAACACGCTTCTCAAAGCCGTACTCTGGGATGAGGATATCAAAGGCAGACTCGTACACACAAATGACGATACCCTCACTGATGAGATCGCCGCCAATTTCTTTGCTCTTCTTGTCCATGAGTCGGCAGGATTCGATGTGGACGCTCTGCTCCTGTGCCGCATGAGCGGAATCTTTCTTGTTGTTGCATTGTTCCGCCGTCTTGGCCAAGCTCTCCAAGTCTTCGTTGAATTCGACACTGCCATTGGACAGAGCAGCCTCCAACTGGCGGTGGACGACAATGTCGGCGTATCGGCGCGAAGGATTGGTGAAATGGCTATACAGAGGCAAGTTCAAAGCAAAGTGCTGGCGATGGTCGTCTCCGATTTGGTTGCCGATGTAATACTTGGCACGCTGAAGGGTCTTGACCAGGAGCGTCTCCATCCCCTTGCGTAGAGCGGCGTCCTCCACCTTGAAGAGACTGTTCTGCAAGGTGCCGCTGCTAGAGCTGTCGATGTCATAGCCGGCTTTAGTCATGCGGTCCACAAACGTCAGAAGTCGACGTGGGTTGGGAGGCGATTGTCTTCTCAAGAAAGCCTTGTCCGGCATGGCAGTAAAAATCTTTTGGGCGACATAGAAGTTGGCCTTGGCAGCAAGTTCTTCCATGATCTCGTGGGCAGCAGAAGTGGTGAAGATGTTCTGTTCAACTGGCACATTCTCATCGTCGAGCTGATAAAGCAGTCGGAGCGGAGCGATGTTCGCAGAACGGTTGCCGAAGCGAGCTTCTCGGAATTTGTTCGCCAGCTTGTGCAAAGTCTTGATGTCCTCGACGGTGGCGCCTTGTAGTCCTGCTTGCTCGCCGCCCCTGATAACGGCGTCAATTGTCTTGTACGACAATTTGCCTGAACTCTGGATGATGGACTTCTGGATGGTGGGTTCTCCCTCGATCTGGCCAGTTTCGCTGTCGACCTTGAAGATTACGCTCACTGTCAAACGGCCCTCACCTGGAAGGAGGGAGCAAACCTCGGCACACAGTTTGGGCGGCAGCATGTTGACGGCTCTGGTCATCAAATAAACGCCAGTTCCTCGCTTCTTGGCCTCGCGGTCCACCAACGAGTTTGCCTTGACAAAGTGCGCCACATCCGTAACGTGGATACCAAGTTCCACCAATCCGTTGTCAAGCTGTTTGATGTGAAGTGCGTCGTCGAGTTCATTGGTGCCATTAGGGTCGATTGTGAAGGTCCGCTCATTGCGGAGATCAAGACGAGGACTCAAGCTTTCCTCACTCTCAGTCTTTAGCGACCAGTCATCCCACCCAACACTCTTCAGAACCGCATCGGAAAACTCGTCGGAACCGAAATTGTTGTCTCGCAGCAATGCGTCAGTCTCCACACGAAGATCGCCCATCTCCCCAAGCTGCTCAACCAGCGTGCCAAACGGATGCAAAGATGTGATGGGCCAGCGCTTTATGCAGGCCACGAAGATTCTGTTAGCGTAATCCATGTGCTTGTCGACAAAGTCTCGAGGGGCTTGCTCCGTGGGGATCGCAATCAGGGGGACACGCTTGTCAGTAGGCTTGAACCAGACGATCTTAGGTTTGTCCTGCATACGAGACTCGGATCGCGAATGTCCACCGTCACGTTGCTGTCTCTCAGCCTCTTGTTTCTCTTTGGTGGCCTGACTGCTTGGGCGCAAAAGACCGAGGGTCCCAGAGAACATTTGCCCTGCGACACGCTCAATAACTGCAACGACGTGACCGGCATAGAGTGGCTTTTGCTCATCGCTGATTTCCTCTTCCTCCATGAGAAGGAGGCTCTGCCCTTCGACCTCAACATCATCATTCTTCTTTTGTGTCGGGCGTTGACGAAGACTGCCACGTCGGCGAATGCTACCATCTGGTGCAATGGACGCGGTATCAGTAGTCGAGGAGGTATCACTCTTGCCATTCTGACCGGGACCTGATGAGCGAGTATCAGTAATGTCCTTGCGTTTCTTCTTTTCTTCCTTTTCACGCTTCTGGCCCCAGACTTCATCCACATCAAGCAGCTCGACGGCGACCAAGTCCCCCTCGAGAGCCCGGTTTCGGTCTTTACTGCCGCAGATGAAGATGTCGGCGTCGAGATCGCTCGTGGTGACGTAGGCGTCGGAACGATTCTTTTTGTTCACGCGAAGAATGCCGGCAACCAGCTGGCCGTCATTGAGCAGAGCAGGAAGGGTAGCTTGGGGGAGGTAGGGAGTAAAGAGGGTCTTTCTCTGCTGTTGCTGTTGCAAGCCCATTGGAGGGGCATGCTGGCTGGCTTGGAGGCCACCGAGCTGGGCACCCTGCAATGCCTGTAGCTGAGCAATTTGCAGAGCATTCAACTGCTGACCGGCAGGCATAAAGCCGGGCATCATCATCTGACCCTGCTGCAATTGAACCAGTTGAGGTTGGCCGGGATATTGGAAGCCACTCATGGAGCCCATAGACTGATTGATCGATCCACGGTTGCGGTGGCCTGGCTGGAAACCCATGCCCTGAGGTTGACTGAACTGGCCCATTTGCTGTTGTGTCTGATCAGTAGGTTGTTGATTATTCTGCTGACGCCAATTTCCTTCGAAGTTTCGAGATCCTTGTCTCGTATGACTGTTCTGGCTTCCACGGCGTTGGAGATCGGACTGGTTACCTGCACCAGCATCACCTTGAGGTGGGAATTGGAAGGCGCTATTCCCGCGGCCAGCTGCACCGCCACCACGAACACCTCCAGCAGCCATACTCTGACTGCGACTGTGACCGACATTGCGAACATTGCCAGCGCGGCCAATACCAAGACCTCCGGGGGTGACAGGCGTGGAAAGCCTATCGTCAGATGGAGTGGACGCCACCGGGCTTTCTACAGTGCCAGCAGCACCTGGGATAGGAAACTGGAAACCGGCCGCGGTCCTCTTCTTCTCTGCAAGCTCGGCAGCCTTCTTAGCTTCGGGGAGTGCGAGTGAGTGACGCCGTGCATGGCCACTTTGTGCAGAGCCTCCTCTTGTGTTTCCGCGTCCCCCGGTATTTTCACGGTTCTGCCCGAGAGCCTGCTGGTTGAAGTCGCCATAGGCAGTGCCGGCAGCGCCAGCAGAAGGTGCTGGGGGAGGTCCCATAGCCATACCCGGTAGGGCGGACTGATTCCGTCGATGAGCAGCAGGCTGAGTTGGGGGATTGCCCTGCATTCCCATCTGCTGCTGCATCTGAGGAAACTGGAAGTTGGGGTTGTTGTTTGGGGGGAGCCCTGAAAGATTGGGTTGCCCTTGGACAGGGGAATAGGCAGGCATGCCTTGCAAAGGTTGCTGGATTATGCCCATGTTCACATACTGCTGATGAGTGGCAGCGATTTGTTGCTGTTGTTGTTGAAGCAATTCAATTTGTTGCTGAAGAGCCAGCTGTTCCATCATGAGCGGGGTGAGCTCAGAGGGACTTCGTCGATGGGCGATATGGAGTCTGCGCCCTGCAGGGCCTGGCACGCCAGATTGACCTGGTTGCGCCATCTTGTGTTGTGTGCAGAATTGAACTGTGTTTCCTAGCTCTTCTTTTCGCTCGAGCTGGCGAGCTTGAGAGAACTGGTGGAGGGATAAAGGACAATGCTTCGGGCTGTTCAAGAAAGCTCGTGCACAGGGAAGGGAAGGATGCCAAGCTGTAGGTGAAAGTCAGTACAGACTAGATTACATGACAGCGATGTTCTGATTAAAGACGACGGGATGGATGCTTAGGGAAGAATGTGCATGGGATGATGTCCGCTCAAGCGCGGCGCAAGGAGATGATGAGACTCACCAGAAACTTGCCGAGCAACCTCTGTATGGCAAGACTGTTATCGATACTCTCAACCTGGCTTTGGCGTGTACCGCTCGAACGTTGGGAAACGATGGTTATGAAGCTGGATGGAATTGGGTATTCTGTTGACAAGATCTGGATCCTACGGTCGAGGTGGAGTGACCGGGCAGCGTCGGGGTCAGTGAAGAGACTAAGTGCGACGGTAGCGTAGAGCTGATGGCCGTCGCGATGGCAGTGATGACAGCTCAGGTGCAAGCAGGAATCGCTAATCGTGACTGCTAATATGGTGCAACAGAATCTGGTTGCAGGCAGGCTCAACCCGACGTAAGATTCTTTTGGGCGAGGGAAGGACAGGAAACGGAAGTCGACGGGGACGATACCCGCAGTGGCGGAGGGCAGGAGCACACGAGGGAGTGACTCGGCAGGTTTCAAGGATTGTCTGACCAACGTGCAGCGATAGAGCAAAGACAGAATGGAGGGAGAGGATGATGAGCAAGAAAGAGGACGACGAGAGGAGGGGAGACCGAGATGGGGGATGGGGATGGGGATGTGGATGTGGATGGAAGGGGGACGTGTCTGTAAAAGGTCTTGGTGTTCTTCTGCTAGTGTGCGAGTTGTGTGCGGCGCAACGAAAGGCTCCCAGTGAGGCCACAGCTAACACTTGGTTCATGCTCACTCGCTTACTGGTACGCCATGGAGAGTACCGCAAACTCTCTAGACATATCTTCCTGCCCTATTGGCGACGTAGCCGTGTATCAGATCACCTTTGGCCCCCTCTTTTGTCTGTATGCTCCGTAGAAAGAACAGACCATCGCCGCCCTTGCCCAATTCTCCCTTTCACTTGGTCGCACACATCGGGTGAGGAGCTTCGTCAAGCGCTGTGCAAGGGGTACCAAGTGAAAAGAAGTATCTCTTGTTGATCTAACTACGTTGCCAGCCTTCTTAGACACCGAAATACCGCCCAGTGAAATCATGAACGGCTGTGATTCAACTGCACAATGGGCGCAAAATCGTTGATGCCAAGACATGTTGCGGCGTCACAAGCCGGTGTCCGCCCGTACTTACTGTGTACAGGGGGCTCTCCAGGCCCCAGTTTAGGCTTCCTTGGGCGCACATCACCCGGCGACCCAGGCGAGACCTTCCCCACCACGCTCTAACTGAAACACCCCTGCCATTCGCGGTCGTCTGAGACTCGAACCAACTCTTTCTTTGTTAACTGCCAAAGAGTCCATCCGATGGAACTTCAGCACACTCAAGTCTTGCCCCGTGATCGTCCATCAGCCAGCCCTGGCGCCTCGTCTCGGCTCCCCAGATCTCTCGGCGCCATCGACGCGTTCGGCAAGTCGTTGCATTAACGGCAGACTTTGGTACGCTCAGCAGTGCAGAGGACAGCCTCGCTCGAACAGTGCTCATACACTCTTCCGCGACAAGTCAGCTGTCGACGCGTCTCTGACTGTGAGCAGTCTCTGCTAGCGGTTCTCAACAGCCGGCGTTCAGCTTTTCTGGTTTAGTCGCGACCATTTACAAACTTTCACCCGACGGCCGCATCTCTCACCACCATCAATCATTTGGACTCCTCGACTGCCATTGGTCGGCTTGAGCACCTCGACATCACGCAGCTTGCGTATAATTCCCAAAGTGGTCTTGACAGTCCGTCCACCGCATGAGTCAAGGGTGGTTGGCCCAAGCCACGGTCACGTGCCATCAAGATGACCAAACTTCATGCTTCGCCCTTTTCAGCCAGAAACAGTCCCAGAGGTCGAAGGAATGACGACAGTCCCTCGCGGCAACTACAATGGGAATTGGACCGGGCATTGGGTCAATTACAGTTACACGAAATCGAAAGTTCCAAGCTTCATGCCTATCAGAAGCGTCAGCAGCAGGACGAGCTCGATGCCCGAGAAGCGGCCCAGGCTCATGTTCATCAGCTAGAGCTCAATGCTGCCAGCGCCCAGCATGAGGTTGTACGAAAGCAGGCCGAGGCTGTCCTCCAGGCCTACATCAAGAAGGAGGAAGAAGAACGACGAAGGCGTGAAGAAGACGAGCGAAAACGGTTAGAGGAGGAAGAACGACGAAGAAAGGCAGAGGAGGAAGCCCGCAGAAAAGCTGAGGAGGAGCTCAGAGCTCGAAAGGAGGAAGACGAGCGTCGCGAAAGGGAGGAGCGTGCTCGACAGGAGGCGGAACGTCGCGCGAAAGAGAAAGCTGACGCAGAAGAAAAGGAACGGAGAGAAAGGGAAGCTGAGCAGCGGAAGCAGCAAGAGGAGAACGCAAAAGCTGAAAAGGAAGCCGCTCTTCGGAAGCTGCAAGAAGAAGAAGCGGCCGCTAAAGCAGCACCAACACCCCAGCCAAGTCAAGCTCCTTCTTCGGATATCGAGCAGCAACACCGCGAATACCTTGCTCTCCACAAGAAGCTGAAGACCTTTCGATCAGAGTTCTGGACATCGACCAGAAAGGACCCAGCCTTGAAGCCACACGTTGGTGACATGCGACGGGCCATTCGAACAAGTGTGGGACAACTGACCGATGACAAGGCGGCTAACAAAGTAGCGGTAAGTATCACTAGCCGCACTTTGGCGTAGGAATGACCTCTATACTAACATATATTACAGCACGATCGAGTCAAAACAACTCTGCTTCGAGCACTGAAGGAGCTGCCATCGCCTCCAGCATCTGTCAGCGAGTTCTTACCAGTACATCTCAACCTTGGGGACAATGGTGCGACCACAGTCCCATCGTTGGCTCTGTATCTTCTCTCGATTTTCAGTAAAGCCGTCATCGCCGCCTTCGTTGGCGAATGCGCTGTCAACCCGAAGGCAGCTGAGCCGATCGGCACCCTGGTTGCACAGATCTTCTCGATGCCCGATCTCCAATTCGGCCGAAACGCACCTGCCGATGCTTCCTCCCGACCCACACCAAGTCAGTCGCTGATACCGATTCTCATGTGCAAATTTCATGCCACGGCTCCTATCCTCTTTGGCATCTCTGGCTCCGAGTCCACCACAGCAGGCAAACTCCGGCTTGGCTGGCGTCTCGATAGGATGGATGATTCCGCCGACTCGAAACGCGCCTTTACGACTCAGAACAAACACTACGATCGTCTTACCGGCCTCGGTGTCGGGTACGCCTCTATTGCGCTGCGGAACTTCTCAAAGGCTAGATTCCAGAACCCATGGCCACCCGTGCATTTCTGGTCGAGTCTGGCGCATATCATCAACACCCGTCCGCAAGAGGTCCAGACAAGTCATCTCATCTTGTTGAAGAACATGTTGGAGAATAATTCCATCGATCGCTTTGTGCTCTTCTTTGGGGCTGTCGGCGTCGCAGCGTTGAGGCAGGCAGTTGTGGAGTTTCCGAAGACCCTGCCGCATGAGCTGCAGGAGAAGCAAGTGACCAAGTCATTGCAACTGATGGTGGAAGGGTGGAAGAAAGAGAATCATTTCTCACTTACGTAGGCTGCGGGCCTTTTCGCTACCATTGGAAGTGCGGAGATCCCAGACTCTCGAGACGCCAAGTACTACCCTTGGGTAACCGTGATGCTGCTGAGCAGTCGCACGAGGCGCTTTTGGTCCGCCACGGATTGTCTCAGCGGTACACATTCGGTATTAGTGATAGCGAGGTGTTGCGAACATGAATGAAGGCCATGCCAGCCGCAGATGGCAACCCACATGCTCCAGGGACAGTAGGAGTTTGAGGCCAAGATTCTCGTATACTTATTTTCTTACCGTTGACTGGCCTCACCACGAATCTCACGGCAGATGTCTCCACGTGCTTTGGACTCGACTGAACTCGAGCTCGCGAAGCGGAAAGGGCGTCTGGTGCGGGTCAGCTCATTCTCACCGGGCATACTGTGTACTCTGTACACGATGAAAACTCCGCACGCCTTTCTGCCTCGCCGCTTGGCCACTGCTCAGCCTTCGTATTACCCAACTTGGCGCATCTGAAGCTGAAGGCCTCCACCACATGCAAAGGGACAGCTGAGCAGCAGCGTCCTGCCGGAACAGCTGGATATGAGAGGGATGTAGGATATAATAGCTGAGGCAGAGCACGTCGCAGCTACAGCAGAGTGCATCCTCAGACATTGCATTGACCAAATCCTCGTGTTCCAGAACAGAAGCAGCCTCAAGTACACACAGCGAACCGGCATGGACCGCTTCTGCTCCCACGACCTTCACGAACGAATTCAAGTCCTACTCTCTTGAAATCCCAGTTCCCGGATCGGTAATCAAGCACAACCGCACTGCACAATGAATCGAAAAGTCCACCTCGTCCGCCACGCCGAGGGCCTGCACAATCTCCGCGACGATCCTACAATCCCAGATGCTCCCTTGAGCGAGCGCGGATTTGACCTCGCAGAGGACTTAGGCCGGCGCTTCATCCACGACAACTCGGACAGCGTGGGCGCCATGCTGGTCTCGCCGCTTCGCCGAGCCATCCAGACTTCGCTGGCGGCATTCCCTCGCGTCCTCGGCGCGGCACATTATCCCGTCAACTCGGGCAGAGGGGTCAGAACCGGTGGGGTGACTCTGCTCTTGGATCCGGACTTGCAGGAAATTAGTAGTCTGGCATGTAATGTCGGATCGCCGCCACGTGAGCTGCTGGAAGAGTTCCCCGAGATGGGCGCGCAGATTGGGGGTTTGCCGTCCAGGTGGTTCGAGAAGACGGGGTTGTGGTCGCCTGCTCGTGCCGCCGTCGCGCAGCGGAAAATCAGGATCCTGCAGCGGCTGTGGGACGTTTCCGAGGAGTTGCAGAGCAGTCCAGACGGGAGGGAGGATATCGTCGTGGTGACGCATGAAGGGATCATATTGGTACTCGTCCCAGACGCGGAGGTGCCGATGGGAGCTTACAGGACGTTTACCTTGGTCAAGGCGGGGACGGAAATTGTGCTTCGGTGAGGGAGGAAAGGGCCACCTGATTACGAGGAAAAGGACGCCGATAGAGTCGGAACGAATGCGAACACACACAGCAGGGCAGGGTTTCCCATCAGCTCGCTGGACAGTGAGCACTACATATACTCATCGTGCTGCTCTGCGGATTTCGGCCATGTGAAGAACTTTTTGGTGTGGTTTCTCCAAACCACAGAGGAGAACAGCAGGCAGTGCAGTGGTCGGCGTTGTTCGTCTCTTCCTGGTGCCTCTCTTGACCGCCGCGTCAATACTAAGTACTACTGTGAGCACAGCAACCGACCAGGCGGTGCAGAGCAAACGCATAACCATGTCACACGGCTTCTTGCATGGGCTTTATCTCGCTAAACATCACCCACTCCTAGTCCTTAGCCGTGACAACTTCAATATGGGCGAGAACCACGCCACCAGCCAGCATAAGATGTCAAAATCCTTTACCTCAGCACGACGGTTCGTGCCCCCTCTGGTTACTTCCCATATTAGACTACAGTATTCATGCCAGGCACACACTGTGCTCTGAGGCGTTGTGGCCGAGCATCTCGCGCAACGTGGGTGCGAGACCATCACCAGGTTTCACGGTCGCCGACCGGTGCCCTTTGATCGGATAGCCTTACAGCACGAGCTGGACGGGGGAGGTGGCTCTTCCTGTGTTCTGCATTGACTTCTACCCCATACTACCTAGTCTACCAGACTCTCGACCGTTGGCGGGCCTTTGTTGTGTTTAGATATGCAGAAGCAGTGCCAGCTACCTACTATGTAACTGACCTACCGCAACGGTTCGTCCTCGAAGCGAACCGGAATTTCTCCGGCATACTTTACTTTACCTGTCTGTCCATTCGTGTCCAGATGCAGTGGTTAGATTTCTTGGTCATACCAAGGCCTTACAGTCAGATACTCACAATGTCACAGTGTAGAAATATCCATTGCCATTGTTCTGCTGGGGAAAGTTTCTTGGTCTTCCCGTTTCTGATCCCCTTTCCACGTATTCTTTGAGGACAATTTCCCGTTACCTGAAAACTACCCTCGCACCTACCTTGTTGCTGTCCGATGAGACCAGCCTCCATATGTTACCTTGCCTCTTCGCGTCACGTCACAAGGTATCACTTCTCTCAAGAGGGGCTTACCTTTCTCAAGTTTTACGGTGGCGTCGAGACAAGGGCCCCGACTTGCTGGCTGGACCTTCACAAACATTGCAGCTCTCGTACTCTCGACTCCATAACTTCACCCAGGAAGTCCATTGGCACGCTCGCTCGGCACCACGGACATGTCATACCTGTGCCGGCTTTGGGGAACAACCACTCTAGCAAACAGTCAGTATGGAAAGGTCGCTTGCAACATTGGTAAGTCACGACGGGGGGCCAACTCAGCTCACCTTCCGGTTGTTCAACAGCCTCATAGCAGATCGGGCAGGGATCTTGGCCCTCGTATGGTCGGGCGATCGGCGCTGGCTGGACTGAGGAAGGGATCCTGAACCGGTCTCGAAGTTGGGGTTCCTGCAGGCCGGCAACCACCCACTTCAAAAAGTACCGGTGTCTGGTCCGTTCGTACCGTAAACTGTACGCTCTGAACGTGCGACCAGCAGTAAGGAGGAGATTTTCCTCTTCAATGATGTACCTCTCCACCTCGAACAATCGTCCATGAACCCGCGCAAGGCACTCCCGGGCAATCTCTAGGCCATCCTGCCCTGGAGAAGCATTCCCCAGAAACAGGTGGTCAATGGTGGCTTCCGAGTGGTGAATATCGGCGTCATTCTCTCGGAGAGTCCGGAGAACATGGGAGGTAGGCAAAGCCATCATATCCGCGGCCATGGCGGTGAATTGTTGGTTGACGTCTCTGAAAGCTTCCCTCAGGGAGACTATGCCGAGTTCTCGACTAGTGAGGAGATTCGTCGTGGCGGAGCCCTCGGATTCAGGTCCGGGGACTGTCCTTGCCTGGGGCTGGGGATCTCTACGGATGATGGTCGACAATTCCAACCAGCCAGGAACGGAGAAGGGGTCGGTCACGGTCCCAGTTACAATGTGGCCCCAGGTAATGTACACAAGGTTATTATCCCGGGATCTGAAGAGATCTCCCTCCTCGTCTGTTGAAATGAGCTCACTCAGTCGTAGGTCCTCGTCGACAATGTAGAGTCTCCCAGGTTGTGTAAAATGGTAGATAGGCAACCTATTGTAGCTCGTGATAATGTTGGAAAGGCGCTCAACCCGTAGTGCATTTTCGGCGAGATGAGCATAAAACAGTGACCCCAGCCAGATTTCTCCCGCGCGCCCTCTAATGAGAGAATTGAATTCGCAGAAGAGACGGAAGTGGCAAAGCTGTGGGCGTCGTGCCAAAGGTCCCTGGAAGAGCTGCGCCATCGCAGCGACGATTCGGTCAGCATCATTGTTAGCAACCCATAGCTCTGTCCACACGAAATCTACCATATGACGGCGGTGTTCATCAAGCAATGGATACTCCGCAGGTGGCGGGAGGGAGCCATTGAACTTCCGCATCACACTCACTGGGATGTTCGGAGTCAAATGTCTGAGTATCGACCGCACCTCTTCCTGTTGGTCCAGAGTCATCCCCCGGGGTAGACTGCTAGCAAGGCTTTGAACAACTCGTTGCATTTGACCTGGGGGAGCCGGGAGTAATTCGGAAGTGATGATTTCAGCTACTCTCAGTACGAGCTGATCCATGTCTATCGGCTCATCCTGCGGAGCGGGTTCGGGAGATTCGGTGGTGGCATCCATTATTTTGGTGTATCGGGATCTTCGAGCTTTGTTTGGAGCCAATAGGTTTTGTGACAGACAGACGACGAAATCGAGGAATACTATGTAGTTGAAGGTTTTAAGCAGCTGCCACCGTGCTCGACACCCAAACAAGGGAACTGCCTCAAAGGGACTGCCTCAAAGGGACTGCCTCA